GACAGTGACAACTTGCTTGATCTGCCAAAGGGGATGCATAGGGATGAGCCGGTATGCACCCTTGACGTCAGACTTGTAAAGGATGGGGTTTTCAAGAGGCCAGCGTTTCTTTGCGTCACGCAAGGCATACCCCAGATCTCGAATATTATCTAGGGAGGCGCCAGCGATGTCCCGCCTATCGATCAGGGAGTTTGGTGAATAATCCCCTGCACTCTGGTCGGTAACTAAACGAAGCTTGTCGGATCCGGGTTTAGGCACAGCGTGGATAGGCGAACTGTACATGCCTGGCAAGAGATCGGGCCCGAAAGCAGGCGAGAACCGGTTGAGTTGGAGTTCTTCATTGATCTGTGCATGAATGAACTCAAGCTGACTCGGGTCAGAGATCTCTGCCTGAGACTCGTCCCAAGTATCAGGATAATCCGGTGGGCGTCCGGACGCAAAAGGCCAGAAGCCATGTCGAAAACCCGCGCAGACAGAATGGACAAAAGGACGATTGGGATGTTCTGCGAGGAGCTGCTCAAACCGGTCCACGTTGATTGGTGAGACCAGTTTGAACAGCGCTGGGTTCTGACGGATGGTATCAGTGGCTGCCTTATTCCGAAACTCAGATTCAGGTGGTCGTGGCAGTGGTTTTGCGCTCTCGGTCCACAGCGCGGTTTTGCTAATGTAATTTGGGACATCTTCCCAAACCATCCCTCGCCGAGCCGAGGGTACGTTTTCGTCCCGCTCAAGCAGACCCCTTGCCCCGAGAACAGTCTGCTCTGACGTGGTTCCCGTGACAGGTTTCGCAATGGTGCTTGTAGGTGCAGGACTTGGTGGAGTTAGGGCAGGTCCCCTTGTTCCACCGGTGGCAAGGTTCGTTGGATTTCTTTCCTCCTCCTCCGCCGCTGCCTCCACCGCTCCCGCTGCGCCCTCCACTGCTCTCAGGACGACTCCCGGAAGAAGAGGAGCCGTGAAGCCCGATAGAGAAGAGGTGCGAGATTTTGATGGAGTCGAAAGCGGCAATGTTGTCGAGGGTGAGGCTACGACGTTGCTCGACATAGGTGCGGACAGCCTTGTCGTATGCAATGACGAGGTGGTGGTACCTTGGGCCGACTGCTCCAAAAAGGCCGTTGATGTGGTCGGAGTAGAGGTTGAGTTCATCACGTCGGTAGGGGAACACGTAGACGTAGGCCGAAATCGCCTGATTCCATGCAGAGGTCCAGTCACCCGAGGTGGTGACCGGTCGGCTGGTTTTGGGCTGTTTAACTCGAAGCTCAAATCCGTCGCCCAGTGAAGTGGTGCGGTCGTCATTGATCGCGGACGCGTTGATCCCGCTGAGGATGGCGTCGAGGTCAACGGCCTTTCCACGAACAATGCGTGCCCACTCTTTGTAGGGGAAAGGAGGGCAGTTGGGCGCATTGACGAGGGAATCAACCACGTCTCGATACCGCTTGGACCAGAGTCTATAGCAGTAGAGCGTGTGGACGAGGTCGGAGTCGAGGGAACAAGCCGCGCGGTAAGAACGCGTCTGCTCCCAGTGGAAGGTATCCTCGAACGAGTCGGCAGGCTCGTTATCATCTTCCTCATCCTCCTCGTCATCACAATCCTCTCCTTCCTCGTCGTCGGAGTCCCGTCGTTCGTCTCGCCGGGTGCTCTTCGAAGCGAACCGAGCCCGTTTGGACGCGCGCTGAGGGGAGCCCGAGGGAGAGCGGCCTCGGGCACGACGTGCACCCGCTGGTCGGTTACCCGCAGGGCTGGGCGAACGACGCGATTGAGCGCGTTGCTCAGCGAGACGGAGGGAGAAATCGTGGTCATCGAGGAGTGTGAGGTACGAGTTAATGGTCTCCAGGTATTCGCGGTCAGAGAGCCCGGTTTCTTCAGGATTGAGTTGTTCCTCGATCTGCCTGAGAGCGAGTACCTTGTTAGACACCCGCCCGTGTCGGTAGTCATCGACGATAGCCTCGCATGACCTCTCAATGAGCTCGGAACGAGTGAGGTTTTCATGCTGATCTTCAGCCGGTTCTTCCCAAGAGCGTCTCGACGAGTGACGACTGTCATCATGCGAGTTTCTGCCAGACATGCAACTGAGTGAAGCGGAGCTGATGCGAGTGCAACGAGAAGGGTAGCAAAAAATGAAGATGCTAACTAGCAAGGCGCGAAGATGAGCAAATGCTCAGGTAGTAAAGAATAGAGACGAGAGACTTACCGAGGCAAGGCGCGAGGATGAGCAGATATTGAAACTCTGCGCGCCTTGCCTCACCTCTTATAGAGTTTGCTGAAACCCGAGGGGCCTCACGCCGTGATGACGCGTTGAGGTTTTGGCCTCAGTCTGAACTGCTAGCCTTGGCTGGCGCGTTCGGAATGAACGCTAGGGGACAGTTTCAACTACGTGAAACTGCCCCCTGTGCGCAGGTCGAGGGTTGAGACCCGACCCGCTAAGGAAGCTCGCAGAGCTGTCCTTGTGCGCGTACTGGTAGTACGCTGGCGAAGTTCGTGGAGCACGAACCTCGCGCGCGCGTTCCTAGTCGGAACGCTCGTATCGGTCATATAAAATACTATTAAATCACTCTGACTGAACAGTAATTGTAGTCGATTGCGACCGGCTGCAGCCGGAAAATGAACTTTGCGACATGTCAGTGGTCACACTAATGGTACCGGTACTATGCGTATTCCACCAACTGGGACGCGTCGGACGCGCGGTGGCTCTATTACTGTACCTTAAGTATGCATTCAAGTGGCAGCTCTTTCACGACGACACCATCATCTGACATGCCCCAAACCGCAGACCAGGAATCATAATTGAATGTCGATGGGAGCATGTTGATTTGAACTTTCTTAATTAAAATATCACAGCATGTAAAGTACGTAGTTTGCAAATTCCAAAGCTATGTCAAGGATATTAATCTCAACCTTACACGATGACTAGCCCCGGTTGTGTGAACACTTTGCTGACTACATGCATTAGTCTTATTATGTTGGATGCTTCGCAGTAGCCATATGCTGCAACGTTGACGCGCGTCGCCGTCGACACTGGGCGTCACTGTTCTGCAAACAAACAGGATGATACGTTTACTAGTAGTTGAACGTCTGGATATCTGGATGATAGAAGCCTAGCTATTACCTGGTTGGGGGCAGTGATTGGCAATCTTATATAGCCGTAACGTTGCGATGCAAGGTGCTATCGGTTAGCGTTGAGATATATATATGATCTTCTGTAGTCTCCGAAATGTCGATTGAGCTCAGCGCTCATGCGCTTATGACGTGAATTTGAAGAGCAGGAACGTAGATTGAAAAATCCAATGTCCCAAAATTGTACCTGTGCCTGATTAAGGGAATTAATCTTCGTGGCGCCCCTGTGCAGCTGCCTTAGTAGTGACACTTGCTGTGTAGCCTTGCAGTGTAGCCACCTTTCTTTCGTCCAGCTTAGCCTCATCTCTGTCGTCTTCAATGAGATGTGTGTCCTGAGTTTTCTTCTTCTCATCTCCCAGTCATCATTCGCGTACGCTCAGTACTCGAACTCGAGTTCGACGGGCACATCCAATCTCGCCCCCATTTTCATTGGTGTCTTCGTCGGTGAGAGCACCCTCAGTTTTATTCATAACTTATCATCTTAAGACTACTAGGTTTTGCTGTACTAGCCTTCATCGCAGCCCTAATCAGATGCGCACGACGTTCATCATACAACTCCGCCTCTTCCAGGCCTTCTAACGCAGCGCTGCGGCCGGTCCATGCGCTACCTCTGGTAAATAACCGTGCAAACCAACTTCCACCATGGCAACAGAACACTGCAGAATTACGCGCCAGCAGCTTCAATCAGACGCCAGCTGAACCGCCGCGGCTTCATTCGTCCAGCGTCCCACCCTGGCTACGTGATCAGCCTACCACTCATTCGACCTCTTCCAGCCAATCTCAAGGCGCTCCCAACACTCAAACGTCGAACTCCCCTCAAGTCTACCCTCCCCCGGGTGACTCATCTGCTCCCGCACAATCATCGGGTCCCGAGCCACCGCCGTATGAGGAGGTTGAGGGGTCCTCGCAATCACAACTTCCATCTGGGCAAGGTACTTCTCTACACTCCGTGAACGAAGCACTATTGGTGAGCGATGACCTACACCATGTGCATCAATAAACTAATGGTTACCTCTTCTTTTGGAAGCCTGCTCAGCCTCTGCCTTCCGCACCCACAGTATGTGGAATTTTTCTACAATTCTGATGATCAGCATAGTCTGACGCTTCTTCATGCGCAGCAGAGAGACTCGACTCGCTTTGTTGGCGGATTCAGAATCGCCTGAGCTGGTCATTCACGTATTTCTTGATGGACATGGGATTAAATTATAGACAATACTCATACCCAGCTGTGTCTAGGCTCTATTTATAGCTATCACAACAGGTCAGCTCAAGCCGTCTCTCGATGGTCTGGCTGGCTGGCGCTATGACATTTATCATAGGATCTTTGCCAAGTGCATGCATCATCTCCAGTCTGCATTTCAACTGGAGTTATCTGGTTTCCTATCTACGGTGCCAGCCCTTCACCTTCAAGCGTATAAACTCGTACTCTGGAGAAACTACTGACGTCCGAAACCTACAATCGCAACTTGGGTTCCTCATAGTATCAGGTGCCTTTGACAAGAAAAAAAGTTTACATCTCTGGTTGGCTATACCCTGAAAGTAAGAGGTTTGATATACTTAGTACGCCCGGTCGAAACGTACAGAAATTCACCGCATCCACGCCACTGGGCAGAACGAGAAGAATGTAAACAACAGGAAGGTCTCCCAGAAGAGGCGTTGTTGACGGCGTTGTCACCCGGCACTGAAACTCCCTCTGATTTTCGCTCGAGTTGACTGAAGGGATGCCCTGAACGGAAGATAAGTTAGTGTTTGGTTAACACGCTGGGCCAAGAGATTGACAGCCATTCTTTCACAGGAACAATATGTATCCAGGCCTCAACGACACGGATTGGCTTTTCTTCTGCGGATCAGGGTCACAAAGAAGCTCTCGAGAATAGTGCCATGTAAGTGAACCTTCGTTGGATCCAATCGCGGTCCTAGAGCTGCTGATGCGACTTGTAACGACGACGTGGATCACGCCCGAGTCTGCCATGCCTTCCGTATACAGTAGCGGAGACCGGTCTGAAGTTCACTGCACCTGCGGGGGAATATGATTTCTGATCTGGGGGCTCCAGAGACCGCTCTGCTTAGGTCCAGGGTTGTTGTGGACTTTGCCAGGAAAGTGTTACATTCAAGCAAGGCCATTTGAAGGTCGCAGGGTTGGTTGCGCAGTATTTCTCGTCCCTTGAACGTTCTACGCCTTTTTTGCAGCCTACTTCAGGAGAAAGCGACAATAGCCACGCCAATTTGGTGAGCGGAGTGGGGTTCGACCACATATGTGTGTGTGAACTTTTTTAAGCATAACTCGAGCTCCTGAGCTACTGACCGCAAACCCAACCCATTTGTTCACTTGGTTCTGATTCTGATTCTGATTGCTGTCATTGTATGCTTTGACTTCTTTCACGAGGTACATGATGGCGGCAGTTGCCGTGAGACGGCGTTGCAGGGAGAGAACTCAAAACTGGGGACATGCCGAAAACCCTTCAAGTTGTGTGGTTACTGAGCGTTACTCAAGTGACAGGTGAGCTCTTGTGCGACAAGTGATGAATATATGAGCATATGACCTTGCTTTAAAGTCGAATAATGAATGGCTGGGTGCCAGTACAGGAGTCAGTGAAGTAATCCGATGCGTGATATCAGTGAGAGGCTCAGCATGATGGCGCCGTATGAGCCATAGACTAGTCGACGGACTTCATGGCACTAGGTTTGAATTTCTAGGAGCACGATTTACCTCGCCTTTGATATCGTAATAGGGGCTCTCAGCTGGGGTCACTACTACCTTGACAGATGTCAGCTCAACGCCGTGAGCCCTGCTGTGCTTACCTCAATACCTTAAATTATTCGTGCGCTAAAATCGGAGGTGAGTTGGAGCTCGGGTATGAGAGAGCTATTCAGGTACGTTTCGTTGCCCCTACTGAACGTCAACTCTAATTATCTTGGTCGATTGTTGGGTAGATGCGTCGATAGACCTTTCCGCCAATGCAGAACAAATTCATCCATTGAATGCCACGGTGTTGCGAGTAGTGTTGCCGCTGTTTGAGAAACCAACTCAAACCGACCCCTGGAAGCACCCTTTTTCGCCCGGCACGACCACCGAAGTATTAATCTTCGCAGTTTTTAGCCTCTACACAGCGACGAGTTGTGTTATCTGGTTTGATAATGAGTCCAAGTCCAAACTTCATCGGCTTGGTGGTTCCAGCTGTTCACCAAATACGGCAACACTAAGTTGCGAGGTACATGCCGTTACGTTTGGGGGCCGTAGTAAGCATCATCCCTGTCATGTTTGTAGGGTCCGTGTTTTCAACTTCGGCGAACTCCGGTCCATCGGAACTATTTGGTGGACCCCGGTGGACCAACAACGGTCTACTTGCTGCATTTTCCAAACTCATCGCTCCGCCGATCATTGCGCTGTGTCACTCGGCAATGCCCTCCCGCGATCATTTACGTATCCTCCTCTCCAGCTTTACTGTAAGTCAGCTATTAGCCTAGTACAGTGCGCGACCTTTCAGCAAGTGACTAAACCGCGGGCCTTTGTCTCACGGGGACGGCGTGCGGGGTCCCAAGAGTTCAGTCCACTCTTCTACCGCCGCTTAGACTGCAATTCTTCTTAGGGTAGAAATACTTCAGTTTTTGTCCGTGGGTACGCAGTAAACTCCTACCCTGATATTCTCAGCTTGTTTCCAGGCCTTCAAATCCCCGTTGGATTATCAGGGCAACAATTACCACCGCTCAGGGTTGCTCAACTGGTTCAGCAATGGAGAAGGCCGCTCGCTACCGGGCAAAACATATAATACTGCGGGAGTCAGACGGTCATAACCTCATCCTCTATCCGTCATCCCACCTCATTTGGCTAGTTTCGATCACACCTCATGTCTGACTCTAACTCGACGGCGACGGCACCAGCAGCGGCAGCGGCAGTGAACTATGGCCCGACTATCGGTGCGTGCTACCTATACCGTTCTTCGTGCCCAGGCCAGCGTCCAAGACTTGCTCATGAAATTTGTACTTTACATTATAGGGGTGCTGCTCCTTGGTATCTTTTGTGCGTTGATTCTGACATCAACGATGTCATGCTAAAATCCTCCCAGTTAACACGTACTTGTATGGATTGGTCACATACCAATTCATCTCCTACTATCGAGCGCGTAAGTCTGATTCATTCACTCATGTATCTCCTATTGACCAGCCACATTGCGCAGAGTTCAATGACAAGTTCATCATCAAGTACGAGCTCGGTGTTCGGAGGTTTCTCGACTGCAATATTGATCTTTACATTAGGTTCATGGTTCTGTTCCTGTTCATTCTGGACACATTCCACAGCGCCGCGTGAGTTGGTTTCTGTGTGTCGATTCGTTAGAACGAACTTACAGGGAGCAAACCAGAGAGATATGGATGGCTTGGTTCTATGTGTAAGCTCAGATACTCCTTGCCCAAGACAGATTATCTTACCCCGTTGCAGCGTGGAGAACTACGATAACCCTGCGGCATTACTCAGTATGACACCACTCTTCAGCCAGGCTTTGGTCACCTTCTCATCTATATCTGTCTAGTTGGTGCATGGCCTCTGACGTTTACCCCCATCGGTAACTCCCTTGCTTCGTTCATCACTCAACTTTACCTTGGATGGCGGTGAGAGCTCTCGATATTGAGCGCCAGTAACAAGTTGCTGACTGCAAGGATGCAGAATCTGGCAGCTGAGCAAGAGTAACACGTTGGGTGGCGTTCTTTTCGTGTTCGCGTTGGCCGCATTCATCATGGGGGTCTTCTGCGGTGTTGCTTCATGGGAGATTGCCTAGTAAGTGAAATGCTCGACAACTCGCCTCGTCTCACCTAGTGCAGTATTCCCAACTTTGACGCTATTAACAACCAAGTTGCTGGGTGGTTGAGTCTGCAGGTCGTCACAGATACCTTGGTTACTGGTACGGATGCCACTACTCTTCCCCAAGCAGAACTCAAAGTTATCTAGGGTCTTTGGGCTCCATCTTATATCGTTCGCGCACTGGCTTTAAGAAGACAGACTCCGTCATCAACAGACTCATTCGTGGTGCCGTTCAGACAGGGCTGTTCGCGGTGATCTTCTCTCTTGGCGATCTGGTCACGTTCCTTAAGTTTCCGACAACAAACCTGTTCGGGATGTTTGCCGTGCCGATTGGGCGTATCTACACTAATGTGCGTGTTTTCTTGACTTATCTTCGTCTCAATGCTGACCAAGTGATGGAAGACCCTTCTCGATACACTTCTATCTCGTCAGCAGCTACGAAGCCAGCTTGCTGGTGGTGCTGTCAACATGGATTCAATGGTATGCGCCGTACAAAGAGTTACTGAAGAGCTAATCTCATTTCGATACTCAGAGCGGGTTTTCGGGCGGTCTCTCGAGTGGGTTAAGCGGGGGACAGCAGGGCCATAGCATTCAGTTGGATGTCCGCAAGAACGTGGAGGTAGTTTGCGACAACGAGTCTTTCGATGCCAAGAGGGCCCCTGTCTAAACGGGAATTAGCTGTCGCTGGGGCTGATTTCTGCCATCTTTGAGGTCTGGCTAATTTCAAAACGGAGGGATGTCTAGCCGCTTCCCTTTCTGCTGCGGACTGGTCTACGTCTTATAGGTTCAAAAGCTTCGTGTTTCTAGTTTCTATGGTTATTGTTCAGACATTCATTGAATACGTAACATAGATTTTGGGTATCTACGGCGCTTGCCAATGCCATCCGCTCGTTTTCTAAGTTATCACAGCTTTTCGTCTTCAATGAGCCTTCGTTGGCTATGCTTCATGCATCTTTGCATAGCGGTATGAAGTGAAATTTGGACTAAGAATTTCCAGACTATGCAAACATGAGCAGTGGTCATCAGAGTATGGCATAGGTTTCGACGAAACTTTTCGTCAAGGCGAAGGATTTGGCATGCCAATCACTACAAGCAACTGCGTGAGACGATGGTCAGCACTTTGAAGGTAAGGGGGAAGAACTTACCAAGTATACTGACAGCGCTCATGCCCAGATGATGGGGGAGGCAACGTCGCTTTGAGGGCCACCGCATTTGAGCTCAAGTTGAACTCGGTACTTGGCTCGGTGCGCCTATAGACGCCAGCAGACGCTGGCCGAGGGAACGAAACCATTTGAGAACAAACGACGACCTCTGAGAACGCACTTCGATGTTTCCTCGGGCACCTTTTAGCATGCCTCGGGCTCGCCTACTACATGGTTTTCAAGTGCTCAGGGACGATACGAGTCACTATGCTGCTTCAAGATGAACTACTATGTCCATTTTAGGGGTTGTCGTCATCGCACCATACTAGCATGGGTCCGCGGTGGCGCAACCCTGAATATTTTGAACGCGTGAACCTTGACTGCCTCGGACAGTGCAACCGTCTAGTTCATGTCAAAGTGACATAAGCTTTCACTTTACGACATGTGCGTTGAGTCAAAAGGTTTTTGCTGCCAAACCGTTGCTCAGTTGTCAGCGCATATGCTCGCGCTAGTAGCGTCACGGTATCATTCCTTTCCAATTCCGTATCCCTGAAGAAGATGCAGATGTATTCGGCTACGAGTAGCCCAGACACTTCAAGTTTGGGTGTTATACAAGCTCAGACAGGAAAGGACTTTCTTCGATCACCTTGCAACGCCCTGGAATCATTCTCATAAAATCATAATATTTCTTTACGCGACTTTCCTACTTCCCTGCTACTCAGAGCTGCCATCAACCTTTTTTTGAGGCGCGTTCGGACCCGATCATCCTGTCATAAACAGGAAACGGCGACAACGTTGCCGCAACTGACCGATTCGCGCGTGGAGACAATTTCAGGGTTGCGAACTCTCGGACATACACTTGCGACCCATATAACTGGGGCGAAGATGCGTGCTATGTTCTCGCACTCACTCTGATTTTTCTCTCTTTTATTACTTGGGCCAACTCAAGTATGGGGGCCTATGATAACACTATTGGTCCGTGTTTTTCTCGATTCCTGCTCATCTCTTGCTCGTCAATTGCAATTAACTAATCACAATCGTTACAGGTGTCCTGCTCGTTGGGATCATCTGTACGTCTCAATATTTGTCCACTGCCTCTGCCGTCTTGAAGGCTGCAGTAACGCTGAAATAATTCCTATTCAGTCAACACCTACCTGTATGGATTGGTTACCTTCCAGTTCATTCGCTATTTTCAAGCCAGTGGGTCTCTTTCTTTTTGCATATGTTATTTCTAGGCACCTAACGAGTTTCATAGAATACGACGATGCTTGGATCATCAAGTAAGTAAACTCTGCAATCATCGGCTCGTCGTTGCTTATTAGGTCTCATCTCTAGGTTCATGGTTCTTTTCCTCTTTGTCTTGGACACCGTTCACAGCGCCTCGTAAGTGCTTTCCTGTTTCAAGACTTTAAATTGAGCTCACATATCCATCACTTTACTCTAGGGTGATCTATCTCGCTTGGTTTTATACGTACGCTGTCAAATTTCCCGACTCCTATGCGTCAGATTCTGAGTGTATCCAGCGTCCAAAACTTCTCGAACCCAGCCGCATTAGCGAGTAAGTCATCGCAACCGAGTTGGCTCCTTTGATTGAATGGCATTGATGATGCTGTCGTTCTAGTTGCTTTTTGGCCGTTGGTTTTCACGCCGATTGCAACGGCGTTAGCTGCTTTCGCGACTCAGGTGTTCCTCGGCTGGCGGTATGAACACTCTTTATGCAGTAGAGTCATCCCGACATAACTGACGACGATTTATGTTTACAGTATCTGGCGTTTGAGCAAAAGTACTATCCTGTTTGGCGTTATCCTCGCGCTTGCTATACCCTCACTAGGGCTGGGCTTTGCGTGCGGCATCAAATCGTGGATCATCTATTAGTGAGTTGTCCACTTACGGTCCAAAACATTCCGCTAATCTCCTTTGCCCATTTCAGCTTAGCAGAATTCGGGCAGATTGATAGTCTCGTCACGTCCTGGCTCGTAATGCAGGTGTTCGTGGACACCATCATAACAAGTAATATTCCCCTTCCTGATTTCGATACACTGCTAAACTTCGCTCACTTGCTAGCTGCGTTGACAGTCATCCTCTCGCGCTCGCGCACGGGCTTCAGGAAGACCGACTCAGTTATCAACCAGCTCATCAGGGGCGCGATCCAGACGGGGCTGTTCGCAGGCCTGTTCTCCCTCGGCGACCTCATCACGTTCCTTCGGTGGCCTCAGACTAATCTCTTCGGGATGTTCGCCATCCCCATCGGACGCATCTACACCAACGTAAGCTACCTCTACTTTATTGAGATGGTGTGCAGCCCGCTAAACCGCGTCGGGCCCTCCGCAGACGTTGCTTGACACCCTGCTCTCCCGCAGAGAGCTGCGCGAACAGATGGGTAACAACTCGGTGAACCTGGAATCCGTGGTGAGTTCGCATGATGGGCGTCACGCAACGCACACCGTAGGACTCACCGGCGTGCGGCCTAACTTGCCCATGTGACTGTCTTCACAGCACGCATACACGCCCTCGCACCAGCGGGCTCCAACTTCTCATGCACGTAGTGTGAACGTCGACATTCTCAAGGAGGTGGAGGTGGTCACTGTGTATGATGGTGAGAGGGACTACACCAACGGCGACGTCAAAGGGCAGGTTTGAAGGTTAAAATTTCTGTTGTCAAAACATATACCCTTTGTACCTTTGCACAAGGAGGTGTCAACGTAGTCAAAGAGGAACACATACCATTCATTTCTTCCACAGTCGTTTCAGTTTTATCACATATCAATATTACATTCGTCGTCTTTAATGCACTTTCAGCGGGATCGTATTTCTCCCTTGGCGTGAAGATACCCAGAGGCAATGGGTGTGTGGATGCATGCCCGTCTTGGCATAAAATTAGCATTGGGCTAACAACTCTGCAGCGACCAGATCTAGATGTCGAAGTCAGTGTCCCTCAGATGGGTTTGAACGGTGTGTATTTATAATAAACTAGGACAGTAGCAACCGCGACTCTTTTAGCCCCAACCATAGAAGACACAGGTCTTGTACTTTATGCGCGTATACGCTTCAGCCAGAGCAGTTGAGCAGGGCTGCTTAGCGACCTTCATGTGTGGTATGAAGGCCACGGAGAAAGCGGTGGCGAATCAACGGAGCTTGTGCTGAGCACATTCGAGATACTTGCGTGCCGAGGAGGTAGAAGGGGGCCAATAGTCGCACAGTACGCCGGTTTGTGAAGCGGCCTTCCGGAGTCTTGGAGACCGCCGGTTATGTCAAAGGAGCCAAGTGGCCAGTTAGCCAGATACGATTAGGCTCAGGACAGCCATCACCGGGTAAATGTAGGATTCGCGCCACATGGAGCATAGGCTCGTATAGAACCGTCTCATTTACATAGCATATAGCATGATTGCAGATATGGGACTGATCGTGCGTCAGCTGCTAACGCCACGGGAATCAAACTGGAACCTGGGTGGAGGGACATGTGCGAACGAGACAGAGAGAGAGAGCCATGTCGTCCATCAATGTTCAAGACCAACGATGAAACGCGAGTAATCCGGAGTGCTGCAACTCAAGAATGGCTGGCGTACTTCTTGCTTGGAGAGCTCGTAGCACTTCGTAGCAGCAACGAAACAAGAGTGCAGGATCGCACGCCATCAGCTGACGAAAGGTGGCGCAGACGGCGTCCTCGTAGGGCGGGTTGCTTGAAGCACAGCTTGAGATGAAACCGGGGCCGGTCGTGCACTATTGTTGAGGATTAGTCATCGACGAAGAAGGATTGAAGATCAATGGAATAGTGATGAGCATGATGAGCTGCGATCCAATACAGCATATAAGCCGGGCCTTCCGGGAAGGCCGTTACGAAAAGGGAGGGCTAGAGTGATTTTGACTGGTGTGACGAGCAATGTATTTTATTGAGAGGCCGGGATGACAGGGCCAGCGGGTTGGGGGTGGATTGGGGATGAAAAAGGGTATATTTGATAGTGGCGTACAATGGTGAACGTTCAGAATGAACACGGGATTGAGCGGGAGCCCTCGAGAGCTCGAGACTAGGGATCGTTGGATGACTAGATGGAGAGGGGTGCTGATGGATTGATGCGAATAGTATAGCGATAGCGGACGATTAGATTTCGCTATGAGTGGAGGCACTCGATAGCCACTTGTTAGTAGATATCAGATAGGCAAGCCTTTGGTCATAGAGCAACTGAGGTGCAACAATTTTGAACGAGGACCAGGCGATGAGAGAGAGAGGCGTGATGACATCGATGAGGAGTGACAGCCGAGGAAGGCGGACGACATGTGTGCAGGGGAAGAGGGATGACGACATGACGACATGAATATTAATGACCGGCGGCACGGGACGTGGATGGACCAGGAACGTAACACGGGAGCGAGTGACGGAGAGTGGCGGACATTGGTGGGTGGAATACACCTTGACTCTTCTCGTCGGCGTCAGTGTCTGGTGCACGTCCGCCTCGAGGCCTGGAATAACTTCTCGTTTCAGATCTGGAATTCCTTGGGACGCTTCTTCCTGCGCGTCTACTCCGTCCTTTTTACGACCACCTGACGCCTTATCCCTTCGAGTCCATTTCTCTATCTTGCATGTCCCCCCTCCGTGCTCCTCCGCACCCATAGCCCCGCTTGCCTCACAGGTTGAATGGCAGGCCCATATACGCACACAACAGATGCATCACCTACCTCAGCCCAGCTCCTGATCACCAACGATTCCCCCCTTGTGGCTTACTTTCCCTTTGCTATCGACACTCTCGACTCGCCTACTAATCTCTCAGCCGCCTGGAACCTCTTCTACAACAACACCGCGGCCACCAATCCCAATGAACTTGGTCAAGGACCCAGTTATCACGCCACTTCTCTCATTGGCGCCAGCTTTCTCATCCAATGGAATGGTCAGCATCTTTCTTTATTGTAATCCGCCGTATCATTAATGTACATACTTCTTGCATTCCATAGGTACTGCTGTCGACTTACTTGGACGTGCCCTTGGCGATGCTTCCTACTACCTCACTTTGGACGGCGCTCTCTTAACACCGACTCCTGTATCGAATGACGGTCTTCTCGCATCCCTTTCGGACCTTTCCAACACAAACCATACCATTGTTCTTACCTACAACACGTCCAGCTCAGCGGGCGATACCCTAATCCAGTTCGACGGAGCGGTTGTCTCATACGACCCTCCCGCCAGCGTGTCCAAGTGAGTTGCTTTTTAGTTTCGTCTCCTGCCGAAATGTGGCTGGTCATGCTATTCTTGTCGCCGTTAGTCTGTTGCGAGCGTCTCGACCTCGGTCGCCTGACCGCGTCTCCTAATTCTCATTGGGCAGACTGAGACGATCCCCCGCTCATCGGCGTGGTGATCAAACACGTTCGCAACGCTCCAAATAGCTATCGATGGCCGAGAGTAGATTGGCGCCTGCAAAGGGCAGTGTTGGTGCCAATCGCTGATTGTTCATCCTCCGTACTTTGCGCCCGAACTCAGTTCCCCTACATAGCCTTCTTGCTTGCAATAACATAACTGACCGCCCTTACAGCTCAACAGTGAATAGTGTACTCGTGGACGACACTGACATTTTTTTCACTGGTGGTTGGACTCTTGTTGGCGCCGATACCGACACCTACGACGGTGCCCCATTGCATGTTTCGCAAAATTCTGGCGATCGTGCTGCGCTCTCCTTCACTGGTGAATATAGGCCTACTTTATGTTTTTTTCCTCTTGGCCCTTATTCTTGTTAGGCTCTGCAGTTTCTGTTTACGGACTTGTGTCGTCCGGTTCAGGTGCATACACCGCCATCCTTGACGGCATGCCAGCCCCACAGTCTTTACTCGCTCCGACCTCGTCGCAAGGCGTTTTGTCTAACTCCACCTCTCAAAATCCTCTTGTCACGTCTACTCCCGCTACGGCACGCAACCTTACGGCAGCTTCGACCTTCACGAATCCTGATGCACTTCTCTTCTTTGCAACCGGGCTCGACCAAACGGTTACCCACACGCTAGTGCTTGAGAATGACGCCAGCACAACACTTGGCATTCGTGTTGGCGGTGTGAATGTGAGCGCTTTCGGAGATGTGACGGCCAGTGGGTGAGCCGACTGTTTACTCTTCTGATTTGCACCAAAAGAATTCCCAAGCATGCGCTTGTGGTTATAACAACTGTGTGAATATATGCATGTACTGACTTCGCTTTCTGATGGTTTTCATAGGGGCACCTCTTACCTTAGTGAGCCCTCGACGTCTACGTCAACGCCGGCTGGCACCATCGCCGCTGCCGTGCTCGCTTCTGTGCTCATCGTGGTCATCGCCGCCGTCGCCCTGTGGTACTTCTTCGTGTATCGCCCTCGTCGGAGAGCATGTCGTCGTGCTGCAACGCAACAACATTTTGCTCAAGGCCGGGACCCCGAGGCTGCCGAAGGTGTACTCGACATTGCGTCGTCACATGCCGGCGCTGGCCCCGGTACTCGTGAGAGCGGGTTTGCCGGCGTCGTCCTGACTGGTGAGACTGGTGGGAACGTGGACCGGAGCAAAGAGTCGAGCTTGAGCTCGAGCAAGGGCTATGGAATAGGCCTTGGCCTTCGTCGCGGCTTGTTCGGCCTCTGGAAAGGAAACGGTTCGTCAACGACTAGCTCTGGCTCGACACGCTCTGCTGGCCCATCGCAGCCACGGCGATCAGTACTTGGTCCTCGCGCCTCTTTGGCAGGTGCATTGGGCTTTGCAGAGGATAGTAGACGCTTTTCTGCTGGTACGCTGCGCGAAGATGCGCCGGCTTATCTCTACCCCAAGGCACCGGTCCGCGCACTGGAGTCTGAGAAACTCGCACCAGGCTGGCGTAACCCATACGAACCACCCCGCCGCTCCCAGAGTGGCTTTGGAGCGTTCCAGAGTTTAGGCGCTTTGTATGGGCCGGTTACAGAGTGGGTAGGTGACGAGAAGGAGGAGAAGCCAAAAGAAGAAGTGGGTGTAAAGAAAGCGGGAGAGCACGAAGAGAAGGAAGAGCTCGAGTGGGATGACGGCGATGACACGGCGACGCTCGCAGAGGACTTGCTGGCCACGCTTTCACTTCAGCCTCGGTACTCCGAGGCAAGAGATGTCCAACCTCAAGCCAAGGACAGAAAGCGGGGAACCAAGGAGGAGAAGCTTCGACATGCATACGCACATCCTGGATATTCGCAACAGGATGCAGCCGATGGAGATGAGCCTCGCGGCCAGCACCCGGATCGTAATGTTCGTCGAAGCCTCTTACCTTTACCTTTGCGAGCACACAGTCCGTTCCGCGTCGACGTTGGATCTTTCCTACGGCCTTCACGCGAAAAGCGAGGGAGCGACAGTACCGGCAGCGGTAGTGGTCGAAGCACCAAGGACCGACAGCAAGGCAAAGGGAAAGCAAAGGCGAAGCCTAAATCCTCCTTGCCTTCGGCGTCCATTGGACGGTCTTTCCTCGACTTCAGTGCATCGATCATCGGTACCTCATTGCACTCTCCCTCTGGAATGTCTGACCCTTCGGTCCGCCGGTCGAAGGGAGCAAGTACTGGCTCAGAAGCAGGGACACGGCGTAAGTCAGAAGTCCGGGAGTCACACCTTACGGCGGCGACGCAAGACACCCATGTCACACAAGGGTCAGACGCAGAAGTGGCAGCAACTGTCAGCTCCGCTCACGCAGACAATGGTCACGATTCACGCAGTCATACGCGGAGTCCTAACCACAATTTTAATCCTCCAAGCCGTCGGCAAAGCTTTGGGGCCGTTCTGGACATCAGCCGCGATGCTATAGAGGCTGCTAACAGCGGCCGACAAGGTAGCGAGAATGACGAGGCTGGAGATGCCTGGACTTCCAGTCCGCTGGCAGAGCCTGAGCGCCTCGTACGAACGGGCAGCGGACGTCATGATGTTGCCCCAGTTCCCGATGCTCCCGACTCGATCTCGCCTGACACTTCGCCGTCGCATGGCTCAAGGTCCATTTCAGGCGCTGCTTCTCATACGCGCTCGCGCAACGAGTCAGGATCAGGCTCTTCTCACCCCCGGACACAACGCACGCGGTCGTCTGGCTCCCCATTCCCGTTCCCGGTGACCAGACCATCGTCTTCCTCATATGATCACCTCAATAATGCCCCGCAATCTGTTGGTGATGAAGCGGAAGATGAGATATTACGTTATCAGCCTCGTGACAGACCGTCCCCACCGCCCCTCCCGCACCCTCTGCGCATCACCGTCCCTACACCAGCCTCCTTGTCCCCCCAAAATGCGCCGACTACTCCTTATTCTTCGGAACTGCCAGAAATAAGTCCAACGTCCAGCGTCCCCTTCTCTGTCTCTGATCTCCAGTTCCGCCATAGCGGCTCGAGCTGGGGCCCCAGCCCCGACTCGCGCCGCGTGAGCGCTGTGTCTGGGTTTTCGCACATGAGTCGTCCCGGAGGCCGTCGTATGAGCAACAGCGCCCAGGCGTATATCCCTCCGACACCATACATCGTTCAGCGTGTATTAGGGATGACTGCTCCACCTGCCGGTCCTACTCATAGCCGCGCCCCCTCTCAGTCTAACCCTCAGGCATTGTCGCGGTCGCAGTCACATTCGCAGTCGCAGTCGCAGTCGCAACCGCAGCCGCAGTCGCAGCCGCGGACCCCCATGTCTCCGCCTTACCTCGGGGCTCACTCGCGTGGCAACTCCGTGATTGCTCTTGGGCCATCCCGCTCGACATCGCTTAATGCGTCTGCTGCGCTGCAGCCGCCCGCTGCTGCTGCCACGCCCACGCCGTCGCCTGGCTTTGCTCCAAGCTCGACAACGTCATCGACGTTCCGTATCGGCTCGTTGCTTGGCCCAAGGCCACGTCCCTCGCGGCCTCCGACGGCCGAGGGCGTGCTTCAGCAGCAACAAGAACAAGCGGAGCCTCAGCGGGAAGGTTCCAGGCGAGGTCCACGCTGAAGTATTGATGGAAAATACCTGAGTGACTATGGTGACTCAAGGAGCAACGCTGAATACTGCCTGGCTGTGTCTGGTGTTTCCTTAATTTTCTTTTCTGTATGTGTCCCGGTTTCCTGACTTTCCTTACGAACGGTGCCGGTTTTTGTCTTTCATTGGTGATATTGGATACCCTTTCTTGGCTTACCACACTGACAATATGTCTGTCTTTACTAGACGCCTGCCTGGACATCTGCTCGCCTTTCTCCTTCTCCTTCTCCTTCTCTTTCAAGACAATGCCATTTAGGACCTCTTGTCGCTTTCATCATGTTCATTTCTCCTTCTCGCTTAAGCGGGCATTTGTTTTCATTGTATCATATAACATCTTCACGTTCATGGAGACATATACCTTTTGTTTCAATGGGTTTGTTGTTTAGCTTTTACGTACCATCATTCACCGTTTCCTTTTTCTATACACTGTCGTTGGTCTTGTCTTACCTCGCATCTTTTGTTGACACCCGTTAGAACTCTGCAGTTGTACTTTAATTCGCAATACACCACCACCTTCATGCGAACCCAGACAGTCGCTGTCTAAGAGCTTGGACGTCTCGTTGATAATGCTTAATGAAAATCCACCTACATTCTAGATGCCACGTGCCAAGGGCGACCAAATTTTTGTTGTCCAGGTATAAGTTGCATTTCCAGCAAATAAATATAGTTTACTCCAACTCTAACGAACTATGATGGTGGTTGAGTGTCCCTCCTGAGGCCAAACGTCACAAAGCGCTTGAAATCAGAGAACACCTCTCGTTTCTGGGCGGCCTCCGGGTTCCTGCCATCGCCTGTCGGCGGACCGCTTCCCGGAGGTGAGCCAAACGTGCCGTCTGGCAAGGGACTCGCCGCGAGCGGCAATGCAACGCGACTCCCACTGGGACTGCCCAGCAAAGATAACGCGGAAGTTGTCGGATCCATGTCCAGTGAGCTCAAGAAGGACGTGCTCTCCAACTCGCTCTTGGTGCTCGTGATCGTCAAAAATGAGTCTAAAAGATCGTTCTGTTCACCCTTGGGTGTGCCCTTGAGATCCAAGATCTGTTCATGCATGAGGTTAGACGTTTAGTTCGGGTACATGGAAAGGGGTGGGGATCAGTCGGCCGCCTAATGGCGGCGCAAGATCAGTGGCACGCAGACTGCTTACCTTTTGGAAGTTTGAGAAGGAGGCATCCCCGATAAGTAGCGTGTAGTTCAGGATAAACCCTTCGGAAGGATCCTGAAGTAGACATCAGTTACTCGATTATGGGACCGATCATCGTACGGGATACCCACCACCGGAGTTACAATCACCTTGAGCAGAGTTTCGAGTCGCGTTGTGCTCTTGGCCAGCGCTTTGATATACCTGCGGACGTTATTGTACAGTTTGAATAGGCGTGCATCAGGCAATGAATGGACGCAGGCGCTACACCCAACGCACCCTGAAGTAGAAAGCGCCTCCCCAGGAAGCTTTGTAAGGCACGTCTTGACGACCTGAAGGTCAATTAAAAGCTAACAAAATCAAGGTTCAGCTTCTGATGTCTCAGTGTAATCACGTCCTTACCTGTTCTGCACCGATTTCCATGAGTGGCCTGCTCTTGACCAGGGCATTGGTAAATTTAGTCAAGACGAGGCTGACCATAACCATCGAGCAATCAGCAATCAGTCACAAGGTCAAATCCAAGTTCCGTGTTCCCATGTCAAGAGAGCTCACCTGCACGCCTTATCAAACAGATTGCGAAGATACTTTTTTTGTTCTACCAGTGGCTTGATGACATCTGCCACCTGCTCGATGTTGCGCGCAAGGCCGGTGATGTGTTGTGACGGTCCGGTAACTTGATTCAACGACGACCATGAGGTGCGCGACATTATATTGAAGGCCGAGTCACATGCCGACTCGAGTTCCTTTAGCTGGATGCCGATCGCGGACGAGATCACACTGGGTATAATTATTCAGCGGCGGTTAGCAACGATCTTCAGGTGAGCTCACCTCATGAATAGGTCGCGTTCTGTTTGGAAAGAGACCTTCTCCTCAAGGTCATCGTTGATTTTCTCCTTTATCTTGTCCTCAAGCTATTTTTGCCTTAGTCGAGGGTAATACCTAGGAACCACACTCAGCTTACCTCTGATGCTGTAGTTTGGCAATAATCAGCAGTATTAATCAGAGCGCAGCTTTGGTTGAGCTCCTGGACATCCGCACGCGAGTCTACCGACTTGCGTATCTGTCTTGTTGAAGGAGAACTAAAACCGTCGTTAGCCGAGAGAAGCAGAAGTTGATGTATCTCTGACCTCTTCATCTTTGCCGCCAGGACATCTTCTTTGAACAGGTTTAAGAGTTAGCTGAGCCCCTGTACGAGGGTGCCCACACTGGCTCACCAGCGTAAGTTCGCAACCACTTCTTATGCAATGCGCACAGATCCAACAACGGTTGTCCGGTAGACAGCTTTGCGCACTGATCCAGCGTCTGTCCATAGAAGTAGAAAAGCTCGGTCGAGGACGATAAAACAGCGGCTGGTGACCGAGTGTTTTCTTCCTCTTCGACAGAGCCTCTAGGTGTCGCTTCCAATGACGCTGCAGGCTTTGGTTGAACTCCTCTACCTCGATGGGGAGCAAGCATGTCTGCTAAAGCTCTTGCACACACGATAAGGAATGGGGTCAGGGAACACTGGCAGCAACTTACTTCCCCTGAGCTTCAATGAAGATACCCAAGTGAGGCTCAAACGCAGAAGACATGGTCTTGGGAATGTCTGAAGGACCAGTCGCTGTGAATTTCAGGATGTCTTCAGCCTAGCGTAACGCTTGTCATTGGAGCTGAGCATGATGAACTCAGAATGCCTACAGAAGTAGCCCATTTCTTAGCAATCGAGGACTCAAACTCCACCGTTTGCTGAAGTGTATCTAAGAGTACCTGAACCGTCAACCTGGATCCTGCCTTGGAAAGTAAGGAAACTAGGTCATCTCTGACCGGGCACTTTGAATGCTTAGGAATGAATATCATAAACCGTCAGGGCTTACCGCGTTATCACAGAAAACTTGGCGAACAAATACCATCCGACCTTCCAGTCTGACGGGAAAGCACGTCCTTGTTCCAATTCGTGGTGTTGAAGTAATCTCTTGAACCAGGCATAACGCCTTGAGACATTGTCAAGATAGCCTGCTTCGTCCGATGCGCGGAATATTCGTCTATATTCCTTCAACTCCATTGCGACATATCGATCGATTATGTGTGTCCGTACGTCGGGCCCTATGACATCGACAGCCAGACAGGCGTCTGTAATGAGTGCCGGGCGAACGGGCTTTGAAGGGTCCTGCAGGAAACTAGATACGTGTAAGCAACAAATGCAAATAGAAAGATAGCTACGCTTACAAGTCATCAAAGTCCTCCTCTAATTGGGACCGAAGCTCCCCTTGGACGGACTGAACTTGTTTCCACACTTGCGATATTCTGTGCACGGATGTAAGATGTCTAAAAGACGCAGATATCTCCTTAATGGCCTATCTCATGAAAAGGTCGATCAGTATTCGCTCAATATAAGGGAGCCAAGTATGCATACAGACAACGTTTGGGCCGCCTCCTTATACTTCCTCTCCTTGGATAGCTCCTCCAGCAATCCCAGGGCATTGACTAGAATCTGCAAGTGAGCAGATTTTAGTCCTCATACCCAAGAAAGACGCGCACCAAGCATTTGAAGCCGCTTGAGCGTGGTCATGCTCTGACTGAGATTCTGCTTCGCGAGGTCGAGCGCCTGGATATCCTTGGTGATGTTTTTGACCACGGCCTCCGACTCGGTCGCTTTTTCGCGTATGCGTGACATTTGTCCCAAAAGATCCTGAAGGCAGGCGGTGTTGGAAACGTACGCATGGACAGAAACATTTGCCGCTCACCGATATCATTTCCTGAATCTGCTGCATTCTGGATGGATCCTGGTCGCGCTTGAGCTCCTCCTGAAGCACATCCACTTCCTTCTGCAAATTCTCAGCATCGTGAGCAAGTCGCGCTTGGACTGCTTCCAGTTGGCCCAGTGATGCATCTGGATGGCAGTAGTTGCATAAGCAGTGGTGTATGCGTCAAGAACGCAATGTGTATACCGTCTGGAAAGAGCTGGTTTATGACATCAACGGGCCGGAAGTCATCGGATAGAACGTCAAGGGGATCAGACTGGGCGTCGGTATTCAAGTCGAGAATGCGCTGAATGGCGAGAACAAGTTCGTGAGGCAGGCCATCTCCCGGTCTTTGCATGGACGATATGTAGACCGAATGTGCACAACGCACTTGTTGGTAAAGTGAGGAAATCCTAGCGACCCGCGGCGCTCGGAGTCTGTGCCTGGTCCCCGATCATTACATCCTTGCTACATTTGGCTTTCTCTCCTGTCCTAATCCTCGTCAACCTCTTATGTCAATATCTGCCTATAGCCGTGTAATTGGCGCAGCACATTTGGGACATGGCAGACTCAGACACTAGGGCACAGGTCATATCAACATACCATGGACATCCTACTTTCATATGTGCCCAATGCTCCGCAGTCATTGTCAGTCTCACAGACTCCTTGACGGACTAGCGTGCCAACCTTACTTCGTAGGCACTTCAAGGCGAGCTCATCAGTAAAGCATTTTCTGGTAGAGACGGCCGTGGATTGTAGGCCCTTTGACCAAACCATGCATGTGTGGCTGTCTCATACTCTTCACAGCCTCATGCACTCTGCCACGAACGTGAAGCTGGGAAAGAAAGAGGATCGGCAGCTTCTGTGAGTACGCCACTCTGATTGTCGGTTTGAAACATGGATTAATAATGGCTATCAGCACTGGGGTTCATACTGTCGCGGACGTATTATGTATGGGCTGTAACGAGCGCGTGGGGTGGTATTATCACAAGGCCACCGATTATTCACAGAAATACAAAGAAGGTTGGCTCATTTTCTGCTTTCACCATCCAGTTCTCTGAGAATGTGCTAATGGTATGTTAATCCAGGAAAATACTTGCTGGAAAGAGAGAAGTTGGTGAAGGAGAATGCTTGGGTGTTAGAAGATTCATAAACCTGAGCCCCTTAATGAAAGCCTTGCAGTCGTCATGTATCATATTTAGCAATCCTGTGTATGTTGTAAAGCCGTTGCAATACTACGTTTGTATGTTCTTTATGTAATGTCACGACACTTTCCTATGGGGAGACATATGCTGCCTATCTGGGTGATACCTCTGGGCCTCTCTGGGTTCACAATAATCGATGGCCCTGACCTCAAGCTGTTCGACACTTGTCGTGCTCAGGGGCTATCATGATCACTTTTAGAAACGTACAAGCACACATATCATCTTTCCCCCCGTGCACACCGACGTCACGTAACTCGATCCCCGGAACATGACACGGATAACAAACTTCGGACGAAAGCGCACCTACGTTGAAGCCGGTTTTGCTGGTTCCGCGGGCCTTGAGGAACCTCCTGCTGAAAAACACTCCGAGTCAGCAACTCAAGATGCTCCCGAAAATCCCGCTGGCTCATCTCCTAGTCCGGTAAAGAAGAAGCGGAAACGCGGCAAAAAACCGAAAGGAACATCTAGTGAAGGCGCATCTGTCGCAAAAGACACTGCTGAGGGAGGGGCAGAATCTTCCAACGCGAACGGTGAACATGTCACTAAAGATGCGTCCAAAAAGAGGGTTTCTAAGAAGAAGAAATACGAGAAAAGAGAAAGTGTCAACAAGAAGTGTACGTTCTTTGTATGATCCTGCCTGTATCCATCTTAAATCATTACGATTGCATAGTTGCACAACTACGCTTAGACCGATCAGAAGCTAGGAGACAGCAGCGTATAACACAAAAGTTCCAGGACACTACGTGTTTTGCATGTCGTCAAAAAGGACATGCCGCGAAAGATTGTCCCGACACAAAGGCTGATGGAACAGAGCAGAAGCATAGCGGGAAAGTAGTAGGCATATGCTATCGGTAAGAAATCATTTTTATATACGCAATCTTACTGTGATGCTTACTGTATGCTATGATGTGAAGGTGTGGATCTACACGACATAACCTCTCGCGATGTAAAGAGCCAGAGGACCCATTGATACCACTTCCTTTCGCATCATGTTTTGTGTGTTCCGGCAAGGGTCACCTTGCGTCTTTATGTCCCAAAAACAAAGAAAGGGGTGTTTATCCCAACGGCGGATGCTGCAAGCTCTGCGGGAGCACTGCTCACCTAGCCAAAGATTGCGAGTTGCGCAAAGGAGGTGCGCTATTTGTATTTAGTTTGGGGCTAAACAAGCTAACCACTGGCACCACTCTCATAGATACGAGAACGTCTACGTCTGTCGTGGGACTGACGAAGAACGTAGGAGCAGACGAGGACGATTTCCATGTGCTCAAGCGCCGGACTGCTGAAGTCGACAAGGACGAGAAGCGTATAGAAAAAATTAAGAGGGCAGTTGTTGACGGGGTAGGCGTGCAGTCCGGCATCAAAGTTTCTGGTGCTCCAAAACCGGGTGCGGCCAAAAAGGTGGTTCAATTCTGAGCTACTTGTTACGAAAAACAATCGCACAGGAGCTAACATGGCTACCACTGCTAAGATGTAATTAGCTCAGTTTTGCCCCCGTACCGCCAGAGGAGGCATTTCATCGAGTGCCTCTGCGTTCTAATCAACTCTTCCTGAGAGATTTGCACGGTGGCCATATCGACCATGTTGGTTCGTACTTGTTCGCACCGAATCGCCCAGCGGATGTCGCGCGCTGTCAGCCCAGATACCTTGTACACGACACGATTGTCGGCATTGTCGGTGCTTGCAATATGTGCAGTGTGTGTTTGGAGCTGGACTGACACGGTCTTGTGGTCGAGCGTTATCCTAGCATGGTGCTAAAGGTTATTGAGAATGATCTGTGCAACAGGATCACAGAACGAAATACAAACCTTCTCTTCACTGCTCATGTCGCATAGGAGGTTCAAGAACTCTCTCGCGGTTTTATACCTCGAAAACTGATACTCTGATGCTATTGCCAGTGTAAGTCCAGTCTCGGAAGACTCCCCTGCAGGAATGACCCGCCAGCCACGACTGATCAGTGGGCGACCATATACATCTAAATCAGTTGACGAGAGGTGGGGTGCATAGCGCCAGCTTTCCGGCAACGCGGGCAGCTTGGGCAGCTCGTCTTGACGAGGAAGGGGATAGGTCAACGCGTCACTGGTGGTGGTATCTCCGGGGGAGAAAGCTATGAAGCTCAGGTCAATGTGAATGGGCTCCGACAATAGCATTATAACTGACAAAGATTATAGTATAGCTGAGGAGAAATCTCCACACGTGTGATTATGTCTGCATAAACAGTTAGGTGTCATGGATTTTAGAGAATCCTCTCAGTTGTCACCTTTCTTTGTTTCCAAGTCTGCCATGCCTACGATGATTATCACGGCGGCGTATAAAAATAGACATTATAAAGGCTTACCAGCGCTAGTCTTGACTGTAGTTAACTTACTGACTGATAGACTAGTTCTTGATTGCTCTCTCAGGAGAATGGACTTGAAATTAGGTTAGCTCAGAAAGGTATGACGTTAACCTCCCACCGTCGCCACTAACATAATCCTAGTCACGAGTGAGCAAAAATGACAAGCAATGGCATTGGAAACTATACTTTTCGCAAAATAGCTGTCCGCGATGCAACAGGCGGAAACCTTATGTGTGCATGCGCGGAGTTGCACAATCGACGATAGACCAGACGAGTGGTTTGAAGAAGCAAATGTCTATGTTGGAGTAATTTCGAATGCGACAGAGGGACCGTAGTCTTCACAAAGTGCCCAACAGAACAGTTCATGGGACCTACAAAGAGCACCCGGAGGGCAGAAGCTTAAGTGACGTTCTTGGCGTGACACGGACGCGAATCCGCATGCTTTGCAGTTTGATCGGCTGTCGGTCCGACGTTGTGATTGATCTCTTCTCTATCTCTGCATTGTTTGCCTCAACTGCATACGATCATCTCACAGGCAACCAAAGGCTTGATCCCTGACACCGTGTCTGAGCGTGCCCATGGTTTGTTAGAGCCACCCGTTTATCCATCCACAGCAGCATGGACCCATGCGTTCTGCTTTGCTCTTACATAGGAACCGACTCCACCAGCAAGGAGCGAAGACTCCAAGGTACACCAAGTCCGTCCTCGATGTCACCGCCTTGGCGGACGTATATCTTCAGGCTACACTTTTGAACATCTCCGTTTCTATGGCTCGGAGCTGAAATTTACCCAAATATCTTATTGACGACCTCGACGACTATCGACGATGATCAAGCTCGCATCTCTTGCACTTTGTCATGCCGTTCTCAGTTTCAGCAATTTTCAGGCCTTGGCTGCGGTCACAAACACGTCCAAGGCTGGTTTAGCCTGGCCTAACGGCAATTATGTCGACATTAAGCAGTTTCTGAGCACGGAAAAGGTCTCATGGTGAGCTGACATTACTACCCGCCATGCAGGATGACTTACATCTGAGAAGGTACTATACCTGGGGCCCTTGGCCGATCGAAGCAGACATAGAGTTTGTGCCCATGCTCTGGGGATCTGACCAGGTATCCCAGTTCAACTCATCAATCGACGGCACCGTGTCTAAACAACACGTAACAGCAGTACTGGGGATGAACGAGTGGGTGATCCTTTTGACTATAGCACCTTCTCATTTGACCTATGTGATTTGGAGACCCCAACAATCTACTCAGTCAAACTTGACACCATCTCAAGGTGCAGAGATATGGACACAGTATATCCAGCCTCTGCATGGAAAGGGCCTTCGTCTAGGCACTCCTGCCCCCACCAGTGCTCCGGACGGGAAGACATGGATACAGGAATTCATGTCTTTGTGTGCCAATTGCACCATCGACTTTGTGGCTCTTCGTACGTTTGGATTTCAGGCGCTCGGAAGCAATCTTATCAGATCGTTCAGATTGGTATGATGTTAATGCGACCGCCTTCCAAGAGTACATCGAAGACTTTTACAACACCTTTCATTTACCAATCTGGGTGACAGAGTGGGCGTGTCAGAACTTCAACAACGTAGATGACCAGTGCTCGTATGAAGATATTCAACAATTTCTGGCCCAAACGCAATCGTTCATGGACAATGCGTCCTATGTTGAGCGCTATGCCTGGTTTGGGGCAATGGAGAACCTTCAGGGAGTCAATCCAGTGCGTGTTTCTCAGTTGACTCTGCCTGCTGGTATGCTCTAATAGTATTAACAACAGGACGATGCTCTAATGACCAGCTCCGGTAAAATAAACGAACTCGGTGTACAATATATTGGAGGAAATGCCACTGTTATCCTTAGCGGCATCTCAAGCGTTCGCCTTGACCCAACGTGCAATTTGAGGACACTGCAATTCACCGTCATTTTCACCGTTGTCACATCACTACTTCTGTACTTTGCATAGGACCTAGAATAAACCTTGCATTGATGTCTGCGGACAGACCAGAAGTTATCGGTGACACACCGACTGCCGTTCAGCTGAGGAGTGCTAGCAGACAGAGTATGTACGTTCACGCTCGTGTATGTCAGAGTGAGTGAATAACAGCACGCGTAAGATAAATGTTGCAGGTATGGAGACAGAACAAGAAAACGGCAGTATATCCACAGCATGGACTGACCGATACAAGCAAAGGGGAACAGTACAACGACAAACAATTAGAGGGAGCAAGCAATGTCTTCGTTCAAGCCTAAGCCATAGCCACGTCCTCCGAGGAAGCATCTTTCTTAGCCTCACCCGAAGAATCGTTAGAGCCTTCGGCTGTAGCGTCCGTGCCATTTGCATTGGACGCCGCATTTGCCTTCGCCTCAGCTTTCGATTGAGGCTTCGAGTCCGCTGCAGCAACGCCGTTCGCTGGCGTGCCGTTTGTCCCATTTGCACCACTCTTAGTCCCGTTCTCATTCGCCTTATCGCCACCGAGAATGGCATGCCACTTGTCCACGAGGGCTTTGGCGCGCTGTCTGAACTTGAATTCGTCATCCCGGGGGACCTTCTCGGGGGGAAGGGCAAAGATGTGTCGCATAACCTTGCCAATCTTCGAGAACTACAAGAAGTGGTGAGCGCAGAGTATTGACCGAGACCAAGGAATACTCACGGAGAGGTACTGGATAATGTTTTCATGTTCATAGGCCTCCACAGTGGTGAAAAGCTGGTCAAGAGCGATCATATCCTAAGGGAAAAGGTGTCATTTAAATCATTGTGTACGCGGTCCCCGAGCACTCACGTCATTTGACGGAGGGCTCTTGCTGAGCAGGGCTTTCTGCAGTTTGTGTCTCCACTCTCGAACCTTACGAGCTTCAGGGTCCTTCTCCAAGGCGGCTAACGAGGATATGCTATGTAAGTAAGTTTCATAAGGTTCTGGTGGTGATACGTACGATCAACCTCATCTCCATCCTTATCCTTCTTGGCTTTCTTTGAGGGAGGAGGGGCTGCCTTCTTCTTCGAAGGGGGTGCATCCTCTTCCTCAGCTGCGTCATTCTCGCCATCATCCTCAGACTCGACCATATCCTTGGACTTGCTCTTCTTGCCCTTCACGCTTCCAGCGGATTTCCTGGGTTTGACCTTGGTGCTCTTAACCGACGACGCGGCCTCGGAGTCTCTCTTTCTCTTCTTCACCTTTTTCGGGGCATCGTCGTCTTCTTCCTCACTGTCAAGCTGGTCAACCTCAGCATTGCCCTCCTGTTCGGCAGCGGCCATCTCGGCGTTGGATTTTTCTTCCTCCCACTTTTCGGGGTTGAGAGCAATGCGATACCCGTTCAAGAGGTCGCCCGATCGCTTGGGGGGATCGCTGATCCACGCCTCTATCTCGTGACGCTTGAGCATGGATATATCTTTCGCTACGAGCCAAGCACTATATCATGCTACATCAGGACAATGACCACAAAGGCGCGATAAGCACGTACTAGTCGCCAACAGGGAAGAACCTGACGCAGAAGAAGGGCGTCTTCTTGCCCGTCGGGCGTTCCTTGGCTACAGCGGGAGGGACCTTGTCTGGGTTAACGACCTAGCAGAGCAAAGTGCCATAAAGGGGTCGAAAGGGATGAACATTGCGAGGGTGAGGGACTGCAGTTAAGACGCGTCGAGGTGTACACACCATGCCCGGCCAGGGGGGGAAACCGCGCACTTTGGCGAGGACTATGTCGCGTTCAGCATAGCTACTCTCAGAATCTTGTTTTGTAGCTGATTTTTTGCTCATTGGGGTGCTTGTGCAGGGAGGAACTAAGAATACTGAACAAAGGTGGATGAAGAGATGGTTGAGGAGCGCACCAAGGTTCACCTCGGCTATTTCCACGCGCGTCTTGGCTCGTTTGGATTTGCCACGCAGGCCCGTGCGCTGCCTGCTTTGGTCATCATTATGTTTCCACCCCACACATCCTCGAGATGCGCGCCTGTGCGGTCCATTGTTATAAGACTTAAATTTTGATCATTCGCCTCATCGTCCGTCTTGAGTACCTGATCAAAACCAGAACCTATTCAGCTGTGGACTGTACTTTAGTGTGCGGCCAGAACCGGAAGCAAACCAGGGTACGTACCTTATTTGCATATGTTGACCTGCCGCCGGGAGGGGGTCATACATTCAGGCGCCGGTCACCGGACATGGCGACGCAGAATCCGTCTGCCGGCTATCGTCGACAACGAAGACAAGATAAGCTCCCTTTCTTCAGGGGAAGACGACCCAAAGGCGCGATTGTGAGGTGACGCTAACCACCGACGCACTCAGCACTCGAATCATCGAGGCCTGTACGAGGAACGGGGCAGAGGATTGAGCGGCGAGATGATATGGATCATGAGGCACAGCTCGACTTTTGCAGAAACACCCCAGCTCGTGTTACGAGATATGAAGCTAGAAGCCTCTCGGCGGCCGTCTTAAGGTTGCAATGACTTGGAACCCGAAGGCGTACATCACTAGTAGGCAGTTAGATTCTGATTAGATGTTGTTAGAACGGCTTCTAGCAAACCACGGACGTCAGGAGGAGGGTGCACATTGAGTAACGATCCGCCAAATCTTGGATGTTCCTAGGCGAGATACGAGTGCAGCGACCCAGGAAGGTGTAGCTGGTAGTAAACAAGGAGCGATACCAGCTTGGCTGCCTCATCTGTCTCACTCTATCACATCGGCTTAGGTGTCTATGTAAGTGGTACCAACGATAATTTAATACAATGCTGGAGCCAAGCTCGAGTGCGTTAACGTGTCTTTGGCGACAGTCAAAGTCACCACAGTGTGATTATCTTTATTTGTCTGACACCAGACATGCCAGAAGAATTGTAGAAACTTAGACGGGCTTGGGCAATCTACTAGTAGAAGTACCTATGAGTGCTACAATACTATTGAAGTATATCGTAATACTGTGCGCGCGCATGCTTAGATAAGTAACTAGCGGAAGTCGGGATTTGCCGAACCCCCTCATTTCGTGCCATACCATAACCTGATGTTCGAACCTGTACGCGGAGGGACTCGTGGGGGACAGGCAGAGTTCAAGTGGTCAGATGTAACTGTAGACAAAGACAGAGAGGTATGTTCACTTCCGTAAGGCTAATCCTCTCATGCTCACGCCGTTTTGCCGCTTAGAACTACCTGGGGCATAGTATCAATGCACCTGCTGGTCGGTGGCAGAAGAACAAGGATATTCACTGGTACAACAGGGATCTGGACGACGGTGAAGCTGCAAGAAAGGAAGAAATACGCAAAGTTAAGGAAGCCGAAGCCGAAGCACTCTCTGCAGCACTGTGAGTTAACTGTTCACCGTCCACCTTCAGAGCGCTAACCACCGTGCTCTGGTGTTGTAGAGGTTTTGAAGCCACCCCTAAAGGTGCCCAGGAAGCTTCCTCGTCTACCACTAGGCAGCCTGAGAACGCCGAACCCGACGATTCTGAGAGGCTACAGCGTGCTCAGGAGAAAGAAGAGAAGCGCCGCAAGAAAGCTGAGCGCAAAGAGGAAAAGCGCGCGCGCAAAGAAGCTCGTAGAGAGCGCCGGAACGATGAGGGCGCACTCCGGCACCGCTCTTCGCGCTCACGCTCTCCTCGTCCCCGCAGCCATTATCAAGATGGAGATAGAAGGTCTAGACACAGCCGCTCACCGCACGTACCTTCCGAGCGACGCCGTGATGTCCGAGACTACGATGCGGTAGAAAGGGAGAGGGAACGAGAGAATGATCATCGGCGGTGGAACTTTCACTCAAGGCGAGATCTGCCTGACGCCCGAGATAGACGTGATTAGACTTCTGCGAAGAGTATGTCGCTCATTTTGTCCTTCGTGCTGTACACCTCATAAAGTTATGATATACTCAGTCATACACATGGACTGAATAAAGTATACATATGCAATGAATCATGCGCACGCTCGTGATGAGCCGAGGATCGTATCTTATGAGATCGACGCTCAGTTCGCTGAATGATTGACGAGCGAGGAGACGCTAATCCGATATCACTCCTTCGAGAGCTGTCCAAAGCATATAAGGATTTCGTTCGTGAACTTGCGTAAGTGAGGTACCTCAGCAACGTGACCAGGACGTTATCTTACGACCAACCTTGAGTGAGTAGAACTCAGGAACTTTCCCGAGAGAAAGTGGTAATGTTCCCTTCCCCGCCTTGCTTCCTCGAGAGTCTCGGAAGAATTAAACGTTAACGTCCTTCGCGCCGGGTGGCATGCGTCGCTTTATTTATTCGGAAGGACTCAAGAGGGGTTTCGGAAGAAGCGTTAGCTTTTTCTCGCCGACGGCGGCCTATGAACAACATGAACAGAAACAGCACAGAGCATGCGAACCCATATTAAACCGCTTGAACTTCGTGGCAGCCGATCCCGGCTCAAAGATACCTCAAGACCTTTTGTTCGGCCAACTCCAGGTTGACCAACCGCCAAGGGTGGCCCGCAGAAGGACGTACAATGTCCCCGAATGAACTAGCATCACCCCTCGACGGTCCTGCTTCATCGCTCGTTCCCAACAACCCTTTTGTGGAGAGGTGGATGAATCCGTGACATAATTCTTGCAGGGCATGGGCAGCTCGAGCTATTCAGACCTTCAAGTTAATGCGGTATTACTGCCATTCCACTCAACATTCATTTTCATCTTCGCCCTACCAGGTTATAGGCTCATTGCTATCCTTTATTCATGATAGCGTCTCGCCACGCTGAAGCTTACAATTGCCCGACGCAGTCGTTGCATGCAGTTTGGCATCATGCTTGTCTCCTGTGCTTTAAATCTTTTGGACCACCGGTACGGTTGGTTTGCCAGATGATCTGATGGCCGTTCCTCGGAAACCAATGTCATTGTTGTCAATCTGTATTTGGTGGACCCAATCGATATACCGATATGCTCCCGTACCTTCCCGTGCCCAACCAGATGACCATGATCGATGTTGACTGCGGATGATCACATAGGGCCGCATACGCTTAGTGGGCCATCAGTGTGACTTTTGCACCACACGACCGGCTCTGCGAGATATCAATGGGAAAAATACATCTACACACAACCACAGCTCCCCAGAAGCCCAAGTTCGACATCGAGAACCATCAGATCATCGCGCCCATCGATGGAACAGTTGAATACGTTGAGTGCCTTCCTTATCCGCATACTCTACATTTGAAACAGCCAATCGGGATGCATAAGATCTGCTACATGTCGAAGCCGCGCGCACATATCATCCGAAGCCCAAGTTAGTCCTCACTCATTGGTGTAAAAGGTGTAATCACTTGGCCGGCCTGACTAAGTAAAGATCAATCGGTTTTAGCACCAGGTACTCGACGATGGAGAGCTTAGCGGGCATGCGCACAGAAGTATAACGGCAACAAACGCAGGAACATTTGTTTTCAACAAAAGATTGTCGTCAATTCCATGACGTCTCGCCGACGAATACGGACATAGTATCTAATTATCTACTTCGTACCTTGACCGAGATAGCCGCGAAAGGCAAACCCGGGCCGCTGTCTTCCTACCCACAGATTGACACTTCCCATGTAGCTAGATTTCGACGACGCTCATTTCAGCAAAGCATAAGGCAAGTTACGCGTTCTCCCGGCACCGAATATTCTATTCATAGATTTATTGACAAACCTAATGTCTTTCTGACAGCTCAAAAGCGGCTGCCAGTAAAGCTCGAAGACTTCACGGGCCGGGGACGCTAAGATGCGCCGCACATCGCCCTCTGACCATCATGATGCACCAATCGAGCCATGCCTGGAAAGTACAGTCACGGACAGCCAAAGTCGACAAAAGGGGCCGAGCAAGATCTAGCAAAATTTGTGAAATTTTGACTGCAGATCTGAGGTCAGAACAGTGAAAGGAGCCGGAAAATGCACCTCCGAAGTTTTTCCCACGTCTTTTTGGGTGTGGCCAAATTTTTGGCCAAAAAAAATGCAACTTTTGGCCGTGGGAACTGGCTGGTGAAGCCCCTGAAGTTGAAAATTGGTGGTCTTTATTACCCTTGCGGCACTGAAGACCTTTGCCAATTTTAATCCCCGAAATGACTAACCCTTGATATAACTAACCCTCAGGAAACTAATCCTCAACATAACCACCCCTCAATGTCAACAAAGCTGAATTTGCATGACAGAGCTAACTCTAAGACAGAGCTAACTCTAAGACAGAGCTAACCCTCAGCAAAGATGATTTCTGACAATGTTACTGTATACTCTTGGCCAATGGTTAGCATTAATGTCAAGGATTAGCTCTGTCGAGAGTTAGTTCAAGTTTAGGTGAGGAATACTCAGTCCTTGTTCATGTTTTGTGTATCATAACATGTAGTGGTGCCCTAGGAAGGACTGGGCAATGGTTTTATCAAGAATTAGTATGATCAGTCACATTTGATTCATGTAGTTCTTGCGTAGTTCAGTTGCAAGAAACAATGAGCACCAAAGTTAGGGGTCATAACCATCCCTTTATGGTATGTGGCAAATGCCGGTCCGTGCTCCCATGTCCGACTTCGGAATTTTTTCCATGATTCCCACAGCATTTTATTGGAAATCTTTTAACAGAATCATTGGCGGCAGATCAAAAGGAGTCGATTGGCAATTTTTTCGTGATTTTAGGACGAGAAATAGGGTGTGGCCAAATTTTGAGGGGTCAAAATCAAAGAACCACCTTTTTTGGATGAATGGCTTGTGGAGATTCACTCAAACTTCATTGGCAAGGCCCTCACATCAATTGCAGTCGATTCTGATAGTTTTCGGAAGAAACAAAAGGGGTCAGTACTTTTTGTCGACTTTGGCTGTCCGCGACTGTACTCTGAACTACGTTCATCAAAGGATAATCATGTTTGCGCCACATCGGAAACATCATTAATGTCCGACCCAGTTTCTGCAACTCGGATCATTCCATTCAAAGCCAGTACAGCCTGCCACCTGAGAACGCTGACTCCGGAACTGTCCTAAAATTGAGTAAGAAGGCGCACAAACTTGGAAGCCGTCTTACCGTTTGCTCGGAAGGGAGGGAATAACGCCTAAAGGTGGCTTTACACCAACTTTGACACGCTAATCCACCTTTAAAAGCTTTGCCAAAGCCATGCGACGCCAGATAATATATGGCCACAGCAAAGCAAATGTTCTTCCTCGTATAGTCTGTGGACGCTCGAGATGACAAGAGGCAAGCCACCTCTTTACTTAATGGTTAGTACCGGTAATCACCTGCTTTCATAACGTGTTTACCCAACGACCCAGAACAATAAAGGCCTGAGGGCGTGGGATGGGTACAGGGTTCATACACCTTTCCACAAACGTCTTATCGAGACGAGGCACTAGCATGCTGCGAACACCGTGTCCGTGAACGACCCAATAGAGAAATATATTCGAGATGTGGTAATGAGCGCATGCTGTGGATAGAAGTCTTGTGTCCATAAAATGATTGTAAACAGAAGAGAGGCTTAGAACATTCAATCTCCCCACGACCTCGATATGGCGCCAGCGTCATGAATTGTAAAACCTTCAGCCGGAGGTGGGGCCAGCGAGCTACCATCGGTAGAAGCAGTGGACCAGTCCTAGGATAACGAGAAGATTGAGTATGAATGGTCGATCTCAGGGGGTAGGACGGCTTGGTTCGGCGCACCTGTATATGAGTGGCCGAGGCACGCAGCGTCCGGTCTTCAGAGGCTAAGCCTGATAAGCCATCCTTGTTGCCCTGCTTCCCCTCATATTCTGTTCCCGACCCAGGACCTCCCTCCTGCCTGGTGTGGTCCGTAGCACCAAGGAAGCCGCTCGTTTGCGTCGGACGACCTCGAGTACTGCCTGTTGATCCATACCGACCCCCCTTGATAAGCCTTGCATTCAATACCGGTCGGATTTGGTCCATACTATCGTTGGCCTGACCACGATAGAACTCCTGGACGTCGTGCGCCAAGGATAAGCTAGACTGGGACTTTTGCAGCGAGGGGCCGGGCGAACGCGATGGACGGCGGCTGTAGCTATCCTGTGTTCCACCAGAAACGCTTCGAGTGGAATGTGATGAGGATGGATCGCCAAGTACCTTGCCGCCGTGGAGATTGAACGGAAATTGAGCGTTCACATTGACCATCTTTCTGCGGGACGTCCCAGGACGTGAGTGCGACGGTGCATGGTGGAAAGACGAATACTTGCCCTTGCTGCGAGCTTACTACGATTCCGAGCCTTTCCTTCAGCTTTTGATCGGCGGCGATACGGCCAGGCGGACTAATGAAATAAGCTTGTGAGCGGCATACCCAGGTACATGAATGGACTAGACTTGCACAGGGGGCTCGTCGATGGGTTGTATGAGCGGTTCATGTTCATGATTAATGTCCTACGAGACGGTTCAGGTGGGTGAAATAGGCGAAGATGGGTGCTCACGGACGGGTTCGTCGGCTCTCTGACGTATGCAGCAAGAAAACAGGAGTGACCTGAGAGGAGTCATGAGCTGGAGGAGCACAACGGAGACAGCACGAAAACACGCTGCGACGGATTTGGTAACTCATGTGGACACTCCACCAGAAAAGGAAACCAGGCGTCAAGCAGAACGAGATACTCGATCTGACTTCAGGATTTGATGTCGTTATGGTCTTACTCATGCTCAAGGACGCTAGTACGAAACCGTTGATACGAACTTTGTGTTGGAAGGTTATGAACCGTGCATGAGAACAATGAGACCAGGAGATGAGTGATAGAACGCAGGGTCAGATGATATTGGAAAGTTACAAGGACTTGACTAAGTGGATAGCATGTGGAAGACGGAGGGTAGAGAGCACCGAGAAAGCGAAAAGGAAAAAGGCCAGTGTCCTGGGTGATGGATTGGAATGATGATGACGATGACGAAACTGAAGGATAGAGAAGGGGTGAAATATATAGATGAGTGGATGTATGCTTTAGGGATAATTGGGCATGTGCGCGGACTCGCCTAGGGACGGATGGCGTCGCTGTCATTGTCAGATGTTTTTTCTGGTCGGTCATCCGGGGCAGACGGAACAAGGGGGAGCCTGGTGAAATCAATGGACGGGCGCCTGTCGCGTCGTTGTTTCTGATGTGGAGAAGCGTCAGAGGAGATGGATTCCGCAGCAGACCGCCAAGTGGCTGGTGGAGGGCACGAAAAGTGTGGGAGTGTGACGCCAGGGTTGAGTAGGGCGAGTTAGAGTTTTGCGGACAGGCCTGACAACCAGGCACATGCACGCGAAGGGACGGTCCCGATGCCGTGGGTGCGCAAGATGCCGGAAGGAGCAGGGGGGATCCGGAGGACGGGTGGAGGGATGGCGGAATCGGGGAGGAGAGGAGCCGGGTCCTGGCCAAAATGCAGCCTATTGCGAGTGAGGGTGGGCAGATTGGGATGACGGGGGGTGTTGATTGGGAGAATCGAGCGAAAGCAGAAAGAATCAAAGGAATCAGAGAAATATTTTGTCGTGAGTTGTGTGATCTTCTGATCTGCTGCATTTGCGTAGGTGTTCCATATTTGGGGTGGAGAAAGTGATCCTTTAACTTGGAGCGGGCGTGGGGATGGGACGCGGACGGGTCACTCGCGAGTGCCACTCTCTGAATCGTCACCCGGCGCCGATTGCCACTAGAGTGGTATTTCTTTTCTGACGCTCGCGTGGCGGGGTCGAATTAATCCCAAAATCCCAACGCCGACAGACAGGACAACCCAAGCCGGGGTGGCAACTGACAGCGTTTGCTCTCCTGATCTCATCCTCCCTCCATGGTCGCTTCTGCCAACGGCGACGTCTACACTCCCTTTCCTCAGCCCATCATGTTGGAAGACAGTCAACACTCCTCAGAGGACGGCTCAGGCCTCCACTCCCCCATCTTCGGCGCCCCCTTTCCACAGCCGCACGGGGACAGTAACCGTACGTCTTCGCTCTCTTTTGCCCTCGACGCCATTTCACATGTTCCTCAATAATAATAAAGTCCGGTACCATCCAGATCACCTCAACATCCAAAACGCTGCAGGCATCCTCGCATCCCAGTTTGACTACAATGGCATGAACCTTCCCCACCCAGCCCCCCACCTCCTCGAGACACCCATCGATCTCCACGGTGGTGCCCATCACCACCACCCATACCCCAACGAGTTTCCTCTCCCCCCGCGCAGCCAGCTCGATGTCTCCAGCTCGCATACCCTCCCAAATACCCGTCTTCCGCCCCCGCCCTCCCAGGGTGGTCCCGTCAATCTCAATTATCAGTCCCCATCTCACAGGCGGTTCTCGGGCGACGGAATTCGCGAGCAGTCCTCTTATTCTTCCAACGGCAATGCTGCTTCTAATATGCATATCAAATCTGAATACCCAGCCGGTCAGCCAACCAACTTGGCTGCCGACTCAAATCAACGGTCACCTCCCGTCAAGCGGGAAGTTGCCTCTCAACAGCAACAGCAATCTCAGCAAACTGCTGCGGCAACACAGGACCCTCCACCGCGTCGAGAGATTTCAAATCAGGTGATTGCTTGTCGTCAATGGTGAGATTAAAGCCTTCTTTTTCGCGAATTTCATCATAATTGATGCCAAACAAATGTTTTACCTCGCTTACAGCCGCGCCAGAAAGATTCGCTGTGATTCGACGCGCCCCTCTTGTCACAACTGTCTTCGGCGATCCAACGAGTGCCAGTACGATGCTGCTCCAAGGCGTCGAGGGCCTGATAAGCGGCCAGGCACTCGCCAGCGCTCGTGCAAGAAGCGTCCTGCAGACGGATCGGCACCACCTCAGCCTTCCTCCAAGCGGAAACGTACAGCTTCTCGCCCGGGCGAATCGGACAACTCTACTTCCGGGCAGGCAGGCAGCGCAAGTGAGCAGCCTGCGCCTTTGCGTACTTCTAGCCTCAGCGACGATGGTCGGATACGGTTGCATCAAACATCTTTGTCGCCTCAGGATGGCGAATTCTCTCCTTCGGCTCAGCCCCGTGGTCTGTCAGGGGATGGATATTCAGTGGTGCGTCTGAGCAATATATTCATCATGGAGATCAAGGGAGTATTGATCCGATTTACATACGCCCTTCTAGCATGAGCGATCTTTCCATGACAAACCGCGCTTATCATCCTCTCCCTCTGTGCAATTCAACCGCAAGATCTGGTGGGATGACTTGGTCAATAGCTATTCGGCGACTAGAGATCAATCGTGAGTGGTGTGAGTGGGTATATGTAGAATGTACACTAAGAATGCATGTGACAGTTTGAAAGATATCGCCAATGACCTTTCCTCGCTGTAAGTTTTCACCTTGCGCATGCCCACAACGAAGTAGCTCATGAAAGGTACCAGCTTCACGAACACAGGCTACTGGCTTTCCTTTGTGAACGTACCTGATTTTGTTCGAAGCCTTTACAACCCGGAGGATCGGTCTCTCATGCAGCCTTCTCTCGTTCTTGCCGGTTTGGCCCTCGCTACGTTGATGAAGTCCAGCGAGATGGAGCTAGGAGCTGCTGGCAGGAACCGCGCGATATGGCTGAGGGATGCTGCACAGGCCTCTTTGGAGTCCTCTTGGAATACTGGGTGGATTGACATGACTTTGGCTAAAGCCGCACTTGTACGTCCTTGCCCTTTTCATAGCTGCAATTTTCTCAGACTGAAATCACTCACTGATAGATTCTGGCCGTTTTTGAGACGTCTGCACACCCTCAGTTCACCCCCGAGCGCGCTCGCTCGTCTTTATTGCTTCTGGATAATATTATTCGTTCGCTGTCCTTGACATACCTCGATTCTCACGAGCCAGATGTTTCGACTTTCATGCCCAACACGGTTCCTATTGCTCATCGGAACAGTCACCACGCCCGTTCGCCACCTCGCAAATGCGCTTGCATTCCACTTCCGCCAAACTCTTCCCTCGCTACGGATCACTTTTCTTCAGCCTGGAGCTACACCCCACCCTGGGATCCTGCTTGGACACCAGAAGAGATGCATCGCGAGGCTGCCCGACGTCTTTGCTGGAGCGCTCTCAACGTCGTTGCAACTTATACGCAGAACTGCGTGGCTTTCCGCATTGAGCCGGCTGACTTGTTTTTAACTGATCCGTCTAACGTAAGTTGGCTACTCCATGGCTTCTATGTCTTCCTGACTTCTGTTACTAATGCCCCAAAAAGTTCCGTCTTCTCTTCCCTGGCGAAGTATCTGAGCGGGGTCCGGACCGCAGAATGCAATCGCCCAAAGATTCGATTTGGGCTCTGTACTGCCGCAGCATGCTCCTCTGGAACTTTTGCATTCGCCTTCGGTACAGAGGATATCCCAGCGCTCAGTCAGCCGAACTTGCATTGGAGGCATTCACAGAGACGCAGAACATCCAAGACGCTCTAGACTCCCACACCTGCAATCTTGATGCTGCTTTGATCTATATGTGCAGGGAATACATCTATAAGTAAGTCTTCCATACGGTAACGTGAACAGTCACTGAGCTTGCTTTTCTTAGTACACAACTGCTTCTGACCCAAATTCTGCGAAGGTACGTTCTTCCGGCGAGTCAGGAGGAATCATCCATTCATCTTATTTGATATCAGTTCCCACGCCGTGGATCCCCGCACAGTGCCTTCGCTGGGGACAGAGCAAATCCATGACTGGCGTAAGTTTGAGTCCATATGCTGCTACATGGCTTCTGATAAGACCATCCGCAGTCCGCTATCAGGATGATTTCATCAAGCGCGTGAGGGTATCTATTCATCGCCTCGGCGATGCCGATGGAGACCTCTTCACGAGGCGTCCATTCCAAGTAAAATGGTTTGCAAGTCAGATTGCGATGTACGTTATACGTTGCTCCAGTGGTCGTATAGGCTGACAATTGTGGCCAGTTGCATATCTCTTTGGGAAAACAATCGTTCTCTCGGAGTCGCTCTGGAAACTGCCAAAGATACATTAGTACCGCTGGACGTTCTTAATGCATTATGGCCTTGTCCCAGTAAGTTCATGCTCCCCTCTCCTTCACAACATACTGATCCCGAGTCTTTTGCAGCCTTGCAGGCCAAATGCGATGAACTTCGTCAACGGTTGACTGACGCCTGCGTCTCGGTTAGTGTTGAGCCGCCAGCCCCACCAAATCATTCTCTTCCCCCGCACATCCGGGGCGCGTAGGCTATTGCTGCGATACCTTTCTTCGTCAGAACGTGAAACCGATACCCGATACCCCACCACTTCGATAACCAAATTTCTTTGTTTGAAGAGTGGCAAGAACGAAGCCATGACACAAACCCAGTTTTATCTCTACTTTACGAATGCCATGTCATTACTTATCACTCATTGTCGCAGCCATATGTAGCATTGATCCTAGTGTACGATGTGGTTTTGCCCACGCCTCCCTCTCCTTCGTTCTTTTGCTCGCTATCGTGGCTATCCTCTGCTCTGACGCCTGGGAGGTTCACTGGGGCTTGTATGTAATCCTCATACCATCCCTTCACTGACATCTTTAGTCGTTAACGCGACACCCTGTCGACGCCTATCCTTCATTCATTTTCCCTTTTGACTGTTCACTTATCGCTACTGTATCATTTACCGCGCCATGCCCGATCCTACTTGCGTCAATTTATGTTTCCCTGGTTTGCGTCTCTAGCGTGATTACTGCAAGATGCACATGCTAAAACATCGATGTTCTCTGTTGAGCTTTTATACATATGTACTACATAGTAGTGACTCGGGCGCCAGGGGATTGTGTAGCTTATGCGCTGATATCTTGCGGGATCTGGGATAGAACCCGTGTGGAAGATCAGGGCGATCAATCTCGCCGCAGATCTGGATTGGCTGATCGACTGAACGGGGGTGCTGTCATTGGGTTGTCGGACCATGCGCAACGACTCAGACATGCAACGCAAGCAACCACGCTTGAAACCATGACAGGCCGTGTAGATATGTACCACTGTAAATACTGGCCGCCACTTGTGCGTCCGTGCCAAGTCAGAAGGATATATAGACACTATGTACTATACTGGGTTACCAAGGTTGGCAGTAGAGTAGCAGCTGGGCAGTCTCAAACTACATAGTAGAATTATCAATAGCGTATGTTATTTGGAGTGTCATTGGCCGCATTCCCAACCTGCAAAAATTATATGATGGCATCGGACGGATAAGGAAGCCGAAGCGCAAACTCGCTGGCGCAATATCAATGCGGTCTTATCAAAACAAGGCCCTCTGGGCGAGCCTGGATCCAAATCGCTAACGGAGAGATTATGTTGATAGTATGTGAGACATGCCGGGACTGTGTTTCTTTCTATGCCATTCTCCGCAATCATATGCGTGGGGTTATTACGATGAGAAGGTAATGTATGAGTTTGCAACTGCATCAGTACAGTGAAGAGAAGCAACACGTAGTAGTATACTAAAGACATGCGGAATGACATGGATGAATCACCAGTACTCAGAGATTGATAAACGCAGACGAGCTAGCAGCATTGACGGGATGTGGTGCGTGGCTGAGGAGATCGAGTTGTAGTAGTTCGAAGCGAACCTTTGTGCGGAGGAGCCCGTTTTCGGTAACCTCTGATCTACGCAACCGAGCATCAACGTGAACCGCGTCTCCGACTCTTCAATATCGCCAGTCCAAAGTCGGCATACGCTTCTGGCGTCATGGAAGCGTCTGCTCGAGCCGTGAGGAAGTTACGAGCGTCCCATACTCCTCCAAAACTAGACTATATATTTGAACGCCGTGTCGGTCGCACAACAACCTCATACTCTTCTTCGTGATCACCAGAGGACGAGACGTCGGCGGCAACCAAGGGTAAAATATGCATTGGACAGCGTCGAGGAGGGCAGCAAACGACGAGGAAGGACACAGGGGACAATGGTGAGGAAGCAAGTGAGTAATTTAAACACCGATCGATATGAACCCTAAAAGAGGGTTTTGTGTCATACCGGTGCGGAACGGCAAGAAGTTCTCACGAAACCGAATCGGGGTTGGAGGTGGTAAAAGACAACTTTCGGGATACACCTGTCTACCTTCGGATCCAGGAACAAGAGATTATAATACACTGTCAGACAACGATTTGTAGCCGCTCTCTTCTCATCGTCGCCGTCTTGATCGCGGAAAAGTAACACGTTTTCAATGCATGTTAAGTAGGCATCGACTTAGAAAAGCTACTGTTTCCAAGAGTTTCAAGCCATGCGTCACTCGCTAAATTGGTTCGTTAATCAGAGTAGCTAAAAAACATTTTGCCTATGACACGAAGACGGAGTGATCGACATGAGCTCGTGGACGTTGACCATTCGCACCAGTCAACAACGGAACTCGTAACCCGAGGAAGGTGAAGAAGACTTCGAATATTCACGAACAAGTGAGCGTTTGCGTGCATTAAAGGAAAGGTCCAAGCAGGAAAAGGAAGCTTACTATCACAAAGACAGTTTCAGAGATGCCCAAAGGGGCGAGTACAGTTCATGGTATGTGTACTAGTGGTCAAGAAATATGGGGCGTATGAGTGAATGTTGTGCGGGGTAAGTAGAAATAACGTCGCGGATTAAATAAAAGACAAGTGGCAAGGGCGTCGTGGTGTCGTGGCTTCAGGCTGAGTGTATATGTTTGAGAGATTTCTGGTCATGCTGGAGAGACTAAGGGACGAGCGTTGCGCCATGATTGATCATAGTCGAATCCTGTACGGCGACACTAAGCAGAATGACAGAAGCTCAGCTACGGTTCGGTATGAGAAACGGAAAGCGGCAAGCCACACCTTGGCTCTGTAACCAGAATCTTTTCGACGGTCAGCCATCATGGGTGAACAGACGGCAGGCGACCTGAGTACATCAGGAGGCATGGGTGTCCTCTGATCGCATCTCATCCTAGTGCCGCCAGGCACTTCGACGCATTGTTGCGCCATGACCTTACCCACCGAAATGTCGAGCTCGATGAGCCGTTCGTCCACCATCTTGAGCACGCGTGAAACCAGCGAGTCACGATACGTTTTCCAATCATTGGCTCCGCAATCTTTGCGACATTCAACGTCAATCCAGAGAAGAGCATCAAACTTGAGCAAGAACTCGTCGAGAAGACGCTGGCGCTCGGGCAACAAGATGCACACGATTTCCTGTAGACGTGTTGCATTCTTTTCTGCCGCGACTGTTGGCGGCAAGTTAAGCTCTTGATCGCGCGCGGCATCGTATCGCTTTTCAATGAGCGAGATGCTGGTGCCTTCCAGGCTGCGAAAGAGAGAGAATACTAGTCGATGACGTTCATGCTTGACTGCATCAGGGGCTAACATGCGGGGCGGTAGGAGTTGTGCGACATCGGCGAGGTAATGCTGACAGAAATGAGGGAGCTCTTGAAGATGCAAGCCGGTAAAGGTGTACGGCTCAGGATCGTAGACGGGAGGGAGAAAAGCAGGAGACATGGCCGGGATGTTGACGACGTTGGTGCTGACGCTGACCGTGTTCCTCGTCAAGCAGCCGTTTTTATATGCCTAGGGCACAGGAATGGGCTTTGACGGTCCATGCCAGAGCTGAAGGGTTGTATGCACACAGCTTTGACCATGAACGAAGCGCGACATCGTCTTTGTGTCCATCTCCTGTATAAGCTGGACGAAGCACACGGACTAAGAAACATTACGCACTGGTCAAGGGACGGACATTGACAGGCGTTAGCGAAGACCGGATCCGGGGGTTGGGACTCCGCCAGCGCTCGAATATGGCAAATTTCTGGGCGGACAACGCCGGAATCCCGACCCATAACGTGCCACCCATGTTATCGAAGGTGATCTACGGCATTGCCCTCGCCCTTCCGCTCCTCTTCCTCTTCCGCAGGCACAACACTCCTCCAGCGGACGCGCCCGCTACCCAGCCCACCATTCAGTCAGAAAAGCCTCAGGAAAAGCGCGCAACCATTATGCAGCCGCCACGCGATGACCTCCAACCACCAAAGGACGGTCCATTCACGCTAGAGCAGCTACAGCAGTACGATGGTTCTGACCCATCCAAGCCAATCTACGTCTCCATCAAAGGTCAGCCGTCAACCGGATTCTCATACTCGTCCGGCACTCACAAGTAACACTTATAACAGGGGATGTATTTGACGTTACCCGCAAAGCGGACGTCTATGGTCCGGGCAAGTCTTACAACATATTTGCCGGCAAAGACGGATCCAAGGGCCTCGGCATGTCCAGTCTCAAGGTAGAGGATGCTGTCCCGGACTGGAGTGGCCTCCCAGATAACGAGAAGAAAGTTCTCGATGATTGGCACAGTTTCTTCTCGTGAGTACTTTCCTTGCCCTTGCGCCGTGTGATACTACACTCACGCTCGGTTCCTCTTTCTTGTTATTCACAGGAAACGTTACAACGTCGTAGGGCGCGTAGTCGACCTCCCGGATATCGTAGCTCGTTGATAATTCTCTCGCCCACTTTCTTCCATGCTGTCTCGATGTCTAGTTTATGTGATTCCCTTTGTGATCGCTTTCGCTGCGAATCAATTGTATCATAGTATCCGCGCACTTCTCTTTAACTTCCCTAACCTTGATATATGGTACATCAAACAGACTGCCACTTGCTCACGCCGCACGCTTAGGGTGCGGGGAATGTGACGAGCCAAACTGGCAGCTGACAGCTAGGCTAGATACCTTCCAGTACCCCTTTTGGTTTGTTCATACACTCATACACTTTTGGCACAAGCGCTTCGCGAAGTAAGTCAAACTCTCCACACGAAGGTGGCGTGTAACTGAAAGCTTGTTTTTGTAATAAGTCATGCACCGAAAGGGTTGGGCGTAAGGACACAGACAGGAAAAAGGTTCCCATAAGGGCCATCCTATCTTTGACAGGGCTACGGAAAGCATTGACAATGATGTCGGTATTCCAGTGTCACACTTATGGACATCCGTGCAGAGCGCGATATACATGTTAGGGTGCTCGCAGCGTTAGATGGCATATTTATCAGGACATCCAATTACATTGATAAATCGTAAAACGGGTATAGTAGATTTTGATCGCTCCCATTATCAAACTTGAACGGAAAAAAGGGGAAAAGAAGTAGTAGGACAAAACTAATAACAACTACGTAACAAAAAAAACAAGGCTGTCAGTGGGCGCATTCAAGAAATCCCTGAAGTTCAGAATAAAGTGTAGCGTATAAGCTTCGTCATGAATAAAAGAGCGGACGGCTATTAGTAGCCAGGAATGTCGCGGAAACGTCCGATGCAGATGAGTGGTAGGCCTGATGCATGCGGTGTAAATTCATGGTCGGCGATGCAGAGATGCAGGGAGAGATGCAAAGTTGGAACGCGTCAGTTTACAGCAGACCACACTCGCGCAGGTGGATCTGCAAGAGGATATCTTGAATCGCACTCAGAACGACTGAGAGAAATTACCGTGATTAGCACTCGTTCACACAATCTGTAGTCAAGCTCAAAACTCACATCTAATCTGTTGCGTGTCTGTTGCACAGGTATAATGCGCGTAAATTTGCTTTGTCGCCGCATTCTGGTTCAGCGCAACGAAGCGATGAAGCAAGTAGTCACAAGCAGCATCGTAGTTATCACCACCACTGTAATCTGGGAAGTAGTCTCCCAGAGGTGAATTTGGCAGTTTCTCTGCGAACAAATCGATCTTGTTCAAGAACAGAATCTGTTTGCCTGAATTCAGTTTCGCGGCGCATAACAGCCAAAAACATTGACTCACAATCGACGTCTTGACAAACCATCGTGAATTACATATCGAGTCGAAGAGTGTCAATGCTTCTTGCATACGGTTCTGGCGGACTCGTCACCACTGAGTCCACAAGTTTGAACAAGACGTACTCACCACGCTCTCATCCTCATACAGCATCTGGTCGTACTCGCTCAAACTGACCAAGAAGACAAGCGCGGTGACGTTTTCAAAGCAGTGGATCCACTTCTTCCGCTCACTACGCTGTCCACCAACATCGAAAAGTTTGTAGACAAGTTCCCCAACTTTGAATGTGGTTTCTGTGATACCTGTCGTCTTAACACGGCTTCGTAGGATATCCTGGTCCGTAGGGAGGTAACCGGGCCCCGACATGCGGTCAATTGCGTTGAAATAGTAGACAGCGGAATCATTGAGCTGGAATTCGCGAGAACGGCGAACTGCTTCCTTGACGCCACCGTCACGCCAGAGACCGCGAATGGCGTCTGCGACGTCGCGGGGAAGGACGTCGCCCTCGAGTTGAGCCGGCATTGAAAGGACCACAGCCCTCCGGGCGTCGTTTTGTGGCGACAAAGAGATATCCAATTGAGGCATAGCCTCGAGAATGGCTCTATAGTCACCTGTCAGAACCTTTTTAAATTCCGGAAATAGAAGAGAACTGAACGTACCGCATCGACTGGATAGTGTTGGAGAAGATGATCTCCTTGTACGAGTCCCGCTCCGAGTCGATGTAGGGGCCGTGATGAATGAGCTTCATCTGCTTGAGAACGGTGGACTGAAGGACGCATGAGCACGAGTTTTGACGGGAAGGAAGTGCAACGTCAGCTTGCCTTGCCAGACTCTCCGGCACCGAGGAGAAGCATTTTGATCTCATTCTTGGCCATCATACGGTCCCTCTTGAGCTGGTTTTCGATCTCGTCGTTGCCTGGTTGAAGGAGAAAGCGAATATAGGTGAGGGGACCGGCGGGATGAGGGGGGTGGCAACGGGTACTCACGGGCCTTGGCCTCAGAGTCAACGGCGGTGGACTGGACGCAACCCATTTTTGCACTTGAGAAAGACCGAGTTGGTGAAAAAGATGTGCAGCGTCAGCGACGGGAGGAGGAGGAAGAGGGAGAAAGGAATGGGGCAATCGAGGAATAATTAGTGTGGTGGGAGATGCGACGAGGTAGACGCTCGTGCTCACGGGAGAGGGTCGGGTCAACAGGTCTGCTGGGGAAAAGAGTGAGGGCTCTGCCGCGGCCAGTCCAGCAACAACTCTCCCAACGTTCACACTCCGGCTGATGGCCTGACGGCTTCCGACGCGGAAATTCAATCTTGACGCATCATGCAGACAAAACCCTTCTTGCCGCGGCTCGGCACATGTGCATACCTGCCATAAACAGAAACTCTTCCACGTCCCGGCGCATATCTCTCGGTACCAGGCCCGTCCGCCGCTCCGGTCTGCCGACCACAAGGCCAATCAGATTCACAGAAACCAACGGGGCCGTGTGCACTTGACCAACGCCTGAATCAACACTTCAGATCTGAAACATTTACTGTAAGGAACGTGGACGAGGTTCGCCGACCTTAGCTAGACATACATAGACAACAAGGACAAGAAAAATAAATCAGGACAGCACATTATGGCCATGTTGACATCGATCGCTACGTGACACCGATCCGCGTCCCATGCAACGATGACGAAACCGCACAGGATGCGTAATATGAGCGAATGATGCGCCGTGCCTTGTCAGTAGAAAAATTGATGATGGGAAGACGTTCTCCATTTGTTTCTGAAGCGTATCAGCATCTACATATCAGTAAATCACCAAAGCGCCCTCCATGGAACAAAGATCTTCCCGGATGGACAACTATGGACGAAGGGTGGGAATGCGAATGTATCATTTTTGACCTCCGGATAAACTTTGAATCAGGCTTCGGAGGTGATGTCGGCAAGTCGTCGAAGTGAGCAAAAAGACGACACCAGCAGGATTTGAACCTGCGCCCTCAAAGAGGAACAGATAATCGGATGATTCGAATCTGTCGCCGTAACCACTTGGCTATAGTGCCCTTGTGAAGAGCATTTCCCAGCAACATCTATCATGCTTGCTCTCCTCGGTTGGCTTACAGCGATAACCCAACACCCATTTGCACCTGGAGGATGTCTGCACCGGGGGCCAACAATCGCGTAATGGATCTTGCTCATGAACCTCCTACACTCTTAGTCCTTGAACAAAATCCAGACCCTCGCGATCCCCCGCCGCCATATCCTTCTCCTAACCGACGTGTCCGTTCGTCCAGAGTGAGCCACCGAAACATACGGCGGTTACGAGCACCAGGCCAACTGCTGTCTGGAGACTCGGACCAGGAGCCTAGCTGTCACACCTTGCGGTATGGAGATGCCTCAAATTTGTCCAACAATGCCACGGAGGCGACACCTCTCCTGAATGGACCTCCAAGATGCGCCAGGCGTCCGCGTTCGCAGTCCTTCTCGAGTACATCGAGCTCTGGCGCCCCATCTCTTGCCCAAACAGTCGCCTCTTTGTTCCAACCTGACCTAGACGATGACAATGAAGTTGACATCTACGATGCATTGCATATCCATGGGCCCGGGTCCGGAGAGCAGCAGATTGAGCAACACGCAAACCAAAGTCAGAGTTGGCAACAATGGCCTTTGCTATCCAGACGAGCGTGGAGGCGTTATTTCAAACCTTTGACACATAGGGCATATTATGCAGCCCTTCTTCATCTAATGGTGCTCAATTTCCCCTTCGCTCTTGCTGCCTGGGTTTACCTTTTTGTATTCACCCTGGTGGGTACTTTCTATCTCTATGACGTTCGGGGTTTGCAGAACAAGTTATTCAGACTGGCACAACGCTCCTTATCACGCTCCCTATTGGTGCCGTTCTCTGCTTCTTTGATCTTTTGGGGGCCAGAGCGTTTGCTAGGGCGGAGGTAGGTTCAATCGGGTGCGTTCGGTGTCCCCGCACGCTAATCTCATAAACTAGCTTGCGTTGCAACGTGCATTCCACGGGCCTCTCGCTCATGCGCCTCCTTACCCAACTTACCCTATCTTTCGACGTATGCGGCCAACCCGACCGGATGAAGAGACTGGAAGGGCCGATACCCCACAGCACGAACCGTCCTTTTACAAAAATGCCTACTCGATGGTCAGTCTCTTCGAACGGTCCCAGTTCTAGACTACTGACATCGCTGTCGTGGCTTACACGTTGTCCATCCGCAGTTTACAGACTCGACGACGTATTCCGCGCTATTCTACTTCTTGGTTATTAAGCCGGGCATAACGTTAATATTCTCGTTGTGTCTTATAGTAGCTGTACCGCTGTCAGTGGCGCTAGTTCTGCCTGCGCCGCTAGTGCTGCGGGTAGTGCGGAAGCTGGGGATCTGGCAAGCAAATGTCGCGGTGGAGGGCCTGTGCCTTGCTGTCCTGTAAGCATATGCTAAGGAGGGGTAATTGTACTGTTCCATAATGTTTGCTGTATGTGCTATTGTATACGGAACGCAGAGTGTTTCATTAGAGAATAAAGGAGGGCGGAAGCGAGGGTGGTTGCATTGCCCTGAAGCGCCCTCTGCTGTGTACATGTGTGGCTGGGGGGTCGGAGATAGAGTACTAATAGGGCGTTGCTTCTGCTGACGCGTCTTGACTTGCTTCCTCCTCGTTGCAAGTGCTTAGACAGCTGTCGCCCGGGTCCGTGCGAGTCATAAGAACAGCCTTAGCAGTCATCTTACCGTCTTCTACATACTTGCTGTATTGCGCCTTGACGCCAGCCTACTATAACCCACCCCAGAGCGGCTAGCACACTCTGCACTCACACACCCACCACCCTCGCCCAGACACACTATCGGGTGTGCTCGCAACATTGGATTGGTCGCAACATCCTCCCCATCCCCACTGCCATGGACGCTCTCAAGTCGCTCGTGCAGCCTCTCGTCGGAGGCGGAGGAGGTTCCTCAGTCATTGATGGCATGAAGCTCGTCGTCCTCGGTGGCACCGTCGAAACGGCTCGGAGGGTATCCAGCTCGGCCTGGTAAGTCGTTCGTGCACCCTTTCTCTCCTCAACGCTTTAATGAACTCGTCGTGGAAAGGTCCCATTTCGTGAATTGTAAGTAGCGCCCATCGACCTGCTGTGTAATCCCCTAACCCAAGCTTGGCTCCTCTAGCATTTTTCCTCACTGCCCATTTTTCGGAAGAGGATTATCCGTACGACTGGCTCATGCTCTGGCTCTCTCGCCGTCCGGAGTGGCAGCGTTCTCGGGAATTCGAAACGACCACCCGGACATCAACCCCCGGTTTCTCCGGAACCCGCACCGCAGACAACTCTTTTGGAGACGAAGAGGAAGAGGAGGAAGATTCGCCTCCAGGCAAGGTCAAGACCCGGGTTGTCTTCCAGCCCACATTTGACTCGACCCATACCATTTACTACAAGGGCCACTGGCTGCGTGTACGCCGTTCCCGCAAGAACGACGGCAGCTCTTGCGAAGTGCTCTCTATAAGGCAAGTCTACCCCGCACTCGCGGCTCTGCCAATGCGGGGTAAAATGCTGACAATTGATGTCGCCTTCTTTAGCGTTGTCGCGCGTAACAACGACGTCTTGAAGCAGCTTGTTCTACAAGCCAAGAAAGAGTACGAGGCCGAAGCCATCCATCGCGTGCAAATTTACTTTGCCGACTCGCATGGAAGCTGGCGTTGGTCAGATTCGCGCCACAAGCGACCTATGTCATCCATTGTGCTCAACCCTGGCGTCAAGGAGATGCTCCTCAACGATACCAAGGACTTCCTCAAGTCTGAGAAGGTAAAGTGATTGTCCCAGTCTTTTGGAGTTGCCCTGACTTGACGTTTGCAGTGGTATGCGGATCGCGGAATTCCATTCCGCCGCGGTTATCTTCTGCATGGTGTTCCTGGATCGGGGAAGAGCTCGCTTATCCATGCCATTGCCGGAGAGCTTATGCTTGATATTTATGTTGTCTCATTGTCCTCATCTTGGATCAGTGACAGCACGTTGACGACTTTGATGGGTCGAGTCCCCGCTCGATGCATCGTTCTTCTTGAGGATCTCGATGCCGCATTTACTCGGAGTGTCACGCGTGACAAGAGCTCTAGCGGTAGCCCCGACTCATCGAACAATAACGAAGAAGGACCACAACCCGATTCCTCCAACTCGAGCAGCCGTCGTCACCGTCACAGAGAGAATAACATGTCCGATGTAAACACTCTTAGCTTGAGCGGTCTACTCAACGCGCTAGATGGTGTCGCGGCTGCAGAAGGTCGTATCTTGTTTGCGTAAGTGATGTTTGGTTGCGGGCCTCGAACATAGCCTTGAGCTTTTTCATCAGAACAACGAACCACCTCGAGCGCCTTGACCCTGCGTTGTCTCGTCCCGGACGGATGGACGTGTGGGTCGAATTCAAGAATGCCTCCAGATGGCAAGCGGAATCTCTTTTCCGCAACTTCTTCCCATCAACGGATGAAGATGACGAGGTCATCGAAGGTGACCTTGAAGGCGTCGACCTTCCGACGCCCCCATCGCCACGGTCACCAGCATCGACTGTCAACTCCACTCTCTGGTCGACGTCACCTTCGTTCCTATCTTCGACGTCTTCCTTGTCAATACCAAACATGAAGAGTACCGCATCTGCCAGTGACACGGATTCGAATGCTAGCGGATCTCCGGCGCAGAACCGGGCGCATCTTTCGACGCCCGTTGAGGAGCATATTGCTGCTTGTCAACACTCGTCGAAGCCACTGGACGGCAGAACGCTTGCGCAACTTGCCAAGCAGTTTGCCGATTCAATCCCAGATGAGGAGTTCAGTGTTGCAGCTCTCCAAGGATGTACGTGATCAGCACTCTGTACACACACAATCTCACATCTCTCGCGCTCTTTTAGACCTGTTGAAGAATAAGGCACGGCCCGAGGCCGCCGCCAATGACGCTGTCGCTTGGGTCATCAGCGAGCGTGAGATGCGGGAGCGCCTCAAGAAGGAGCGAGAGGCTCGTGAAGTCAAGGAAAAACTCGAAGTGAGTATCAGCTGTACGGAACGGCCTGGGCTGCCCATATACTACCTAGTGAACGTTTTCTAATTGTTTGTTTTAGAGAGAGAAACGGCGCAAAGAACTCCTCGAGAAGGAGAAGGAGCAGGCTGAGTCGGAAAAGAAAGAACTTGAGCTAGCTAAGTTGAAACTGCAACTGCAAGAGCAGGAGAACAAGGACAAGTCTAGCGCTGAGAAAGCAAGCGAGGTTAAGGACAAGTCTGAGGATGCCAAACCTGCTGACGATGAGATCGCACCTCATCTTCCATCTGTTACTCAACCCGCTGAAGTGATCAAAGGCGAGTCGAGTACTGACGAAGACAGTGATGAGGAGAACACGCCTCCACATGATGGTTCTGCCTGGATGGCCATTTCCCCGGCAGCACCTTCGAGTTGACTCAGTACCACAGTCTCAGCTGGCGGCCCATCCGGTGATGTCTCTGTGGTTAACCCAGATGCTTATGGCGACAACAATCCTGCTCCGGCTTCTCTTCAACCAGTGGCTGCCGCAGCGTCATCTGCACTACTTCGTCGCCACGCGGGCGGATCTGACCTCGTGTATTATATGCTTCAACTCTATCTCGCTCATCTGTACGCTTTCCTACTGCATTTCGACCCCACGCAGCGCCGGAGACTTGTCTAGACGGCATAGTTTGCCTCTGGCTCACACATAGACACGCCGTTGCTGATGTTGTCATCTCCCATCGCGCCCTGCTTTCCAGCCTGCATATTTGCTCCTGTATATATATAAAAGTGTTGGTTTGTTTGATTTCTGTACATCGTTTCATTATCTCGGTCAAAACTTCATCGCAGTAAAACATTCCATCCAATTTATCATCATTCATCATCCATCCTACGTCACAACCGCAATTCCAAGCACTCATTCGCACCCCCGTGTCATTCTTTTTGGTAGTTTTAGGTTGAGCGTAAACGGACTAGTAGTGCTATTGAATAAGATGCCGTCTTGAGCACTTTATTTATGGAACCCGCCAGCCCGAGGGGCTGTTAGCACATGTGTGCTTCAAAGCTTCATGTTCAATCGCCTACCAGGTAAGACATAACAATTGCGAAGTTCTGCGAAAACACTAGTCTGCTGGCACGTGTCAGCTTGAACAATGCATGGATTAACTAGAGACGGGGCAGGCCCCGAATACATACTCTAGATACAGCTAACCCACAGTAGTACTGTCCGCCTTGGAGCCACACGCCCCCCAGGACATTAAAATGATACACCAACCAAGCTTTGAAGCACAAGGCGAATATACAGACCTATCCAGTTGATACATTGACATACTACGAATACATCGCGCTAAATTACACGGATTTCTACATAATCTGAAATATTACATATTCCATTAAGCCTTCTAAGTTGCGATTGGACAGCAATTCATTCAAGGTTGTATCAAGCTCAGGCTCTGGGTGCTCCAGGCTCAGTAAGCAGAGACTTGCTTCGGAATACCGTTGGGGAAGTACTGCTTAAACAGGTCTGGGTAGTGACGCTCTGCAACGTCAGGGTGACTCCTGCGAAAGCGCCGCTCAGTCAGTATATCTCATAAGTCGATGGAAGACCTCACTTGACGCGTCCGATCAAGTTCACTTTTCCGGACGGCTCGCGGTCGAACTCGGAAAAGTTGACAGCTGTGGGTGAAAAAGGATATGTGATATCATGATACCTCACTGGATCGCAGAATCAATGCTTACAGTCTGTCTTAACTAGGTCACCACGGAACTCTTTGAGCCTAAGGACCTCAGGGGGGACTAAGTAGCAAAGTATGAGGAGAACTTCTCTCGTGACGATGCAATATAGACCGTACAGTCCATTACTTCGTTAGCAAGCCTTGCGTTCAAGCTGATGTTCTGGAAGAACGGGACGGAGTAACGGGGAGTGGAGCCAGCGGGGGGCGACAAAACGCGATGCGACGTGGCACGTACGAGCCCTTGCGTGACAAATTCAATCGCTTGTTTATTTGTCTTCTGAGTGAGACCAGAGCAATGGAAAGGGGAAGCGGTGCCAACCTTTGCCAAAGTTCACCACGAATGTGCCTGGGATGGGAGGCGCATCGATCCACTGTCCCGACAAGTTCTGAACTTGCAAGCCGGGGTGAGACGAGGCTTGTAGCAGCTGCCAGTACGAAGTGTCAGTTCATCGACTTATGGTTCCTCCGCATGACTCACAAAGGTTAGAAAGCCAGCATCATAGTGGGGCCCAACACCTTGGTCCGAGCTTGATTCATCGTTGGCTGGGTACTTGACCACCTAGGAGACCAGCATGAGCAGGTGCCGCAGCCATAGCTAGGACATCAACACCGTCACCTTTCCGCGATGTTGCATGAGCTCATTGCGATCATAAAACTTGTTCAGCGCATTCGCGGGGAGACCCAGTGCTTCTGAAATTAGAGCGATGAACTTGTAGCTGAGCTCTTGTACTTCAAGCAGGTAGCGTTCCATGGTGGCCTTGAAGCCTGGCAGAAGGTTCTCATCAGGCCACTGTGCTGGGGAGTTAGTCCAGAGTCTCCACCAGAACCGGAGATCGTTGATATATGCGTACCTGAGCAGGGCCCCACAACCGGATGTGTTCCGGAGCACCAGGCTTCCATTGGGTCTCATGGGGTGTAGCAAAGTCAAACTGCTCTCGATAATCTTGCTCCCCTTTGGTGAACTCCATCCCGAGCTTGTTGTACCCAAGGAAGTGAGGCGAGTTGGCCATGACGATACGGTCCTTAGCTTCCTGAGGCAGGTCAAAGAGACGCGGTATGTACTCGATCAGCGAATCCACATCACGCAGGGGTACAGGGTGATTCTTGAGGTAGAGGAAGCCGACATTGATCAGTGCGTCCTGGAGCTGCTTGATGAATGCAGGCTTAGTGAGCGGGTCCGAGACGAGAGAGAAGTCGAGGATGGGGACGCTAGAGAAGTTGGCCGCCATGGATCTGGTGTTGGACAAGTTCGAGAGTGCCAGTTAGGGAGTCTATCTGTTAGATAACTGGTTTTGTGGGCACCATGAGGGGATCTGTCAGCAGGTGCAGCAGCAAATGTAGCCTCTAACGCCATTTCTCACAGGTATGGCGCTGAGGACTGGGAAATACTGTTCTGCGAAGGCATCTGAGAAGTTGCGCTGAGAACTACGATGAATGGATTGAGCGGGTCGACGTACATGCCCCCCTCCAGCTATGAGGTTGGGCTGGCCGACATCATGCATCATGCATCATGAGTCGACCCGAGCTGAGCGCTGAATATTGAATAGGTAGCAACTGGGAGACCTTACACCACCAGTCAGGGGCTCATACAAAACTGATTGCTCTGCCATGTAAGGACCATCGGCCCATTTAGCCACTGGCCCGAGCTTACGGAACACCTCTTCCGCAGACACGCAACGCTGCAATAGGCTGATACCAAAGGTAGGTTGAATGGTCATTGAGTCTAGTAGGCCAAGGTTTGACATGTCAACATAAGGGTAGGAGGTGTAGTAAATAAGATATGCTGGAGCCGCGCTGCTGTGAATTCAATAAACATTCTGAAGTCATGTACTAGGGTCGGAAACCGAGCAACTAAACCAGGCTGCTCCTATGGGCGGTGGGCTCTGATTGGAAGACTGTTTTGTCTCCTACGTTTCTCCACCAACAAGTAGCTCACTACAAGTCGTGTCGTTAGAAAATCTTCCCAATTTCTACTAAAGATCACTGACCAATAATCTTTTCTAACGAGGACATCGCTTCCTTTTTGACATCCATCCTGGCACGTTGAGACATCCGCCAGACGAAGAAGTGACGCTGATATGGACGGTACTCTGCTATGGGTGTTTTGTCCCCGTCATTCTCCTTCACGAGCTTGAATGCCCTTAAGTAAGCTTGCCATAGGAAGGATCGAGGATTACATACCTGAAACATCCGCTTTTCCATCCTCCACCGGTACTCAACTCCGTCTCCACCAGTGAACATCCCGCCGCTACATGAATTAGCTTTGAGCATCTCACTAAAACAATAATTACACGCACTTCTTCTGGTCATAGTTGATGAATTCAGTCGCCGGCATCCACTCCCCTTCTTGACCGTCTGGGTTGAAGCGAACCTTCATTTCTTGCTTCGGTAACCATTCGATTTCTGCTATAGTCGTCACACAGCGCATCTCAAAATCATGCTTGATGACTTTGGTGAGGCGCGGATGCCAGAAACGAGTGACAACCTCGTAGTATATCTTGTCATTATCACTGGCAAAAGTCGTGTTGCGGATGCTGTTGGTCGCAATATTCAATTTATGGGGAGGGTCAGGCTTCTTTGGCGGAGGAGGCATACTGAGACGAGCGGAATTGAGCTTTAAAGAAGAGACTCTTGGGTGACTCCAAGGTAAGGGCAGGGAGCTGATCACCGAGGGACTTAAAAGCAAGGGCTCCCCGTGGATGCCGGTGTTTACCGTGGTAGTGGGCCCTATTTCAGACGCGAGAGTCGCAGACGATTTGGTAAAGCAGCTGTTCAAGACGCCCAGGGATGGGAAAGATACAAGAATAACGAGACGTTTGAGGCGCAGCCTGGGTAACGAGCAAGAGGTGGCCGGGTCGGTTGAGTCTCAAACGTGTCCGGATCAAGCACGCACGGTCGGAGAATGGGTATGCGCGGGTTCGTTCCCAGACGTCGTGAGTGTGATTAGCCGTGCATCGAGACCATGGTGAGACCGGCAGTGCATATGAGGAGTTTGCAGGAGATACGATGTGCTATGCTAACGCTAGAGCCGTGGGTGACGTCGACAAGGATGCCACCAAAGTAGACATGGAGACGTCGTTTTTGATTCGATTTGATTATGGATGGTTATGGATATTACAATCCGTCGTAGCGAGCAAGATAGGATGGATCATTCGGGAACGCGGCCGGGAGTTGATCGAGCGCGCGGAAGGGCGTTCCATAAGCTGAGCTTAAGTATTGCAGTATGTCAACGTTTCAACATTAACGCAGTGTGACACTTGAAATTTCGGATATTTCGACAATAGTCAAAGCCATTTCGTCACATTTGGAAACCAGACTCTGACTGGCGGCCTCGCCCTTACCCCACCCCCGTGTACGAGTGTCAATACTCAGTACTCAGTACGCAGACATCGATTGGCTTTCGTAGACTCCTTTCAGGCCTCCTTCATTCGCTCTCCGGGTATCCTTACAATACAAACAGATGCCCCCATCCAATGTCAATCGCTTGAAACCCTCCCAGCAATCTCCCATTGAACCCAAGTCTCCCCTGCTTCCCATCTTTGCAACCGTGGACGATGAGCTGCGCGATTTACGACGGACGCAAGCACAAGGCCAAGAAGAGGACCTACGATATGCCTTGGATAGAGTGATCAAACGCGTTGAAGAATTGGTCTGTCCTTTGTCCTTGCCAAGACCTCTCACCTCGATCTCACATCTTGGTTAGTCTTCGCTCCTCAAGACAGCTTACAAGACACAAGCTGAACTCGAGGCCTCACTGAGCGTCGCCAAATCGAATCTCACTCTAGTAATATCCAACAATGAGATGCTGGAAGAAGCACTACGGCGAGAACAACCTGTAAGCGCGAAGGATGTTGGTTGGCGAAGATGGAGCGCACGCGAGGCCCAAAACCAGGAGCAGCGTAACTCAGAGGAACGAACCAGAAGCCTAGATTGCGGCTCGACGACTTCGACCGAGAACGGTGAATCGCCTCAGCCTCCAAGCACTGTGCCCATCAACGGGAAACCAGGGACAACCTCACCGGTACTTTCTCCTGCTCCGTCAACGTCGGAAGGGCGTTTTTTCAAGTTCAGGTTCAATGGAGGCGAGTTCACTGTTAGAATTCTGGTCGCCACCCTAACCTTTTGTCAGGCTCCAAATCCCCTCTTCCTCCACACCCGTCCCACCTGACATCACCCTCGCTCCCTTCACTGGTTTCGAGCACCAGAGAAAAGGAGTTTGAAGATCTTCAAGAGCAACTTGAGAAAGAGCGTAAAGCCCACAAAGCTAGCGTAGATGAGAAATCAGCTCTTGAAGCCGAGCTCGAGTCCTTATCTCAAGCACTCTTTGAAGAGGTAAAAACATGTCCTTACCAATTTCAATTTTACAGTTACTAACTGCTAATATATCCTTGAAGGCTAACAAGATGGTCGCCACTGAGCGTATAAAGCGCGCAGAGACCGAAGAAGAACTTCAAGAAATACGACTGGAAAAGGATGCCCTTCGAAGAGCACTCCGTTTAATAGAGGACGAGAATGGTCAGCTTCGTAGTGCTAGCGTGACCGCTATTGAAAATACCATGGCGGGACCTTCTTCAGGAGTTCTATCCGACGGCACAGATCTTCCTTCAGTGGGCTGGCACTCTCGCTCTTCTTCCCGCGTTGCCTTGAAATCTCCCCTGCATTCTCGAACAAACTCAATGCAGGCTGTGAAAGATCACGTCCTTGATCAGGCATCAGATGTGACAGTCGAGATCGCTCAATCCCCTGGAAGTCCTTCCCCGACGCGAGACCATTTAGTAGACTTCTCACTGGAACCCGCGCCTAAACCATCGTCGCGAGGGGTATCTCTAGAGGACACGGAATCATTTAAATCACTGGACTCGCCGCTAGAACCTGCTTCTGATACTGACCAGGCTACATCAGGCTTTGACAGCCCTACAGTAGTCCAACCTCCCCCTGAAGCCGAAGAACTTTCACCATGGGCAGACGCCCCATCTAGCCCACCTCCTCGGCAGCAAGCAGCGACATTCACATAAACATTGACCGTACATTGACCTGTCCCGTGGAACGCAGAAGATACATTTTACACTTAGCTTGGTGCTGGTTGCTGTACTCGTAGGCTTTTGTATCCGTGCAAGGAGTCGCCATGAATTGCAACAAACAATGGATGATGTCGGACTCACCGATATTGCACATTAATCCTTCAAGCCTATGTTAACTATACTCTGCCGAACAGGGCATCAAAGTAATCTTTACGTGATTTCTTGTGTATAGAACCCTTGGGTTTTAGCTCATCTCAGTTACAACGTCTCACCGACAGCAGGCATCTGCAACAAGCCCAAAACACGCTCGAGCACATTCTTGTTCAAAAATCTTAATTTTTTTTTGACTCCATATGATTCATAGTAGATCGGTTGCATATAATGCCCTGCAGTTTCAGAACGCTAACCGCGTTCCTCCCGTCCGCGTCAACACTAGTGCCGGTCAGCAAAAATATCGACATCACGCTCACGTTTGAAGTCGCCGCAGCATCTGTTACTTCGATCAGCCTTCTTCTCACGATAAAATGATCTTCGTATGCTTCGGAACCTTTGCTTCCAGCGTCAACACTGACTCAAGAGCACGCCAACAATTCATGAGAATACCTTTCTTGACCTCAGGCTCCTTGCATGGACAACGTCCAAAAGTCTACCACGTACGAGCGCACACTGGAGTTCTGTTCTCACACTGTTCTATTCATTCACTTACGGGAGCCTAAACCAATGGTATCAGCTTCACAGGTGATTGCCATAGGAGGATGTGCTATCCTTAGCGCAAACATCCACAGCCATGCGACTGGACTTAAAGATGTACGAGCCTCCTGTTCATCACTCTTCCCGGTGGGCGGCCATCTCCCATGTCAGTGAGTGCTACAGCGGCGATTGTAGACTACGAGACGGAGATTGCTCTTAGTCTCGCATACTGCACCGGTGAGTTATAACCTTCACGCGTGTTCTATGGTGCAGTTCACCTAATCACCGCTTGTTTTGTACAAGAGGCTTGAAAGCTATATAGAGCCCTTGATTTTGGCCCTGAGAACAATTCCTTTAGAGAAAATGCAGCGTTTGGCCTAAGGAACAAAACCTCTAAACCGATTTCGCTGCAAGTGAAATTTTCATAAAAATTACCCTTCCGAATTGCCGCTTACATAATAATTAGTCCATATATGGGAATATAGCCCCCTATCTCTACCACTAATCAACCCAAAATATGTTTTATTGAGATACAATTTTCTTCTCAGCCCTGGCAACAACGCCTTTACTTCCAAGTTTGACCTATTTCAGCCATAAAATTACTGTTTTGGGATGCAATGGTCGGGCCCCCCTTCAATTGCCGCTTACGTAAGCTGTACCAAACAAGCGGCAACTAGGTGAACTGCACTATAGGTGTCCCCAACTATTCCTTAAATAGCTGCGACGCTGTCGATAGTAATTTACGACTATTGTGAGTGTTGATCCTCTTCGGACGAAGGTAGCGCCGACAAATTCTGACATATACTGACAAATGATGCAGCGCTGACACTCGAGAGAGAAGTGCGTAGACATCTGCGAGATACATCGCTCGTAGACTGACACAATATCCTTGACATGAAGGTTTCATTGATATGGGCAAGTCATGCATGGCGTTTGATCAGCACAACGTGAAAGTTTATTGATGCTGGAACGCAGAACAGGACGTGGAAATTGGTGTCATATCTGTATTTCTTCGTAAGTAGTAATCACAACAACGTATTTTGATACATCCTTTTCATACCAACTATATTGATAGAACCGTTACGTCGGGTTGTTGGCTGCTATGTGCGTACTCATCTTGTTACGACGATCAACCCCTATCTAAACATTGGCGACTATGAACAGCCTCGAGTTACTGGGTAAGCAAGCCTTCTATGTTGGCGGAGACACAACCTTGATTGCTCGTTAGCGTACATTGGCAAAATTCCCTGGTCGACCTCGGTATGATCTTCCGTTCGGTATTGTTGCAAAAGACGATGCCGCTAACTCAGCCTTTCAGGAGTATGTTGCTAGCTGCACGGTCTAATACTAAGCTTGAACCTTGCGCTCATTTTGTTTAGATGTAAGCTTCTCCAAACATCCTAGTAAGAATTATTTGTTGACCAACAGCGCAGGTACATCGTTGTACCTGACCGGCATTTGGGTCAGTTTTGCCCTGCAAATATCCTTTCAAGGTGAGATAGAGGCATTCACTCGTCCGATATCCGTCTAACTAGTTCTCTGCTCCAGGTATCATGCAGATCTGCGTTTGGGCTATGTACAAGAAATCGAGAGCCATCTTGGCCGTGATGCTGGTTGCCTTCTTGTTTCAAAATGGCGTTATTCTGTACGCCAACATTGAAACAAGTATTACTACTCGAGGTAAGCACCGAAAAATATATATATGTCGAGCTCTCTATAAACTTCTTCTGGCTTTAGACGTCATGTCCATATCGGTCGACCATCTCTATTTTTGCTCCCCGGACTCGGAGGGCAACCTGAACCTTGTGTTAATTTCATATGTCCCGGTGGTCTTGTTTGACGGACTGTTGCTATCTCTTGCAGCGTTCAATTTTCTCGTGCACCTGCGGAATACAAGGAGGGTTATTAGATACCGGAATCCTAACTCATGGATGAGGCTCTTGATATCTCAACACCTCATCTATTTTGTACTGTTAGTGAGTTCCCTCATGAGATCTAGAGATGTTGTTCGCTGACGTGAATTACTACTAGTTCTGTATTCACAGACATTTTGCTTCTAATGGCTTCGATCACCTCCAACGTGTGTAACTTCTTTACACGACGGGCCAGAGTATTTAGCTAATAAATCGGGTTTGAAGGGAACTTTGCTCGAGCTGGCGAATGTATTTGGGTATCTAACTTTCTACCTCATGGGCCCGCGACTCGTCATCAGCTTCAGGACGCATGGATTTGCCGTTCAGACTAGTACTCTGGTTGACGCCGAGGAGGTGGAAGCCGACTCTGCCATAGAGATGACTGGAAGATTTGTCTCAATACAGTATCTCAAATTTGATGGTCCAAACCAGTCATCTGCAACAACGTTGTATCGTAATTAGCAGAGTATCAAGAAAACCTCTTGTCTGATAAATCCTGCCAATATTAGTCACTGTTGGTACTCATTCCTTTGGGTTATTTCAAAGCTTTGTATGTTTCTGGCGTTAAATTGAAGAAAACCGAAACGAGGTGATTCTTAGCCGAAAATGGGTATGACTTTGGCAGAACTTGGTTCGGAAGCAGTAAGACGCGCTCCACGGATACGTTCTTGTCTAGATGTCCCTCGCCCGACCTGGTGTAGCTCAGCGCCGTTCCGGGCTCCTTTCAAGCAATCCTACAACGCCTACAAGAACAGCACTCAGCGTCGAAGAATGGGAGTCCAAAGCGCCCCTTGATGATTTGGCCGTTAAGAGTATTGCGCTGGTCAAGGAGGCCAGTGAGAAGGTTCCATTGCCGGTCAAAGTATGGATGAGTACCTCGCTATCAGGCAAGTGAAACTGAAGCAGCTCAAGTTCAGCGCTGCAGACGCAGAACCGTCGCGCCCTTCAACACCCATCTTGCGCGGTAAACTGATCGGATCCGGGTCACGACCGTCCACCCCTAGTGCATCGAACCGCCCCCTTCCAACAGCACATGCCCTCGATCCCAAGGATGCGATTCAGACTCCTCAGCAGTTCTATGATTGGTTCGCGAAGATTGACCGCTCCGTGGCACATAGCCAAGAGGCCCACTTTCGAGCGCACGTTGCTGCTGTGACAGAACGCATTGACGCCGTGGATATGATCCTGGACCGTATAGATAAAGTGGACAAGGATGTGGACAGCATGCTGCACGAATGGCGCGTCGTCGAAGAGGGAGGCCGAAGCTTGAAGGATGCTTGCGAGAAGTTACTAGAGGAACGAGTGAGTCCTCTCAAATACGCTCCTCAGCTGCCGCTCACGAGCAACTCCAGGAGCAACTCATCGATCTCACCGATGAGATCGGCTCAAGGCTAGAGTACTTCCATGAGCTTGAACAAGCCACAAGGATGCTCAATCATCCTGGTGAATCCCTCGTGCTACAGACAGACTTCTTGTACATGGTCGAGCGTGTCGACATATGCATCGAGTACTTTGAATCGCATGTACGTTACATCGCGTATCATCGACCCCTAATCTCACTGGCATGCAGCGTAATTTCAGAGAAGCCGATGTTTATCTTCTACGCTTTCAACAATGCATGACCCGTGCTATGACGCTCATCAAAATGTTCTTCGTTGGGTCATTGCGTGCCCTCACTGTCGACGTGTCAAGGCGCTTGTCAGAGAAGGTCGAACATGATCAGACTTTGTTGGCAACTGTATCCTAACAAGCTTCTATCTAGGATGTGTCATCGACAGCTCAGACTCACCTGTTGTATACACGGTTTCGAAGTGTTACTTCCCAGCTAGCGCCGCTGCTCGGCGAACTGGAACGTCGTGCCTCGGCACATCCGGAAGAGCTGTCAGCATTGCTGTCCGAGTGCCATGTAGCTTATTTCAGCGCTCGAAAGGGGTTGTTAGTGAATCGTCTCGTAGAAGAAATAAGAGGCCTGGACCCGGCGCACACTGAGCTTGTCGAGCTTGTATGTCATCGCTTGATCACTGTGCGGAAGCTTACCCTCCAATACAGACCAGCGCTGGCTGTAGCTATCTGAAACAACTCTGTACGGATGAGTTTGACTTGTTCCGGGAATTCTTTAATTCGGGAGCGGATCAGCTATAGTAAGTTTAATAGTCCAGGTTCATACCCACAGGTCTGATTATTGCCCTTAGCCCTTATCTCGAAAACCTATGCGACTATCTTTACGACGACCTTCGGCCCCGAATCCTTCACGAGCAGCGCTTAACAACACTTTGTGAAGTTTGCACCGTTCTGCAAGCCTTAATGGTTCTCGACGTCTCCGAGTTGCCGGATGAACCTCTGGACACCGATGTCCCCGACCAGCTAACCATGGATTTCGAGCCCCGCAAGCCACCAGGGCTACAAAAACTACATATTAGCCGTCTGCTCCAAATGGTCCTACAAGATGCACAAACTCGGCTGTTTTTCAAGGCTCAGTCCGTGATCCAAGCTGAAATACGGCATTATGTGCCCAAACCAGAAGACCTTGCTTATCCCGACAAACTTGTCGGTAAGTACATATAGGATAAGTAGAAATCTTTGGCTCAACTAGCGCAGCCGCCAAGAAGCCAACGTCCCAAATCCGGTCGCAAGAGAAAGGCGAATCCAGGCAGCTATTTCAGCTACCCTCGTTCGATAAACAAGAGACATGGTTCCCTACATTACAGAAATGTGTATGGGTGCTTTCACAGTTACATGACTTTGTCAAGGTTTGTGTTGTTGAATATCAATTACGATAAATGACTGAAAGGTCCGTAGCCCGCCATTTTCGAAGATATTGCGCAGGAAGCCGTGAGCTTATGTCGCCAATCCTTGGTTTCAGCATCCAATTCGATGAAAAACACCAGTTCTTCTTCAGCAAGCTTGGATAGCGACCTGTTCCTTGTTCGCCACCTCCTCATTTTGAAAGAAGTGGCCAACAACCTCGATTATATCCAGCAGGACACCAAGCCGGGTCCTGACTATGGTGGCGTTGCGGATACGTTAGCATTGCTGGTCAACAAGACAACGTCCTTTCTGCCTGAAGCAATCTTTTCTTCGTTGCGAACGTCTCGAGGGCATGACAGCTTCGGTGACGCAAAAGTGGTATGTACGATTCTCACACATCCAACACACCCTGTGAATTCGTTTTTTTAGAACATCGATCAGGATTTACGGAAGTCGTGTCGAGAAGTAATATCGAGCTGCTCAACTCCAATAGGGTGGCCTCTGCGAGACTGGACCGACCGAGTCCGCGCCCTTACCAGTCGCACCGGTACTGTTGAACAGGTGCAGACGTCCTTGATGGCCCAGGAATGGGCTCAGCAAGCGGCGGCCGAGAACCTGCACAAGAAATTCATCGAGGCTTGTGAACGCGATCTCAGGTCTTCTGTCGCACGTATGAAGCTTTACCTCGAAGACAGCCGAACGGTGTCCGTATTAGTGACGCATGTTCAAGAAACTATCGAAGATGACTATGCGACTTTTCGGGATGTAGTATGGACGATGTACGCCGGGTCCTTGAGGGATGTAGTACTGTCAACGGATGGTCTGAAAGACCTGCTAGCACAAGTCTGTGAGTAGTTTCATACCCCAGCATGTAGTAGAGCAAGTAGACATTTATAATCACTCAAAAGCCAAGTACTGGTTCTGAACCACCGATGACGCGGACGGGTGTTGCCGAAGTTGTTGTGATTTAATCAGTTACTACTCAAGATCCGGTACCAGCTCATCCGAAGATTCATCACAGTCAAATCGTGAATGCTATCATCGTCACTAACAGCATCTCCGGACCATGCTTCAGTTTCCTCCAGATGACTTGCTTGCATGCAGCAGGTTTTTCCTTTTGACCGACGAGATCTCCGCACCCGCCGACTTCATCTTGCATCGGCTCCTTGCGCAAAAGTACAAGGCCAGCAAAGGAAGCAAGGTGATCGTTCTGTCAACATCGAGCGACCTAGACAGATGGAAGACTCTGGCGAGCAAGTCTGTGCGTGATAGATCAATCATGTCCAGCGGGTGGATGTAACTATCTCCAGAACATCAATCTTGGGCAATTGGCTACCAACGGCAGCTTCATCTTTGTTGACCTTCTCAATGAAGCTGTACTCCCAATCTCTGAACCGTTCGGCAACGCCATTACACGAAGTCTACGGCCACTTTACGATATGGTTGAAACTGAGTTATCTGTCGCTGACGTCGACAACCGACCTCTCGTCATTCTCGATGATGTCTCTTCTCTGGCATGGCTCGGTTTCAGCACGCTTGAACTAAGTCGGTTTACCCGCGCAGTTTGGGCTATCTGCAGAAAGGTACGATGGGTTAAACGTATAACAAGCTTCTTGAAATCTTGGTGTTCAATCATTGATAGTCCAACGCATCGTTGGTGTGCCGATATCACATACTCGACCCCGCCGAGCCCGAGTCTCTCTTCCAGAAGCTCCTGCAGCTGGCCTCCTATCATATCGAAGTGAGGCCGTTGGCCAGCGGACGCAGCGGGGCAGTTAGCGGAGAAGTAAGTTCATGGTCAAACACCGACTAGGCTGGTGTAATGTCTGATATTAATGTTCGTAGGTCTGCATGCACCTTGGACCATCTGAACCATCCCCAGATCTTCACCTAATCTCTCGACAAGCTGCCGTACAGTACCGGCTAACGGATATTGGTTCTGTGTTCTTTGAGAAAGGTACTAGCGTAGGGGTATTGTGAAATCGACCGCTACAAGCACACTACACCGTAGAGTTACCAACGAAAACGGGCACATTTTTTAATCATATTTTGTCTACATAATAGCAGGAGCACAGAGCTAGGTGTTGCCGCCCATGAGAGCGTTCGATTACGACTTTCAAGCGCGTCTGAGACTTCAGTCGCGTCGAGATGCATATATGTAGCAAGCCACTGCAACATTGCACGAGTAATCGACGTACGTTTCCTGAAGTCAGTAGTGCGTGCTCTCCAACCACATCACCTACAAGCACTGAGCCATGCAACGATAACCTGATGCCCTCAGTTGTCTCTCTCTAACACGAGCCTTCCTCCTGATGTCAGACGCGGCGCTTGACAAGCTATTTGACACATGCACTCTAGAACTCTTTGCGACAGATACATCGGTTACATTCCCGGAGCAGAACACCGACGTTGATCTTTGGCTGTCTCGGTTAAAACAGGAAAATACACAGAGGAGACAAGTGTTCTTCGGTAAGGCAGATCATGTTTCCTGCCAGTTGCACACTGAGGTTACGAGCCTCCAGATGAGCATTTACAGCTGTATCTAACAGTAAAGATACCCGTTGCTAGCAGCTCGTCGCCCACGAACCCGCCCGACTCCCTACTTGAGTTCCTAGCCTATACTCAGGTTTCTCTTGAGGCCACATATATATCGCCGCAACCCTCAGGGGCAACCCGGCAGTCTGTCGTTCTTGCACCTCCCCGCCCCTCTTCTGTTCCACCTCCTGCAGTTCAAGCTCGCCCACGAACGTCGTCTCTGCATCCATCCATTTACCCACCTGTCACACCAAATCCGGTCCCTTCCGCTGCAGAAAGCGACCGTAAGTATGTCCAAGCGGAGGGAACACTCCTGCTGGCGCATATATGGGGACAAAACAGCCCCGCGGATAGTCCTGAACGGTTTGCTTTGTTGTTCTCAGATGCTCAGAATGCATGGATAGCAGTGTACAGGCTTTCAGTGGTCATCTGTGAGTCATTCATGGAAGTCTTCCTGTTTCGCGACTCATTCCTTGCGCGCTCAGCTTTTCTGCGATTGCCTATAGCTGATCCGTTGTTGTGCCTCACCGTGTCAACAACTCTGCGGGACATGCCGATCTCTGCGTCTCAGTCAAATCACCCTTTCATTGCTTACCTGTCCAGCGCTGGACTGCTTGGACCACTCAAGTCCACCTTTGCGACAGCAGAACAACTGGAAGAGGTAGCCGACGCTGAGGATCGCGAGTATGCAGGGTTTGAAGAGATCAATCTTCTTGAAGGTCTGGCTTCAGGTGAGTTTTGATGGTCGCAGTGTGGTCCACAGTTTCAGCATTCAACCAATGGTGCGCCTTGTCAGGACCGACTTTTAGTTCGGAGTCAAACCCATTGTATCTGCCTTCCTCTCGTGTGACGGAAGGTGTACGACTCAAGCGGCTCTCTCAAGCTACCGTCTTTAGTCCTCCCCCTGCACCCTCACCATCCTCGTCAAGGCGAACTACGCGTCCAATCATGCGGAAATCTTTCCGTAAGGTGCTCCCAACGGTGTCTGGATTCCGAGTCCGCCTGCGCACTGTGTTTGTCCCTTATGTACTGCTTCCCGGGTACGAGGCGTCTCTTGATGAACGGGAAGCCGGAAGCAACGAGAGAACTGTCGTCCTTTGTGTTGAAGTTGAGAACTCTGGGGAATCTGGTCCCAATGTCGGATTCTCTGTTGAACGTGTCGACATCAGCATAGGAGGCGAAGATGCCGCTACGCGACTCATTGGATGGGGGGAAGACGGGCTCAAATCCGACGCCGAGAAACGTTTATTCCCTTTATCAGTAGCCTCTGGCGAGCAGTATAACCTGCTCTATGCTGTGTCATTTCTCAGCTCGCCTCAAGATAATAGTGGTGCTCGCGCGTCGGTTTCGGGCTTTCCCAGCCAATCGAATCAAACGCACAGCACGGGATTGCAGCGCGCAGTAACAATAAACATTTTAGGAAAGCCATTTGAGAAACAGGATCAAGATGACTCAAGTCTACCCGCTCCTACTCAGACATTTTCGTCAAAGTGGAACTGCGTGCTTGACCTCTCGGCAAACCAATCCTCCAAAGAGGACTCCGTTGGGTTTTCAGATCCCTTCGGAGGAACTCGTAATGCCCTCCCAGAGCCAGCTTCACCTTTCCCAACTCAGTCAGCCTTTGGTATGAGTCCACTTGGTACACCGCAAGGTCGCGCAGGTCTCGAGATAAAGAGGCATACATTGCCTGGATTCGCTGGGGCGTTGCGAGCGGGTGCAGGCAACATCGCTACCAATTTCAGGCTATCCCTGCCCGGACAGGATCGATCGGCGTCCCCCAATCCGCCCAGCAGACTGTCATATACCCCTCCATCGGTCGCCATGCAGGCGTACAGTCGCTCACCCCGAACGAGTTTCTCGGCTCCAATTAACGCAGCCAGCGTCGACAATGTATCCACGTCTGAAACACTCGTTGCTCCACTGACGCCAGCCTACCCTGCATTCAGTCCTCGAATGTCGGCACCTCCTGTGCCTTTCTCTCACCCTCTCGGGGCTCAACAAAGCGTATCTGGTCCCAGCGTTGAAATTCGACGGGACCGTGGGTCAGCGTATGGAGGGCCTGTGCCGCCAACCCCTGGACCAACGGTGGGGACTCACCCAGTAGCTGATCCCATGCAAAGCGCACAAGCATCTACGGGTGATCCCATCATCGTTTCTGTTGGCCTTCTTCCACTTGCCCCGATAGAAACAGGGAAGTCGGATTCAACTGTTAGGATGATATTTCCTTCGGACACCTTTACTCTTGATATATTCGTTCTCAACCGGAGTTCATGGACGCGAAGGTTTGAAATCAGCTATCCTGATAATGCCCGGCAAAAACCTATTCCCTATACGGGAAGTAAATTGGAAGGGCGCGCAGCTTTCGAAGAGCTCAGGGATGCCATTAATCCGCCCGGCGTTCTCCCGTTGCAAAACAGAATACGTATTGGGTGAGCTTACTTTCTTTCAAGAATAGATCTTATTGTCGAGCTCGTTTCACTCAGACCCTTGCGACCCTCAACCTCACAGTCAGTGCGAATGGATTTCACAGCACTAAGATCAGGAGTGCACTCGATAGATATTCTGACTTTAACCGATATTGAGAGTGGATTCAGACGGAATTTGCGGTGAGCAATTACGTTCGTCATGCTTCATGTTTGCTTACAACAAGGATAGATCAGTTCTAGACGTCGTCGTGCATGAACGCCAGGAGTCACAATGAACGAGTTAATTTCAATTTATAGCATAACATATGTACAAGATGGGACAAAGCGGAATGTGGCCAAAGCTAATCGAAGACGTAGGAGGAAAGCGTACAAGATGAGTGAACAAACGAAAGTGCAAATCTTACACGAAATCAAGCTAGCTTCAACTTAAATCCACTGAGATTTGTCCCAAGCTGGATCCTGGAGAAAGGCGCACAAGACCTTGCTGCCCGTCTGAGTGATTCGGCGTCAGTAGCATAATCACAAATGTTAAAGAGTAGAATATGGCTTACCTGGAGAAGCGGGTGGCCAGCAACGACGCTGAGGAAGCGTTCCAATCCCTCCCTCCTGCTTTCAATGACTTCGTCGGAGAATCGGTTGGTGAACACCTTCCCAGGGAGAGGAGGGATGTTAACCCGGGTAGATTCGCGTTCCAGGATGTCGCGGAACGCTTCAAAGTCCGAGTAACGCCTGCGAACGAGAGAATGACGCAGCTTAAAAGCCGGGATGTTGGTCTAAGTTAAGGCGCGGGTGAGCTGAGCTAGCGGTTAAAGGACTGCAGGCGGGTATATTGAGGCATACCTTGCACACAATCTCATAATCCGTAAACATCTTCCGACCAAACCCTACGAGGGAATCAAGCCGTTATGGTCAATAGAAAACGGGGAATGCGCTTACCATGCGTTTGGGGGTTTCGTACTTCAATTTCCAAGAAGCTCTCTGGTACACTGTACATCTCTTCAATCTATAGGGCGCTTGCCTGCGTTTATACAATACTCCACATAACAAATATAAATACAGACTTACGGTCTGCTCGCGGCCATTCAGGCGGGGTTCATCAAAGGCAGGCGCACGCGCAAACGGCGAGACAGTAGACATGGCGGGCCTGGTTGCAATAGTTCAGAGAGGAGGTCGGAATGGAACCGTTCGGCTACTCGTATCGCGGTACACAGCAAGTGTCACGCATGTGACGTCTAATAGTGTAACACTTCTGTTACCGTGACAGCAACACAACACTTAAATCACGACAGTGCATTTGTTTCGCTATCTATCAACTCAATGCGTGAATGCCGAATGTTGGTCAGATTCTTCCAATAGGAAAAACCCAATAACCATCTCCGTACAAGTGGATTTCTACATCAAGCAATCAGAGAAGAATCTATTAGAAGGAGATATGTAGCTCCTACCTCCGAGTCCAGTGTCTAGCCCACCCATTCTCGAGCATTTTGGAACAGCTTGAACCACGGACCTCTTCCCTCCCAACTACTGCGGAACTGCTGCGGATACCAGCTATTGCTTTCCAACGTAGCCACCCGCTCCGGGTGGGGCATCAACGCCAGAATTCTTCCGTCAGGTGTCTGAACGCCGGTGATCCCACCTGGGCTTCCGTTCGGGTTAAGCGGGTATATCTCTGTAGGTGTACCACTCGAGTCGACATAACGCAAGGCGACCAAGCCGCCATCTTCAAGTCGTTGCTGCTGATCTTCCCCGTAGAAGGAAGCACGACCTTCGCCGTGTGCGACAGCCACCGGGAACCTTGACCCGCCCATACCTCGGAGGAAGACAGATGCCTCTATGACTTCATTCGTGGATATCTCAACCATGGATGTCCGACCCTCGAAGCGCTCGCTGACGTTACCCTTGAAGTCTGGCCACGAGTCTGCGCCTGGAATAATTGACCGGAGGTGGCTGAGGAACTGACAGCCATTACAAACCCCAAGCGCGAAAGTGTCCTCCCGGGCAAAGAAGTCGGTGAACTCCTTGCGTGCCAGATTATTCAGCAGCACTGAGTGTGCCCAGCCTTTCCCTGCCCCAAGGACGTCACCATAAGAGAAACCGCCACATGCAGCCAAGCCTTTGAAGCCCGACAATGAAACAGCTTCGGATAAGATGTCAGACATGTGGACGTCGACAGCTTCAAAGCCAGCCGCTGAGAAGGCCCAAGCCATCTCAATCTGGCCGTTGACTCCCTGTTCTCGCAATATCGCGACCTTCGGGCGAGAAGGACCAGCGACTGTAGAAGGTTGATACGAGAAGGTGAGATCATATTTCAAGCCTGAGTGAGATTCGTCGTTGATTAAATCAAACTCTTGCTTGGCAGATAAGGGATTGTCTCGAAGGGATTGCATCCTAAAGGAAGTTTCTGACCAGCTTGTTTGCATCTGTTGACGAGTGGAAGAGAACAAGAGACCAGATTCGTGAATGACGCGGAATGACTGATCCTTAGAATTTTCATTGACGCGCCCAATGACGTGGATCGAAGTGGAGGGGAAGTTGGCCGCGACAAAGGTCGATACCAACTTTTCCAAATCAGACTTGCGAACTTGGACTACAGCTCCGAGCTCTTCATTTAAAAGGGCGCTGACTGGGTCCTCTGACGAAGGAAGTGCATCGAGGGAGATTTCGGCGCCCACCCTCCCGGCAAAGCACATCTCAGCCAAAGTGGTGAACAGCCCACCATCTGACCTATCGTGGTACGCCAAAACAAGATCTGGGCTGCCTTGACGAGCTTTCTGACAGCCAACGAAGAACGATTTTACGACCTTGGGATCTTCTACATCTGCAGGCTCTGACCCGATTTCTTTGAATACCTGTGCCAGCGCCGAGCCACCCAATCGCTGCTTTCCGCCGGCTAGATCAAAGAGCACTAAGACTGTAGATTCGTTTACGTCGGTGCGTAATTGCGGTGTCCAAGTCAACCCGATGTCCTCAACGGACCCGAATGCGGTCACTATTAGCGACATCGGTGCACTGACCTCCCGCTGCTGTCCATCTTGCTTCCACTTCATGGACATGGACATAGAGTCTTTGCCGACAGGGATCCCAACGCCCAAAGCAGGGCATAGCTCTTCTCCGATGGCCTCAACCGCCGCGAACAAACCAGCACCTTCTCCAGCTTTAGACGCAGCACACATCCAGTTCGCGCTAAGTTTTACGCGGGATAGGTCGGAAACATTCGCAGCCGCCAGATTGGTGAGTGACTCTGCAATAGCCATTCGTGCAGAGGCTGATGCTTTCAACAGAGCGACAGGCGTCCTCTCTCCCATTGCCATTGCCTCGCCAACTTTGACGTCAAACCCGTAGCTTGACCGAGTGACGGCTACATCCGCTACTGGAACCTGCCAGGGTCCAACCATTTGTTCCCGTGCCACGAGACCTGTGATGGACCTGTCTCCGATCGTGATCAAGAACGACTTTGATCCAACAGAAGGAAGATGCAGAACACGTTCGACCGCTGAAGAGACGCGTTCCGATATAGATGGGGAACTAGGAAGGTAAGTCGACAAAGACGAGTCGAATGGTCTGAACAAGACTTTGCGAGCACTATCGCTCCGCGACATGCGCGGCGGTTTTCCGAACAGAGTAGACATCTTCAGCCGGATGACATCCTGTCCCAGTAGTCGATCCGTTACGATGAGTTCTTCTTCGACAGTGGCTACTCCGACGATCGAGAATGGGCAACGTTCTCGTTTTGCAATCTGCACGAAACTGTCTTCATACTCTGGGGCGACCGCGAGAACGTAGCGCTCTTGGCTCTCGTTACACCAAATTTCCATGGGAGACATCGACGAGTCAGCGACGAGGACATCCCTGATTTCGAAATTAGCACCAAGACCAGAGTCGTGGACCAATTCTGGGAGTGCATTGGACAGACCACCAGCTCCGACATCATGGATACTTTGGAGAGGATTTTGAACATCCAAAGCAACGCAGGCGTCAATGACTTGTTGACATCTTCTCTGCATCTCGGCGTTGTCTCTCTGAACGGAAGCATAGTCGAGCTCCGCCGAACTTGATCCTGATACCTGGCTAGATGCAGCGCCTCCACCCAAACCGATCAACATACCCGGACCACCGAGAACTACTATTTTTGCCCCCGCCGAGATAAGAGTTTTCTTAGCGAACTGAGGCCTAACGTTACCGTACCCTCCAGCGATCATGATCGGTTTATGGTATCCCCTTATCTCTTCACCCTGCCCATCTTCTGTCGCTGGTACCGCCTCGGAGAATGTACGGAAGTACCCGGTGAGCGCTGGTCGACCAAACTCGTTGTTGAAGGCACTGGCACCAAGGGGACCCTCAATCATGATGTCAAGGGCGGAGGCGATGTGAGCTGGTCGACCGAAGTCGGTTTCCCAAGGTTGTTCATGACCAGGTATCAGCAAGTTAGAGACGGTGAATCCAGCCAGTCCAGCTTTCGGCTTCGAGCCTCTTCCAACCGCGCCTTCATCACGGATTTCGCCTCCCGAGCCTGTTGCAGCGCCGGGATAAGGAGAGACAGCGGTAGGATGGTTGTGTGTTTCGACCTTGATGAGAATAGGCATGTCCTCGGAAGTATGGCTATACATATGCGAAAGCGATGTGCTACAGCTGAAACGAGATGACTTGGGTCCTTCGATTACTGCCGCATTGTCGGAGTATGCAGATATAGTACCGTGAGGGGAAACTTTTTCAGTGTTCCTGATCATCTGAAATAGGGATTTGTCTTTGGCAGCACCATCGATCGTCCAAGAGGCGTTGAAGATTTTGTGTCTACAGTGTTCCGAGTTAACCTGAGCGAACATGAAAAGTTCCGCATCGGTTGGATTACGACTGATGGGCGATGAGCCTGAAACGAATGCGTCGATCAGGTAGTCGATTTCGTCAGACGCGAGGGCAAGCCCAAGCTCTTTGTTTGCAGAGGAGAGACGTTCACGAGCTTGTGCGATGTCGACAGTCTCTCCAGTGCGCCCTAGCTCGACTGTACGGAGAGATGCAGGTGCCTGGTGCTTGAACACGAGGTCTTCGTGGGGTAGCGAGAGTTGAACCGTCTGTGTCATCCGATCATGAAGGAGATGGGTGATTGAGCCTACGGTGGCTTCGCTCAGCTTTGAGTCTCCCGAAAGCTTGACGACGAATGCAACCCCACGTTCCAGCCGCTCGATGTGCTGGCCGAGGTTGCAGATGATGGCAATGTCGGTTGCCTTGCTCGACCATGGGGATATAGAGCCGGCGCGAGGAAGAACGTACACCACATCTTCGCCTTTCTCCAACGCCTGCGCAGTCGTATTCAGCTGAGCATCATCTCCATATGCCAACAGGTGAATGAGTGAGCGAATATATGGAGCTTGAGGGTCTCGCAAGGCGATCTCCGCTGCCGGTGAAACACATTTGACAAGGTGGACGTAGACGGCATCGATTGACGCGACCTGAGGTTGGAGTTTCTTGACTTCACTTAGGGTGGATTCCCGCCTGGACTCAGACAGAGCAGAGCGGCCGTAGAGGACAAGCATATCTATCGCACAATACCTCACTTCAAAAACATGTCTAATTGGGAGTCTTTAAAGTACTAACCTTGTGACCGAGAACAAGCGGATACGGTGAAGAAAAAAGGTTGCAACTTTTCCAAAACATCTTATCTAATCGTCAGGGGCTTCACCCGATCGGGAATGCATAAATTTTGACAATTTCTTCACCATCGCAGTCTTCTTTTCTGACCGGCTGCTTCCTACGTCTAGCTGCTTCCCCGACTGCGCAGTGCCGGCCCACACTACCTCAACCAACATGCGGATAGCCATTTTGCTGTTATAGCCAGTCCAAGCATCTCCCACAGTATTTTCCTAGGTTTAGGCGTTCCGATGGGCTCCAACGCACATATGGGCCAGCTCGGCCGCGTTACAATCGTCAATCATTTCCTAGACTTGGGCTAAAAACATCGTGCTCCAAATGGCTAACTCGGCGGCTCAAACCGTTGCCTGGCCGCAACGTTTCGAGGTCTTGAGCTGTTACACGAACCTGCGCATTGTCTTTTCGCACCGTCTCGGATACCCCTTGCCTCGGATCACTAGCTTGGAAAACCGATCTGACGAATCGCCGGCTTTGCAATGACTTGGTGACTTGGCGTGCTCTAGCAGCATCTTTATCCCCAAGGGCTCGAGCTATACTTGGTCGCAGGTACTAACCATCTTCTGCTAAAGCCTTCCCCCTCTGGTGCAACCCAATATAGTTTCTGCGAGAAAAGCTCCCATCACCATGCTGCTTCTTGAACCTCTAGCATGGTGCCTGGCGAACTTCGGATGAGATTGCTGCCATCACTGAAGTAGACTGAAGTATACCCAAAGTTTTTTAGTCAATAACAGAGACACTTGATGTCACTTAGCCTTCACAATGCACCAACTTACCTAACGGAGCACTACTGCCGCAGCCTAAGCCCTCGCTTCTACCGGTGATTTTCTCTCATAACTCGTTCAAGGTCCTCATACGTATTCCTCTTTGCTGGGAACGAACCTCATCAGAAAATGTGCAGCGGATTCTTGGACTTCCCTTCTCGCTGCCGCCCTCACCGTGCTGGGTTTCCACCATAATTAGACTGGCAATCTGTCACCTGGTCAAAATACACTGGACGATGGCGTCACACCACAAGACGAAACAGACTCTGAAACAAGTTCCGCTCAAAGCATTCGAGATCCGTGCCCGTAAAGCATGAATAACCGTCTCTTGTGACCTTTGCGACGTGTCACCGGTGGCGTCGATCCGACCGATCACCCTTGCTACTGCGCAACGAAGCGCCCGCCTGGACATATAGGTTCGAGACCGTGCAAGAATCAAAATCACGCCGCATACGTAGGTGGAGAGGATAATGTACGTAACAAAACCATCACGAAGTCATCTTCCGACCAGCCCGAAATGAATGAAAAAAGCAAGGCACTTAGGGGCGCGTGACGTCCTGGCTCGCAGACCGATGTGCGGGGGCGCACGCTCTTTCCCCGCACCCATGGTTCCCCGCATTCGAAGTGCTGCCGTCCGTAGGGGTCCACCTGTGTCACATTGGATGATTTGCGTACTGCGCGGGTAAAGGAAGAGGTGCCGCACAATTTGTTCGGACACGAGCAAGGTTACGTTCAGTCAAGGAATTCCGTTCTTCGTAGGTGGCTTGGTCTGCTATGAGGCGATCAGCTCATCATTGACATATGGAAAGATATCATGAGGCTAGGGCGGTCGTCCCCTCAAGGCACGCCGACTGCTCAGGACCAGGGTCTACTGACTAGCCTTGGGTAAAGGTTTAAAGAGCGAAACTCAAAGTAAGCCAGAGCTAACAGGCCATCAGGGCCCGCCTGTGACCACGGAGGTTTGCGCTTAAGGGGCAAAACATGTGGCTCTGGTGAAATTGCTGGGAGTCGAAGGTTACACATGTACAAGCAAAACCTTTGGGCGGCCGGAACGAAAGTGAAAATCCAAACAGCTATTTGGACGGTGACTTGTCAAACAGCCACGGTGTACCTTAGGTCCAAGGTGCTCTCCAGCACGTTGCGCCTCCGCTTCCGATCACGTCGCCTGTGGCGGTGTCGCATCCTCGCCCCCTCGCGGAGCAAAAAAAAACATCGAGATTTAGTATGATGAGTGCATCCCTCGGGAACAGCTTACAAGGTCCGGAGACACTGTTGATGTGCATCGGTCCGCAAGCTACAGTCGGTCCGCGTTGGAAATCTCAATCAATGGCCATCATGCATCATGGGCAATCGAGATGCCGACTTCGAGGCGATTTTACCTCCACGATGAATCGCCGATGTCGTTCCACGTAGCAAATAGATATCATGGATGGAAATGCAAGTTCAAGTGCGAGCCAAACAACACGTGTGTAAATGGAAGAAAAGCGCATGCACAGACTCCTGCTTTAGGTCAAGTAGAACGGGCTTGTAACCGCTCCAGCACTATCACCCAGCGGAACCCGAAGTAAACCTACGTACGATCAACGAAGGCGGATCGATGATCAGGCGGAAGCAGGTGTGATACTCTCGCTTCGTCGAACACAGCAAGGGAGGCCAAAGAGCCGATCAACTGCTGCGTCGCGCCATTATGGCCGTTGGCACAGTTTACGGGGGTGTTGGAGCTAATCCAGGGTAGTTGAATAACAATAGCTGCGGTCACATCTCCCTCCTACAATGCAACGAGCGACTGATCAGCGAATTCGATAGCAAAGGCTCGCCTAGTACTGGGAATAGGTGGCTTGCACCACTATCCCATCATGAAAATGCGGCGGACGTCGGGAGCGGCAATCGAGTTGGTGGTTCTGAGAATACGTTGGTTGTGGAGCAAGATGCTTCCGTGGAACTGTCGAAGATGCACCCGCTTTCCACGCGAAATTCGCGCACTGGCAGCGGCCACTGCAGTATGCCTTGAAGAACAGAGCGACGCGGATCAGCACATGTGACGGTGGGGACCTGTGAGGATTGGTCAGAACGTCAAGTTGCAACCAGCACGATACTGTTCGAGGAACCGGCGTCAAGCGAGTTTGAGGTTGAACGGTTCTCCCATAGGAAATTCCGAGCGGAGTGGTTGTGTGAGGCTAACGGGTGGATCAGAGACACTTGCCCAGTGAATCAGCTAAGTACATGTTAGATTTGAGGCATGTTATCAACGAGGTGCGCCACCGTCGAGCAGCCTTACGTTCGGAAGTTTCACTGCGATCACGAAGGCAGCTGATAAACCAGGCAAGTGATTCCCGAGACGATGTACCGGCGCTTAGCAATAACCTTGAACTAAGAAGTGTGCGAGGCGCGAGTCACCGTCAGCACACTGACCGCCGAAGTGAGTCGCTTCCTTGCGGCTCCGTTCATAGTTCATAGACTGATCTGCTCGTCCGTCGTTGGTTCAAGCCGCTCGTTTTAGTCTTGAAGTAGCCTTGACCAAGCATCGCCATAATCACAGAGTAAAAGCCAGGTCATCAGTCCAAAGCGCGACGCTGCGCAGCAGCGCGACTTTCGCTGTGGGCCGAAATGAGCCGCTCGGGCGATATGCTGAGCGGCTGTGTCGCCGCGCAAGCCCGCTACGAGCATAAGTAAGCACGCTGACGGCCGAGCACCGCCCGTGCAGCCATGAACCATGAACACCGGTCAGCACCGGAGGATGAAATTAGGGTGAGGTGGGCGCCGTGAAGGAGGGAGGTGCGCTCGGTCGGGTCGCGCGCGGGAAACACGAACGTACAGTAAGAACTCCTGCCGCTATAATGTCAACATGGGTCAATGATGATACAATGCTCGGAGGGGTTGCAGTCAAGAATAGTAAGGTTCCACATTGTCCAAGGAAAGTAAGTAGAGCAAACGGTTGGGGAGGAAATTTTTAGAAAGAAGTTGCATGCATGGGAGCAATGTGACCTTTATATTCGCTGTGTCACGAACTCGGCTTCACTTGAGTGGCTGTTTGGTATCGTTCATGAAGGCGACTTTGAGTGTTATTGATCCCTCCATTGGCATCAGTTTGGATATTTTACCGGGGGCATAATATGCTCACGCGATGGGTGGAACAGAGAACACGGAACAGGATCATGACAGAATTCGCTGGCGAGCGGATGACGACAGAGTGATATTTGTTATGATTACATTTGTTGGCTCGGATTCCAACCAGGCTCCAAGGTTTTGAAGGTCGGGCGCTACAATGTGTAATGACGCATTAGTGACGAAGTGGCGAACTCCAGAAGGCAACGGCGTGCGCAGCTGGACCTCGATTTAGCAGGCATTGCGCGCCGCCCACTGATCATCATGGAATGCGTTCACCACCAACCCGGCGCTGCACACAAACTGTCGGCGAGAAAAATGCTGAAGAAACATCGAGCTCGGGAAGGGAAGAAGGATCCCCTCGGGAAGACGGACGGAAACAAGAGATCTGGCTGGATTGGGAAGGCGATCGGGTGTCGAGAAAAGCGTGAATTGCTATTGGATCGGTCTAGCCCGGTGGCAATAAGAAGGCCTCGACTTTATGTGTAATTCTGGGGTCACGACGGGGAGAATAAACGCGCGGATCGAGGATGGACAGTAGTAAACACCATTCTCTCACTGCACAGGAACCGGGCAACGTTGCCAGCTCGTTTGCTCCCAGGTCTGGTTCGTCTCATCCAAGCCTCGTGCTCATGGCGAGGTGGTCATGCGTCAGACTGCTCGTCCGCATACATAACTCAACAACTCTCCGAGCTTATGGTCGATTCTCCCTCCCGTCAATTACCCTTGTCTTCCTCCCCTCGCACTCTCGGCCCCATTCCCTCGACGTCACATAGCCAAACCTTTCAAAAGGCTACCTCCCCTCCGTCCTCTCCATTCACACCCTCCCCCCAAACAATTGTCCTCCCCATGTCGCGCTCTCCCTCAGTCTCTCCAAGTCAGTCTGCTCGGATCGCCCCTCCCCCGCGGCCTTCCTCTCGCTCCGAGCAGTTGCTCCGTAACACACTCCGCAAGGATGATGCAATTCGCTCACGAGCACCCACGACGTTGTATGACGACGATGACTGCGAATGTGAAAACCTCGACGCACTCATATCCCGTCACCGCCGCAATAGTGCTGCCTCGGCTTCCTCGTCCTCAAGCCCACCCCCTCGGAATCCACGAACAGTTTATACTACCAATGATGATGAGCAGAACGAGTACGCTCAGCTCATTCGGTCGAATTCCGCTGGTGCCTCTTCGCGGCGGCCAACACACCGCTCTCGGCAGTCTTTGCCCGACTCGCGCACCTCTCTTTCGTACATCGGCCAAGACCAGTACAACGAGAAGACGTTTGCCTCTGCTCAACTGCACTCTCGTCTCACCCGTGCGGTCCACCAGCCTCAACACGATTCCTTAGAGGTCAGTATCTTATTCTTCTCACACGATATATCACATTTAGCTGACATGTCCGAAATTTTTCATTTTCCTTCACGACCGGCCTCCCCTCGGGCCCTAAACTTCAAAACCTTGCAATTCCCCTCGTGGCCTACCGCGTACCTGACGATTTTCCCCAACCGAAATGTTGGTTCCGACACGCTGGCCTCGCTCCCCCTTGAATCTCCCGCCCATGCTCGTTGTCTGCACCTCTCATGTGCCTATATGGCGACAATGCCCATACTGTCTACGCTCTGCAACAGTCGTCGCCACCTTCGAGTCCACGGTCCTTCTTGAATTCACGTTCAAACTCGCGCGGGACTATGCAATCTGACTCGACAGGAATCACCGTACCTGAGAAAGAAGAGTACTCCGTTAATCATCCTTCACAACACCGATATGGACGCTCGTACTCATCAGCGGGGGCACACGCGCCGATGCAAGCAGGAACCAGTTCATCACCATCCCAGCTTCGCACTCCGAGTTCGCCGTGGCACACCATCCCTCTCCCACCATCACCTCCCGCGCCGTCACAGCGGCTGCCGTCCATGTCTCCCGTATCAAAACGGAGATCGGCAATTGGCGACTCGTTCTCAATGCATAAGCACCCGCACGCACGAGTACGGACAACCCCTGGCGGCCCGCAGACGGAGGAATTTGATGCGCAGACTGCCCTGCTTGCTTGCCGCGACCTGCAGGGATACGTCTCCTTCGCTAATGTCGCTGGCCTGGGTGCTCCTGCCGATCTCGACATGACTGAAAGCCCGATTGAGCAGCGCTCACAGCCCTGGGTTATGCGTGTGATGCGGAGCGTATTTTAGAGGCGCCGGCGCCACGTTGAGCCTTAGCTCGCGACGCCAGCCCTCACACGAACTTACACTTGCTTTCGCCCTGGACGGACAGACAAGAGGACATCGGCCTTAACTTATGCTGCTCGGAAATAGTTCCCAGCCCAGCCCTATACCGCACCACTCATCGGTCTCCACCCACGATTGAAGTGTACCATCATGCACGACTCGTTGCAGAGGTGATAGATGGCCTCCGAGTTGGTTTGCCCCCCTCATACATGCTATAATATTGCTTCATGTCATGAATGACGTCTCATCCACGTTGTCACTCCTACCTCATGGCCATTTGGTTACGTTACGCCTTGTACTGATGTTTCAACGAGTAGAGTAGATGAGGAAGACTCAGATAGAGTTTGTTGTATGCTATAATGACCCGGTCTGAACTAGCCATCTGCGCGATCAGGAGTACTAGTAGCGAGTCGACCCTTGTCAATGTTGGGAAGGTGAGTCGCTCGCGTGGATTGCCAACGTGAACCACCCTTGGGTGACTCGTTTCTTGTACCGATAACATCAGCCTGTGATGCTTCTGTCAACTTGCTTGACTCTCGCGCATGGTTCTGCCAGCAACCTTCCTTCCCCAACGCCTCCTACCGGCACACAAACACGCGTTTTTGCCACGTTAGCCGCAGCTTGAGGCGATGGATAATCTGTTTTGATCAGCGCGGCTAACCTTCCCGTAAAGTGAATTTGAACTGATCAAGGCATTATTATTAGCACTTCCTGGCCAGTTGCGGCGGAGGCCCGTCGCACTGGTAGCGCGATGGCCGCGTTCGCGTTTCAGCGTGTTCTCGTCTGCTTAATTGCCCAGATGCTGTATTCGCTGTAGTTCTGATTTCCTTCACAGCTCTTTTCAAGAGGACACAGGCAATTGATATATGGCGCTGTTGATGTGCACACAAGTCGAGTGTTGCTGTCGGTGTCATGTCAATATCAGCCCTGCCGAATTTTGGCGCGTCGGACCACTCGGGACCTCGGGCATCCGCAGTTCACCCTGTTCCTTCGACGTTCCTAGTAGGATGTTGATCCTGAAGCTGCCGAGATTGCAGTTACAAAAACGCGCGAGGGTGTTCGCGGTTGCTGTAGAGCGTATATGCGCATATTCATAGATCCGGCGGAATCAAGGTGAGTCTGTACAGTTTTACGCTCTGTGCTGTGAAAGCAGCGCTTCGAGAACGGTGGAAACTGGAGGGCGCACAGGCTAACCATAACTTTGGTCACCCCAGTCATTCAATCGTGTACCATGAGGCTCTGAGGCACATCGAAGCACTCGCCACAGTGGGTTCGAGGGAAAGATGCCGTGGGTGCAATGTACACGGTCACCTGTTGATTATCGTCGAATGGAAGGCGCGACCTACCAAGGCTTCCCGGCTTGGGCGAGCGGCTATTCATCGAAACAACAGCCACGAAACGAGGGCGCCGCGCAAGATCCCTGTTCAAACTTCAAAAGAAGGTGAAGCGTGCTGTGGCTGAACTGACGCGATACTTCCAATAGTATTCTCCCTAAACCTTACCAATGCCAGATGCAAGATACACAAACTCCTGAAGTCGTCGCGACGCGACTACTAGTAGCCGACAAGTGCATAACAAAACGGTACAGTAAACACCGGTGAGCGATCATGCGTATGGTGATAGGAATCTGCCAGATTATTCTTTAATCATTACCATGAACTGCCAGCGTTTCCAATCCCTCGAAGCAGATTCATATTTGTACCGTGCGGCGTACTGACCGCGCCGGCGTTCACAGTCGGACCGGCAGTACATAGTCAGTGAAAGTTGACAGCTTCGTGAGTTCAAGCATGATTTCTGTCGAGCACCAATTAGTCTTGATGCTAACTCCGTGCTTGACAACTACGCATGGCACCTGCATCTGCTGCTTTCATAGGACGCTATCGGGTGGGCCTCATAGGACCTTGCTGTGTGCTTGGGTAACATCCTGATTAACTGGCGACTCAAGGGTTCTTGCGACGCCTTTCTCTATCCATGCAATTCATCTGTTCGCCGACTTCGGCGTGGTATATCCTGGTGTGTCCCATGGTGTGTCCTACACCCAAGGAGTCGAACCTAGTTGTGTCCAGTGTCCACGGGGCACGCGCCCAGATGAACCAAGATGTGGGGAAAATAGCTCCGGCAATTGAAAGGAAGGGCTTCTTTTGCTCCTGACGATCGATCATACTTATAATCGATCATCGACATCGGGGAATGGATCTCTGTCGTTGCCTCGGTTCACTCTGCCATGAACTCCAACACAGACATATGTCCCCCTTCAGGATTTCTCATCTTCGGACGCTACGCTGGAAAACTTGTTCACGGCCGTTGACTGCGTAATGCCCCGCGGCGCTGTGTCGTTTTTGTTACAACGAGACGGTAAAACCCCTCAACTCTTTCTGCTATGTCGCTGGGTCACCAGTCACCGGTCAAGCCTCGAATAACTATCGGTCGCAGCAGTAGAATCCTCGTCTGCATGATTTTTCCTGGTCTGCATTGGGTCTGCTTTTTACTGTCAAGAATCTGAATCCTCGACTCGGGACTAGTCAAGCTGGTAGAGCGAAGTGAACTTGGCTGAGAGCTTTGTTGGTCGTCTTCAACAAGGTTGACTCAGATTTGGGCGCCCCTAGTCATGGCATGCGTTCGCCACATCTTCAGGATGAAGTTCTCCTCCGGTACCTACCCCACACCGTGCTTCGCGCAACTTCGACCAGTGTTGTGACCAGTGGCCGCCAAAGCGCCATGGAGCGCAGGTGGGTGCTTGGAATATTCCATGAATCTAGAAGGCACCGGAAATTTGGAACAAACAAGATCGTCCCTTGCCACCTTTGAGAAGCCTAGAAGCTCGAGGCTTGTCCTGGCTTCTCCCTCCCACTCGTCAGGCACAATCACTCTTCGAGACGTGCAAGCTTAAGTTCAGATCCCTCGGACAGCGCCACCAGGACTCCACTGCGCTAGTCCTGTAGGCTCATCTCGGGTTCACAACACGGCGGTATGGAGCAGTCTGGTCTTGAGTACCACCTCGGACACAACGCTAGGTCGAACTACCTGTATTTCCCACATGCTTCACATTTTAGCCAGGGAAGACGTCGTAAATTCCGCGATAGCACGCGGACTTCTGCTACCAAGAAATAAAAAAAGTTTATAATAAGCGCCTACTGCTTGATTGTCGCCCAACCGTGCGGGCACAGTGCGCTCTCGAAAGATCAGAGATAAGACTGATGTTGCTTAGCTATGCGAGTTGCCTACGCCTTATGGTGTTATTGCTGGCTAAATATACCTACGAAACAGCGGTGTAGCGCAGCTTGATCATCACCCATGAGTAGTGGAATCCCATGGAAAGGCAGTATGCGGCTACTTAGTATATGCAGTATGACTTGGCGCCCTCAGCGGGCATGAGACTGGGTCTGCATGCCTTGACTAACTTGACGCCCATGGCTGAGTTTAGTCTGTAAAAACTACGACCTAAGAGACAATCTACTTCGGCCTCAAGTCACAGTGGCAGGACTTGGCTTTTTCCAGGGCACTAGCGATCTGAAGTCCGTGTTTCGCACATTGAATTGACGGGGTACTATGTACGTTGACTACATGAAGGGGTTCACAATCAAGCAAAATTCCATTGCAACCTGAATCAGTTAAACAAGAGCGAGAGCAGATGTTAATGCGGCAAGCAAGGCCATCCCGGCGGCGAAACTGACAGAGAGAGCACCGCTGTCGTCGTTTCCGCTAGAATAAGAGCCGTTCTTGGCGGTTTGTTGGACGTCCGAAGGCATCTGTCCGTCTAGACGGTACTTTTGTCAGGTAGTTTAGGGAGCTTGCAAGAGGACTCTTACTAAAGAAGCTGTCCCCACACTCCTGGTGGAGGGAGCTATTATTGCTATCCTCGCTCTCGACCCTCGACGGAAACTCATGCTGAAGAATCGTAAGAGCAGCCTTTGAACAATCTCCGCATGTGACATTGGTTGGCACAGTAAGGCTGCCGCCTGACAAGGTGTCTGGGATGGCGGTGATAATCACGGTGCCACAATAATCTCCCGTGCTAATGCTGCATCGACTGTTATCAAATGCCTGCGAGAATAATGATACAGTAAACTCACTCCTTCAAGCAGCTAATCTGCCTAGCCACAGGATACAGCTGCTGCACAAATGTAATTTCCTCCTGTACGTTGCCAGTTCCGATGCCAAAGGTGCTGAGTTCTGATGAGCAGCCAGACGTGACGTTCGTGACAATATCTGCAATGGTCTGGTTGGAACACGACCCAACGTCGCAAAGACCGGAAAGCCAATTATTGAACTGAGTGTCTAGAGCGTCCGGAGTAGATCCTGGGTTTGTCGCAATAGGCACCAATCCGGCGGGATTGATGCAGCCTGCCTCCGAAGAAGCAGCTACTTGAGACAAGGCACCTTTGCACTGGGACGAAAGCCTGCGTACAGATTAGCTACACACTGGAGATGTTTGATGAGATGTCTTACCCTGACATCTGAGCAGAGGCAAAACCGGCGATGGTTAAAATCGTTGCAGAGGTGTAGAGCATCATAATAATCGTTCAACGCGTCCAAAAGTCAGAGCAAGGTATAGGAGGCGAGGGTTGTGTTGAATCCCATGTTGCGGGCACCATTCGCTATTTGACCGAACAGAGGAGTTGTTCCATGTCGAGCGGTACCGAACAGACAAATACAAAGTCCTCGATCAAGCGGACGAATACAGTCACGAGATGACCCTGAGGCTTCGAAGAATATCTTGATATTTCATTCCTGGATTTCAAGAATTGACGGAGACGTGTCCGTACGTTTTATCCGGAGTCAAGGAGCTTCTCGAGGACTTCAAGTGAGCATGGCCACTTATAACCAAGCCTAATGTGTCCTTAGCCATGAAGCAAGCAGGCAGAAGGAGAGGCTATCACTGGCACGAGACCGAGATGTTAAACGAGTTACGAGAGTGCTTCGGAGGGCCTGATCGGTTCTAGCGCTGAACGTGTCAATATGAGATCGAAGACATGCTCTGGCTTCAGGCAAGGAGATAATTCTTGGTTGCCAAAGGATGCACTGTTGCAAATGCGATGATAGTTTAATGGATAGAAGCCTTGAGTGACATAAGTGCTAGCGCTAAAATGGTCCGTGAGAAAGTCATGTTTACTTGAAGTTGTCAATGTCAAGCTCGGGTCCTGGGAACACGTCAGGGGCTTGTTGTTTGCTCTGATGCATTCGTTGCAGTACCACTGGCAGACTTTCTCTCTTAGTCTCTCAGCATGGCACGGTTCAGCGTCCTCAATTACTACAGGGAGCAGTGGAAAGAGCTTCCCCTCCCATCGGTGGACGTCAGTCACGATACACTCCTCGTAGTCGGCTCAAATGTTGGGCTCGGCTTCGAGGCTTCCAAGCATCTTGCTCGGATGCAACCCGAACAGCTTCTCGTGACATGCAGAGATGATCGAAAGTGCGAACAGACTTGCAATGGTGCGTGTTTTCTTGACGTGCGAGCCCGCCTTTTTTCATCTATCAAGAAGGCTACTCTCAATCATGATACTAATATGTCTCGTGCAGCTCTACGCGTGCAGACCTCGTATGACAGGATACGCGCCTTGCCACTAGAGCTCTCCTCCTTTGCCTCTGTGAGCGCATTCGCCGACAAATTCGGGTCAGAGGGCATGAACAAAATCCACGCACTAGTTGCAAACGCCGCTGTTTGTCCTGCAGGTTACTCGAGAACGGCCGACGGGTGGGAAGTGACGTGAGTACAAATTCAGCGCCGTCAGCTACATAGGTCCAAACTCACTTCATTCATGGGGTACCTATAGACTACAAGTGAACTTTCTGTCCACTGCACTTTTGAGCATCTTAATGTTGCCTCATCTCGTCGCGTCTGCGACTGCTGACAGGGCTGCACGGCTTGCTACCATTAACAGCTTCGGCTACTTCTTTGCATGGAGACCTAAGCCGCAGCCGCAAAAAACCCTACTTGAAACCCTTAACGATAAAGGTTACTGCCTTACGATGTAAGTTCGTTGCCAATCTTCACTCTCAGCCATGTCGAAGTTTGTGCACCACAGGGCCGAACGTTATGTGACTACCAAGCGTAAGACTGCTCCTTATTCCGCCTTGAGACATCAAGCTAAAGTACAACCAGTTTTAGGAGTGATGTTCTTCCGTGAGCTTGCCCAGCGTCTCACCTCTCCTACGCCCGTGGCTGTCTCCACGGTCAATCCAGGAACATGTCAAAGCGAGCTCTTCCGTAATCTTGAGGAACTGCATCCCGTTATGCGCTTGATTTTCACGTTCGGAAAGCAGCTTTGCGCTGTGCGTTCGACTGATATGGGGTGTAGAAACCTCGTGCATGCCGCTGTGGCAGCAGACGAGAGAGAAAGGCATGGATGTTCCGTGTCAAGCTACGAGGTTGCCGAGGAGCGCAATTATGTGCTCAGTGATGAAGGCCGTGTAATGGCAAAGCAGCTTTGGGTTCGTCTGAGAATTTATGCGCCATCTGTGATTGTTATTCATCTGTGAATCTCTTTGATAGGAAGAAACGATTGAGGTCCTTTCAAGGGCGGACTCTCGTGTTCCCGGCATAATTTCTCGCTATCTTCACGACGCTTAATCTGGGTTAAGGCTTGGTGATCGAAGGGTGGCGACTTCCACGCTGACTTGAAGGCATGCCGAATCCAAATGTGTTGCAGCAGGAGCACTTCACAGCTAGTGGAGCACGTTGAATTGGAAGAACGCAAGTGCTCCTATTATATCCGATGACTTGAATGTTACAATTATATCTAAACTTACATTGTTATCAAGTTATCTACGAAATCAGTAATACAATATTATCCTCGCCGTTCTCTGTTAGCCTACTGCGTTGCGGGCATGCAGGCATTGACCTAGCGCATGCCCTAGTAATACACACACAGAACATATAGCAATAATGATGAGTGAATAACAATGAAAGAGAATTTCCCTATGGCGAATATATTGCCTGAGTTGACACGCGAGCCTACGTCCCCAGGTTTTATAAGCTGGCCAAGAAGCTGGCAGAAACGGGACCGCGCCGAGCTTCGAAATCTTGCGTAGTAATAGTAATGCTTACTGTAAGAACGAAGACGCGTTTTCAGCGAGGACGATCTCGTTCTAGCCCTTTCGCAGCGACCGACATCTAGCGCGTCTGAGGCCTCAGACCATCGCATGCTGGCCATTGACTCTTCCAAGTAATGTTCCTATACCCTCACCGCAACCTCAACACCCATGAGTACTGAGATCTCGAGGACGTTTGAGTCTACTTTTGGACCTTCTTCGGAGCCAATATCGATCTCGGAGTTCCGAAAGACAGCTAAGACAGAGGTTAACGTCGACGTCAAGAATTCTTCTTCTTCATGGCAGCGTCTCAGTCAGTCTCAACAGCAGGATATCGAGCAGGAGTGCAATAGATGGCGGGTCCCTTTCCACCCCTTCTGTCCCGTTGCACTTACAGTGATCCTAGCATAACAGAGGTTAAGTCGACCCTTGAGACAGCATGGGACAACCCGTCTGTGTCAGGCTATTTGATGCGCACCCATGACGCTACCATCTCGGAATTACAGAATCAAGCCGGTATTGTGTCGGAAAGCAAGGGTGCGAGACGATCCCGTAGTGTCATTCCAGATGCACAATCTTGGCCTGCAGTCGCGACAGACATGAAAGAGAAACTAGAAGCTATTGAAATCCGGAGCTGGCCGTATGTTATTCTCAAATGATATCCTTTACCTTTATGTGCTCACACAACTCTTAGGTACACTGCGGATGCAACCTGGTTTATCCGCACACCGAAGAACTCAGACCACAACGCTATTACAAGGGTCAAGGCCAGTGCTGGGTCTGGGAATAATCCTAAGGCGGGCGCAGCAGGCGTCGGTGACCCAGAAGGCGGCGACGTCTCGACTTGCTCTGACCAAGAAATAACTGATCCGCCAGCTGTGATAACGGTTACAGTACACAATTGCGTGTCATGGGCCCACAGCATCCTGACACGCTCCTCTCAACACGTAGTCCTATCCTCGCAGACATTGGCAGATCTTATCGAGGTTGTTCCCTGCCCATCCAAGAAGCTACTGTATGACCAAGACACAATAGATTCAAGTTCAGGGCCCTCAATACAGCACGACGAAGGATGCCTCGTCTGTATAGAGGGGTTAGCCTATGGAGATGGAAGAGAAGAAGATGAGTATGCTGCGTGCGTCGTCAATCTTCACATAGCAGTTTGTATGCTTGACAAGCAAATAGAAACCTGATCGCACAACTTGATAAACTCCCAGCGGAGAAACGGCCTCCCTTGCAGAAAGCAGGGACGTCTCTGGCAAACACGACTATAGACACACTGTCCCTCAGAGTAAATCAACCTTATTGGATGCTACACCAGGGAAATTGTGAACATTATCTTGTCGTAGATGAGATTAGGTGAGAGTTTTCTCACCTCTTCTCCTCTCCGCCCGACTGGAAGCTTTCTTCAGGCTTCGTCATTCAGCGGATCCCAAGTGTGGTTATCCTTTGACCACCCAAATCACTCCAACTTTGCTCGACATGTGCCGGGCGTGCTCGAGGGTACCTGCTGCGTACTCTATCATAGGCGACCTGCGGGTGGGAGAGAGCCCATGTCCCCTGTGTGGGCCTTGTTGGAGAAATTTGGGGCCTTCCGAAGGCGTTACTGTGGTACCACTTCTCACTCATGAGGAGACTGAGCCGTCGCGCCAGGCATGAACAGGCGTGTGCATGTAGTTCTGGAGTCAAACTTTGCGCTGCCAAGTACTTTTGATAAACAAGTCAATCCTTTCAAAATAGCATCCTGTGACGAAAGGGTTTCTAAGTAGATGGGTTGTCACGCGTGCTCCCCACGCGCTGATTGACTGACGCGCCGGGAAGCGTTGCAATTACATGTTCTTCCCCACCATACGTTCTCATATTGACATCCAGCTATTGAGTGCTACTCTCCTGGCCTCTAGCCACTACAACAATGGACAAGACAAAGTCAAAGTTGGCAGCCTTTTTTGAAACCGAGGAAGAGCCCTCCTATCCAGTGCGATGGACTGGACTTATCTTCACGATTGGCTCACTCAACCTTTTCTCCACGACATAGCAAAAGACCGTCGATGACCAGAAGCTCGCTCAGTATACTCAAGGAACTGTACGCAAGTCTCGTCGGGAAAAAGAGAAAGAGGCCGCGGAGGCCAAGCAGCGCGAGGAAGAGCAGAACCAAGCCAGGGCATATGCAGACTTCCTCCATGCGTTCGAGGGAGAGGAAGCAAACCGACGCAAAGCTGGCTCGGCCTTCGTTAAAGCTGGTGAATCTACCAGTGCATACCAACCATTAGTGAAGGAAAGAGATCCGCCTGAGACGTCGCGTTCGCGCTCTAGGCCAATGTTGGATGATGTATGTCATTATTCCGCATGGGCTCTCGAACATCATCCAACTAGCAACTACAGCCACCTTCTCCTCCAAGCAATACTGCATCTAAACCCAAGGGAAAGCGCGCTATGGACGCATTTCTTGAGGAGATTAAGAAAGAGCAGGCTATGAGAGAAGCAAAGTACTCTCGAGGAGGTATAGAGACATTGTCATGCCTTGTTGGCATTTATTCTGATCTATTAAAGCTCACGGTAGATCTGTTACCGCTCTGGCCGGTAAGCTGAATACATAACGTATCATTCTAAAGCTAAGAAAGCGCGCTAGCTTACGAGAGTCAGAGTGGGAGCAAAGACCGAGGGGACCCAGAGGTTAGTTCTTGTCATCTGTTTTGCAGAAAGACCTCAATAGTGTTTATAGACCACAAACCTTTTTGTTGCGAATCTTCCCTCGCATGTCACTGAGCAAGCGCTAGGAATGTTCTTCGCTCGACATGGGCCAGTTGGATCGGTAAGATGAATAAAGATGGTCTTTTGCTTTTGTGGCTTACGTATCCAAGGTGAAAATTATGTGGCCTCGAGGTGACGCTGCTGTGGGCCCTGGAGGCGATATGACGGCTTCTCGCCGCAACAAAAGCGCGGGCTTGAGTGGCTTCGTTTCCTTCATGAAACGTAAAGATGCCGAAACTGCATTGCGAGAGCTGGATGGCTTCGACTGGGGTGGCTCAATCCTGCGCGTAGGGTGGAGTAAGGCCGTGCAGGTGGCTGCAAGGCCTTTGTATGGTATTGGATTCATCTCTATCTAGTGATTTTCGCTGAATTCTCTAAGCTGTACCTCGCGCCCACTCACGATCACGATCCCGCTCTCCGCGACGCCGTGACCGAAGCCGAAGCCGTTCGCCCTCTCGCGAACGGAGGCGTTCTCATTCTCCTTCAAGGGAGAATCGCTATCGTTCATCGCGTCGTTCTCGCAGTCGCTCACGAAGTCCGAAAAGACGTAGAAGGTCTCGCAGCCGTTCTCTTAGTCGAAGCCCCCGCAGAAAGGATTCTGTAAGCCCTCGCCGAGACGATGAGGACAACGATACCGGCGTCACAGATGGTTTTATACGTGCCGTTGCGGCTGAAGTTCGAGGCCAAGGCAACAACTTTGAAAAGAGGCTGCGTGAATGGGAACGTGATAACAATAAATATGCCTTCCTCACTCGACGAAAGGTAGATATTCTTGCTCCTGTGGGATACTGCGCCATGCTGATCGTAATATAGCATCGTCGGCATGTCTTCTATCGCGGCTTGGTGGAGAGGACTGACCTTACGGGCTCAGAGTTTGTTGACGAGGTACGTGAGAGTTGACTCCGAGTCAACATCATACTAACAAATTTACCAAGGGTTATAACTCCGCTTATTCTACGGATTCCGCTGAAGAATCAGAACAGGAAAGAACAAGAAAAACTACACTTGGCAAACTTGCCCGGAAGAGATTCGAATCCATGCTTCGGGGGTTATCGGGGAAACGCGGAGAACTTGCACGATGCATGGCCTTTTGTCTCGATCATGCAGAAGCTTCGAAGGAGGTACGTCTGTGTATGCTCAGGAAACGATAGTCACTTACACATCAGCTATCGTGTAGATCTCAGATGTCATCATCACGTCTTTATTGGTCGATTCGACGCCCGTTCCCCGCAAAGTGGCACGACTGTACCTAATTTGTGACATCCTCCACAATTCAGCCGCCCCCGTCCCCAGTGCATGGAAGTTTAGGCAGGAGTTCCAGTCGCGCCTGGGAATCGTATTCGACCACTTCGCCGCCATATATCACTCATTCCCAGGACGTATCACGGCTAACACGTTTAAGAAGCAAATAACGTCGATCATTGATATTTGGGAGGATTGGATCGTATTCCCACCGGAATTCACAGCCGAGCTTCGGGCAAGGTTGGACGGTGTTAGCCACGCAGAGTATCAACCCAAAGCAGAGGAGGCACAACCCACCGCGGCGGAAACGGAGGCAAATTTTGCCTCACGATTTAAATCCAAATCCTTCCAACCGGCAGCCGAAGCCGAGGGACCAGCACTCACAATCGACAATTATGTGGGGTCTGGAAATGCTGCTGACGTCGATGGCGAACCAATAGACGATGTTGATGGAGTGCCTATAGACAATGTCGACGGCGAACCAATCGACGACGATGTTGACGGTATTCCCACCAATGATATTGACGGCGAGCCCATGGACGACGTTGATGGTGAACCTCTCAATGATATTGATGGAGAGCCCATGGACGACGATATGGATGGTGCTCCCATTGACATCTGAGATGATCCCGGCACGCGTTGACATCAATTAGCCTCTAATTAATAGTGCTTTTTTGCCCAGGAATATATATGTTTACACTTTATCCAGTGTGCGTGATTCTAACGCTATAGATACCAAGCTTCTACCACCCAATCAGCCGATAACCTTGTTCACACTCGGAGCCATGCATGCAGAAACCAATGCAGTGTCGGTCCAAGTGCTGTCACTAGTGTTGGTGGGGACTTCACTCAGGACGTACGACGGGTCGAAGTTACCAGCGGCCCAGCCGACATATCCGAGGATAACTAAGCAATGATATTAGGAAAGTTAGTTTACAGGAGAAAACACAGCCTACCGTCAGAGTTTTGAGCCTGGTACTGGAGCTGCGAACACATGTACTGTTTGCAAGAGTCAACGTTACCGCCACCGGTCTCGGTGTTCAAAGCTTGGCGCTTGTTGGTCCGCAGCCACTGCGAGAGAGGCTCCCAAGCAGTGTCAATGTTGTCCGTTGTGCACTCGGCATTGGTGCCACTTATTGGAACATCTCGGCGTTAGAAAGTGTTCATATGATGGTTAAGGGAAGAGCGTACGAGTTGTCATGGTCAAGATACTTGTGGACGTCCATGATCAGGCCAGTAACGCTCCCGTCAGGGTTGGTGACCTTGTTAAGGAGGTCGGCGTTGCCGCCGGATACAAATGTCTCGGCAGACGTGTAGTTGCTCCCAGGAAGGAGAACGAGCTGACTCGTAGCACTGGCACGCTTACTGTGAGTTTATTGCTCCTTCACGCCCAAGTAGAAGATTTACCCAGCACTACGGATTGCAGTAACGGCAGCTTGAACGGTGTCGGCCCAGGTAGGAAGCTTCAAGTCATTTGCGTGTTAGTTAGCGACGGTATCACACCCAATTGGAACCATACATCAGGAATGTCATGAGGTTCATTCATTCTAGAAGATCTCGGTCAGACAAAGGACGATTGTTTCTTGGGTCTTACTCACACCCCGAAGAGAAGCTTCGTATCGGTGGCATAGTGCTTCGCCAGCGAGCTCCAAAGAGCCGCGAATTCATCATTAGAGGGTCCACCCTGACCAATGATCTAGGATTGAAAGGTCAGTATTGTGGCGTAAGCTTTCAGCAGAACATACATACTTGACCGTTGTAACGAGCATAGTTATGAATGTCAAGAATACAGCTAGCACCAGTGTTCAAGCAGGCCTGCACAAGGTCGTCATACTTGGCCAGATTTGTCGTGTTCAGGTTACCGTTCGCCTGGTTGTTGGTGAGGAACTGCCACGAGACAGGCAGGCGGAAGATGTTGTATTGATCGTCGCTGACAAAGTGCTTCATCTGGCCCTCACCGTCGTGACCGTAGTACTTGAGCAGAGGTGGCCACGCTCCGCTTGCGTCCGCCGTGCCAGAGGTGTCCATCCCAAAGTCTTGAGAATGAGGTCAGCACGCTGTATGCAGATCGTCCGTCATAATGTGCGCACCAAAACCTGCGATGTTGACGCCGGCATAGGTGAGTTTGCCGGTGTCCGCGGCCGCCAGGGCGGCCATGCCAGCAAGGAGACCAAGAGTGCGTGCAGTCTGCATAGTGGCTTAGAACCGGCAGAGATAAAGACTTGAGGGCTTGAGGGATAAGCTCGAACATCCTTGCACCTTTTAACCACGGCAATCACTCCTTGCATTACCCGCTACCTCGATGTGCTCGTCACTAAGTAGGCATGCATCTGTATTGACATTGTCCGGGGAAACTCTCCGAAGGTTTGCCGAGCCAATGCGGATCAATACTCGGTCAGGGCAAGAAACGTCAGAACCAATTGACTGTCAAAAGACGTCATAAAATGTACGCAGCAAGATTGTGCGGCTCATCCTTGGGTTCATCCTCGGAAAGCCACAGCAATGCCATGTGGATCCGAGGCGACGTCGCAGGGAAGCCTACGGAAGCATCACAAGTCACAAGCATGTCTTCAAGCATTTGCTCCTATTGCCAGCTGTTTCTTCTAGCGGAGGTGGGGTTCACGATCAATGGAGCGAAGGCCAGCCAGGGTCATATGATAAAAGGCACGTAGGTTGTAAACATTTATAGGCCGAATTTCTGCCATGAGTTTGCACCTTACATTGACAACACCTGCGGCTTGCCTCCGGGCCAAGGCTGGCTTGGTGAACGACGCCAATGTGTCCTATTAGCAATATTTATCCTGTTGATTGATATTATGATAATGGACGTAGAGTGACAAAGCATGACGACTGCGACAATGCATAGATGCTATTCATATCATTAATTAGCGGCGTCCAGCTCTAGAAGAGGCTTGTTTAAGTATCGCATCCTTTGCAGCTTCGACTGCCGTCTCCGAGCCTGCGAGGCGGTATTAGCACGGAAACACGCTGAACAGCTCCAGGGCCTACCGATGATGATGATATCACTGCTCTCCCTGCTCACAGTGATATCGGCGCCAGTTTCGTTCCGCAGACGCATGACGTTGGCTCCTTTCGCTCCGACAATCCTGGGGAAAGCTGAGCGATCAGGCAAGGTCAAGAAACCGACGTGAGTCATGTTTTCCGCCTGCTGGATGGCCTCCTGAATGGCGACCTGAGCACGCTCTAAAGCGCCGTCATCCCTTGCCTTCAAGGTCCACTGGGAGTCGCCCTCCTCCGCGTCTTGGTAATTAGGTCCAACTTGCCACGTAATGTTGGCTGGCACCTCGCTGTCGTCATCATCGATGCGAGCCTCAGAGCTGCCTGACTGCGGTGGGGCAGTGGGGACGGCTGATTTCTGAGGCATGGCTGACTGATCAACCTGCACGCCGTACGAGCGAAGAGTTCGGAAGAAGCCGCCTTGCTGGGAGATAGCATGGTGGTACTTGAGAGGGACGCTGACTACAGCTGTTATGCTTTCGGGAGGTGGTGCCTTAACCTGCGACTGCACAGGCACTTTATCAATACCAAGCATATGTCAACGTCTGACTAGAGATGTTACCTTCAGCTCAGCAATGGCATTTTCGCAAGCAGCGCGAGAGCCAGACACCTTGACGATGTTGGCGGGGCTTGCATCTACAAGTTCGTCCATGTTTTCGGGATCGCTAACCTGGTTATATGAGCGAGAACCAGGGAATTGAACCTGAACACTAGTTCGGTTCTGGAGATCATTCAGGTGTTGCCCACCCCGACCAATGAGAGTGCGATGCTGGGAAGCAGGGATCTCAACAGCCAGGACGACGCGGTCCTTAAGTTCAGTGACAACCTTCTCCAGCTCGGCCTTGATCTTGTTGACAAGCTTAGGTTCTCCACGGAGGCGAACCTCGTCCGAGGGTTCGCCCTGTCTCGGGCTGGGTAGAAGAACAGATCAGACATGATACTGTGGTTGAACAGGCGAAGAGCTTACAATCTAACAAGACCAGCCTGGACTTTGGAGTCATCGGGACCACCACAACGAGCGATGATGTCCTTTAAACCTTGCCCGCCGGCGCCAATAATGGTGCGATGGAACCGTTGCTCGATGTTCATGCTCACTGTGGTCTCCTCGCCGACGGAGTCAACAATGGCCATGATGGCAGACTTAGCCGCGTTGATGCCCTTCTTAGTGCCACGAACGACGATGTGCCTGGTGGAGTCATTACCCTCCACCCTGTCCACATCGATTTGAGCGTCGGTGTCGTCTTTGATCTCGTTGATGGAGGCGCCTCCTCGGCCAAGAATGCGAGCTACGGTATGTGTCGGGACATCGAACTCAAGAACGTTGTTGTTGTCCTTCTCAAATTCGAGAGCGTCTAGCAGTTCAGCCTTGGCGTGTGCCACACCCTTCTTGCCTCCCTTGATGAGAACTTCATCAGCCTTGAGCTGCTCGCGAGTCCTGCCCTCTCCGTTTTCGCCAGAAGAACGAGGGAATGTGATCTTGACAGCATACTTCTCCTCAAGTCTGATGGCGTATTTACCACTCTGACCAATAAGAGACGCATGATACCGGGCGGGAATGTGGAGGATTTCTGAAGTCTCATCTGCCTACGAATCCTTAGGATTGAGTGGAAGAATATATGCGTGGAACTCACCAGTCTTTCGACCTGTGCCAGAATCCTCTTCTTAGCTTCTTCCACATTCTCCTTGCGGCCGGTAATCTACCAGATATTGAGTAACGATGAATCAGGGCTCATTGAGATAACGGACCTTAATCTTGGATTTCTGGTGAGCAGTCCTCTTCTTCTTGCTGAACTCTTTGTCCTTCTCGTCAAAGTCATCATTGACATCAACCTTGACTCCTAGAACGTCGCGGAGCTTGTTAATACCAGCGCCCTGTGCGCCGACAATACGACCAACATATTCTCTGTCTATGTCGAACTCGGTAGACTAGAGGTAGAAAAAAATCAAACAGTGTATTTGTGTACAATTAGTCGACTCACATAGCTACTGATAATCGCATCGTTCTTGGCATCATCAACGACGGCAAGTATCTTCTTGACAGCGTTGTCGACGTCGCTAGCCGAACCGCGAACGACGATGACGTTCTCTCCAGACTCGTGGCTAGCACTAGCGCCGACCCTGACGGAAAGAGCCTGTTCTTCACCGATGATGCTATATGGATGCAATGTTCAAACGGGAACGGTAAATTCGTAGAAGGAAAACCACTGACGCGTTGAGAGTAGTCCTGTCCTTACCGACCACAGCATCGTGCCATTGCTTGTCAACAGGCACAACCTCAGTCTTGATCTCGCCAGCATCTTTGGCTACTTTCAGGACCTCCTTAGCGACTTCATCGAGGTGCTTCTCCTTCTCATCTGGCGATGGCGAGGCAGACGGGGACAGGGGGTCATAAACGAGGAGAACCGACGACTGCTCCAAAGATTCGGCTGGGAAGAAGAGTTGGACATTGTGCGTCTCGTGGAACTGCTTGAACCTGCGGTCATGGTCAATAAGAATGAAAGGTTTGGAGTCGCAAAGTAAATAATTACTTCTTAGCATGTTTGCCCTGGATAACCCGGTGGACCAAATATTCGACGGGAACTTCCTTGGTAGCGCCAATAAGCTTGCCGATGAGCCCAGAAACTTCTCGAACGACGTTGTCAACTGCGGCTTTGTCTCCGACGATATCAATGTTGAGTACGCTAGCGCGTGCCACAGCTGCTGTCGAAGGAGTGAAGACATCAACACCGGGGTGACCGTTGCTCAAAGTCTTCGGATAACCGATGCGAGTCATGTAAGTCAGAAGCTGCTTGGACAACGAGACTGGACCAGGGAGCGGGAATTCGTGAATGTACTTCGAGTTCGCCTTTTCCATGACAGCGCTGAGACCGTTGGTCAAGTCTGTCTGATTACCCCAGACAGTGATTTCGTCACTGGGCTCGTCCGCGGGGGCAACCTGAACGGCGCACTTGCTCTTGGTCATAATCTCCTCAGCAGCCCTGTCCACAAGAAGACGATGCTGGCGCTTAGGGAGCGAAATCTTGAGCGAAGTGATGTTACTCGTGGTTTGCTCAACGACGCCCTTGATCGACTCTATGACGCGGTGTACCGCTTCCCTGTCACCGCTAACCGTGATCTCACGCTCTGCGTTGTTGAGTGCGAGATGGATCGTTCCGCCTTGGGCGGCCTCGACGAATTGAGCACGGCGGACAGTGACAAAAGGCAAAATATGAGCTGGGATATCGCGGACGCGCTGGGTGATGTTCGAGGTACGAGAAGAGATAATTTCGTTTATCATGGCCCGTGCTTCGATTACCAGAGGCTGAGGACCGGTAATCTTGATGGGAACTAGGACCTCGTCCTCTTCGTCGTCAGCGCCGGGAGTGACCTTTCCGCTTGCAGTACCGTTGGCTCCGTTTGCGACCTCCTCCTTGCGGGGAATATCAATCCTGACACCAGTTTGGTCGCGAATCTGTTTGAGAGTGGCGCCTGAGCAGTGATGATTTTGAGCATGGGAGCGTGGACCCGGCAATGGGATTACGTCTCACCTTTAGGACCGATGATAGCCGGGATGGTAGAAGCAGGAGCAGGCAGCTCATCTTCAATCTTAAGCACTAGGGTCAGCACGGAGAAAACCAGACATACACGCGAGGATTACTACTCACGACCGGGCTGAGCGAGGCGAGGAGGCCGCGCTTGGCCTTGTCGAGCTCCTTCTGGGACTCTGCCTTCATGTGGAAGGTAGTCTGGCGTGCTCGTTGATTTGCCGAAGCCTCGATCTTGACCTTGAACTTTGTCATGACCTGCTTGAGGACGTCACCGAGAGTCTGGGGCTTGCCATCCCTGTTAGGTGGGACATCCGTGTAAGGGAGAGTGAATGAGTCCGAGGGTGTGGCCTTGACGGTTGCCCTGATGCGGGGACCAGCGTCCGATCCCCAGGTCGCCTTACCAGGGGTGGTGGCAGCAATCGGCGACGGGGCCAGAGAAGGGAACGCGGTGGTCGAGTTCGTGTCGGGCGTGGCGTGGGCCGACGGGCCGGGACGAGGACGAGACTTGACCGGAGAGTCCTCCAAGGACGGGAAAGGATCAGGAGCCCCTTCGAGCTGGTGTCTTTTCTGTTACATGCATGTTTTGCGTGAGTCACCCAACATACGCCCCGAGTATGCAGCTTGGATATCCTTACCTGGAGATCGGCGGCAGAGAGCATGACTAGTACTCGCAATGAAGGCGGTTGTCCGAAGCAATTAACCTGTTGACGAGAAGAAACCTGGCGTTGGACTCAGCTCGACGCAGAACCCAGCGCAATTAAACCAAGAAAATGTTTGGGAGAAAAGAAAATGTTGTGCAGTCGTTTACCTACGCGGCAACACACGACGTGTTCTATAGACGTGGAACTTACTTTCCCTTTACGCACCAATGCTGGCATCACCACCGCCACCCCCTATATATCCCCACACACCTTCGTTCGACGATGATCGATGATCAGTTGTTGGTACATAGTATATAAATACAACATGTAAATGCGCTCAAGTTTCATGTAATTACACCGAACGGGCGCTTGGAGAGTTTACCACCCCATCTGCTCCATCGTCCATCCCCAAACTTTGCCGTCAGCATCAGGCTTGTTACAGAGTCGCTGCTCTTTATCCAGTGCAGTCACCTCGGCGACCACTTCTTGCGGGAGATGATAAAGCTAAACGTTCCGATATCTAAGTTGTTGAACATCGTGAAAATAATTCCAAAAAATCTCACATTGAGGTTATCTTTCTGCCTCTGCATGTCCGTTGATTTAGGAACAGCAATACCCCCCCTGGCGACATGCCACGAGAGAACGATCTGCGCCGGCGAGGTACTGTACTTCTTGGCTAGTTCCACGATCTTAGGGCTGCTTCGTACAGTGTCGTAGCCTGAGGCGCGGTAACAATGCTATATTGGACTATATTAAAACTTTGCTCACCTGTAGGGGTATATGCCGTCAAGAAAATTGGTGCAGGCTTCCCAGTCCTAGTCAGGGTCTTGCAGTACTCGAGAAGGCCAGGTTGAGCCAAAAGAGGATGCAATCTGTACGAATTGTGAGCTCTCCAAGAACGTTTACCATAACACTCCCAGCAACTTACTCTACTTGATTCACCGCAGGCCAGACAGTTGTCGTCGGTGCCTCCAGGAGCTTCTTGAGGCTGATAAACCCGCCATGTCAACTTCTGAGACGTTTGTTTGCTGGTATACTCACTTCTTAATCGAAAAGTTACTGACACCGATAGCCCTGACCAATTTCTTTTCCAACACCTTCTGCATACCCTCCCATGTTCGGGTAAAGTCCCACGCCTCGTCGAGGCCACCAGAAGCATTCTCTAAAGTTGAAATTAATTGGCTAGGTCATTTTTGATTCATACATTAGCGGAACGTACCGGATTGTGGCCAGTGAACGAGGTACTAAGTAGTGAACATCAAAGTGAGTTATAAGTCCACATTTGGACGAATGAGCTACTTGCAAGATCGTAGTAGTCAATTTCTGCTCGCGCCAGGCTCTCGTTGATTGAATCTTCCACCGTCCTTCCGTGCTGAGGTCTTTTACATCATCTCAAATTGTGAAAATCACTCCTTGAAGGATTAAACTCACGGAAGTTTAGTCGTGATAAACAGCTTTCTTCGCTCGGTTACGGGGTCCGAGCCAATAGAGGCGGCATACTCTCGGATAGCTTTGCCCACCGACCCCTCGGTGCCTAGCACGAATTCTAGTTTCAAACTTGAAGCTTTACATGACTGGTGTGACCCAACGTACCATAGCCGTGAGCAGTATCCAAATGTTTGTAACCCGCCTGCAGAGACATGATGCGACAGATTTTATTGAAGATCGTTACCACTTACTTTCAGAGCAGTCACAATCCATTCTTTTGCAGCAGCCTGTGTCTCGGGTGTGGTCCCGCTCCAACAGCCAAGACCTATGCAATGAACTTAGTGCTCCGGAAGGCCCGACCTGAAGTACTAATCAGAGTACCTATGACGGGCATGTGAACTTTGCCGACGTTTTCATCTAGCACACCATTAACGAGCTCGATGTGAGGGAGTTGTTCGAATGGTTTCAGTTGAGGCATGTTTCTGTGGGTGATAAACTAGAACTAGGACATTTGGCAAAGCATGGGGTAGAGACGAACAGCTCACCTTCAAGATGCTTGTTGGAAACGTTATCACAAGCAAAGAACATAACTTCGACGCTCTAATCATATATGTGCGGCATCGCTGGGGTGAGTAAGCACTTTTCCCCCAAAAGTGCCAAAGTCTTTTGCCTGGTCACAAGGGCGATCACGATGGATCGTGTGGCACACCAAAATATCGCTTCAGCCATCGGGAGAACCATTCTGAACGTTGTAAAGCGGACAAAGCAGTCATACCCCAACGACAGTTGAGCCGAAGATTACCCAGGGCCTCTCACGACGCTTTCCGTTTGACGCCGGAACCAACTTGTAACGCCGAGCGCGTCACCATGAGTTGAGCGTAGGGCGGAGCGGCGGGCAGCCGCCTGCAAGCGCCGAGGCATGGATGCTCGGGCCTATACATACCATTAAATGTGGGTGGGTACTTAAACCCAGGAACAGGAGGAACGTGACCTTATCAGCCAAGAGTACTCAAGGAACAACTCACGATCCGTACGTTGGACATACATGTGTAGCATAAATCGCGAAATGAGCCGGTATTGCTTGAGTATTGCAGTCGACCATTGACCTCATAAAATGTTGAGCCCCCTCACTCAGTCCCAACCCAGCTGCTCCATGGTCCACCCGTATATCATCCCCCGTTCGTTGGGAAAGTTGCACAGGCGCAGATTGCTGTCGAGAGCATCTATGCGTTTCATATCCTCGTCACTGAGGTCGGGAAGCTAGAAACAAGTTAGCCAAAGTGATACATAGCACAAAAGTCATTTTATACTAACCATAAGGTTCTCCCTTTGACGCGCCTCATTTGTACTCTTGGGTGTTGCAGCGCATCCTCGTTTGACATGCCACGCCAACACAGCCTGAGAAGGAGAAACGCTGTACTGCTTCGCGATCTCTACGATGACTGGGTTCGTACGACCTTTCTCATATGCTTGGAAATGACGTTCAACTCCTTGCAACAACGTAGAAAGAGCAGACTCGTTGACCTGTAGGAGTATATGCAGTCACTTTGATGCCATTTTGCTTGCAGAATTGAAGCAATTTCGTTTGAGCGAGGAAAGGATGCAATCTAGAGTGGATATTGACATCAGTCTCTGGCCTAGCTGCTGTCCCCTTTCCAAAGAGTACTAACTCGATCTGATTCACGGCGGGGCGAACTTTGGCAGTTTGTAATAATTCGCTGAGCCTACAAAATATTGCATTAAGTCATTTGGAAGGGGGGATTTATGCTCACGTCTTCTCAGAGAAGTTGCTAACTCCAATGGCTCTGGCTTTTCCGCTAGCAAGAACCTTTTCCATATCTGCCCAGGTCTCCTGGATAGTGGGACTCTTGATGGCCTCTATGGCATTTGGGTCATCGGGATTCTTCGGTCGCCCGTAGCCCTCTGCAGTAGATCAGCGTAGAAATTGGCCAGATACCGTGAACACCCACCAGGATACCTCACAGCTTGTGGGAAATGGATTAAATACTGTCATTCGTTAGGGGCATAGTAGTCATGCAAGCTCTTAGACGTAGTTACCAGATCAAAGTAGTCAAGTTGGGCGGCCTTTAAACTCTCATCTATTGATTGCAGGACATATCCTGGGTGGTGCCATCTGCGACGATGACTTAGAAGTTGGTGCCGAGCTGATATGAGGGTACCTCACGGAAGTTTGGTTGTGACGAAGATCTCTCTTCTGTCGATTCCCGATTCACGTATGGCTTCACCAACGAGTCTTTCAGTATCTAGCAAAACAACTCCTTGATTGAAGAGCCGTTTAGAAAGCGATCAAATTGATACGGACCGTACATCCAAGCCGTGTCCAGATGCCTGTATCCAGACTTGGGGCAATGAGTGGTTGTGAAAAAACAACCAAGGCTAACTCACTTTGAGGGCTGACAAAATCCAGCCCTTTGCTACCTTTTTCTTCTCCTCATCATGAGAGGCAAAGCATCCGAGGCCTGTAGGAAGTACATATTGGACCGAGGAAGTTACCCGTTGCAGCTATCCATGAACTGACCGATGGGTGGCATTAACAACGTGACATCGTCCTGGAGATTCGACGCCTTTGTCTTCACTTCAAGAGGGACCTTTTGCAAATCAAGGAACTTGGAAGACATTCGTGTCGCGGAGTAGAGGTGACGCCGTACAGCAGAGTTTGTGCTCGACAATAATCATAAAGCAGGGGCTAGCAGGGCTTAAATATAGCGGGGATGTCAAGGACACACGGATCGGAGTGCCCGCCACCAACACATGGGAGGTTATCCGGTAATCAGGCATGCATCAGGATGATCTCATGGTACAGATGGTGGCTAACTCTCGTGGGCTTCTTCGCGAATATGAACGCCAAGTAAGCGTCACGGTTGTAGACAGAGCTCGACAGGGAGAGTCATGTAGTCCATGCTCACAGATAGCTTCGGGAGGGACCACCGATGATGATATTCTTGCCACTGCCTTCAATACTTGCTGACAGCGACTGTAAGCGGTTGGAACTTAGCAAGAAAGAAAGTCCAGTGAGTCGGCCTTCGGCAGAGATCCAGATTTCATGGCCATCGGCCCCTGGCCGCTCCGTGGCTGTGCGTAGATTGCCGTTGACGTGGAAGGTAGACCGAGTGACACATCCGACTACATTGATACTAACTTACATATAATCCCCGGGGCGCGTTTTGGTCTCTACACAACACTCCCTTGCCACCTCCTAGAGCTCTTGCTAGAGTATGCCGCAAGAAGGCAGAACGAAGGGCAAGCTTGCTTGTGCGCTTATCGCGTTCGCAGCCGCAACTTTGGCAACACCATCGTCATTCCTTTCTGAATCTCTCGTGCGCAACAACCAGCTGCAAGATGTCCTGGAGCATATACCTGCAACGGAGGAACCCCTTTGTCAGGACTCAGTGTGTATCATATTTCTCTTCCCGTTATAATGCTAAACCCCACATGTAGACCACTGGTCCTATAGAGACCACGTTATGCCACTACGAAACGATCGAGAGCATAAACCCCGAGCTATTCGCGAATCTCAAGGACCTCGTAAAGACCCCGTTCTTCAAGTACTTTCAGGTCCGCCTCACTCACTTCAGGTCACGACTTATCTCACACATGTCTGGTGTAGGTGGACTTATACCGAGAATGTCCATTCTGGCAAGAGAACTCGTTCTGTATGAACAGAGAATGCGGGATCACTACTGTCGACGAGGTGGGTTACAATTGGATACCTCATAAAGCGTACTGACAGTCCTCGCATTCAGAGCGAAATTCCAGAGAAGTGGAGGGCGGCTTCATTGTCAAAGATCGAACTTCCACCTCCTGACGAAGTGTGTCACATTCTACGCTTTCGGCTGCAGAAACTAACGTCGAGGTCAAGCGCATACAACTTCCCGGGTGTTACTACCGCGACTCAGACTATTGCTTCCTCGATGATATGACTGGTTAGCCTCTCGGTTTTGCTTCTTGTGTCATGCCGTTTCTCAGACGTGCCAGTAGAGGGCGAATATGTGGATCTCTCGATGATTCCCGAGCGTTACACTGGTTACTCCGGACCGCCTGCAAACCGAGTGTGGAAATCAATCTACGAAGAGAACTGCTTCGGTGTTGCGGAGAACTTCCAGTCTGGTGGCTCGGTGGGCGAAGCAGAGATGAACATGATGTCGAGTTCCTCGCCGTCCCCAATCTCGCTACCCGATACCCTCACCGATGTTTTCCGCTCCGACGGTTCTCCCCCAGACGAAGATGGAGAGTGTTTGGAGAAGCGTGTTTACTACAAGATCATTTCTGGTTTGCATGCATCAATTTCAACGCATATATGCTTGGACTATCTCGACCAGAGGACAGGAGAGATGGTAGGTCCAATGGAAATAAAACTGCCCATGTTCACACTAACATTCTGCAGGCGCCAAATCTTTCGTGTTTTGTCTCACGTATTGCCTCACATCCTGAACGCCTCCAGTACATTTACTTCAACACTGTCTTGATGTTGCGTGCTGTCGCGCGCATCGCACCTTATTTATCGGCATACGATTATTGCTCGGATGTTCGAACCACCGTGGACGGGAAACCTGCCTCACACTCAGACGCGGAAGAAGAGACCCATATGTTGAGTAAACTTAACAATATCATCAGTATCGCAGAACACGTCGGCAAGTTCGATGAGAGCGTGCTTTTCCGGGGAGAAAACGCCAATGTATGATCTTCCTTCCTTAGCATATGGTGGTGTCGAGGCTGACAACGTACTCCAGATCCTGAAGGAAGAGTTCAAAGCCCACTTCCGTAATGTGACTCGCATCATGGATTGCGTTGGCTGCGACAAGTGTCGGCTGTGGGGCAAAGTCCAGACTATGGGTGTTGCTACAGCGCTCAAAGTTCTCTTTGAGATGGACGAGAAAGCACTAGAGTGAGTATAAAACCGATTCTATGTGCCTGTCAGCGCTCTCATGACACCTTTTAGCCCTCGCAAAAACACGAATTTGTTGCAGCGTTCGGAAGTGGTGGCTCTGTTTAACACTCTTCATCGCTTTAGCGAGAGTTTGCAAGCGGTTGACACCTTCAGAGAGATGTGGCGGGACGTAAAGGCTCGGGACGTCGTTGGAAATGGCACCAATGAACAAGAAAAGTTGTTCAGCGAAGTTCAGAAGGCCGTTCAAGGCACGGTGGGTAGTTCTTCTCTCGTTCTGTGTAATGGGTCTAATGCATGATCAGCCTCGAATGCAACCTTCCCCGGCGCCAATCACCCCGCCCGTTCCGTCGCCAGTGCCTGAAGAGCAGGTTCAGCTGCCGGCATCCCTACTCGACATTCCCGTCCTCCAGCAATTATATACTCGAGGTCACGCCCTTCTCACCATGTGCAAGCATCACGCTATTGTGTGCTGGAGCTTACTAACGGAGGCATGGACGGACCTCGTCGATGCTGTTTCACCACTTCGTACGGAGCTCTGACACCAAATATCTGGAAGTTATAGGCAGGACTTTGGAGCGCATCAGGCATTTACCACCACTAAGTTATCCGCATCAGTACTTACACATGTTACATGTAACATCTAATACTCGCATTCAACTCAACCATTCTGCTAAGGAGACATCCACTCTCTATACTTATGGGCTATCGTAAGGACTACAATATATCCACCAACCCGCGCCGCGGCGAAATGACTGCGACGACTTTGCCCTCGAAGCTCAACAAATCCCCACCGCTGGTCGCTACCAAGTCTGTATCCGCGGGATTTTGACGAACACCAAGCAAGGTCTCCACATTGACCGACGCCATGGTAAGGGCGTCGGCGAAATCAATCATTCCATGAGAATCAAGGGCGGCCTGCTCACGTCGTTCAGCGACCACGACGAATCCACTTTAAACTTTCTAGACACTCACCCATGCAGCGTCCCACCTGAGGTTCCGTGCCGCCCACGAAGAGATTAACGCTTCCTCAGATATGCCCTGCGGTCCGAGTCCGACCGTCACATTGTGCTGGGCTAAAATGGACAGCGTGGTGTCCGCGGTCACGGGCGGGCCAAGCAACCTAATCAAAAAGGAGACGGGGTGTCACCGCCTTCGGTCATCCCCGAGGGTTCCGGCTTTCCATAGTGAATGAAGCACGTACACACGTCTGCTTTCCCAGGTGTAGGGGAATGACCTTGGCGGCGTGACAATGACTCCAACATCCGCCTCGGCAAGTTCGCGCGCTAGCAGGTGTGCCTCGGCGCCGCCGACGATGGTCATATGGACCTTGGCACCAGTCTGGGACTGGTTTTCCACCTCTTTCTTGAGCGCTAGGAGGGAGGCGATCACATCGGCGCTCTTCGCGTTTACCACCAGAGGTATCGAGCCCTGGAAACAAGAACACCGGGTGAGAAAGACAAGTCGAAACTCAACTCTGACACGCTCACCTCCGCTACAGCCTCAAAATATTCTCCGCGCTCGCCGACATGCTTCCCGGTGAGTAGATTCCGAAGAGCTGCTATTTGTGTGCTGATACTCGGACTTGCCCCTTCAGTGTGGCCTACAGTGACGTGAACGGCTGCGATGTCTTGAATGACAGCTCCGTTGTCAAGTCTGTGTTTTGAGCCTAAGGATAGATGGGCACTCAGACCGCCCAAAAATCCGTGAGACGACGGCGCTGTAATCGCCGAAGTTACACCAGCGCGGTACGCAAGCCTGGAGAAGAACGTCAGTCAATCGAGCGAAGCAGAGAATACAGCGACAGACAGAGCATTGCGAGTTCCAAACTGAAGTCCGTCAACCGCACGCGTGATGCTTCCGTCTCCTCCAGCAATGAGGGGAACATCCTTCTCGAACGGGTCGAGCACCTCTCCGTCTCCAGTCGATTCCTCCATGCCAATCTCTCCAAGTCCCAGTGCTGTAGCTGTGGATACAAGAGCGGGCGCCACTGATCCGCCCTTAAGGTCGATGAAAGTGACACCCTCTTGCGTAGCAAAAGATGCGCACGCATCGCCGAACGTCGTTCCAGAGCACACGACTCTGCCCTTGTACACGACCACGTCCCCGAGCGCGCCTGAATTCGCACTAGTCTGGAAAGCGGGTGTAATGCCACCGACGCCACGCACCCACATACTTGATACGTTCCTGAATACCACAGTACTAGACACGGCTTTAGATGGGAAAAGCGGGGGCAGACCGACGTGGTCCAATGTCTGTTCTGCCTCTTGGTCGAAGCTCGGAGGGGTAGGTGGTACCTGGGATTCCGGCTTCACAGAGAAGTGGGGAGACTTGATTTGGGGTATGCCATCGATGATGACCTGGACGGGAGTTGCACCAAGGGCAAGAGGGTGACTATCCCAAATGACAAGATCTGGGTCATTGTTTATTTTTGTCGAATACACAGTATGTCCCTTGAGATTGACTGACCTGCGTCAAAACCTGAGAACAGGTTGTCAATACCTCAAAACGGTGGGTAAAACTAATATCTGACCTTCTTTTACGAAACCAATGCGATGGTCGAGACCAAGAACCTCTGCGGCCGTGCTCGTTACCGATGCCAAAGCAACGTTCGCCGGCAAACCATAGTAGTGGGCCTGTTGTGCTTCGTGTACAAGATAACGGGATTGTATGGCTGGGTGGTCACTCTAACGAAAGCATCAGCAAACTTCCAACCCGCGGTGCGGGAAACTCACCTTCATGACTACTTTAAGTCCGTTATCGTTCAAGATGCGCGGTGCATATTCGGAATGACGGTATGCTTCACGTTTGTATCTAATGCAAGCTCATTGATTCTCGCTTATTGGAGCCAAGGGTTGCGCTAACCTAGAAAAGGAGGCAAACATTGCCAAAGCTGGTGGATGCTCTGCAAACCACAGACATTTAGACGTCACGATTGCGAAATCAACAGGATAGCTTGCCATAAGCTCTCTTCAGAACGTCAGGAACAAGATACGCCTCATGTGCGTGATGAAAAGCTGCCACAGGAAATTGGAATTCATTGGAGACCTGTGTGGACGCTTCAGCAGAGTTTGGTGATTATGGACTCGGCGGATTCATACCCGGACGAAGGCATCAAAGTCCACAGCCTCGTAACAGTGGGTTTGCACCTTGACCTTTCCACGTAGAACATCCACAGCAGCCTCCCACTGGAGGTCCTCGGGGAACTCCCCGAGTTTGTCCCATTCGCCTGCGATGGCTTTGCTGCAGTAATTATCTTGCCTTCCCTTAATCTTGCGAGCAGTATCGTATCTTCAAAAGGGGATCGGAAACCCAGTAAAATGATGAAGGTATATGCCCACATACACTTCGCGGTAGCCCCAAACCGTATCCATCCGCGTACCTGAATACACTCGAGCTGAATGAGTGGTGTCAGAATGTCACATATGATCAACTTATGAACAAATGATACATACACGGGTTTTCTCCTACACAGTAACACCAAATCAGAAAGGCCGCGATGGCGGCTCTATGTCAAATGCGCTCTCACCGCAAGCGTGTCTATCGTTATATGAGCAGAGACTACAAAGTATTCTACCGCAACTTACTTCATGTGCCTCCACCTGGGAGGAACGGAATAGTCAACCGATGTATTATTCAGGTCGAAGGGTGGCTCCAATAGAAGCGAGGAGGTTGACCTCTCTTTCGTGGGGCGTAGTTTGATCACAAACGCTTGCCCTCCTTCTCAACCTTTAAGCCACTGACTTTATTGCAAGCATGGAAATTGAAAGTGTACCTATAGCGTCTGCGGACCCAGGCAAAATCAAAGAGGTGGTTATACCTCCAGCAATCGAATGCTCATAGCTGGCGTCGTGCGTGTTCATGCCATCTACAGAACGAAGCCAAGGTAGTGCGAGTCCTTTGACAGAATTGCCATCTGATGCACCGTTTAGTCCCGGAGAGGACTCTACCGCAATATGAGAGTGAACGTCTACGATGCTGCAACGAATGTTCAGTCCGTGGATGATCTATCATGAGGCAGGACAACTTACCCAGGAGTAACCCAAGCACCCTGACAGGTAGTTAGAATGGCCTATTACAACGAACAAGACGAAAGTATAAGCACCCACCTGAGCATCCAGGACCTCGATGTCTTGAGAGTAGACGTTCTCGAGAAACGCCAAATCAAGTTGTCCCGCTGACTTTACAATGCCATTGTCGAGATAGACATCTCCAAGCACGACGTCCGAGCCATTCAGTCGACCAGTCCATATGGTCGCATTACGTATAAGAATAGGTTTGGTTCCTTCTTGAAACCTGTCTGACTGAACGCGAGAGCTGAACGTCGGAGGTGGGCCAGGTTTACTGTTGAGAGCGCGGCAGCGGGCGAGCGTTTCCGCGGCACGCAAGGGAACATTGCTCTCATGCCAGTCTTGGGACAGGTGAGGCAGCTGTACGGCCAAATGGAGGATGGCGAAGAGGAGCAAGGCCAAGAAGAGGGCGCGACGATATGGCTTTGGCCTGGCACGTTCTGGGTGCGCAGCGAACGCCTTCGACGCGTCCATGGCTGCCTAACGGAAGTGGAGCGTCAACGGACGGATAAGTGATAGGAGTGTCGGCTTGCAAGTTTGTCCAGCTACGTATGTCCACACGATCATAACCACTGCATGGTTCCTGATAATTATAGCCTCCCTCAGGCTGCATCCGCCGGCGAAGAAAGGCCGCGCTTTGGCGGGCACTGAACGGGCTTTGAATCGACAAGAGGTCGTCCAGTCTGTGTACCAATTCCCTTGCACATCATTGAGGACGCTGATCAGTCTGTACACATATGATGGCATGGTCTTGGGCGATTTCAACGTTGATATATGATATGGGGATGCCGACACAGTAATACTGGATGTGTAAAGTAGTACTTATGTGTAGACCGCATCAACTGTAACCGCCCACAGACCAAGCGTGCGCAATCATCGACTGAACGCTGGAACACCTAAAACAAAGCCAGTATATCCTTGCCAGATGCATCCGGACACTCTCGGACTGCTACAACCGTCGTCGGCACGTCTGGCGGCACGCTCGCTGGCGGAGGGGGGGGGATAAGAATATGAAATTTCCTTTTTGGGTGTTGGTCCTGGCGGTGTTCACATCTGTTTGCCCGTCACCTTCATCCCACCAGCTGCCCCCGTCGCCGTCGTCATCGTGCCCCCCTCCTCCAACCCCTCGTCTCTGCCACCACCGTCGATGCCCACGACGCTGGAATGATCGTCCTTGACGAAGAAGACCAGCAGAAGTTGAAGGATTCCCCCGCACAAGGCCCAACGCTCCGCTACCCCGAGCGTGCCGCTGGTCGTCGTCCATTCAGTCCCCTCCCAGATTATGAGACCTCGCAGGCCCAGGCTTTCCGGCGGTTCAACGAATCCCTTGTCTCTCTCCATAAACCTGCTCCCAAAAGGCGATTCTTCGACTCAAAGTTCTGGAGGGCGGCTCTCTCGGCCTTAATTGTCTATATTATCCTTTCCATCGTCATCGCTGTCCCCGTCCTCGTAACAGTACGCATTTACGTACACGTTATACGGCGCTCGACCTTACTCAAAGCTATTTTAGCAAACCAGAGACGGCTCAGGCCCAATATCAGATCCATACTCATCTTTGTCCTACGCCGTCCCATGGCAAGACCATAACACAACCCCCTCCTGGTCGAGTCCACCCAACATCATAACCGCCGTCGAAAACGGGGCAACCCCAATATGCAACGCATGGTCAAATGCTTTCTGGATAGAAGGCCCCGGCCTCTTCCAAGCAAGGTACGGACTCCCCTACCCCTCCCTCCTTTATTGTCTTACCTTCTTTCTAGTACCCAACTCAACGTATCCGCCAATGGCCAGTTTAGCATCGCCTCAAACACCTCGTACATACAAGATTTTGACAGCGTGATTGGGAACCTTAACGTTGATATCAACCCGGATCCCACTGTCAACCAAGCCAACTTAGGCTTAACCATGCAGGCGTCATCCTTTCAACTTCACAACGACACGCTCGTTTGCTTTGCCGTCACTCACAACTCTACTGACCTGTTCATCTACGTATGTTGAAGAAGATTCTATTGCCTATCGATTAATGTTAACGACCGATGTTAGATCCCCTCCCAGCTTACCGCCAATGACACATTGCAATTCAATGTTACCCTTCTCTTTCCGCAATCAAGTACCCCTGCGAACGTCGATGTTCTGTCAACATATCTGCCACTCTTCTGGCAGAAGTTTGGAGATTTTGGAAATTACGTTGATTTTAATCAGGTGTCCATTGAGGGTGGAGCATCAAAGGTTACCGTCCAAGTGAGTCCATCTTCAACATGTGCAAGTTAATTGCGTTGACGGGAGTATGTCAGTCTTTGCATGCGCAACAAGTTCTCGTAGATACATCGTTGCAGCCGATCAGTGGTGAATTCCACATCAACAACACGGCTACGCTGGGTACTATCCAAGCGTGAGTTACGATGCCCGTGATCATGTCCACGTCTACAATTATCCTTTCGTCTTACAGACCTATTGACGTAAACATTACGTTGTACAACGATCCCAAGGCATCGATGCCGACGTATCTGGGTATGAACACAGGGAATGCGTGAGACTACCTAACGACAATGTCTCCCTCGAATGACACTGATCCTGCTTTCAGGAACCTCACTGCCAACATCACAGTCTATTCGCCTCTTAAGACACCTACGACCCGTCCCAACTTCATAACCTACCTTCGGACATTCAGCGGCGACCTCTCGGCACAAATGCTTCACGATCCACAATCGCCACCCACGGGCATCAGATTTACCGCTATCAATGACTTGGCACCAACAAATGTGACGCTCGATCGCAAGTACACTGGGATGTTTCAGGCTACGACCCGTTTGTCAAATACCAACGTAGTACAAGGCCCAGCATGGTCGGACCCTTGGTCGTTTGATGCTCCATTAACACGGACATACGATATCATGTACAACACCACGGAGCGAGTGTATGGTTGGGTCGGCTGGGGATCGCTACCAACAGAGTACGATCCAACGCAGGTCGGTGAGGTTATCGTATCGACATCCATGGACGACGTCTCTCTTTCCTTCGGGTGAGACCTCTTGACCTGCGGGGGTGGTCATTTGTTGGGCTTCGGTTATCGGACAGAGGAATGCTTGGGCGTCTTTTTTTTTGGATGGGACTTTCTTTTTGGCTTATGCATCAGTCGCGGGTCGAGACTCGTTATTCCCATCCTGTCCACTCGTTTGGTCGGTAGTAGCACTTCATTTTGTTTTTATTTGAAGTTTTCGGCATGGCATTGTGTATCATCAGCCAATACAACGCAGTGTAATAGATTACGAGTTTCGGTAATAAACGGGTTACACTCCGTGATACCCTCTTCTAATTCTGGTGAATGGACTAAAATGTCTCCTACTGTAGCTATTAGGATCAGAAATAAACCCGTAGAGAATTTTAAGCCTCACACAAGCTCCTCCCAGGCAAACCCACCTGTGTTCTATAGCCATGTGTTTGGAAAGAGAACTCGAAGCGCAACTTGTGAGACTGACAGATAAAGTACTGTCAGGATCGAACCAAATTCAACGCTTCACGTGAGCCTGTTGAACGTGCTACACTGGCGCTTCTTGCTAGAGATGCATAATTGCGGACAAGAGGCCGCCACTTAGTGGGCATGGGTAAACCTATATCGCGATGAGTCCTCGGCACGGCCATGGGAAGGTAAGACCGGCTTAGTACACAACTCAAGAGAGCTCAAGCCCAAGATAGCGAGCATGGGTATCTTGATGACCTTACATGAACCGAGAAGCCATAGAACTTTCACCAGCAAATAAGACTAATGAGTGCATGACGGGAAATTTAATATCCCATGCGTCGATGTCTTTGTGTCTGCAACCAGGTGCAATCTATAATAAGAATCTAAGATATACCAGCCTGGCGCTAGCCTTCTTTCCCATGGAATTAATTGCTCATCCCTTAACCTGCCATCGACGTTGGGCAGCGAAAAAGCTTCGAAAGACGGAAGAATACAAGTCCGTGGATCTGAATTGGACGGATAAACTGATAAGTGATGCACAGCGCATAGATCCTGCAAATGCTTCCTGAACAACAAGTACGAGAAGCTACATCATCATGCTAGCTAAACCGCTTTGGGCATAAGCCATGGGCTTCATTGGCGGGTGCGGAGTGGCTTCGAACTGGAAGTACTCCTGGTTGCCCGAAGAGTCTATTCGGATCTGAGAACATCTGAGTAAAGGAAACTCTGACACAGAAGGATGGTGAACTAACGAAGGCACCCTTGTTCCCGACCTGGTCTACATAGTTCGGAGCCGAAAACACTGTGGTACAGAGTCCATCGTGTTCAATCGCATAGCCGTCTTTCAAAACGAGAGTGATCAGAGTCGGAATACAGCGAGTTGGTTCGAACGTACTTTCTCGGACTTCGTGACTACGAATGATACCTGTAACGCCATTGAGTGTACACCAACTCCGAGTCACGTCTGGACCAAAAGCAATGCCGACGCCCTTGATTAATATATTAGCGGACATGAATGACGAAATGCAATGAATACATACACGTTTGCTGGGTCCCCGTCCCGGTGCCTCTTGCGGGTCCGTCCACAGCATCTAATACCGTTATTATCATTGACAGCAATCAGCCTATCGGACGATCTCACCTCGCCTATTGCAGAAGGTCAACTCTGAGGTGAGCTTTGATGAACTATCACTTACACATCAGCCCTTCCTGCCCTGGCTGTCTCCCTATACGCTCAACCTTGCGGATTTCGTCCAACGTTACCCCGTCTTTGCTGAAGAGGCCACCGTGCACGATGAAGTAGCGCTTAAAGCCTTCTGGTGATAGGATCGTACTTGGGGATGACGAGGATGGCGGTTTGGTTGCGCTGACCATTGTTGCTAAAGGTACTGCAAGAGTGTTCAGTCGCAGCCGACCATCCTACATAATCCGCTTACATGTTGTGAAAACGTGCGCGAAAAGCTAAAATTTACATTTAGCCAACTTCGTATTACTAGTAGAGTTGAATGCTATCTGACCTTGTAGGTCTGATCGCCATGTTTATGCTTGGCTTCACCTTCAAACCCGTAAGTCCGGTTCATATCCTTGGCTTCGTGATTTCCTCTATTGATGTACATGCGCTTGGGATTGAGCCCTTCAAGCGCAATTATGTCAGTGCCGTGCGTATACAGGACGATGAAGACGAAACATACACTTGTATGCAAAGGCAGTCAGGATGACCTCGATTGACCAGGAACCTCGATCGACGAGGTCGCCGTTCATAAGGAGACAGTGGCTGTCACTAGGAGTGCCGGTCATCGAATATAGATTGAGCAGGTCATAAAATTGTCCTGTGGCCCATAACTTCAAATTTATGCCATCAAATCGCATATAACGAGTTACAACGTACCATGAACATCTCCGATGACGTCGCAGGTGAGTCCCTCTGACAAGTCGATGTTGACCAAGCTTTCTTCTTTCGCGAAATGAGCATGCGCCCCAAGGACGATTTCCCATGCATACCGCCGAGGCAGGTTTTTTCCTTCCTTGAACCACGAGATCATGTTCTTGATGAAATCTTCGGTCATAACGTACTTGCCGTTGTCATCCTTGTCCAAAGTTGGTCCAGCGTAACCCTTGTCCACTTCGCAACCACCTAAGTTTCTTTCGGTGAGCACAAAGGTGGAGACTCATGAAGGAGACATACCGTCGGCAATAATTTCCATGCACCGATCGATTGGGTTTTTCTCGCCTTCGAATTCGATGGCCTATCATAGCGCATCGGCTCGTCTCTTCAAGCAGCGTTTACGGGAGAGTTACCTTTTCAAACTCAATCTTCCGTACCAACTTCTGGGTGGCCGTGAGCTGGGCCCTCACAGTTTCGTTCTGGGGCTCAAACGCTAACACTTTCTTGAAATCCGAAATTGCGAGCTGGGGTTTCATTATCTGTAGATAACAAGTTGCCCGCCTACACAAAATGAGCATGTACGAGTATAGTCATAGTAGCCTACTCGCACCTGTAAAACGCCTTGGAGTATTTGGGGTTTATCTCAATTGCCCTGCCTGCACATACTTCAGTCACGCGCCCATGATCAAGGCAGCAAGCCACCCACTAGCATCGTTGAGCGCAAACCCAAACTCCTCGAGCTTCGTTCGTGAGGCCGCGCGATTGCACCAGAAAGTAGCATCGTGCGGGTTCAGCTCGATCGCGTTTGAGTAGAGGCGGACAGCCTCCGAAAAGTTGTGACCTGGTCCGCGTCGGCTTATCGTGAGCAAGGACCCAAGGGCCTCTCAAGTAAACCACTATAGTCGACTCACTAATGAAGGCCTTGTTCGCCTCTGTCTTTAGCGCAGCAGCCTTAGCGCGATCGTCGTCCGTTACATCCTTGAGGCTCAGCGACTGTATCTCGGGCGAGGGCATAGAAGTGGCCGCCGTCGTCGCCGGCGATGCTAGCGCTGAGGAAGAGGGCGATGATAAAGAGTCACTCATTTGGTTTACGGTAGCTCGATCGGCTCAGGTCTAGGGTTTGAATGAGAAGATTTGTTGGATAACGATTTGTTGTTGGCCGCAGTAAACACAGCGACGCATCTTCTACTCGAATTGGCAACCCAAGCTGCCAGTCGAAGTCAAAAGTTGCCTTAAGCATCACCCCTTGGGCTAATTATTGGCAGTAATACTAACGCTCAAGCGGTCAAGTTGAACCAACATTGTCATAATTCATCAAATGTATGCAACCCCATGAGCCCAACATCCACAAGGTGAGTCAATATAGCTGGTAGTCTATCACGGGTATATATTATCATCGACGGAAGTACCAAAATGATAAGTGTTGAGACAGACACATTGTAAATCTGCGAAGGCGAACGCCGCCTAGTTGGGGCAAGCGTTGAGGTTGAAGTACTTGCCGAGAGGAGGGCTGTGGCTGTAAGCGTTGATGTCGAGGACCCACCCGTTCAAGAACTGCATGAGGCTGTAGGAGAACAGATTATTAGCGCACACAACAAAAGTGTGATACTCGATACACTCACTAGTCAAGGTTGTTCTGCTCGCGGCAGTTGCCGCCGTGAGCAGCAGCAGTAGCGGCATTCTGTGCACGACATCAGATAGAACCAAGGGCTATGAAGGTGTGAAACGTACGAAGGTCAGACCCTTGTACCAGCCGTTGTACTGGCCAATGCTCTGGAGCAGATCACCGCCGTTATCCTTCAGCGTCTGGGAGAAGAACTGGGCGCCCGTTTGGATATTGTAGTCCTATTGAACGATGATTAGAGATCATGGTTAAGCAGCGTTCATATGCACAACTTACAACGTCCGCGCAGTTGCCGCCGGGGGCATTGCCACACTTGTCACTCGTGAGCTGCATCAGGCCAGTCTCACCAGCACCACCAACGGTAGCGGGGTTGCAGCCACTCTCCTGCATAGCGAAGGAGGCAAGAACGATGGCGGGGACTATCATTATCATCAGCCTCTGATATTAGACAAGTGCAAGACATCGAACTTACTTCCGAACTGGGCACCATACTGCTCGAATTTACCAACGTAAGGCTGACAGGCAGTAAAAGCAGAGTTAGGGTTCCATGCAACGGAAGACAGCTCCTTGGTGACGATGTCGTCAACCGTGACATATGGAGGGTTCCAACCGGCACCGTTGATACCGCAGTTCAAGAAATCAATGCTTCCGTTAGGACCAGCAGTAGTCGTGGTTTGCTCTAAGGACAAACACAGACATTAAATCTGCAGAATGGACAACAAAAGACGGTAAAGACTAACGAATAGCACCACTGGCACCGCAGGCAGCACTCGAAGCGACCTTGATGAGACCGCTGACGACACCCCCGGCGGGCTTACTACCGCTGAAGTTGTTACCAGCTGAGGGGTTGGCACTCGGAGCGGGCTGGGAGGAGGACGAGGACTTATCGGGAAAAGAGGATGTGAGTGAAAATTCCAACTTTGCCCAGCCCTTGTGCTTGTACTCACAGCGGGGGCAGAGGTGCCAGATGCGTTGCAGGAGCTGCGCTTGCGCATCTTCCTGGAGACCTCCGGAGCAGGCTCAGCGTTGCGCGCGAGGCGAGCGTGCTTGGCAGCGAGTTGGTGACCACCGACGTGGCTACTGGCCTCAACAGCGATAGTGAGGGTGGCGAGGAGAGCAAAGAACGACGAAGTGAGTCTCATTGTGAAGACTTGGTTAGAGAGCGACTAGAGTGAGTTGGGTGAAGAGGGTGCGGACGTGGTAAGAGACAAGGTTGAAAAGGCCTGTCGGCTCGAGTGGGTTTGTGATGGGCGCTGATGGAGGCAATCTGTAGCCGATGTCACCCTGATATTGCATGTCTGGACTCTGCGCTGGAGGAAGTTGGCGACTTCTAGCCAGACAATGAGACATCGTTAAGCATGAGAGCCGAAAGTTCAGTGATCGGTCAACGACGTCCGTATGTATATAGTCTGCGAGCACCAGCATCTATAGCTTTCGTAGTGAAGACCAGGTAAAGTCCGGGTTATCCAGAACATTGATTCAGAGATGTTGTTTGCCTGTGTAGAGGACTTGACGCGCTGGCTTGGCATGTACGGTTGCGGAAGGAGCGGACAGTTAATTAGTTAGACTGCGGATGAAATATCGAGTACTCCACGAGCTACTCCACATCGCTATGACACAAATACCGTTGATCTGCTTCCATGGACGGCATGCTGAAGCCGAGAAACACCAGGTTACATCAGAACGGAACCTAGACGTTCCTCTACATTTTGGTAGGGGGTCAGCACGATGATACTAGCTAGCGCTCATATTCCATTAAGCAGTAAACACGCGATAATTGAAGATGACGGATGTGGCGAATTAAGGGCTCGAAGTTGCATATGTAGCGGTACCAATTCATATCTGGGCTTATGCTCGGCGACCGTGACCACCGGCGTTGAATAAAGTGAGCGCTGGTGAGCGCGCTCATAGAACCATAGAACGTCGCGGACTCGCACTATAGTAAGTAGTTCCGCCGGAAAATATGAGCCCCGAGTTCGAAACGGCTTACAAGACAAGGGCAATTATTTCCGCTGGAGTTAGTCGGATTAGCACACACGCATGGATTTATCAGTCGCATACATGGTTGGCAGTGCTGGTTCTCGGTGTCTACATAAAAGGTCTTCCTGCTGCTCTGAGCCGTGATACTTGTTAGGGTAGCTGTGTTTCGTATCTGAAGAGACGCTCAATTCGGGTGGTCTCCGAGAGAGAAACGTCAACACGAAGCGAAGCTTAGTACTGCGTTTTTGCATGATGCCAATGTCAATGATCGCTAGCAGATTGGCATACCCTCCATTGCGATGTTGAACAAAAGGGGATGGGTCTCAATCCATGTACACTCTACCGCTACTTCAGGATGAGAGAGAAGCCTAATAAAGTTAGAAGATTACAACCAAATTGGTGGACGTAGATGGACTCGGTTTCGTGAGTACCTCATGACATACCTGGACAAGCAGTGTTTCCTCGACTGATATCCACGTGTTGATCATTCAGAACGAATGCTCACTCTGACCAAGTCTGACCAGTGTTCCGGCTGCGCCGGGTTCTCCCACAGCAAAGGTATGTATGGGTCGTGCGAGCGCACCGAATGTTGCCAAAAGTGTGCAGGTATGCTGCACCTACGATAGGAAAGTCAACAGGTTCCCTCAGCAAGCCATAGCAAGAAGCAGGAGCAGAAAGACCCTGGTCTGGTGCCACCCTCGTGTCGAGCAGATAGGGACCGACTCATTCTACCGTGCTTGTGGGATGAAAGCACAAAGAGTGGCCTTGGAGCGGGAGAATCAGGCAAAACAAAGCGCTGGCAAGCTAATGGTAAGAGGACGTGATCCGGAGGAGTCATTTATAGATAAAGGAAGCGTGGACGCAAGGAGAGTCACAGGAGAAATCTACGAGCGAGATCGATTACATCGCCGACGATGTTCGGCATGGTCGCCGAACTTCAAACGACATCGCAACCTGTTGAGTCACTGGCCGTCATGGCGGTGAGGGACAAAATTTACCGGAGGCGGGGGAGTCATTGGTCGGTGAGAGACCCCGAAATTGGGGTGTCTGGGGCGACGTGTACCCAGTGACTGTGACTCCGATATAACGCCCGAGTCAGCCCTCCGCCTGGTGTCTCCTCGTACTGCCCCCACTCTCCTATATAGCCTCTCTCTCCCAGCCGCTGCCCCTCCCCGCCGAACGCAAACAAGTACTCGCTCAGGCTTTCAACAAACAAGTTTTAAAGTCTATAAAGTCCTCTCAAAAGAGACTTTATAGCACCTAGGACGATCTAAAGTCGACTTCGACTTTGGGCGTCCTCTAACTCAACACCCTCGCAATGACCCGCTATCAGGTCGACCGTTTTCCCCACCCGTCCCTCCGCTCAGCCAACCCGATTCTCGTCTCTGCTGTTTCTTTCTCTTCTGTTTCTGTCGAATCCGATTTTACTGTAGTAATGTCCCTCAAAGGTAGTCTTACCGTATTTTAGATAATCGGCTCAAGCATCCGTCTCTCTCTGTTGGTTTAATCTTTCTAAGTCTCATTTTTTCTATGTCTACTCGCGCAACAACCCATTCGCTCCCCCATCTTGGGAGAGCACCTTCCAACCCATCCACACACACTCGGGTTCGCTGGCAACCCTACTATGCTTCACTTCCATCCATCACCACTCGATCTCCTTCCAACAATGCCTACCTCCCCACTCCTGCCTCCTCCATATATTCGTCTACACCCTCCCCTGTCTCCCTCCGTGCCCCTGAACGCCCTCGCGCGCAAGTTTCGCGGGAGTGTCAAGTTAGGGATCTCCATAAGTCCAGATATGCTTCCAGCTTAGTTGGTGAGCCCTTTGTATACCTTTCTAACTTCGAGACCATTCACACTCCCTAGATCAAGCAGTAAAGTCTATATGCGACATATGGAACCCTCAAGACATTCCGCCCGTTTTTCTCACCTCCCCCCCGCGCCCCGCCCACGCTCACGAAGCTGTGGGCGGGAGCGCCTCTCTCCCCGCACACGCCTTCATAAACTCACAACTTCCATCCCCCATTTCCCCCACCACCTCATATTCGCCGGTCACTTCATCAAACGTACCTCCCTTTGCGCTCCCGCGTCGGTCCCACTTGCAATGCATGCCAAGCTCGCAGGCCAATACTGGCAACCTTACCCCAATGAAGACCTTCGTCCACGAAGTTCTCAGGCGATCGCGCACCTCGGGAACGGTTTTGCAGACTGCACTATGCTACATCGAGGCCATTCGATCGAAGGTTCCGGAGCTTGTTCGGCAAGAACAGTCGGGTCAAGGTGTCAGGGGCGAACCGGAATTGGCTAGTCGAATCATCCAAGGCGAGGTGGACGTCGCCAGCGACGTCTCCCCCGTTGGATGCAACTCTACTGATCCGCTCGATTCTTTGGTCGAGACTGTGCGCGTCGATGCTCTGGAGCTCGATGGCAACGGCAGTCAAGTCGAAATGGACATGGGTCTTTCGGTCCCAACTCCCAAGGTTTCGAATGCAGCCCCACCACCCCCTCTTCCCCCTCTGCCTTCGCCTCTTCTCTGCCCTCGACGCGCCTTCTTGGCCGCACTGATACTTGCCTCCAAGTTCATGCAAGATCGCTGTTTCTCGAACCGTGCATGGGCCAAACTTTCTGGCCTCCCTCCTCGTGAGATCGGAAGATGCGAACGGGCGCTCGGTGAAGCTCTCGACTGGCGACTTTGGGTGGGTAAATTGCCTGCAGCGCAAACTACCTCCGAAAATCGCCAGCTTACGAAGTGCAAGAGTGAAAACGACATCGGGGCGTTTGACACGCATACGCCTTCGAGGGGTTTGTTGTCCAGGCATGCTACGTTCCCTGCTGGGCTTATCTCGCAAGAAATCAGCACCGGTGCGGCGCCAATTGATATGACTTGGACTAGTGGTATAGCCTCCTCTTCCGTCGGATCGTCATATGTCCCTTGGAGTCCCGCGACGCCTGGCTTGAGTTATTCGCCGACGTCGACGGAGAGCTCCTGTGGCGACAGGACAGTCCAAATGACGTTTATGGATGACTCGACCCCGCCGCCCGCCCAGCCGTCTGCCTTTGGCCTGGCTTCTCATGAATCCAAGGCTATTGATTGCAAGCAAGCGCCAGCGGACGTATTCTATGCTCAGTCGACACAGCCCTTCGCGTCATACGGCATCATGGTCCCTCACCAGCTTGGCGACGAATCGGATGTCAATGGCCTCTCGATCTCAGCGCTTAGGGATTCGTTCTATGCGCCCCCTTGGTCAACTGACTTCGTGAGAGTCTCGTAAGGTTTTTTGAACACAACCCCATGCGATATGTCATTTTCATTCCTTTTTTTCGACCTATTTCTCCTTTCTTTCTTGTACATCTTCCATTACTTTTCGCTAAGTGCTACGGGTATGATGGAGAGGGGGTGTAGAACGAGTTTTGCGCGTTATTCATATGAACGATTGACTTTTCTTTGATTAACAGAATGACTGTACATGTATTACCTTCAAAATACCCAGTAGAGCTGCTTGAGCCCAACAATGCCTGATCGGATGGTAGCTTCCGCGTTTCGCATCGGCCAGACGCAACAAGTCTCGGGCTCGTGACATCATAAATTGCTAGCAAGATACAAGTCCTCACAGGCCTCACTGTTTACACTAGGTCGGCAAATCGAAATGTCGCAATCCAACTCCTTAGCTATAGATTATATAGATGTCTGCGTAATCTTACAGGTACTAACGTTGTTTCTGCTGCCGGCATGCTTATTGCTCAAAGAATTCGAGCGGGGTATCCGCAGTCATGATGGCACGCCACAGATGAGGATGACCATCCTCATCCCTCTTTCCTTCAATGTGGTGGATGGAATGGAACAAGACCTGTTCTTCACCCTATAAACCGTAATTAGTGACATATACTGCGTTGGTCAACTAATAACCTTGCTCACCGGATCGTGAATCCTGATAATGGACATATGTGGGTAATGGAGAAGCCCATCAGCGATCAGCAGCACAGTAACGCATATCAGCAGGACACGGTCCACTCACCGAACGTGAAGGAATCCTTCACCGAGCTCATCGTTCACAGCGGGGAGCTTGATCTTCCCAAAGATGATGGTGCCGTAACTCACGTATCCGCTGCGGATCTCAACGAGATGCTCCTCAATGGTGAACGAAGTCAACTGCGCGTCGGTCAGGTGGCCAGCGCGAGACCACATCTTGGGCTCGTGCTTGTTCCAGCGGTGACGAGATGTGATAACGTCCTCCTTGATCTTGTCAAGAACGTCATTGAAAGCCTTTATCGCATTCTCGTGCGGCTTGTGAGGTTCGTTAAGATTGGCTATCTCTGCAGTTGCTGTAAAGCCCAAGGGCTTTCGTGAGTTTCTCATAAGTCATGTTCGTGCGTGTTGCGATGCATACCCATCGTGAGTTACAGTAGTGTGTTCTGATCGATCTGCTGCTGCGTGGGGTTTACTCGAGGAACGTTGGGAGGCAAACTCCGAACTGACCTGTGCTTCTCAGCTTCGACGTGCACAGCATTATCTAAGAACCCATTTTGGGCTTTAGAAAGAACGACTCCATCTTAGGTGTAGGCTGTAGCTTAGGGGTGTATTGTGACAAGAAAGCTACCAGGGCAGGAGAATACATCAGAAACGGGCTGGCTCTGAGCTTGCAGTGTTTGTCGTCACCAGCTTGCGGTATCTATGATTGCTTCATGGCCAGCGCCAGCGTTACCGATGGAGTAATCGACATCACTACAGAACAGCGCTATGCCACTTTGAACAATAGGAGCTCAATTCAGATCGCACGGGCTCACTAACTTGTTTGGATGATCAGTGAATATTTCAGCGGCAAATAGCACCAGAAGACTGGGACCTCGTCAAACCAGGGCGGCCACACGCATAGAACCTATTCTCGTGCGGAGGATGGTGCGTGCCCAATTGTTATCAAGTGCCGTTGGCACCGTGAAATATGTAACAACTTCTGATGGTAGATGGAGCGTCGGCATCCTCATTGAGGCAGAATCACGTACGAACTAATACTAGTGCAATCCTCAAGGAATTAAGTATTCCCTAAGTGCCGATTCATGAGCGGCGAACGTGGCGTGGGATGGATAACGTACTGCACCTCCAATTTTTGGAAGGCTCTGTTGGTAGCCACACGGTAGCAACATATCCAGAAAATCTTCTTCCCTTCAATGCCGTGCGACGTCCGCGGATTGCCGTGTGGTTGCGTAAGGGCGTGAAGAGTTGGGGAACCTCGAGGAGCGTTTGGGGTTTACTACGTTGTCCAGATGCTCGCTGTCCTGTGCTTGTGCGGATCATCGCTTTGTACTCACACACACCATTACTTCGGCCGGGGCCGTGGCTGAAGAGGGCTAAAGCTTCGGAGGGAGGGTCCGTTAGCATGCGACGCGGAGATTAAGTAAAGCAGAAAGCATGTCTCTATCCACTCACAAGTTAGGGATCCAACTTGCAGCTAGTCGACAAATGACGTTGTTCATCTTGAATAAATATGCGAGTAGATCATTAAATACATTACCCGCAATAAAGCAGGCTATAGGTAGACATATATAAGTGACCTTCAATGAAAGCATGCACCAGGGGGGACATCCAAAGCAATCCTAGAGACGAGCAAGTGGTAAAAACTCTCCATAAAACGTACATTGTTATAACAGCAAAAGACTCGTCTGCGAGTCTTTCATTACGGATCGCCAGTCCGCATTTGGAAGACCTTCGTCTAATCGTCTCCATACCTACATCCTTGGGTCAGTTTACCTAGCGATATGTGACTTGAGAACCAAACCTCTTGGACAATCCGTTCCGCTGAATCGACCTCAAAGCAGCCTGCCAGAAAGTTAGCAGTGAAGCCCAGCACACGTAAACCAGCCTTTGACTGACACTGCGACCTGAACTCCGAGAATATCCGTGTTGCTCGTGTGCGAGACGACCCAAAAGCATGGGATGATGCCACTATTGCGGGCCAAATCAGACTGGGAGTAGTGTAAGCATATTCTACAACGGAGACGATACTTTGCACCTACTCGACGCCCATCTTACTGGTGGTACACTCGGCGAGCATGGATACTATTGCATCGCTGCATGACTTCACTATAGGGTCGGTAGCAGAAGCTTTCAGCACGTCTCGCAAAAGCAAGATCTGAAAAAATGCAAGAAAAAAAAATGAGTAATTGAAAATCATAACATGCTGTTAACGGGCGAACCTGCGCGGTTTTCTTATATATATTGTTCCCTGTGTGGACGCGAGCCGAAATTTGATGATCACGATCGTCGACCCATGTTTCAAGAACATTATAGTACCTATGGCACTCTGTAGTCAAGTCTGCCTCCTCACTGTCCCCTCCCTGCGCGACCTCGGATATACGAGCGCTCCCATGAAGTGCACGAGAAATGAAGGTAACAACCTTGTGTACAGCCATATTAGTTCGGTTCTGGGATAGAAACGTGGTACTGACTTCGGCAAGGACTGGTATAAATCCGCGGGACATGCCAAACACTTGCTCAGCATATGAGAAAGACACTTCATTATCCTGACTCCTGCAGCAATAGCATTAATGAAAGCTATTGTAGTGCTGTACGTAGTAGACACGCACCACCAACTCTCGGATGCTGCATTCAGGATTGTCGGCTCTTCACCGCTTGCCAGGCACGCTGCCCACTTTTAATTTCCGTTTTATGTAAGAAGCAAGATTCGAGGACACACCTGCTAAATCGTATACAGCTAATATTTCCAGCAGCAACCTCGTGCGAATGGGGCCTGCTGGCAAACCATCTGTTGACGACCGCTGAGCCAGCAGAGCCGCTGGACCCCCACGAACATTCACAAGGGTCTTAGCGAGATCCATGTTTTTGGCCCAATTTCGACCCCCATTGAAAATCTAAAAACGTGGCAAGCCGAATCAACACGCACGCAAGCAGTTAAGCGAAGGAACTCACGTCCATAAGCGCAATGGCCAGAGAAGCAGCCAAAGAAGCGTCACTGTGGGCGCCGGCGGGAGTCATGCAAGCTTGGGCAAGGAGTTGCTTTGAATTCATCCGATAGGAATGAGCAACCCGAAGCATGTGCTCGGCCCCGTGTGCCGTCCCGCTTCGCGACATGAGGAAAGATTGGTGGATAGCCGCGACACCAAGAAGCGCCAGTCGTAAGGCTTCGGCCGGAGGGTCAGCGCCCGGAGGTTGGTTGAGTACAAGAGGGATATTAGCTGCGACAATTGGGTTCTCAGACGGGACGGCCATAATGATGCTCAAGGATTTATCGCAATAATGACGGATCTTGGAAAAACAAATGGAATCATCATTATTCACTGGTATCTAGCAAGGTGATCACTGGACAAAGGCCCCACCAAGTTCCTCTCTTGGATGCTTTGGAACTATGCGCCAAAAGCCTATTCAGCTTCTCCTGTAAGACCAGTTCGACGCCGGTGTACTCACATACGGCTCGATAGGGTCGATGGAGTGAACGAGATGTGGTTGTCCCCACTGACTTGAAGAAGTCGATCCGGAGTGACCAAGGGGACGAAGGGGAAGAGCCTGGGAGTGGTTGCCATTAGGGAGACGGGAGGATTGAAGCGAATTACTAGAGTAAGCTGGGTCGTAACGTTGCTGGGATGGGTATGAAGACAGTTCGGGTATAACATTTAGGACATTATTGTGCGAGTTTGAATGCTGTAATGAGTATCCAGGTGGAGGCCTGTGCATATAGTCAGTGGGTGTTAACGAGCTCATATGGTTTCCACACTCACATTTGACGGCGAGAAAGATCAGAATCTGTCGTTAGAGGAGGGATCGTGGCGAACGGGTCGCTTCGTCAAAGTCAGATGGCAGCAATTAATGGTTGGTCACAAGAACTTACCTCGACCGGCGAGTGACAACTGGGGGCAGCTCCAGCTGTCCTCGGCTTGGAGGGGTATTATCACGCGTCGGCGGGGCTGAAGGTTCGGAAAGGCTGTTAGAATCTGCAGTCGAGGGACGGCCGTCCGCGCTGCTTCTGCGCGACTGCTGGGGAGAGCCCTTCTTCCTCGACGGTACGCCCTCTGGCCAGGTGCACTGCCAATATATGAGCTGATGGAAAAGCCACCGACGAAGGGATGCACGCACGTCTCGCTGACCATGAGTGCACCTCATGCAATTAGGCTTGGTCTCATCGCACTATGAAGCGCGTAGTGAGCCACCGAAGCGAGTGCTGACGGGGGGGCGGATGCGCACCTTTATTTTCTTGACGCGACACGTGAGGCAGCCAGTCTTGCTTCTGGTGTACTTGGGACGCTTGCGCTGAGGCGGCTCAGCCGCTCTAGAGGATGGCGCGACGAGCTGAGAATGAGCGTGTTCGTGAGGCTGGGGAGGAAAGTAGTTTGAAGGAGAAATGTAAGTGCTAGGAGAAGAGCTGTGAAGGTTGTCGACAGTCAGCGGACGCGTCATGTGGGGAGAGTAGCGAGAGGGAACTGACTAGGCGAAGGTGCCCGACATATTATCGAGAATGGGAGGAAGACGGACGGGTTGATGGTCCCCCATCGTCTTTATAGAGTAGAGTTTGATAGATGCGGAAGTCCAAGAAGTCGATGGGTGAAAAATGGACGGAAACACCATTGTCACGGACCCGGAAATCGGGTTGCATCACTAAATTCAGATCTAAGGGTCGCGCTGGTGTCGTAACATTTCCGAACAGGCCGTATAACAAATTGCATTTAGGGAAGGTGGGGATTTAATTCTTATTTCCAAAGATCATGCTGGCTCTGCACGTTGCAAGGACCTGGGAGCAATCAGGAGAAAGAAGTCCTGCAGGCAAGAAAACGCGCAACAGCAAGACGCAGCCTGGCGCAGTACGTATGTCCGGACAGCATCTTCGTTCCCAGCGGCCGCTCATATCCCGTCCTCTCGAGCTCGGGTGCGGGAGGGTGTCTGTATGATGGCGGGGAGCCGGCAGTGTGACAACCTTGGGATAACCCCCGTCGGCCCTAAATTCCAGACGCCCTAATTTTTCTATCAATATTTGCAGATCACTTTCCCTTTAAGGACGGCTCTTGGCCTCCATGGGCAATTTCGTCGTTTTCTTCTGTTTGATTGATGGCGGGGTATCAAAATTAGGTAGTCGTCGGGCGAACCTGTGCCCGTCGAACAGCACGCGGCTGATCATCCTGCAGTCCCCATCCCCATCAAGTCGTCCAACGATGTGCTCAACTGGCACCATGGCTGGCCGCGCCGGGGCAGTTTCTCGACAGTCATTGACAGTCTCCACTGTCATTAACAAACAATTTACTCATCAGATCGGTGCTTCGATGCCATCCCGCTCCATCGTGACCGTTCAATGCCCTACAAGACGCTCTATCGTAATGAGGAACCCATGCATGTGAACGCCGTTGACAATTGATCTCACACTCGCCCCAGCTTCAAGCCCACAAACGTATGTAAAATTCCCCACAGTCTTTTCAAGTCCCCGAGAGAGCATAACCACGGATCGGGGCCTTCACGTACACCTCCATCCAATAATAAACGCTTTTGCCCGCAGTGCCATTCCCCTGTGTATCTAATCTCCACCATGTCGCAGCCTCGTCCGAGGGAAGGGCGCCCAACATGGCGCCAGGGCAACGAGTCATTGTAACAAATAGGTAGTAAGGTGCCCTTGCTCAGGCTCCATGCGGCAAAGCTTACAGGTGATCGACACCATGTCATTCATCCACAGCCTACAAGACGGAACGAATGTGCAGCTTGGCCCAGCTGCTCCTCCAGCCTCGACATCTTCTGGACACATGTTGTAGGTGTGTTGGAATCATATATCAGAAAGTCGCAGTGTGGAAACGAATCCCGATCGTCGTTTTTATCTCACTTCTATTCGCCCGGAATGGCACATTTGGATTCAATCAGAAGACCTGTTTGGCCGACTGCGCACGGCGGCGGCGTGTCATCACGTCACAACCTCAACGTTCAAAAATATACTTATTTATCGACGCATTTTTCATTATATTCCAGATGTGAACTAGTCTTAAGTCTCAACCTTTCTACAATTACCAAGCTACCAAGCTAACACAGACCAGGTGCCGTGAAAGCCATTCTTGGTCTTCATGCGAGACGTGATTGGCTTCACTCAGAACCCGGACGTAGGTACCGGACGAAGTTTCATCCGCCGCCAGGTTCGCGAAGCACGTCAACATGTCCTGACCACTCGGCCTTTTTAGCTTTCTTCGATCGCGCGATCATCCGGCGGGGAGTTTATCGAGAGCAATGAATCCGACGACAAAGACCTCAGGTTATTCTGGTACTGAAACGGCTCGTCCGTATCTTCGCGTAGTGCATCATATGCTTGAAGAACGTCTTTGTGGAGGTTTCTAGATATGACGGGAACGACCGGCCCCTTTCGAAACTGGCGAATCGGGATAGTTGCCGCCACGCGTAAAAGCTCTCGAATGCGGCACGGAATTTCGGGTTCAACGTGTTCCATGGCTGGAGCAGGTGTATCACAGAAAGAACGTTCAAGCTCAAGCTCAAGAGAGGCAAAGAATGCCGGCCCATCCAGAACGCATCTGGAAGAAGGTTCACGGGTGAGTTTCGCGCCCATCGTACTCCTACTTGGTTTAGCCTGAGAATGATGACGTATCAGCATAGTGATTAGAGCTCATGTATCCCCCATGATGGACTTACTTCTTTTGTTCGTGAGGAACATGTTGAAGACGAGGGCCTTCCAATGGCATGCGCGCGAGTGGGTTTACCCGTTTGACTTCTTGTCTTCACCGTCACGTCGTTGACGCGTTCTGGTATATACTCCTGGTCCGCGTTTCTGCTACCATCGCTGATCGAAGGATGCATAGCAATAGCCCCTATCCCGGTCGATGTGGAATTGCACGGAAGTGGAGGAAGTGGACGGTGGCGAACGACCCGCGCACGCCTAGCAACACCGGCTCGCGGTGTGCTTCTAGCATCATCGAGGATGTTACTTCTTGAGCCATCGATATGGCGCAAAGTCTGAGACGTCGTTGAAGGAAATTAATGAGCAGCCGTTTTTGCTGGTGACGTACCGAAGTTCTTTGGATATATTCTGTTGGTTGACGAATTTCACGAGGTTTTACCAAAAATTGGCGCTGGGCTTGAGATATCTGTCTTGCTTCCCCGTTTGACGGTACCCCACCCGATCGATATCTCGCATCGTTTCCGCACTGTGAAGGGCAAGTCAAGCAAGCTAAGACTCAATGGTGAATTAGATTCTCTTACCGACTTTCGGCGCCTGCCGAGTCCAGTTGTTTGCTGGCAATCAGATGGGTTCATTGGGAAATGACTGAAGCAGTTAATGATTTTCCGTTAAACGTAGGTTGGATTTTTATACTGAAGAAAAGAAACTCCTGACTGTTTCACTTGTCCCCCTATCTAATATTCTACTAAAATTTTGTGCCAGTACCGTCTGAGGAGCAACTCCCAACCCCTCAACATATCCGAGGTGTTTCGTTGACATGTGGTGGCTGAGCAGGCAAGTCCGTCCGCCGCGGGGTTGGAAACCTCCCAATTGGATATTAATATCGTGGTGATGTTAACTTGGTGTGCTGATTTTGTTTTCCTGAGTCGTGACAGCCGCTGCGGACGGCTTCTGGGTTATTAATATGAAATTTCAGGACTGACTTTCCCAGGACTCCTCGGAGCATCGTGCCGGACCAAGCCGTCTGCAGACCGTACCTTGGCCGCGCCCTAATCCAATGCCTCGGCCCCTCGACGTCGTCATAAAAGCCGCACCAACTCCAATGACAACAGTTGACAATACTAAACCACCGTCACCCCTTACACGTTCGCACCGAACCCCGGTGGGTCCAACGACATGAGACTACACGCGTGGTGACTGAAACGTGAACGCCATGCGAAATAATCAGTGCAATATCTCGTAACATACAGCGTGCGCTACGCTCCAACCACCCATGATGCTGACTAGATTCGAATCAACAGTGATCGCGCCGCATTACTGTAATGCGGTTGCAGTCCACGGAGGGAGCTAAAGTCTGCTAAAGTGTCCTAGCATCACAGTGACAGCCAATTCCGTTTCGCAATGACCGCCGGTGCGGTATCAGTGGTATTTGAATGGACAGCTTGTCACAGGGCCTCTTGCTTTCTTTAAGCTTCTCCGAACCACATCAGACACATCATCCACGCTACTTCGGAGGTTTATCCCCGAATTTACCTCCTATGGTTAAACGAGAATGATCTGCCCACTTCTACCAACGATCGACAGCCGCTTGTTGCACAAGCCGCTACCGCTGCTCGCCTCAAGATCGCTGTCCAATTGGGAGTGATGCACTCAACCACGCCGATTAACTTTGTCGATCCGCCGGATACGCTCTCTTCTGATGCCGTTGCAGCGGCTCAGCCTCGGCGGGATGCATACTGGCAGTAAGCATCATTTGGCTCATCAGGTGGAACCTGGTGGAACGACCCTCTCCCCAACGTGTCAAGCCTAAACCCTTCTGGATTGCGTTCTTTCATAAAAGGAGCTATTATGTCTCATGTACACAGTAGCAGGTGGGGAACTCAACGCCAACTCTATGATGAATGAATAAGAAACACAACTTTTTCCAAGGTCCCGGTCGACGTTTCGGTTCCTATGTACTGCATGCTGTCGAGTTGACAAGTTCCGTTTCGCTTGCTTTGTCCTTGACACTATCTGCTGTGGCAATGGAGCGGCATTGGATACACGTATTGTATTTCGACCATCCAGCATCACTATTCTGCATATTTAACGTACGTGTTCAGTATCAACAAGGCTTGTCCTTCCAGCTTCCCCGTTTGGTCGCTGTCGCATATTCAATGTGCCGACTGTTCGCATGGTAAATCACACATCATACGGACTTCGCCCTGACCGCGCGTTCAGCCCTTTCCAGGTGTAGTGTAAGGAAGACATGCACACGTTCGACGCGTGGAGAAAATAATGTCTTTCACTCTGAACCCAGTTGACCACTGATGGCAGTTTCACTGGTATTGCATACCTACCACTCACAAAAAGGCGCCTTCACTCATATTCACACCATCCACTCGGCTACTTGACGACGTCATCGTTTCTTTCGGCAAACTGAGCCACTTGCACCTCGTCGTTAAAGTCTACCAAGAACTGTTCTGATGATAAGGTGTTTCCTCCGGACACAATAACTTGGCTTGCGCGCATACCAAATCTGTCCTATGTCTGTTCTTACGGTAGAGTTGTGGACGTCCTAGATATGTTATGGGCCGTTTGGACATCCGTCGCCCATACTGTGCTAACGACCGCAGTCTAAAATTCCACTACCGTGATGTGTTCTTGAAATCAAGGAATTCTGAAGCTTGTGGAAACGGGACACACATACAGCAAAGTCACAACTTTTTCTCATTTCGTCTATCCGTTCGACGACGGCCGTCAGAGTCCACCATTACTGAAACTCCGTTTGATCTGCGGTAAACAAATACAGTAGATTAGGGTTTGGTCAGCTTTGCGCCTTCTGGAAAGACTAGGGGTTGTATTGTCGATAGGAGTAAGCACACTCGCCTCTCCGAGGTATGATCTTCCGGTGACCCTGTATCAGTGCATTGAATGCCGCGGTATCCGTGAAACTTGGCCGCATTTTGCTCAAACTGCGTGGCACAGGGGTCGTGGTTTCAGGACACTAAGCGTCCTCATCCTCGGTCGTTTTCCTGCTTTCATCGTTATTAGCTGGAGCTGGTGGATCTTGTCAGAGTGTACTGGAAATCTCCGAATAACTTGTCCTCTGACCCCCTCAGTCATGGTCACCTCGTATTTGAGCCGACACAACTCAGGCACCGGCCTTTGAGGGTTGTCCCTATATCATCAATTCGCCGTCATGATTATACTTCTGTAGTGGCGATGGCAAGACCTTATGGCCTCCGCATGGAACATAGTAACTCCAGAATCCAGATGAAGTTCTTGTAATCTGGGCGAGATGCGAAACTCTCGAGTTAAGCGGCCGTTCAGACACAAACATCATGACGCGAGGAAAAGTTCCTTACAACTCGTCCGAGCTGGTTTAGAAGGCGTGTTTGGTTACACCGCCTTAACTATGGCAGCATTGAGGATCCGAAAGGTCGGGGAGACATCTTTAGCTGGAACGCTGAAAGCCAGAAGTATGAAAAAAATTACCACTGAATGTCCAGACTCGCTGAGACCCATTCAATGCAGAGCGGGGTCCAATATAGGACGGGCGAGTTGCTGGTTTCATGACATCAGTCATGGCCGTGTGCGGGTGGGACAGTGCGTGTCAGCCCTACCCGCCGCCACCCAGTTTTAATAGCCGGCTGAGCGTCACCTAAGAGTGGAGGATGCCGAAATACGGCCAATAAATCCTACTATTCGTCTCGAAGGTCATTGAAGATAAATCCGCTGGTCCTTAGATTTCCATATTGCAACATAGCTATTCGATGTCTGCGAACATAAAACCACAATTTTATTCTGCGCTGGAGACTGGTTTCAATTCAAGGCAAAGCAGGCGTGGCAGAAGGGAGTTTTATCCAAGATCATGAAACCCATCTGGAGGATGGTTAGTAGATTACGAGTACGGAACGTACAGCGATATAGTTGGTATACGCGCGAGGCTGCCAGCGGTATAAGAGCGAGCACATTGGTGTCAACGAGATACGTCCTACCACACTAGTCAGATAACAGTACAGCAAGAAGATCATAGAAGAAAGATAACGATACGTAAGATAGAACATGAGATGAAAGAGATGCTAATGAGATTTGATGATGCGATGAGTGGAATGCCAGATACTAGCACAAAAATGGTAAATGGAGTAAATGGGTAAACACTGTCTATGCTTATAGGTGAGTTGTGCTGAAGTCTTGACTGTCCTTCAGGTGTAGGCTCTTGCCCGGTGGTGGTGACGCAACACTAGCTTGCTCATTTTGTGATATCTTCGAGTGATCCTATAGTACGCTGCTTCGGCTTGTGTTGCTTGCGCGGGGTGTGAGGGGTGCGGATGAGTTTACGGATGTAGACGTCATCATAGCTCCGGAAGACGCACGTCGCAGGGCGGGAGAGTGACGGTTCAGATATCTTCCTGTCCCGAGGTTTTGGGGCTGGATTTTGGCTATTCTTCCTGTCCCTGCCCTTGAACGGAGAACTCTCTTCATCCTTGCTGTCTTTGGGTTTGGACGATGCCTTCTCCTCTTTCGTACCTTTGCTCTGTGTGCGGTTTGAGACATCAGACTGGTCTTCATAGTCCGCGAGAGTGGCCCAGACGCAGTGCCAACCTCCTCCGTCTTCAGCGAAACGCAACGCAACACCCGTGTGGTTTTGGTCCCAGCGTTGTTCGGACTTGCCGGCAGGGCGGACAGTCGCGGAGCGGTCAGAGTGGAATGCCTTGTCGGTGAGAGTGATCAAAGCACAGGCTTTGACCGTAAAGTTGACCCGTGCCTGTCCAGAGGTACCGGCGGTGTCCAGAAGGGCTTGCAGGGCAGCATCCATCTCTAAGGACTTGGGAAGGCCACTGCACACCATTACGTGAAAGGCGTCAAGCGAAGTGCGGTAAGATAAGATGGCGAGAATAAGTTAATATGTGGACAACCAAGGAAGAAGAGGACAATAAACATACGGATGCATGGGATCGTAACCGTCAACAAGGATTTGGAAGGAGGTGTCGTCAGCAAAGTCGAGGGTGAGCACAGGGTGGTTAGCGGAGCGACTGAGGCGAGTGAGAACCTTGCCGACGAGAAGAGAAGGGTCATCTCCAATGCTATCGAGGCGGCGTGGAACAGGAGGGGGACGGCGGGGCTTTGTTGGGGATGGCGGGGGTGTCTCTGAGGATTGGAGGGAAGTGGAAGAAGAAGGGACAGAGCCACATTCCGAGCTCGCTTCACTGGAATCGCTGGTCATGGTGACGTTGAAAAGGAGCCACTGAGAGACGATACAACGGGAAAATGGACTAGTCGAGAGGGAAGCCACTCAGGACAAGGGCGAACGTCGTGAAGGGAGCGGGGGAAGCTTGTTGATGGGATTTGACTACGTCCAGATCCTACATGGTGACATCCGGTGACATAGACGGGTCCTTTACTGACGCGTGGTAAAAACTGCCAAGAGCCCGAGGGAAAAATATGACACTGACGAGATTCGAACTCGCGCGGTTTCCCATCACGGACTCGGCCTTGACCTAAACGTGACGCCGTAACCACTTGGCTACAGTGCCTTCCAATAACGGAAGGCTGTGACGCATTATGGCAAAGCGAGAGTGGCCGTCACCAGGTTACAGGGTCGGATGGCGATCAAGGGAATCGCATTTGTGATACTGGGATTGATATATGATAGTTGGGATACTGACCAGTAACTAAACTGCTTACCACTACTTGCTAGTACTAGTAGCGGTCAGTGCACCGACGCTATCATCGATGCATTCTGCTCCTCGTCCCGCCGGCCCACGATCCATACGCCCTTCCTCTCCCCTTCCCCAGCTCGACCTTCAGCCGACGCGTCCCCTCCAGATCAGACGGCCCTCTGACCACTTGGGCCTCGCTCCCTCTGCATCACCGCCCCCTCTCTCCGTCTCTCCCGGCCCTCTCAGGCCTCGCACTGCTGGAGCCTCCAGTGCATCTAGCAACGGCCGCCCGAGCCTCAAGCTGTCCTTGACTGAAAAGGACTCCCAGAACACGGAATACTATGCAGGCCCACCCAACATGCCACTTGAGCTCCAGGAGAGCCCAGAGTTAAAGACCGTGCGCCCAATCCTTCGAATCAACACCCCTCGTCAAGAGGAAGTCGACAACGAAGTAAACAACATTATCGATGGCGTCCGCAAGATCAACGTACACGTTACCCGCGCCAACTCCGATGCCAGCAATGACGCCGACTCCCCGAAAGATGAAATTCACCAGGGTCAGCCGCTCGAATGGTCCGACGACGTATTCGCAGTGCTTTCTCGCCTCGGTGAGGGAAATGGGGGCGCAGTGTTCAAAGTGCAGGACAAACGGACTGGCAAGGTCATGGCTCGCAAGACCATCACGGCCCGCGAGGCTCCGCCCCAGCAGCTCAAGCGCGAGTTAACAATATCTTCCACTGCCGACCATTTCAACATTATCCGATTCTTTGGCGCATATGTGTCCCCTTCAACATCAGAGGTCAATGTCCTCATGGAGTATTGCCAGGGTGGTAGTCTTGCTGCCGTAAGCGAGCGTATCAAAGCTAGAAACGCGAGGATAGGAGAGAAGGTTGCTGGAAGAATAGCTGAGGGAGTGCGTTTCTACAGTCTCATTTGTGTGGGCTATGAATACTCAAATAAATCTCTCAGGTTTTATCAGGTCTCGCTTACCTACATTCACTCAAGACCATCCATCGAGATATCAAGCCATCGAACATCCTTATGACCGCTGAGGGTGTTGTTAAATTGTGCGATTTTGGCGTGTCCGGCGAACTTGTGCGATCAATTGTGAACACGTTCACCGGAACATCTCTGTACATGGCTGTGAGCTGCATTCTTTCGCGTATTTCAAATATACATCTGTTAACATTGAGACTTCAGCCCGAGCGTATTCGCGGCCAAAGCTACTCAATTCGTGCAGATGTATGGTCGACAGGGCTCACCCTACTTGAGATTGTCCAGAATCACTATCCATTCCCCGAAGATCTCACCTCCATTGAACTCCTTGTGTATATAACCAATGGAGAGGTGCGTTAATCTCATTATTCTACATGGTTGCTTGGTCCGTGTCCCGGCCGGCAGTGCACATTGTTTCCTTCATTCATATTAAAAGCGACTTCGCACCTATGCTGACTGTGATTCGTAGCCTCCTCAACTTTCAGATGATGAAGACGTTCGGTGGAGCGATGAAATGAAAGACTTCGTAAGGCAAACGTGAGGATTGACCAATCACCACTCCTGAGCACTTCGGCTGACCGTTCTGATGACTGCCCAGCCTCACAATTGATGCCAATGACCGGCCAACTCCGCGGGACATGCTTTCTCATCCTTGGATCATCAACGTCATGAAGAAAGAAGTACTCATGTCAAGGTGGATCGGTGAGGTTTGGGGCTGGAAGAATGGGCCTCCGAAGGTTACCGGATCATAACACACGTAAGGGTCTCACCTGTACCAATGGGATATGTCTGGTGATGCATCTTTGCAGTGCAATATCTATCAGGGCTTTGAAGAGAGTCCGTCACCGTGTGTGCTAATCTATAGCATGTATGGCTTAGACAACGATGCATCTGAGTAGAGGGGCTGGCTCAGCTTCTCTTCTGATCGACTGCCGAAACTTCGTGTCTTGTCCGTGGCCGCGAACAACACACAAGCATACGCGGAAACCCAACGCCCCCTTTGGTTGACGAAGGCCATTCACCATAAGTACTCGTCTCTGAAAACACCCACCTTTTCCCCCATATACTTCGCTCGTGTCATGTTTCCTTACCATGTAATCATCCCCAGCACCTTTCATTCGTTGCTTTGCTTTGCTTTTCCCCGTCGTCATCTTCTTTGTCCTCCCACCTGTCCAATAATCGCTGTTTGAATGATCCATCCTTCGCTCTGACATGTAGTACACCCGATGTCTGGACATGAAATACCGCCTACGTACATTTCGGAGTTGCGCCCGTTTACGACGCTTTACTTGGCTTTCCTCTAGTTCCGCAGTCGTGTCCCTCGAATCTGTTTCCGTCTTCCCGTGGTTATTCTCAAGATATATCTAGTAGTAACTCTCATTTGCTCGCATATCCTCTCTTTCTGATTTCAGACTTATCTACATTGGTACTCCTACCTGCTTCACATACACTCGTACAAAATGCCATGTATCTCGGAAGAATTGACCTACAATCGGCGAGACGCAAGGCTACCTCAATTATTGGTTCGGAGAACGGCGAGCGGCCACCCACTCATGTAACCCTAAACACGGAATGCCATTCATGCGGTGAGAAGTGTAAGAATCTCCCTTCGGATGCAGGCATGAGCTAGTGGTACAAGTCAACTGGGCGTAACAAGCCAAGAATTAAGTTGGTGTCCCTTCGTAACTTTCTTGAAAGTTTGACCGGAGACCGGTGACCCCCCATATTGAAGCGGAGCACTCCACGGGAACGTTCCGACAAGAGTCCGCTGAGAGTACCGTGTGCCTGGTGTCTTGAACTTCTATTCGTAGTTCATCTATTCGTAGCTGTGGGTGAACACGTCTTCGAGGCTGTGAACGCATCAGCCGCAGGCTTCTTCCGTGACCTAACTGAACTTCGATATCGAAGCCTGGCCGAAAACGCCGTACCGGCGGTGAACGAAGCTTGAGAACAGTGAGAGAAACCATCATTATAGGACAGGAGGTGACATGCCAACATGGGGGCGTTATTAGACGCGCAGGTGAGCTGGGGTCGCAAATAGCGAGAAGTTAAAGTGGTCGGGATGAGCGCTGGCCCGACTTCGAGAGCAGGATCGGTAATCACGTCGGTATGTTCCACAAGAAGGAGGGGATCAAAGTTAGCAATTAATTGTTAATGTACCTTCATCGGCCGAGTCTTGGTATATCCGTCGAGCTTGGAGATGAGCTGCGTTGTTGTCACTGCGCATCAATGCACGAAAAGCCGTATCATGTGGCACAGACGAGCGCTTGTCATCAAGCAGGCGTATATAGCGAGCAGCCCATCGTATCTCATGCCCGTTGTTATCGCCTTTGGACCTCGCGTGCATACACAGTTCGCGGTCTTATACTTAGAATGAACGAGATTGCGTTGGCCTTCACGTTTTTGGCCAGACCAGGCCAAAATATCGGGACGGTACCGGTCGGGCCGGCCAGGGCTGTACACCCAAGGGGAGCTAAAGGTGTATCCGCCCAACTCTAGTGAAATCCTGTGTTTGCGGGCTTCTTACCCCAAAGAGTGGGGAGATAGTCGGGACGGACCAGATCCACGAACGTACCAACAAGCGCAGACGTCACGATAAAATGGATGTCAGCAAAAATTCTGAATGGTCATCGGGATGCTTAAGCGTGTAAGTTGGAAGGCTTTGAAGACAGGAGACGTACATACATTATTGGTGTACAGTTGCTCTGCATTGGAGGTGGAAATCAACGCACAATGATGACACTGCGTAAAGGGAGACTCCCATTGGCACATGAGAGGCCGATTATCTGAGCGAGGTGCCCTCGTTTGTCGCTGACGGCACAATAAGTGATGTTCGTTGGCTTGATCAGGAACATAGGAGGTGGTGAAAGTCGAAATCCGATCGTCCGGATACAACCTGGACAACTTCTTGGACTGCGCTTGAGCACCCAGTATCGCGCCGACAGAATTGAGATATATCAGAAAGCCACTGCATGATCCATCGGCCAACAACCTAATAACGTAACCTCGAAATCTATAGGAGAAATGTGTGTGAGTATACGGGCGCCGACATTGGTGCGTGTCGACCAAAGTTACTCCAGTGAGGCATCCTTCCGGTCAGAAACCTCCTAGATGCTACTCTTTTGAGTAACGACGGACCGACAGATTGCAATGTTGGTTGTGGGATCTAGAGCTGAAGGAAGCGTGGCGACATGTTGCCCACTCTCTGCAAATCAAGGAGATCGACTGGGAAATGACGAGAGACCACGGATAGACCGCTTCAGGCGCAAAAACAGAAATGCGCGCCACCAAGCTTGATGAGATATGTTCGAAGCCCATTGTGTCCCAGGAATGTCGAAGATTACCATGAGAGCACAATGAAGATTCCAAGTTCCTGGTTCGGGAGTCCGGCGTACACCTCAGATGCTTCCCGGACCAGGTGGCCACATTCGCTGTCCAAGGTTCAACGCTACTTTATCCTTATGAGGGTAAGGCGAGTTCATTCTTGGATATCCGGAAGCTTGTTGGGCCAATGGGCTATGCAAAGGATGAACCGTATTCGCGGATAAGTTTTGAGATTTGGTTCCTGCAATGTGGTCCCGATACGATGCCGGTGAATGTTAGGCGCCAAAGTAACTGGCTAGGTACGCCGGGGATCAGGTGTCGACCTACTATGATCCATCCGCGAGTAATTCGGAAGAAATGAGCGAGAACGAAATAAACGCTCATAGATTGAGAGATGACACGAAACAGCCTCAGACAAGGGGTAGACCGCGTCGGGTGGGGGTCCAGGCTCCATTGCTTGGCTATGGGATGAAGTATATCTACCGGAGAGAGTCAGTTGACCTAGCGTAGAGATGTTGTGACCAATAGCTTTCGGTGACACGAGTACAACATGGACTTATCACTACTGGGGACTCAAGTGGATGACTGGTTAAAACCGGACTTGTCAAACGGATCGAACAAGGACAAAAGTATCGCCTTGAAGCTTCCGAACGGTAAGAAGAAGTCCGCCTTGACCGTAAGTCTAGATCTGCACGAGAAGATGCTACCATAAGGAGGGAAATTGAGGGAACATATGACTTGCTAACCGCTTTTTGGGTAGCAGAGAGACCAGGACTTGGGAAAAGGATGGGACTGGAAAAGTTAGCTCCATAGCAACACAGCACAATTTCGATAGGAAGAAAAGTTCTTCTATCTTTACCCAGGCTGTCATATATCTTGCATGCGCAGTAGGTGACTTGCGTACATGGCGATGGTAGATGTGACGGAGGTCGCCCTCGGTGGATGGACGATGGGGTAAATAAGAGATGCTTACTTTTTATATATGATTATCTGTACTTAATGGTCTGACGAGTGCTATGTCAGTGCACGGAGCTCACCTTGTAAGTGAGTTCGAACGAAAAGGCATTTTGGGAATGTCATGACCAGTGACCACCTATTTACTCACTATGAATTCAGTCGAGATGAACAGGCTGAAACAACTCGGGAAAAAAATAGGAGCTCTAGCACTGTATAAGTGAAAATGTTCCCACGGGTGGTCGATGGATGCTCCGGCGATCGCTAGGTACTGGACAACACCACTCCCCATACACACATCCATTCATGTCGACCTCTACCAATTCACGCGTTTCTTTCGCGTCTTTAACTCCCAACAATCTAGGAACTGTCCGGAAGCTCAATTCCGTGCTTTTCCCAATCAGATACAGCGACAAGTATTATCAAGACATCCTACGGCCAGAGGTGGAGGAGTTCTGTCAATTGAGTGCGTAATTCTCAACGTGCTAGGGGTGGTCATGAATGATAGTGGCTTCTTTGTTCTAGTCTATTACAACGATATACCAGTGGGAAACATCTGCTGTAAACTAGAAGACAAAGATGGTGAACAGTGTCTATACCTTATGACCATGGGCATTTTGGCGGTATGCGACAACGCTCATCTTGTGAGGGGCTGATTCACATCTCCTATCGTTCCAGCCGTACCGATCACGAACATTGGGCTCGCAAAGCCTTCAACGCATCCTGGATGCTGCCGCGTCGCACACCAAGCCAAAGATTACTCGCATCTACCTGCATGTACAGGTGTCTAATGAAACAGCCAAACGCTTTTACGAGCGTCACGGCTTCAAAGAGACGGGTGTGCACGAGAATTACTACAAAAGGATAGAACCAAAAAACGCATGGATATTGGAAAGAACGATAGAGCCAGCTTCCAAGTAGAGTGTGTCGCTTCGAGCGCAGGCATCAGGTTGGCATCAACCGGTGAGAGTTACGCATAAATCATCAAAATTTGCGTCTCAACTATACTATACAGGGCACGCTCCTAAACTACAACATGTACATGCTATATTATATCTGCAATATGAAAGGGAAAGCTGACAACAAATTAAACTCGGAGCGGGTAAGGCATTAAATCAATGTAAGTGTACTTGCTCGGGCTACAGAAAAAGGTATCGAGACGACGATGTTTTGTCATACCGAAAGCAAATTAATCATACTATTAGGAAAGCCAGGGCGCGTCGTGACTTCACGGTGTTTCCTCGTATCCACAGTGCTTGACGAGCTGAAGAACAATTTAGCTACTGCAGTCTCCCATTCAAAACTCAAAGCCAACCTGATGCCGTTTCAACGCGTCCTTCCTGGTGAATGTCTTCCCGCAGCCGCCGTTACACAAGAATGGCTTCTCTCCGGAGTGAGTTTCGCGATGACGCTTCAGATCGTGCTGACGGTTGAAGGACAGTGCGCACATGTCACAAGAGTAAGGCCGACTTGGCGATGCCGGATACTGCACCGGGGCAGCGACAGGACTTGATCGGGCGTATGGCGATTGCGAGTGTGGCGGGCTACCCACTAGCGGGTTATGCTGCTGCCCAGAATACATGTGGGAGTCGGGAGGTGATTGTCCAGTCGGGTACCGCGAACTCTGCTGCTGAGAAGCAGGATATGCAGGTCCTTGGCCGTACCCCGAAGGAGGCACAGACATGTTGTACGGCGGGGATGCCGAGACATAACCACCTCCGGCATACGGTGCGGCGGCCCTGGGAACGCTGGCCAGTCCGTACGGGTGGGTTGATTGTGGTGCCGAAGGGTGTGGTGGCGCCGCTATCGTGTACGTCTGGTCCATCGTTGAATAATGACTGGACGAGTAGGGAGAGGGTTGCTGGCCATTGACAGTGTTCCATTCGGGACGATTGGGTACGACGTCGGAGGGATAGTTGTAGTTGCGCCGATCCGACATGGCTCAAGTTGAACGGGGCGAGGTTGGGTGTTGGAACAGAATCTGGGGCATCCAGGTACATAATTATAAACCATTTCGGAACCGCTCACTCCCTGTGCAGAAATTGCTTTCGGGGCGGTCGGTTACGCTTCCGATAGATGGGCGTTAGTTTGGTAAAGAGGGTGAGGCGGCGCAAACATGCCCGTAAGCTCTGGCTGTTCTTCCGGAAGAGGTTTGATGTCCTTCTGTGGTGCCTGGGTGACCTGACGGTCATATTAGATGGCAACGGTTACATTGACCTGGTTTTCTGGACTTGGTGCAGCCTAACCAAAGTTGGGCCTAGCAGGTATTGGCGAGATGTCTCCTGTCTCCACCAAGCCCCGGCCTTCCGTCCACAACGCCAGATCCCAGGTACAGCCTTCCGATCTCGGAAGCGTGAAACACACTCAGCGAACCTCTCGTGGCACATCGTCAACATCTATCGCGGCATGACCCTTGTGCGATCTTATGACCTCAATGCTACCCGCACCAGTCCGGCGTTCTAAAAACGTCCGATATTTGCTTCCGCCCATGCCAACCAGTGTCAGGTCAGTACGTGCAGAGCGACCTGATTATAGATATGTTCTTCGTTGGTCCTATCAGATACAACTGCGCGGCATAGCCTCGCCTTTCCGATATGATCGAAGTTTCATAGTTTTCCCAGACGCAATTCGGTCCGCAAAAACAGTTGGTTCTACGAAACGAGTCGACATCTAGAGATCTTCTCGTCGGCAACTATCGCATGTTCAGAATTCGAATTTTATGGCTAACGAGACTCGAACGGATCGTCTTGTAGGCCATCGCCATAGATTTAAAAATCTGACTACTTGCTTTGCACACTCAGCAGTCAAGCATTCATTTAGCTCCCTTGTCAGACGTCAGTGTGAACAGACTCATCGTGGCGCTTAATGGACTACGAGACCGAAACTCACCGAAACCGCCTGACTAGCCACAAAGAACTTTTTTCGGATATAGTCGCGAAGGATCTCACAAGCTGATGCATTTGGGTCGCTGGAGCAATCAAGGGTTCTTCAGGCACCGGTTCTAGTGAGAACTCATGCAAACGCGCCTGCTGCATATTGGTGATTGTGTCGACGGACTCTCACGTCAATACAACCAGACTTGGACTGTAGAAGATCGTTCTGGCTGGACTCTTCATCGGCACCTAACGGCTGAATCATCTCAGTCAGAGATCTTCAGCTTCATGCACAAAACAGGTTATTCGTCGTGGAGCTTTAGGAAGACAACCAACCTGTCGTTAACCTCTGGCTCTGTCTTTGGAACATGACCTAAGCTTACCAGTCACCGATCATGGATTTTTCCGAGGAATACGACGTGATTGGTATCTGAATCGTGCAGCGCTGTACAGGACTGTGTTTGTCCAGTTCGCCAGATATGGCTCCGAGTATGGCTCGGCATGAAAGCAAGTTTGGACTGAATGTTATCAGATGTCATGCGGTACTTCGTGTAAAGTGATTCGATGTGATCCTGCAGTGGATGAGCTGGTGAATGGCGAAGTCGGAAGAGGTCATATGATGACGAGATATTGTTTGTGTACACATGCATCAATCATTTTTAATCTTCTTGCAGAACATAATACCTATGCTGACGTCGACCATTCATTGGGGACGAATGAGGGGTCCGATCGTGACCAGTAACGTCAAGATTAGATCGGCCTACAATTACATTGACGCGAATTCCCGGATTAGGAAGCCCCACAAGGAGGTTGAACTCTCTGCGACGGCGGCCAGTGTGAGTGACGCGTTCACGCGAAACAGGTGAGACTCACTTTCGTGAAACGTTGCAAGCTTGGCAGCTGCTGACCTCTTCTTGATGTGAACACCCATCAGAAAGACATCGCGATGGCTAAACGCAGCAACCCCTCTCCTTCGACTCCAAAGCGTAAGAAGCGCACCAGACCAGCAAATGACCAAGCCATTCTGGAAACATTCTTTCGCTCACCTAGAGTCTCGGTCCCTACTTCACCGACACCTACGCCTACAAGGAAGAAGGATAGACCGATTGGTCACCCCGCAGTTGACAACGCGCCACAAACTGATGAGGAGTACGCAAGGGCTCTGGCTCTGCAGGATGGCGTCACTGTTTCTGAAATGCAAAGGCTTGAAGAGAAGTGGAGTCTGTCAAAGGCATCCTCGACCCAACGCCCTGCGCATGCTGCTATGGTGAACATGAACGCTGGCCCATCTGGCTCATCTGCTTCAATGCCCATCGTAGTTTTGCCAGATGACGGCGACGACAGTATCCCTGCGTCACCAGTACCCAAGGAAGACGCACAAGATACGTATGCTTCTCCCGATCAGAAGTCCTCACTCGATGGATCGCTCTCTCTTTTTTCGAGCAAACAGCCACACGCTGGTAATTATAGCGTTGACTACGGGGACCTGTCCGTCGATCCCTTGACGTATCCAGTAGACCAGGTTCCTTGGCCGCCAGGCACCCCTGCTCCATACGCCTTCCTTGTCCACGGCCTCGTAACACTCTCAGGCACCAAGTCACGCATAATTATTCTCAACGTTCTGACCAATGTTCTCTGCACCCTGCTAAGACACCACACTGACTCCGTCCTTCCGGCTCTGTACCTGCTGTCTAATACTCTGACGCCTCCGTATTCTCCACTTGAGCTTGGTTTGGGAGGATCCATCATCTCCAAGGCAATCCAACATGTCTCTGGTTTGACACCGGCTGCCCTCAAGAAACTCTACGTCAAGTCTGGTGATCCAGGCGACGTTGCGTTTGAAGCCAAGTCGAATGTCCGTACTCTCGTGGCTCATAAACCGCTTTTGATCACCGGCGTCTACGATTCTTTGCTGATGATTGCACATACCAAAGGTGAAGGTGCTACGAAGCGAAAGCAGTCCATCGCTGAAAAGCTTCTTGTATCTGCCAAGGGCGAGGAAAGCAGATACTTAGTCCGAACGTTATGTCTAAATCTTCGGGTTGGTGCGGTCAGACTATCCATTCTGACCGCCTTGGCTCGGGCCGTCGTCCTTACTCCACCAAGTGATGTGGCAGATTCTACTGAGTCCCTTTACTTCGACAGCTCTCTTGTATCTTCGGACGTCACGTCAGCAGCGCAAAAGGGCAAGAAGAAGGACAACCCCGTTCGTGAACAACTGGTGGCTAAATGGAACTATGCAGAAGCTCTCATTCGTAGAATATACGTGCAACATCCCAATTACGATCATATAGTCGAGGGTATAAATTCCGGGGGACTCAACGGACTGGCGGGCCGAGTTCCACTGACCATAGGTACCCCTTGGGAATGTTTGTATCTCACTGACATTGCTAACATGACTTTAGGTATACCTCTACATCCTACTCTCGGTTCACCTACTCGTTCTTTGGACGAAATTTACGAGCGACTCAACAACCAGCCCTTTACGGCTGAGTTCAAGTACGATGGGCAACGTGCTCAAATCCATGGTAAGAGGATGGCAAACGGACAAATCGATGTTAAAATTTTCTCGCGGCACCTGGAGGATATGACTAGTAAAGTACGCACGCTAGTGACGCGTTTCTATGTCGAAAATAAAAATATCTTTTCAGTACCCCGACGTCGTATCCTTGGTCTACGACATATTTTCGAGATCAGAACACTTGTCTTCATTCATCACAGACTCGGAGATTGTCGCGATAGAACCAAAGACGGGAGTTCTCAGATCGTTTCAAGAACTTTCTAACAGAGCACGCAAGGACGTCACACTAGGCGATATTAAGATATCTGTTTGCGTCTACTTGTTTGACCTTATGTATTTGAACGATAAGGTAAGTAGCATCTCTTCTCGTCATGTTGTTGGCAACACTTTAACACCGTCATCAGCCCTTTCTTGAGCACCCTTTCCGGGAACGGCGGGAGAGACTTCGAGAGTGCTTCCCACCTTTCGTTCCAGAGGATTCGCGGTTCGCTCGGTTGGACCACGTCGATAGTTGTGAGAGCACAACTGGCAGGGAAGCAATAGAAGAATTTTGGCAACGGGCGGTAGAGAGCAGCTCAGAAGGTCTCATGATAAAGGTGAATAAACTCAATCAGCCTGCTCAGCTGACGGCTGTATCAATTTACTATGCCCCGGCCGAAAGCTTCTGGACAACACAGAGGTCGAAGCTACCGACGGAGCGGAGAAGGAGAAAGGCAGGAAGAAGCCTTTGCCCGCCACTTACGAACCAGGTCGGTTAGCAATTATGCGCCGCCGGGCCACGTCGCTGATCACCTGCTTCTTTTCTCTCCTAGATAAGCGGACTTCCGCGTGGCTTAAGCTCAAGAAGGACTACGTCGAGAGCGTCGGTGACAGTCTGGATCTCGTACCCGTGGGTGCATGGTATGGGAATGGACGCAAGGCCGGGTGGTGGAGTCCAATTCTGCTTGCCGTTAGAGATGCCGAGTCCGGGCGACTTGTCGCTCTATGCAAGTGTATGTCAGGTACGCCGCGGAGAATCTATTGTACCATTTTGTCATGCTGAGCCGCCCTTCCAATCCCTAAAACAGGGTTCTCTGATGCGTTTTACAAGGTGAGCGCTGGCCCGAGGGTACCAGGCGGTCCGCTGAGCCCGCAACATGTGGTGTAGTTGCACCGAGCTGACCCGGTGATTGTCTTGGATAGTCGATGAAAGCCGAATACGCAGAGGACACCGAGAACTGTTCGCCCGTGCCAAGGTGGGAAAGCGAAATGGGAGGTTCGTGCGACGCCTTTCATTGGACCGTCCTCCCAAGCATGGCCGAGACCTCTGACGTGATCTATTAATTAATCCGTTTAGGCTTTAGGCCTGACATGTACTTCAGGCCTATACATGTATGGGAGGTCAGGGGGGCAGAGTGAGTCCACAGTAGATCTCGCTCCGTTTTTGTAGCCTTCCCTTCCAAGCTGCATCTCTTTCTCTATTTGGCTCCAGCTAACTTGATTATAGCATAACAATAAGCCCTGTATCGGTAGCTTCTTTGGGATCTGCCTCCGCAACGCGTGGGTTAAGTTTGCGTTTTCCCCGCTTCATTCGCGTCCGTGATGACAAGGCGATCGAAGATGCAACTAGCACGGAGCAGCTCACCGAATTATGGCGGGGCCAGCAAAGACGTGGAAAAGGTAAGGATGGCGAGGGCGTGGATGACGGAGACCTGGTCGACGTTGTGATGCCGGAGTCAGACATGGGAAGCGAAGAGGACGACTAGTGTATTGTAGTATAACGATTGTGTTAATCAAGTGTTGTGGACGTTAGGTTACTATTGGACAGTGCCACATTTAGTAGGTAAGATGGATTAGCACAACATAGGGGCTCATAAGGTGAGAATTCTACCCCTATGAGCGATGTAGGACGTTGTAGCTTGGTTGTACCGGCTCTTGCACACACCGGTACTGATCGTTCCTCATCGTTACTCCCATCGTACAATGCACATGAGCCTCCTGAACGTTCTTATCAGCTTTGCGGTGTCCCTGTTCGCTTTTGGAGGGCAAACGCTGGCCTGGGAGACGGTTCAAGATGCAGGTTCGTAATGCAGTCCATCCATCTCGGGATTGCATTGAGATACCCGTATCGTCTCGTAATGCAGCCAAGATCGCTAGACACCTCGTCGACAACTCGCCGAACTCAATAGCGACGATGGCCACTGTCTTTCCCGAGGACCACCCCGCGATGGCCGGTACGCAAGGGAAACCATAACGCTCAGATGTCAGTCGTATTGATCATCACACACTGACATGCGCAGGTCAGCCATTCTCGTTGCAGGAGTATTACGCAAGGTACGTATAGGCCACACAATCACGTACACATCTCGTAACCGCCTTTATCCATCTCTATCCATCCGTCGTCGTCATTGATGCATTGCACCTTCGGTACCGCCCCAACCTTGACATTATGCTGACCGGGAACCCTTTGATGCCCGCCTGCATGCACAGCTGCCACACGAATGGCTCCCTGACGTTCCTCCTCCTGCCGATATCGCAGCACGCACGTAATGTCCTCCAGTCGCCTAGTCACGTCGTGACCCTATCGGTCTCGGACCCACACCCGGCAGCGGCCCGCGCTCGTGTAGCTCTCATGGGTACCGTCACCGTTTACGAGAACGCCAAAGATGTGCCGGATCGCGAGGCGCTGCAGGCGTGCTATCTTGCTGCACACCCTGATGCGGAGTGGTGGCTCCCAGAGGACGAGGAAGCTGCACATATAGTAGGTGTCGTCATGATGGGTTGCTGCTCAAGACTAACGCGCTTTCTTGCCTGTCTTTCAGTCGTATTGGGCACGCTTTGACCCACATGTAAGTGATAGTTCTCCAGTAAGACAAGCGTGCTCATGCAATGTCTGTTATAGCATGTGTATTTCGTAGGTGGTTTTGGAGAGTCAGTCTATATTTCTTTTTAACCAGAGCAAGGCTGCTGACATTTTATGCAGCGAACATTTCATCGGCTATGTTCCCCTTGACATGTACCGGGAAGCGTTACCATCTCGCAAGGTGATAGTCGATCAAAGTTCGCGCTAGGAGCATGGAATATTCTGGATGAGTATTTTACCAATAACGAGTACCAATAGTCTACGCATGTACAAAGAAATCAATGAACAGGCTATCTTAGTGCGTGCTCGGCGGGCAAAATAAGACCGCCAAGGTGTCTGCCCAAAGAGCACTTTCCTTGCCGTCGCCTAATACATTGCGGAAAACATCTTCCAACGACCTGTCGTCTACCTTTTTCCTCCACTCATCATCGCATTCGCCTGCTGGCAGGTTATACTGAATGAGGCCAAATGTACGCAGCATCTCAAACTTTAGTTCGTCAACCTGTATTGGCGCAAGGCGCGATTTCTTGTACGTCGTTTGCGCTAATTTGAATATCTCGGTGCCAGGAGGGAGCGAGATGGTGTACGTGGACATCGCCGAGGAGCCTGTTTCCGAAGCAGACGGTGCTGCACTTGGAGATGCATCGCCTATAGCATCACCCGCGGCACTGCGACGAGCAGCGCGGGCAGCACGGGCTTGAGGCTTGGGCCTATTTGCTGGAGCCTTGTCGGTGGTGGTTTTGGCGGAGTTGAGGTCGGTGAGCTGTTTCGCACAGAACGTCACGATAAATGCGAGGATGGGCTGTGAAGCCGGGAGTTGCGAAAGAACGCGGCTTGGGACTTCTGCATCTGGGGGAAAGAGGCGAGTCGCTATTGACGATCCGAGTGCTTGAGGATCGAGGTGGGGCGTCGAAGCAAGACTGATGAGCTGTACGACCCGTTTGGTTAGGATGCCGCATTCCTATCAGATTAGCAACATATTGCGCACCAGTGTGAGGAGGCGCAACCCTAAACGCTTCCGCACAGGGTCTGCCTGATCTAGGGCGTAGAATGCGACGTCAAGCGCGGCCTGTGCATCTGTCCGGGGACCGCTACCCGCCTTGGGCGGAGGTATATGCGAAAGCAGAAGCTGGGAATGGGCAGCTGAGCGCGCCGGTGTCTAGATTAGCCACCACTGCGATTGACAATAGCACAGAGTTTCAGGCACTCACGTCGTCCGCGTTGCGCACTCTGTACCTCGTCTTTTTCAAAGATGCAGATCAGCCACTCGAGCACATTCCATGCGTGTTCAGCGACGGAGCCCGGGTCCTCGCTGGGCTGCTTAGAGATCGACGCGGCACGAGCTCGAATTGCTTTCGAACTGGTCAGGTTAGCAGCCGGGGCACCATTGCGGTGCACAAAGCCAGGGCGAAGTAGGTCCCAGCAGTAGTTGCTATTCTGGATGCACAGTGCGTCTCGCGCTAGTGCGGAATCCTCCTCATCCGCGGTGTACACTTGGCCTGATCTAGCGGTGTCGGCATATTGTGGAAGTGCACGAGCAAGCGAATCGGGCGAGTTGGTGAGCGCGAGAGAGACGAGGACACGCTGTGCGGCCTCGGAGGCTGCGAGAGATGGACCAAGCGGTTGTTTGATAGGGGGCAGACTGCTTTTGGCGGATGATCGCTGGGGAGTCTGGGGCAGAATGGATGGTTGCTGGCTGGAATCGGCCGAAGGATGGGGGAAGAGGGCAATGTATAGGACTTGTCGGATGTGAGCACTATGCGCCAAGGAGGCCATATGGAATCGTAAGGGGCCGATAAATTTCCGCGTCCTGAAGAGAGCGAGATACATACGGGTGCGGTTTGTACCTCGATGTTCGAAGCTGCTCCATCATCGCGATCCCACTCTCGTACTGCCCCTCTTCAAAACACGTATCTACGAGACCACGCTGGTGCCGGGTCATCTCCTTCTCCTCACCGCCAGACGTGCCTGGTATGACACCATTCGTGATCATCAGGGGACTATCGCGTTAGAAACTTGGCGATGAGTTTGGGCCTGGAGAATGGGATAGTGGTCAGTACTAAGAAGCGCGCCACCGCGTCGAACGCGATGTCGCGTCTGGAAATAGTATTGAGCCCCTGTCTAACCTGTCTCGCCGACGCGTCACAATTAAACGGGATCGCTGTCATCGACACGGACGCATGGCGTTGATCAGTCGATCGAGCCATATACATGTGCACGACATGCTCACGGCGCTGGCTTACCATATGTTTTCTTCGTCCATGTGCGCTTGTTTTTACAGTCACAGCAGCTATTGCTTTCTCCTTGGGTATCGGCTGCGTTGCCACTTTCGAGGTTACCGCTTGGACCATAATCTCGTTATGTATCTCCAACGGAAGTGGATCGTTTTGCTGTTTGCTGCTCCACTGCGGAGTTTGCGTTAGGCTTCACGCGGACGTTCAAAGCTACGGTCTGCTACGGTCGTAAGCAACTGTCCGAACTCCGCGCCCACCAACTTGATAGGTCGCGTTTCGTCATGGTCATTCCCTCAAATAATTTCGTTTTTGACCTATTCCAACAATTCACTTCTTGATGATCACCGCAGCGGCTTGGAAAGACATCGAATACCCCTGAAACGACAGGTCTGCAGAGAGCGACAGCACATCATTCATCGCTGGTGAGCGTCGGCAAACCTCGGCATCGGCTGAGTTACAAATTAAGTCCAGCGACGGTGCCTCGGCCAAACGGTCGCGGTTGCCAGAAGTGATTCTCCCTTACCTATCATGCTGGCTCAATCTCTTCGCACCACGATCCGCCGGCTCTACAAGGATTCGCGATCGACAATACACATGGCTTCCTCCACCCCCGGCCCCGTTGAATCGTCAATACAATTCAAAGTAAGCGACTCCAGCCTAGAATATCACATTCGCGTAGAGTAAGAACGGGGTAAACTTGGCAGCTCACCAATGCATTGCAACCATCCCAACTCACCATCACGAACGACTCGCATCTACATCGGCACCACGCAGCAATGCGTGCTCAGGGTGGAGGCAGCGGCGAAACCCGTATGTGCAATCAAAACATCACACATCAGTCCACACCGTCGGCTTTGCTTGAACAGTCGAACTCACATCAGCCTAGATTTCTCCGTGTATGTCATCTCAGATGAGTTCAGGGGAAAGGTATGTAACTATCGGTATTCGAGCTCTGCCATCTGTCACGTATCACACTGTTACTCGCAGAACACCATGCAGCGGCACCGAATGATCTACGCGGCACTCTCAGAGGAGCTGTCAGACGGACTGCATGCGTTGTCCTTGAAGACAAAAACTCCGGAAGAGAATGTTGGGCCGGTAATTGGCTAACAAGGTTATGTGCCAAATAAGGCTGTGACGCAAATCCTGGAGTGTCTGGCACATAGAAGGCATCACGGTGCCGCTTCGATCGTGTTGCTATATTGAGGTACTTGAGCTACGATGACAGTTAGTGGCCAGGAGACATGTAGAGCTACGTCGTGGAGCGCGAGAGCCCATATAACCTATTTTATTCGTGCAACAGGATGCGCACGCGTGGGCTGTCTCAGTCGAGGGGTGAAGCTGTCGAGTAGTTAGGCACGGTGACGATCCTATGCTGAACGAGGGATCGAAACTGTGTGAAAACCGCTGTGCATGGATGCGAGACGAAGGGGCGTGTTCACTGGAGGTGAGATGATGGTGGCTTCTGCCAGTGGTTCATAAATATAACCCGAGAGGGACATTGCAAGGGCTGTGGGGAATTGCCTCGATGGATGTGCCTATGCCATGTCTCAAGCTAGGTACGTCTATCAGTACTGTAATTATAAGTCGAGAGAGAGAAGCGCCTCCGCTATGAAGTAATGGGTATCACGACAACTGATGTAGATGCCGATTGATCCGGTAGTAGTTAATCTGAGATTCGGATGCTCCGCTCTCCCCGCAGAAATTCATCCGAGAGGCAGAGAGCGGTGCAGTGACACCTTGTCCTGGGAGAGAAGAGCAGGCAATTAGGACACACAAGGGGATAGCATGGACTGTATGGGACGAAGTGGAGATCTGCTCAGACGCAGGGCAGGCAAGAGCGATCGATGCTCCCACAATTGTCTCTGTATTGCACTTGTCGGAGGGTGCACAGCAGACGGACGGCGGAGACGATCAGGCGCGGCTGCAGTTTGACGACCGAACTTGGAAACGGTGGCCATGTTCACTTGAGACTGTCTGCAGCCTTGTGGGGTGCCATACTCAAATCCAACTAACACACAAGACCATACTCTGGCGATGATGATTGTCGATGTCACGTTTCTCTGACAGCACAGATCCTGGCTCATGGACATACGCTGATCCACAGGCCCACAGGTCCTGGCAGCTCCCTCCGATCTCCATATAACCCGTCCACTGCGGGTGCACTAGCATGTCTTCTCTTGCGCTCCCCCTTCCCCCTCCCCCTTTCAAATCCCCTGTCTTCATGGCTGATAGACCACGAGCGGCCAGCGACGCCCGCGCTGCCCAAGACCGCCCCACTCTCCCTCCTGTCCGTGACCTCTTCCGAGGTGCGCATTCTAGATCTTCGACCTGCTCGACTCTTACAGCTCACCCCCTATTAATATGCCACCTTCCCAGATGAGCTGGCTCTCTCTCCGCGGCCACCAGGGAGCACGACCCCGCCATGGAACGACCCCCAAGCACAGCAGCAGCAACAGCAGTACGGCCAACGACCGCAGGGTCTCGCTGTACCGGCATATGCCCATCCGGCGCTGTCGCCCTCGGGACAACATCTCGCGGGACCAGGTTTGCAAGTACGTATACGTTCGCATTATTTTTCGGCGTATTCGCCTCGCTTTCATTTGAATCCGCGCTCACCATGTCTGTTTGTGCATCCATATGCTGATCACACTCGCCGACAGTATCCGCCCTCGGGAATGCACCCGCACGCCCTGCCTTCGCATGCACCTCACCCTCATGACCCAGCTGCAGCGCAGTACGCAGCCTCTGCTACCGCGCCAATGAACTACTATTCTTTGCCAGGCACACACAGTGCAGGCCAGAGGATGGATGACTATTACGCACAGCAGCAGCGCCAACACCCCCAGCGTCCCGAGATATCTCGCGGCCATTCTTCCGGGTACTACGCGGCTCAACCTCCAGGAGTTGCAGGACCGTCTCCGCCCGTGCCTTACGTCTATCCCAACCCAGGCTCTCACAGCCGCAACACCTCGCAAGACACGTCCACGAGCTCGGAAGGGATACAGTCGCTGCGATACGAGTGCGAATACTGCGGCAAGGGCTTCTCCCGCCCGAGCAGCCTCAGAGTATGTGTTTCGGACCCACGCACCCAGCCGCCGGCGATCTTACTCACGCAATCTGATCACCGTGTCACCCGCAGATCCACCTCAACAGCCACACCGGCGAGCGGCGTGAGTGATCACTTCCGTTCCCGACTGCGTCTCTGCAGGCTCCTTGCTGTTCCGCTGATCGCTGACGCTATCTCTGCTCGCTTTGGCTTTCTCGGGTACAGCTTTCGTGTGTACGTTCGAGGGCTGTGGTCGCTCTTTTAGCGTCCTCAGCAACATGCGACGTCACGCCCGTGTGCACACCCAAGCCGCCGGGCAGCGCGAAGGTGACAGCGACGACAGCGACGGCCAGTCCCGGGGTGCAACGCCTTAAGCGCTGCGTCCTTGCTGGCAAGGTAGTAGTCTCGGTATCGCCGGACCCAACGAACAGGTAGCATTTCATGTCACGACCAGCAAGATTCCGCCACGAATTTCTCCATCGATTCAGGTTCTTCAAGGGGCACAATCAATCCAGCATCGACCGCAAGTCTTTGGACGTTATCTATTTATCTGACTGCTCATCTAGCATTGGTCCTTGACGCTTTTTGACGAATCATGCATTCATTCATCGGCATCCTTATTTATCCGCACATTATTTATCGGCATACGTACTCATAGCTTCTGTATTTATCGCATCTTGTCGAGCCGCATTTCTTATTTATTCAGCATCCTCAGTGTATACACACATAGTAGCAAAGCATACGAACGCAGGGCCACACCGCCTTGAAACTAGTGTAGAAATGGGGTTAGTATAGCATACATGTTGTGCTTTGATGTGTATGGATAGCAGACGTACAAACAACGGGGAAGCAAGAATCGTATACAACGGTAATAAAATCTGTAGTACATGACACAGGTTTAAGGTCCACGAGGGTGGGTATCAGAATTAAATCGCAGATTAAATCACTAAGGTAGTCGTGAGCCACGCTGCCTTTGCGCAGAGGCGACGAGGGTCATTCATGGGACGTGGGGGTGCCACGCAACGTCATCGCGATCGTCATCATTAGTATCAGTCCAGTCATGATAAGCACCCCGGCTTGCAGCACAGGTTGGGTACAACGTGTAAGGCGGGCCGTCTGCTCGCTCGCTCGCTCGCTCTAGAGCCTAGGTCTCTAGAGAGAGATCGCTCTGCCCGTGCCAATGTCGCGCGACTGTCGGAATCTGGACCGTCCACGGATGGTCTCCTGGTCGCCCATGTCGGGCAACCCCGGATCCGCAAACGCTTGGTCGGCACGCGCGTAGTTGATAACGCGGGGTGCCTTGTGTGTGAAGCCTGCAAATGCAAGTGCTTTGCGTACATTGAGAATTTCCTCCCCGTGCAGCCTGTCCCTCAACAAGGGGTCTTTGGTAGCATCAGGCGGAGCCCCATTGGCTGGCGCAAGCGGCTGTTTGCATACATGCCAGGCGCTAAGTGAGCACAGAGATGACTATACGGGGCATAGATTGCGTACCTCCGCTGGGATGTCGGAGTCGAAATGTCTGGTGTCCTCTGGAGTGATGAGCTCGGGCTTATAAGGCGCCGGGTAGCGATGAATGCTCTGCCAGTCGATGCCACGGAACCAAGGATGAGCCTACGAACATAGCCTCGTCAACACACAACGTCCGCGTTCCAAACACAGCCAGGGTCGATAACGCCGCTGACGACGATCTCCTGTAAAAACGCACCTTGATGAGGTGGGCGCCGTCAATGCAGCCAGTCGCTGTGCCAGGCAGCATGAAACCACTGCGCCTGCCGTGAACGGCGAGGGAGTCAGGCCTGAACACCGAGGACGACGCCTGGCTTCCAAGGCGATCCTCTGGCTCGCACAGCAGTTGTTTCATCAAGTTAATTCCCTCCTGTGAGACGTGTGGCCGAGACGGGAATTTGAGCGATTGCCTCCAGTTGAGGATCTTCTGCCGCGTTACATGGCGCTACATCATGGAGTATTTGCAGTCAGCAACTGCCGGAAAAGCTACATGTGGAACAAATATAGTAGTGTAGATGTCTTACCGAGTTGCTGACGAATGGGGGGAACCTACCGCGGGTACTGGATCAGAATTGAGCCGAGTAGGACCCACTAATCGACGTACCCGTACAAACACTCGAACATAATCACACCGAGGCTCCACCAATCGCAGGAAAACGAGTAACCTTGCCCTCGGATTACTTCCGGTGACACTGAAGAAGAAAGCAAGTCAACGACACTATGTAAGGACCCTGCATATCAATGCTAGGGCACTCACTATACGAATTGGTACCGCAACTGCGGGCAAGGAACAGAATGGAAGCATAACTCAGCGACCCGACGTTAGTCTAGAACTTAAAGTGCACATACACAGAGTACGCAAGCTAGGATGGAGAACCAATGGCAGCACGGTGGGCGGGGTGGTGAACATCAAGGAAGTGAACGTTAGCAATGGAAGCCACGTACCTTCCTACGGTTTTTCTCTCGCCATGTGAAAATGCCACCTTTGCCCGAGCTGTCGCCCATGAGCAGCTCGATGTCCTTCCGATCCATTCGCCTTGTTTTGGTTCCGTCCGCTATGCCGTTGCCGTCATCCAAATCAATGCCATGTTTGTGAAGCAGATGCCGGCGCTGTTGTTCATAGTCTAAGCAACCAATTCTCAGCACAAAGGCGCTCTTGACCAAAAGGGTAACTTAGTCACAGGATGTATCGTGAGCCCAATGAAGGTCAGTACTAGGCGAGGAAAATATTAGCTCATGAAGAAACGGTGACAGATACCCCATAAAAGCAACGGTGAAGGTACTGACGCAAGTCCAAAGTCGCTCAAACGAATGTGCCCCTCCGGATCGAAAAGGAAGTTCTATCAGAAAAAAATCATAGAACACCGTCAGTTCGAAGCATGACGTAGGCGGGCCTTGATGTGCGGGGCGCTGAGGAGAACATACTGACATCCGGTTTAATGTCGCGATGAATGAAGCCATGTTTGTGGCATGATTCAATGGCCAAGATCATCTACAGGTCATATTGGATGACAATAAATTTAAGTTATGAGAGTTAAAGCATAAATTAGGAACAAGGCGCACCTCGGCGACGTAAAATCGCGTGAAGTCTTCTTCAAAGACATCGCGCTCAATTAGCAGGTTTAGTAGATCTCCGCCGCCCATGTACTCAAGGACCTGGGTTATTGTTAGACAAATGAAATCAAGATGAAATCGAAATGAAATCAGCAAGAGATTCCTGTGTGAGAGGCGTTCACACTGACCAGATAGAGGTTATCGCGGTCCTGAAAACTGTAGTGTAGCTTGACAATCCATTCCGCTCCGCCTGGGGAAGTAACCAAGGAGGCTGATTTAAGAACATCTCGTTCCGCACGAACGTGGCCTTCTTGGCCTTTGCGGAGCATGTCTACCTTTCGAAGCTAGATGAAAGGGTGGAGATCGTAAAATGAAGTCTCGAGAATGACGGCTATGATCGGAGAAATTACCTGTTTCATAGCATACAGCTGACCCGTAGCTCGTTCTTTGACGAGGGAAACTACACCAAACGCTCCTGTGGAAGCAGAACGACTGAGTTCCTCTCCAACGCAACCATAAGGCGCAAAAACAAACCATGCCCGATGGTCTTGAGCTTGATAAAGGCGGTCACATCGACCTTCCGCCGACGTTCACGCAGATAGTCGGTCTCATTCTGGCGCCAGCGGCCTCGCAGCATCTCTTTCTGCTCTTCACTGAGGCACATATCCGTCATATCCTTTTCCATCGCCAGTCTTCGTTGTTCGCGAGACGGAGGCTGTCGTAACAAGGGGAAGTAAAGATTCTCAAAGAAGATCCGAGCGGAAACTGCTTTTTCGAGTGTAGCCAAGGATGGCTCGACGCTTCTCGGGGGAGCCACTGGCTCGGGCTCGGGCGCCTTTGAAGATGTATCATCCTCTTCGGGGTGAGCCATTAGTCCTCCGGCCCAACGAATGGTGGAGTTTCCCGGACGGCCACCAGGAAGACCATCTACCGGAGAGACCCGTACATTCTCCCGCGCGGCGGTAGTGACAGTGGAGGAGGTGTTGGTGCTGCCACCGTTGACGACTCGAAGAGGCAAGCGGCTATCTTGGCCACTAGTTTGGGAAGGCTTGAGCGCGTTGACAACTTGATTCACCGCTCTTGCCTGATTCATATCTCGGACCTTGGATTTAATGGGCTTTGCCCAACGCGGGTCTGAGGAGGCAGCTATGAGCACAGGGAGAACAGGCTGTTACGCGCATATTATGCGAACCTCCGAGCTTTCCGAGGCCATCAGGGCCCCAACGTACGAGTAGCGCCTCATACTGGTCTGCATCAGAAGCATGTACGAGATGCCTGGAATGGAGAGGCGGTGAATGAGCTACCCACAGACGGAGGGATACACATGCGATTAGACGTACACGAAACCAGTTGGGCGGCCAACCATATCTTTACTTATCCTACGGTTTTTCTTCACGGCCGGGGGGCTTGAGGGAGGGTGTAGGTCTTTGACAATTGGAATAGGTTTGATATCTTCGTAACGGGGACCTGCGACAATCTCTGCGCCTGGAGGCGCGCGGATTGTACGGTCACGCTCTTGGCCCCAAAACAGACGTGACGGGGATGGAGTTGGGATCATCGCAAGAAGATCGTAGAAACCTTTGTGAAGAAGGGTGCCCGCAGGGAGCATCTGCGCTGTGTCCCCCTCGTAAACATCCTGTGTCGGAGGCAACTGAGATGGGTATGGATAGGGACTTGGATGGTTAATAAGATCTGAGGGAGTTGACCAGGTGAAATCCTGGGCATAGGGACTCCCAGGTGGAAAGCCAGGGGGGCCTGGAGGCGTCGGTAACGGGCGTGCAGGCATCGTCGCTCGTCGTTATCTGCTGGTGACTTGTTCCACAGTAGACTCACCCTGCAGCTGATTACCTGGCTCCTGCGCTACCAGCCCCCAGCGTCTCTGGTGACGGGTGCCGTCACGGGGTCCCGTGACATCATGTGGTATGACATAACTATTTCTCACGATGCTGATTGTACTCTCGCTGACGCTGAGACTTGCTGAGCGTCAAGCAACACCGTGTCTTACCACCGTCGTACGATTCGTACTAGTAGTCTCAGTACTAGTAGCGTCTTCTAGCGTCATACTCGGCCCATGAATCCGAGCCAATAGGTGCATCATGAATGCATGACTGCCCGCGCCTACGTACTGTATGTGTCTGGCCGAGGATCTCGGCTGGCGTCGGTGGGGCTCGAACAGGCGGATGCCGAGGCGACCCTGAAGGTGAATACAGATTTGATCGACGAAACGTGATTGTTGTGACGCGATGTCGTGGAGGACCCCGTTTGAGGACCTTGCTTGTCGGCGATTCCTCGATCAGATCTAAAGTTGTTCTTTGTGTTCGTACTTGCCTGATCCTGCATACACCGAATCTCGATACACAATGTATACCAGTACCTACTACATACGATCAACTTCTCGTAAGTAAACGTTCTTGGCCGCCAACCAGAATCCCGTCCGCCCTTCGGACGCCTTCTCCACCCTAGGCCTTTACACCATTCTCGCAGCGCCTACACGCTTGCCATGAGCGAGCCACGAGGCCCTGGAAAACGCGGCGCGCCTCGCATACCTTTTTCCTCGTGCCTGCTCGGCACAGCTTGCCTGGCCCAGTTATTCGGTCCGTCTTCTTTCCCCCTCTCTTGGAGCGCGTTTTATGAATCCCTGGAATGCCGCCGCGAGCCATCTGACGGCGACGGAACAAACTGTTACGCTTCTGTGTTCTTCTCGACCCAATTCCCGGCTTATATAGCTTTCATCTCTTTCATCTCAGCATCCCGCTTCGCCGCGTTCCCCTGCTCATCCACTCAGATCCACATTAGTTCCAAGCTCCTGAACTGCCTGTACACTGCTGCATCTTGGCTGCATCATCACACTCGTGTTCATCCCTGCCTCTCCTGCCCTAGCCCAGTCATCCGAACACGCGTCCTTCCCTCTTATTGCTGCGATATTCGCTTCGTGCAGACCTCGCCCATACCGCATCCCTGATTGATCGAATCTGCCTGCCCGTCATACGCTAGCCCACCCTTCCTTGCTTTTCGGTCGTTCACCCACTCGCTGCCCCCGGCATTTACCTGACACAGCAGGAATACCTCGTGCCTCTTCATACTTATATTCGCCCCGCCCTTCTATTTCATTCATAACTAATATTCCCCTTCCCTTTCCTCTTTTACTTTACCCCCTTCTATCTTTTATAACTAACTATGACAAGTCCTCGAGACGATCGTTTTTACGACAACATACCAAAGTCACGTAGAAGTCCTCCGGGAGATTCAGCTTTTTTTGGGACGGGACAGGGTGGGCGAACTGTGCTCCCTCCTCTTTCTTCAGCTTTTCCAACCTCACGTTCTCCAGGTCTGTTAATTTTGTGTCGCCTCGCGCACATTGCGATTGCTCAACCTTCACAATGCGGTTTTAGTGCCCTCTCATACATATCCTAACCAGTACATGGCCTCTCGCACTTCTCCCGCGCGCAGCGAGCATGCGTCCATGTACGGCAACCAGTGGTCGAACCCCGCACGTGAGTGTTCACTTTATCCACTGAGTTGCATTCCGACATGCCTTGCCCTTTGTAAAATATCCTCTAGCGACCCAGCAGCACGCCTCGAACTACTACGAGAACTACGATGCGCGATACGCGCCTCAGCAACATTACAACTACACGGCGCGTTCGTCGCCCGCTCTTCCCGGGGAATCGACCTCTCGCAAACTACCCCCACTTAGCGCCTCGCCTTCTGGAGACCGGTGGCAGTCCGGTGGCGTTGGCGGTGGCGCATATGGGTCTGTGCCAGCCCAGATGCAGACTTACGGCGGGGCTCAGGCCCCCAACTTTCCCATTGATTATTCGTATCACCAGCAGTCACAGTACGGCTACCCGACCGTACCCCAACAGCAGCAGATCCCCATGAACGTCTATGCACCCGAGCGCGGTATGCCCGGGCAGGTGGAGTCGCACGGTCCTTCACCCTATGCGCGGACTCTCCCCGCTACACACGACACACCCGCAGTTCCCTCCGAGGAAGCCTCCATCAAGAAGAAGCGCAAGCGCGCTGATGCCACCCAACTGAAAGTCCTCAACGAGGTCTACGCACGCACTGCTTTCCCTTCAACCGAAGAGCGGGCCGATCTTGCTCGTAAACTTGACATGTCCGCTCGTAGCGTGCAAATATGGTGCGTGTTGTCCGCCAAGTCCAATGATCGGTCGTCATGACCCACAAAATATGTGCTAATCGGGCGTGGTTGATAGGTTCCAGAACAAGAGGCAGTCGATGAGGCAAACCAGCCGCCAGTCATCCTCCAACCTGCCGTCAGGCTCACATCAATCTTTCTCTCTGCCATCCCCTCACGAGGACCCTCGGGCCGCCGTGGGATCGTATGGAACCACAGGACAGAACAACCTTTCGAATCAGACCTACCTGCGCGGCGCGGCCGACTCGCGCGGTATCCCCAGCGGCCAGACTACAAAACGTAGAAGTGAAGAGGCCGAAGGTCGCAAGTGGCAGGGACACTATTGATTAACGCCGATCGTCAATCGTAAACTAAAGTTTCAGATTAAGATCATTTCTGCCATCGTATTGCTCAACCCAACTCTCCTCAGCGGATCATACGTCCTCTAACTCCAGATCCTAACCTCATTTGAGCACTCTCTTTTCATCTACCGTTAATGTATGCTTCTGCCCTTAATTTTGTCAAACTATTGCCATGTTGCCATGCTACTACGATCCACAAGCACTTCTATTACACACTGTCGTTGCCTTCATATCTACTTCATTTATGTTGTTTTGGACGCCGAGCGCTCTCTATAGCTACTTATACCTGTATCACTCTGATCCCATGTTGATAGCACCCAGACAATCTGCCTCATCGATACCACTAATAAGCATGTTTTTGTTGTAATTTACATCCGCGGACCAGTGGCCTGTCAGCACTCCAACCCTTTTCACCATCCCGAACTCGAGGCTGGTGCGCGAGGATGAATTCGGAATGTGGCGACCAGGGTGATGAATGATGACGGAGAAGAAAGTCATCGATAAGATCCACGAGGTGATCCATGGCATTGAATTTGTCGGAACGACGCCCACGGCCGCTTCGAAGACAGCAACTAACTAGCTCAAGGTTATGTCACTCTATTTGTCATCGCGCTATGAATGAATGGCTGATCCACACATCTCCCTCGAGAGTCTAAAATGAGCCTTTGGCTAGCGCTTGGTCTTGTAGTTCCGGCGCCCTGGTCTCAGGGTAATTCACGTTGGGGATATCCGTGACGCCTGCGATGGAGTCGATACTTCCAAACATCGTTGAGGAGGAAAAAAACGCCGCGCGGGAAAGGATGAACACTGTCTGGGAGCTCAACACGCAGCTTGCGTGCGCCGCACGTCACACTACACCCGCCGTATAAGTCGCACCATTGACAAACAAGGAGTTGAGTGCTCCCAACATGGAATCTGCCGGTCCACGCCCCCGGGAATCACGCCATGTTCTAGTTAAGGGGAAAGAGCGACGCAAAGACTTGTTCAGGGCTGCTACATCAACGGAAAAGATGTACAACAACCACAGGTATCGCGCTGCGCTGCGGAAATATGTAGTGCTCGATATGTCGCGTCTCTCAACAAATATGGATGAACGGAAGCAAACGTGCGCGACGTGCCAAAAAGCCTATCTGACTCCAGATCTGTATAACCTTAAAATAACAACTACGAACACCCCTGGTGGACCCCGGGAAAATGCCGGTCCAGTGCTCCGAAGTCAAGCTCGGCATTAGTCGCTATCCGTGTCTTCAGGCCTGGGACCACCATTCGTCAGCCAGGCAAGTTTTCTAAGCCTTCGCCGTTCTTCCTGGGCTTTCATCTGATTCCGTGTCGGCTTCTTCTTTTTCTTGATCGATGCTACAGCTGATCCGTCTTCCGCACCACTCCCAGCAGGTGTTGCGTTCGTGGACACCGCCGGACTTTGCACGCGAGACCGAATAGGAGTATTGGTGCCGCTTCCTTTTGGTGACTTGGCGTCTGCGAAAGCATCTTCGACGACAGCGGCCTTCCCCTGATGAGTCATCCTTCCACCCTCGACGTTCCAAATCTCCGGACCTGCGGTGGAATTAGTCGGCCACTCGTAACGAATACAAATCCAATAGAACTGACACAGAGCAGAAACAAACTCATGGTTGTGGGATATGATAACCTGTGCCGCGGCGTCGGTGTAAGTGTGAAAATATGACGTCGCGGACAATCGGTCCGTATGGGTGAACTTACCACAGCACCCGCCCACTCTTTGATGGCTACGGCGAGTCCTCCCAGCGCCTCGCGATCCAAGAAGTTACTAGGCTCATCAAGTACACAGACCTAACATCGCCATAGCATCAGTTTGAGAAGTTCCTAAAAGGACAAAACCTTACTTGCGGATTGTTCCACAAACAAGCGGCGATCACAAGTTTGATCTTCTGGCCTGTGCAAGGAGTTAGTTGTGGATTGTGGGGGAACAAAACTTACGATCGTCTGACCTCCTGACAAGCCCGAGATCTCGTTGTATTGAGCAATGTCACCATCCAGTCCGATATCTTCCAAATGCTTCCTGACCAGATTAGCCGACGTATCGCGAGTCCCTGCGCCCTCTCTTGAGGACTCCAGGTCATCAAATTGTTGCACCAATTTGGTGAACCCCTTTTCAAGAAGCTGATCGCGTGGAACCCAGGTGTTGAATCTGTGATCGAGGCCGCGCCACTTAATCTCATATTGGAACGACTTCTTGAGCTTCTGACGTCCCATGATAAGCTGTGGTAATCAATGGTAAGCGGGATGAACATCAATTAATTATCCTGATCACCACTGACCTCTACTTTCCGCTTCGTACCGTTCTTGCCGACCCAATCTTGATCGAGGATGGCTTGTTCTTCCGCGGTGATCACACGCGTCACCTTCTCAAGCAGTTCACCTGAATGCTACTTGAGATCAGCTGACGTCAGAGACTGTTCTACTTACGGTCATGCCCATCTTGGAATCGCCACTGAATATATGCTATTGGAGTTTTCTCGAGGTGACGTTCTGATCCCCGCAACTGTGAGTATTCGAATGGAAGCATTCTGGAGACAGGATCGCACCGATGTGATGCGTCGCGTGTTGGGAGACGTAACCAACACGGAGTGCCGGATGTTTGTAGACAGTACCTTCTTGTGGTACAGTTTCTCCCTGTATAGTAGTCAGACCTTTGAACCTGAATCAGTTGATGCACATCAGAACGTACCGTCAGGAGTTTGATCAAAGTAGACTTCCCAGCGCCATTCGGACCGACCACTCCGACCCGACTAACACGGACTGATTGGAGACAAGCGGACAAAGAGGAGGATTGGACTACACACCTCGACAGCGACAATGCACAGCTCACGTTGAATAAGCTAGGCGTGGATTTTCCTGGATAAGTGAATGTGCAGTTCTGAAGCTTCATGATAGCGCGCGTGTTGCTTCTGACCCCCATCAACGAACCCGGGGGTGGGAACGAGAATTTGACCGATGTAGCGGCAAGGGTGTAGTATGACTTGGCCTCGGGATGTTTCTCGACAAAGGTAGACAGGTTACCAGGATAGTACACCAGCTAGACGTCATATTGAGCGAACCGCATGACCATAGAGGCACATTAACCAGACTTTACCTTCTTGTCTTCGTAATGAATCACATCCGTCGTCACGGAATCCAGGAAGCTGCCGATATTAAAGCTTTTTGTTCATGGACAACCAGAATTACTTACCCCGAATCGTGACTGATGATCAAGCAAGTGACATTGTTGTGGGAAGTTAAGTACTGCTGCAACCAAATGACAGACGCTCTGTCCAGCTATAGGTCGTGTTTGTGTTTTGATAACGGCATGTTATGTTAAGTGGGCGAACACTTACGTGGTTGGTGGGCTAACGTTTGGTCATTATCCAGCAAAGAACATCTCACACAAAACCTCGCAGCTTACCTCGTCAAGAAGTAGAAGGTCCGCGTTATATAACATCGCTCGTGCCAGCTCAAGCTTCATCTTCCAGCCACCAGACAAACCACCTACGGTGTCTGCCTGTCTTTCGTCGTCAAAGCCGACTTCAAGAAGCTGTTCACGGATTTTCTGACGTGGAACATGAGACAAAGCTTTGTCTGTCCTGATATTTAGCGTCCTGAATGTTGCTAATAAATGATACGCCTACCGGAGGCGACAAAGTCCAACACAGACAAAGTTCCATCCTCTCCTTGAAGAGAGTGCTCTACCATTACACACCGAAGCTCATCTTGAGGGGGGAAATTCTCGACTTTCCCGTCGCGTAGCTGGCGCATGAGTGTTGACTTTCCAGAGCCATTTGTGCCAAGAATGCCATATCGATGTCCACGGTAGAGCTTGAGAGTCGTGTGGGAGAGAAGCAAAAGAGTGCCATACGCCAGTGAAAAGAGAGTATCGCAGAGAAGCTTGCCCTCATCACCTGAGATAGTTTGTCCAGTGCCATGTTGTGCCTGGTCGGTCGCGAGACATGTAGATCTGACGGCCTCTGCATACGCCGCTGCCGCCTCTTTGCCCGCCCATGGAACCATGTAGTCACCAACACAGCGTTGCCACACCGCGCTGTCTCGGAATTGGCGATTGTGGACCAAGTCAGCCACCATAGATGCCTCGTATTCCAGGACCTGGCTAATGAGAGGATGCTTAGGTTGTGGGGAATTTGATTTAGGGAGGACAGCAGTCGCTTCGGCAGGTAGATGTCCCAGCAGCACTGCCAGTGCCTCCTTCGTATCCGCTGCAACATCACGGGCGGGGGGAGATCCTGTTGAAGAAGCTCCTGCTTTGAGGAGTGTTTCCAACGAAGATTCGCCAAAGGCTCGGACCTGTTTTACGTAGTCAACAATACAGCCATAATAACAAAGCGATGGTTCATACCTCAGGGAAAGCAGCTCCCTTCGCAATCTTCTGCACACCTTCAACGAGTGGGCTGAGGTAGCGGGCTGCAACGACTGGATTGCGAACAAGTTTTACCAGGTTCTCAATAACGATGACTGTGCGGCGTTGGACTTCCATGCTCCGGTCATTCAAAGCACGAAGAAGAAGTGGAACCAGCACTGCAAGAGCGGGTGCTGTCACCTCTGCCACGAATGTCGTCGACGACAATGCTTTGATGCAGGCCGGCACTGTGCCTGGGTCACTCATGCACTTGACGACGGCGGGTATGTGGGGAGTGAGATCGGGATTGGCCAGTGTTTTACAGAGCGAGGTAGCGCATTTCGTGGCAGCCGTGGAGACCTAGACGAGAGAAGGCTAAGAATTGATGTTTAGAAACCAACAGAAGACGCACCTCTTTTTTCGTGTCATGCATTGCATGTTCGACAGCCGGAAGCACCTGCCCGAGCTCATCGGCCACTGCGTCCTTTGCGGATGACACAAAGCTTTTCAGGGCATCAAGGGCGCCAACTTTGGTCTGCCATTTGCCCTTGTCTAGGATTGATAAAAGGGATTGAAATACAGTACGTGTCGCTTCCGGAGGGAACAACTGTAGGATACCCTTGGCTGCGGCTGCAGCCGCGACCCGTACCACCTCTCCCTTGTCCGCGTACAAGTCGAACAATATTGGGAGAGAGTGAAGGAGAAGGGGAGCGCTGGGAGTTCCAAGGACGATGGGCAGCGATTGGAAGGCCATTGCGCCTGATTCACGCTCATATCCGGACTTCTTATTTGTGGCAAACGTGTGGAGGGTTGACAGGACGTTCTCGTCACTGGAGTAAGGAAATCCATAAGACATGAACTTTGAATAAAGTCACACTCTACTAACGTTAACGATTGATAGCCTGCTTTTTGTATCGAGAGAGCGAGTTGGTCAGCTGCAGCTTTGGCATCTGTGTCCGAGCTCGATGAGCAATCCTAGCATGCTATGTGCTAGCTATGTTTAGGCGACGAACCTGGACCTGTCGGTGCAGATCTAAGAGCCTCTAATGTAGCAGCAAAAATGGAGTTGACGTTGGTCGTATCGGCTGACGGAGACATGGTATTCGGCGATTCTAGGGAGTAGTCCTGATAAATGCGATGAACAGAGGATCGAACGGGCGGTGCCGAGGTTGAGAAGGGATCTATGCGGAAATTATAGCCGAATTACGGTAGCGAAAGGGGGAAGAGCTGGTCTATGGTTGTGGTATCGGAGCTCACAAGCTTCTGAAGAGAGAGGAGAGATCGGAGTAAGAGACACTCGGGCGATGCACTCGCCAGTCGGGGAAAGGGTAAGGGCAACAGAAAACTGCATCGCTGCCGTATCGCCATCGTCGGAGCTTGTAGTGACCCACGTGTATAATGACAAGTAAACTTCCACTCGGCCAGGTTCGACAGATTCGCCGTAAGTAAGCCCATGCAAACTTAGCACTTATCCATTGAAATCAGAAATACGTACTGTATAAGGTATTTAGAGTAATATTATTACAGTAGAAACTGTCCCATGTTGTAAACATATGCACTTCCGAGATATGTGATTACCGAGGAGGTCTGCCCATCTGATTCCTGATGTTGTCGTACTGGCTCCCTTCGTACCTCACCCAGTTCGGCGTCATGTCGAGAGGTCCAATGTACTGGTTGACTACCTGCACTAGGCTGGGTCCGGGAACATACTCTTTCCCAGGTGAGCCTTCGCCCTCGACAACACGATGATGATATCCGGTGTCCTTGTCGCCACTGAGCTCCCAGTACATACTCCCACCTAGGCCGTTCTCCTGAATCCACCGAGCCTTCATCGCCGCAACAGCGTCGTTGTCGTACGTCACAAGTTCGCCCGAATTCCCGTCGTAAGAGTAGCTTGCGACTTTCCCTTGATCTACATAGACTTGAGAGCCAGGGGTAGGAAGGAAGCGATAGTCGTATGACCCGCTCTCCCAAGTGCCTCCGCCTTGGCGGCTACGATCATAGTCCTGGCCGATGCCCTGAGCGCCAGCAAAGCTCCTTCCGTACAGAGGAAAACCGAGTACTAGCTTTGAACGATGTACACCACGGCTCTCGTAGAACTCCACTGCTTTCACACCGCTGATGTTTTCTCCGTAAAGGTTAGCCTGGTGATCAGCCACGCCTTCCGGATCACCGGTACCAGCTACAGCAACAAGAGTCAGGTAAGGCAAGGAAGTGTGGAAATGAGAACGAACAGAAGTCATAAGCCATCAAATTCCAGAAATCAAGGGACTGGTCCATCATGCTGATGAGTGACTGCTTTTGGGACGGGCTTGGGCCACGTAGCCCATGTTTGTGAAGGGCAGGTAGGAGGGGCTTAGCGATGTGATGAAGCAGCCTTTCGCCAAAATCCGATCCCCTTGCATGATGCTCGCCACCACTGTATTGCATATCAAACACTTGATAAGACCAAGCACTGCAGGGAACTGCAATCTATGCATGGTTGAATAATGAGGATCTGAGGCGTAAATCGGAAAGCTAAGGCTGCTTACAGTGAGCAAAAACCGGCAATATCGTCCACCCAAGAGACGATTCTTGGCTTCGGCATGTTCATCCAGCGCGAACCGAAGTTCTCTCAACAGCTCTGCGAAACCAATGGCTTGCTGCGGGTTAGAAGGATATTCGTAGTCGATGTCAAGACCGTCGAAGCCATAGTCCTCCAGCAGTTGTACAGACGATCTGACGAAATGTGCACGAAGAGACGAATTGACAACAATGGGGTGGAAGGACTCCCGGTAGCTCCATCCACCAATGGAGAGAAGCGTCTTGAGATGCGGATTCTCATGTTTGAGTTTGTAGATGGCCTCGAGATTTCCATACAAATTACGACCAGCTGTCTCGGCCGAGCCCTCGTGGTGGATTTCTACGTCTGCCCAAGGGTCCGACAACATGACCTTGCCGGAATGGTCGATCTTAGCAAACGCATATAAGAGGTGACTGGATGGTGTTAGAGCATCGTGTTAATCATAGTATTGACGACCTACGTCAAATCCCTCGCAGGTATGAGGTTGGGAGCAAATTTGCGGTCGTAAATACCCCTGTCGAAGTAGGTTAGCGCGGTTCTCCATGGCTGCAAGCGAACGGAGTCCGAACGTACCAATTTGTGAAGCTACAAGATGGTGAGCACGGAACGGCCAGGTCGTTGGAAAAGACTCACTATCCAACGCTGTATTTTCCTTGGGTTTGCATGTCTGGATTATCCAACGGAGCAGCTACAAGACTTGGTTCCGCAGCGATGTCGTCAAGGGGACTTGAAGTTGTAGTAGGTGAAACTGGCGCTGGAGTATGCTGGTTCCAAAGGACGTCGCGTTTATACCAGCCAAAAGATATGAGGAGCGTCGTCACGCCCAATAAGATTATTGCAATCTTCCGGCGGGCGGAGAATCGAGAGGCGGGTTCGGGAACATGACCGGCGTCATCTGTTGGAACACGCTGGTAAGAGGCAGATGCCATGCCCAAAACGGGTATGTCAGGCTTCTTCAAGAACACCACATGAAAACATATGAATATTCCTTGTGCTCGGCTAACAGTCAGACTATTTATGGCCATGGAAGGATCGACACGCACAACATGGAATATATACAATATGTGGAGAATCTCGGCAGAAAAGGTTCTGGCCTTCGTATGATCAGCCCGGAAGGCATGTACACAAACATGGCAAAAAGCATGCCAATAACGTATGCATGTTGCACACCTCATGATCAAATGCAACGAAGTAATCGTACACTTCGTACATACGCAAGACATTAACAAATCAATCAAGATCACTTCTACTTCCCTAGCTCTCTATAATAATCGTGTTATAACTCCAAGGCCCTGAACTCGATCAGAGAAAGCACGAAGCCTTCAGCAAACCGTTCTGACATACCTTTGTCTTGCCTTCTCGGAATAATAGTTTCATCCCAACTTTGACGAACTCTGGGTGCGAGATGAATTCGAATTGCACTGTTGCTCGATCACCTGTTCGTAGTATGCCGTGAGGGTGATCCATGGATATTATCCGAACGGTTTGCCGGACAGCCTGCGTATGTGTAAGCTGTGCGTTACCGGGAGCTAACTCCAGTCGGACTCACCCCGCAGTGAAGCATGGCCTACATCCAAACATCTTGGTCATCATGGCATCCCACAAGCGAGTACGCATCCAACGTACCTGATAGTTCCGTTGCAAGGTAGTATTATGACTGAGAGAAGGTGAGCTTGAGTATTGTATTCTCGCGAAAGGGACGCACTATAATATAAGAACCTGTCCTTCAAATTGGCGAACCACTATTCAAGGGTTAGCACGTTGAACAGTGTCATTGAGGTAACGGCGTACCCTTGGGAGGGGTCTCGGACTTGTGTACTATGATCATTCCCTTTCGAACTGCTTGCCTTTTCACCCGCTTCAATGCTAATGCGACGCACTGTCCCGCCTGAGCGGTCATCACGTCCGCCCTGTTGATTCATAACCATCAGTCTCTCTTGACTTGGCTAGACCAGGAGCTCATGTGCTAACCTTTTACGCTGCATGCTACGGATGACAGAAGTTTGATAGTGCCCGTTTGCGTCCGGCCCGAACATGATCGTGTCCCCGGTCTTGACCCGCCCACTATTCAGGATACCGTTCACTACGGTTCCAACGTATGGTACAGACCACACCTCCGTTATCGAGTACTTATAGCGGAGCGCGTTAGCGCTGATATAATTATGGCCCCTGGGAAAACCTCAAACCTCTAGTGGTTGATCGATGGCTGACTTCTGATATTCTGCTTCGGATGGAGGCAGAAGGTTCAAGAATGTCCGAACCTGGCGTTTCATGAATTTCATGAGAAGGGGAGTTTGCTACGAAACATAAACCTACAAAGTCCAAGCCTTCGCCAGTAACGTTTGATATCGAGAATATGGGGCACTGCCTGTCATGAGTGTCAATGATGTAGATGCCCCAAGGAAATCAGTGTCATGCCGTTGTGCAGCGAAGGTCTGCGATATTTCTATCGCTGTCTCCATAGACTTGACGAATACGGGAGCTTTCCTGCACCCGGGGCTCTTTAATATTTTCGTCACCTGTCCAACAGTCTCGGTCAAGACGTTTGCTGGAGTCATATCAATCTACAGCGCATCAACACACAGCGGTAGGGTGATGGCAAATCGATGCACCTTTGTGACACAAACCACGACGGGCACATTCAAGGCAAGTGCAATAGCCAGGTGTTCCTTGGACATGCCGATAAGTCCAGCATTTGCTCCGACCATCAACACGACGCAAGAAGGCGCGCCTGACGTCAAGCCGTATAATGTGGTCTTTAGATATCGCTCGTGTCCGGCAAGATCTTGGAAACATGTCAATTAATACAAATGATTTAGACATTTCAGGCGACTGACCGATGAACGACACAATCTTCGCCGCCTGCTTGGATATTTCATCCCAGCTGAGCTTCTCGCGACGTATTGCATCAACGTCGCTGGTGTTGGAGGCATTGGGTAATATTGGGACTCCAGAAGTCGTAAACCCTAATATCTTAGGTAAGGTCAGTGCACGCATTAAAAACGATATTTAATGAGGCATACCTCCATGCCAACGCTAGACGTCCGACCTGTCTCAGCTTCGTGCTTATGTCGGAAGAGGCCCACTCGCGCTCGTCCTCTTCCATCATCCAGGGCGCCTATCATGAAGAATAAACGACTGAAGCAAAATTTTGCACTTGTGACGGACCTCGTGTAAGCACTCCGAGAGTAGTCGACTTTCCGCTGTCGACGTTGCCAACCACGGCGCAGCGCACCTCGGGAGTGTGTGCCACATCGAGAGGAGGAATGCGCAATAATATAGTTGACCGTGGGTGGTCCGCACCGCCTTTGAACAGAACACAGGTCTATGATGATTGAACGTATAGCAAGTTGAACAAGGGTTGGAGACGGTGAGCCCACCTTCCCTCCGATCTCTTCCAATATACGTCTGAGTCCATCCTCTAGTGACCTGACCTGCTCCTCGGTCCGTGTAGCCCCTGTCCAGTCATCGTTGGATAGTGTCTCGCTAGCGTACAACTTGGCATGATTTGGTCGAGATCCAATGTGGAAGATGAGTTCGCCTTGGTGTCGAGTCAACAATGCTGCAACGGCATCGCGAGCATCATCGTGGTTTCCGGCGGAGAGGAGCTCCTGTCGAGAGCCTGGATGTTAGTGTTGGGTATTGTGGGTTGACACTAACTTGAATGCATACCAAGATTTGTGCTGCTTCCTCCTCTTCGGAGAGTTCTGATTGATCCGTGTTTGGCTGAGGCTTGGATTCATCATTGTGTACTTCCTGACCCTTGAGTACCTCCTGGCCCTTGCTAGTAGCAGGTTGCTCTTTGGTAGCTGGAGCTGATGCTACTTGGCCACGCTGCTTAGCCAGCTCTCGGGTGTGTATGGCGTCTATTTCGTTTTGAAAGTTCCTTAGTGTTGTCATGATGCCTGGGGATGCGACTCAGATTACAACCTCCTCTGCGAGTTCTCCAGGCTCAAGTACTGGTGGCAGATCTGAGGCCGAGTCAGGCGAGCCTGTGAATGACTTGAAATGACTTGTGTCCACTGGTAGCTGTGCAGTCCAAATTGCAAAAGGGACCAGCTTCTCGACACATCCGTGGATGTGGGCACCGCAACATGTCAGCGGCGTGACGTAGCTACCCCAGCCTGCCGATACAAACCTATACAAATATGCTCATCATACGCATGATCAGCTGCAGCTGTCCAAACGAAGTGATGTGCTTATATAGGGTAACCAAAGATCCCATCACTGTGACTTCGCGACAGTGCGTTCAACACGCGGTTTGGATTCCAACGTCCATCTCAACGCGTGCCCTTGGCGTGCCCAAGTTCACAAACCCCTACTCAGGCAACCCTCTGATACTAGATCTCCTGCTTCCCCCCAACTCTATCTCGTTCATGAGACCCCATGGCATCTCAGGCGTCTCAAGCAAGCTCTAGCTCGCAGCCAAATTACCATATCCTCTCTGGGACAGTTCCTGGACAACTAGACAAGTCCCAACCCGCACGGCTCCTTCGTTTCGCGCACTCCACCCTCTCTTTCGCGTCTTTTGACCCGCTCACTGCACATTCTGGTGCGGAAGTTCCAAATGTCCGATCCCTGACGCTGGACGAGGAACAGCCTCGTCCCAAACGCATTGTCATCGAAACTACGCCACAGGGTGCTAAATACTGGCGGTTCGTGCCCCGGGCGCGATTAGACGAGGGAATCACCAACGAGGGCTCTTGGCCGCGCCTAGTGGATGTATGCGGGTGAGCACACCTTTGTTATCTTACTCGTCCCGTCTAAAACTCCAAAGTCAACGCGTCTATTGTGACCAGGACCAATGGGACATCTACAAACTCGATCCCTCATACCAATGTGTCGTCAAATCAGGCAACACTCTACCCTCGATTACCAAAGTCGGACCCTCGGAACCGGAAATTGAAGACTTCGCTGAACCGGCAAACCGTAAACGACGAACATTTTCCGCAAAGGACATATCCATGCAAGATGTCTCCAAACACCGTCGTATCGATCCCAATGCAGAGGTCGATGATGACGATGAAGAAAACGAAGTTCGTAGCATGATTGTCGATGATGTTCCGCAAGCCACGTACGCCGCTCGCAAGCGTGCAGCGGAGCTTCACCGCAAAGAGGTCCACAAACGGCGCGAGCAGCGTTGGCAGGAAAACAAGCAATTCCAACAGAGGTATGCTAGTGCGGAAGAAAGTCAAAGGAGTCCTGCTTTAGCCGATGCCTCAATGATTGACTTGACCGACGAGAGCCAACCCTCGGGTTCTCAGGATACGAAGCGCAAAGGCAAGGCTTTGTCGATTCCTTCATGCGTGCTGATCTAAGTCAGGAGTAATAGGTGTCCCAGATGACGGGCCGGATATGCCTCCGACCCCGACTACAGACTATCCGAGAACCTATGCTCCTGGCCGAAAGGGCAAGCGGACTCGTACTGTTTCCCCCCAAAGCATCAGACAGCAGTGGGATGAAAAGAGGGCAGGCTTCCAAAGCCGTAAGCGTACAAAAGTGCGGGGTATCAACGAAGATCATCACCACGCTCATCACTATGGTCTCTGGGAAGAATTGCGAGAGCAATATGGCACAAAACAACGTACGCCGAGAACTACTCGCTATTATTATATGTTGACGGGGTCAACGCACTGCAGAGCGTCGGCCTGGGCGCACGCGGGCTACAACGGAGGATCCGTGGTCGGCGGGCCAATCCCAAGATGGCCAAAACACTCAATCGTCCAGCGACACGCAGGTGGAAGACCCAGAACGAGAAGCGCACATCTCAGAATCTATACGCAAAATGAGCGAACTCAATGAAGACCGACCTCTTTGGGAAGAGGAAAGGCAAAAACGGGAGACTCGGGAGCGAGCTGAGGAACTGACCAGGAGAGCCAAGGCAGAAGAACGCAAGAAGGCGGAAGTGCAGCGCGAGCGAGAGGTCCAGCTAGATCAGGAGGCCGAAGAAAGGCGCAGAGCAGAAGAAGAAGACAAAAAGAAGGCGGAGAAGTCGGAGCAGCAACGTGCAGCCCGCAAGCAGAGGCGGGAACGCTGGAACTCGGGTGTCTGGACAATACAGCGCGCTCTGGAGCGGTACAAGATCATGGGCGAGGAGTTCGACAGTGAAACATTCGGGCCGGACTCACCAGTGACATTCTATGATATACCCTGGCCCGTTCTCTACGCCCCAAACAGGTTCACCGTGGAGGATATCGACTGGAGCGCTATAGAGAAGTTCTTTGAGTCTGTGCGTGGCCATATGCGCCCCCAGGACTTCAAAGAGTTTGTGGAGAGGAGCCACAGGCGGTTCCATCCGGACCGTTGGTCAGCACGCAAGCTCTGGTCGGCTGTGATGGACGAGGAAGAGAGCAATTATATCGAGGTTGCGGGGAAGGCAGCCTCACAGGCAATCACCCCGTTGTGGAGGGACCTCAAGCGCAGATAACTGGTTATTGATCTATTGTTATCGTTGTATTGTTACTAGCTAATGTTTGTCAATCAATAGTACCACGTTTGACGTGCATGGTCGCCGAGAAGCGAAGTTTGATCATCTATGTAGCTTCCTTCGGTCACGCCTGCAAGTGAGCCATCTGGAATGATTCGTGTGGCGCACCGAACGATTGGGTAAACAGTGCATCAGGGTGTACAGTAAGTACTTATTTGTACTGTATATTAGTGCGACGTGATCGCTCGCTACGTGGTCACCGCGTCCCGACCTGCTTGAAGCATCTCATGCTTCCCACTGCGAACTTTATGAGACACGTACTCTGGCTCTGGATTGGTGGCCGTATGTCTCAACCTCCGCTTTCTATCAAGATAGACGCAAGCGCTGAGAACTTTTCAAGAACATCAAAACCTTGGCACCTATACTTATATATAGGACACCCTGGAACCCTTCTGTGCCTCTCACCCAATTGATGTGGTTGGTTGAACTTTCATCGGACTCCAATCGGACTCTCACCTATGCTCGCCCACATGTGGACCCTTGCCTTATCCAAAAAGAAAGCTAGATTTACAAGCCCGCTTTTTGATTGAAGATGCTGTAAATGTTCGCTTTCCATAGTCTCAAGCCTCTTGGTCGGACTGATAGATCGAGGTTCTTAATTCCCAGCACCCCGCGTTACCCCACGCCGCCGGGGATGTCGACCTTAATGTGGGTTTTCGTCGCTTGATAGACGCAACGGGTGGCTGATGCATGATATTCCCGGTACCTTTCACGGTCTAAAAATTGGCCGACGCGATTCAGTTCCCGTCAAGACACGGCTTTTCCGTACATTTGTTGGAAGCCTCCATTTCCCCAATCCTGAAAAGGCCCTTAGCATGGGAAGCCGCCCTCGTAACTTCCCGCACCGCCTGGTATATAAGCCAAGCATTGACGCCGCCAAGGGGGTTTTGAGTTTGCCCCCAGACCACCCTGGCCTTGTGTGTTTCTCATTAAAAGTTCCACCAAGATGGCCTCTACTGCGAGCACTCTGAAGCCATCTGAAGTCACTGTGGCTCTCATCAACCAAGCAGTGACGAAGCACAGGACGCGGTATGATAAGACATTCGTCAAGGCGGTAAGGTGTCGCTCCTCGTGTAACGTTTGAATGAGGCGCTTATTCAGGCATTTAGTTCATGGCAGGGGTCATGTTGTCCTTTGGTGGTCTTCTCGATGTGGTCATTTCCGGTGGATCGCCCGGTATTGCAGCCTCCAACCCAGGATTGGTCAAGGTGATGGGCGGCTTTGTCTTCCCCGTTGGACTCGTCATGTAATCTTGTCTGCCTTCAAGCTTAGGTCAGCGTTGACTAACTTACCATAGGATTGTGCTGCAAGGCTTTGACCTTCTCACAAGCAACTTGATGGTGAGCGTCGGACTTTAATTTTGTCAATGGCACCTAAGCTTACTAAATTCGCAGACATTCCCTATGGCTGTTATCAAAGGTGCCCTGCCCTGGTGGAGCATTCCAGTGAATTGGATCATTGGTAATGATTACTCTGGTCAGATCGACAAAGAACCGTTGGCTCATCAGTCTCTAGTTACTTTTGGCAACCTCGCAGGTAGTCTGTTCTTTGCTGCCATTCTGTCGAAGTGTAAGTGAGATGCCGTGTACTGTCGCCTAAGCTCACAAATATTACAGACACGGGTTTGGTTACGGACGCTCCGTACAATACTTACATGCAAAGTTTTGCTATGTATGCATTTTCTCCATACAAACGGCATCACGCACTGATAAAAGGCCAGCACGAAGGCTGTCACTCCCCAGTTCCATGAAGTCTTTCTTCGTGGCATTGGCTGCAACTGGCTCGTTTGCGTCGCTGTCTGGGTGAGAGCGTCAGTCATCTATCTCAATATATGCACTCATACACTTTCAGCAAGCCACTGGTGCAGCTGAAACCTACTCAAAGATAATCGCAATCTGGATCCCTATTTGGGTCAGTCCTTCGCCCCTTGCAACTGGGGTTCCCCTCTTACCTTGCCTCTTACTGATGACCGTGGACAGGTTTTCGTTGCCTGTGGCTTTGATCACGGTTGGTAGTGCATCTATTTTTAAACTAACACCCGGCTCATGCGAAACTTCGTAGTTGTCGCAAACATGTTCTCTTTACCTTTGAGCATTATGCTACACGCCGACGTACGTATTGTTTTGCTTTACTAAAACAACGTCTTGCTCATTTCCTTTAGCTGACGACCGCTGAGTATATTCGGAGGTAATCTCGCCTGCAATCTACTAAAAATTTCGCATGACATCTAAACTTCTTCTCATCAGGTCTTTGGTCCCGTCCTACATTGGAAACATAGTCGGTGGCCTGCTCGTTGGACTCCCAGCGGTCTACTTTTACTTGGGAGACTACGAAGCCGGGGGCCTGCGTGCCGCTGAGGAGGCTAAAGTAGAAAAGGCCGCTTCCACGAGCAGTGACAATGGCAAAGAGTAAGGTTTCTCCAGGCGAAGTTCGCATACCGCTTTTTCTATACCTGCCTGTCTTCATCTACTTTATGCCAGGGTTTCAATCTTGCATGGATTTCGAGATGATTGCATGAAGAGCTCGTTTGTTACAAGGTATGCACGCCAGAGGTTAAGCCGGTACAGACACACGCTTCAGTCGGGCCTCGTAACGCATGAGCTGCCACATAAAGCCGCGGTTAGGGCACGCGATAATCCTCCTCGCCCTGACAAAGTCGAAAGCCTGCATCACCGACATACCCATATTCACAACCAGAAAGGCGATAACAAACGTCGGGCTCCTGCTGACGCCCCATACGCAATGCACGAGGACGCGCGCTTGGGGAACGCTATTCAGCACCTCATGGATCCATGCCGAGACGCGATCGAAGTGCGAGAGCACGTCCTCGCTCATCGTGTCGTCGAGCGGGACTATCAGCTGGCTGACGTCAGGCGCGTACTCATACCAGGGCTCGCGCATGAGGGTGACAACATGGGTGATACCGAGCCGCTCGAGTGCAGTGGGAAGCGTCGCCGTGTACACGTCGCTGAGCCACAGTTGGCCCGGGAGGATTTCACTCGCTTGGGGGGCGAAGTCCTCCATCGTGGCGGGCATCTTCCGCGTGCACAGCAGGCGGAGGCGGCGCCGGTCGAAGTAGTCTTCGTTGGTGGTGGCATTTCGCGTGATAGTAGGTGGGAGAAAGCTAACAGAAGAAACTATAGGAGGTGCAGTGCTACCGTGATTCTGTGAACATCATCGTGAGCACACAGACTATGTCCATGAAAGGGTAGATGGACCTGGTTGTCTGTGTCCAATGAGCCAGCCATCGCACGTTGCTGAAGATTTCAGGAGATCGAGAAAGGGAGTGATTGTTCGACTGCTAAGTCGTGGGGATGACTTGAATGATGACAAGCAGCGAAGAAGAGGCGGCTTTTCATAGTCTGTAGAGCAAGCTGGACTGCGATAAAACGGTTTGAATGCGAATATAACGACACGTCGCTGAACCATTGTAGACGCGCGGAGCGATTTTAAAGCCGGCGGTTGCATCACTGTAGCCACTTGCGAATGTAGGCAATCGTACGGTCACGCTGGGGATGCCAGTTGAAGATGAGAAAGTTATGTACAGACTTTTCGACCTCAAGTAACGTCACTTGACCATCGCCATCGCCTTCTCCCATGTCGGATGACATCTTCTCCTTCAGGGTGCGGATCGCATCTCTGAATCTCTCAAGCTTGCCGCAGACAAGAAGTGTCCGAGGGAACCCGTAGAAATTTGAAGGATAGGAACTATACAAGCAAGCGGGAGAGGTATAGCGGGAGGTTGTAATGAACTCGAGCCCAAGAGGTCCGGCATACGCGACTTTGGAATAAAAGTTTCGAGTCTGATTCTCGGGGCCGACAAAGTCCGTTGTGTTCACGAGTGTAGATGAGCCTGGTATCTCGTGAGACGTACTTAGGTCAACCCAGGGGGACAGAAGAATTAGGCTCCCTGGAGGTGCAGGTACATTTCCACCGCTGTCGCTGCGATACTCGACAAGGTAGCGGACCAGTGAAAACGCGATGTTCCCGCCCGCTGAGTCTCCAACGACAACAATGTTGGAAGGGTCAAACCCGATTGTCTTCACCAGGTAAACATACCCAGCTAAAGCATCAAGCAAGGCCGCAGGAAAAGGAAAGCGCTGCGAGAACGGTGCGGCAGATGCAAGACGATACTCGATTGAGAACGACCGTGGAGCAGCCTCCACATGTTCAATTAGGCAGCGGTCGATGTTGGCAGCAAAATCTGACGGATGAGCGGAGAGCTGCACGAACCCCCCTCCGTGGATGCGATAGATCACCTTTTCACCCTTTTGCGCGGGTGAGTCGTGCTCTAAGTTGACGCCTACACGACGATGCCAGTAGCCCGGGATCCTTTCCGGTTGTACCCCCGCGATACAGGCCCAGTGTACAAGGTCCCCAACGATGGCGTGGGCGGCAGCGTCAACCCAGACACCTTTAGCTCTTGTTGCAGGCTTAATGGTCCTATGGTCGGGAACTGGTAGAAATTCTCCCGTGCTGTAGACGATGGGCTCAACTTGTCGATATCAGTCGGACTCATGCTCGGAACTTACTTTGAGAATATCTCAGTAACTTGCTTTATCGCGAAGACCATTACGGCATGGGCAAACGACCATTCAGAGCACGGGCGAAAACGAGGAATCAGGAGGAATAGCGACCACAAAGGAATGCGCACGAGCAAGCTCGTCAATTGAAAGGTGAGATAGAGTGCTTTCCATGGCTGCTTTCTGTATGCGAACATGATTGAGGGAATAAGGAGTTGCGGAGACGGAGGAGGTGAAGGCATGATGGCATTTATGAACCAGTGTACATTCCGATTCGGCTGTGATGATACGTCTCGACGAAGTCGACAGCAGAAATTTCACACCTGTGCCCATCAAGGATATATCAACTGATCTTGGACGTCAAGTCACGACGGCGCGGCTGTGTCATGGGATTGCTCCGCCATCGTCCGGAACGTTATTACTTTCAGAGAGGGGTGGAGGCCAATTTGATAGGGGTTCACTACAAGAGAATAAGTGAAAAAGGCAGAAGAAGGACACCATGACCCACGTCCGCTTGTCCCAGACGAATTCGCTGCTCCGCTCTAGTCGCCTCTGCGCCCACCATTCGGCCCGGTGCTGTAGCCAGGTTTCCCTCCGTTGTTCTGGGTGCAAGCCCTTGTTGCTCATACAGAACTTGAAGTCTTCCATTTTCTGTTTGCACTCGGCCATACGGCCAAATCTATAGAGTGACTTTACTTGTGTCCCTAGGACTAAAGTATGATCGTGAATTCATGGCAACGAAGTGGGGGATCCATTGGACAAACGCACCATTGCAAAGGAGAAATTCGTCGAAGAGGTTCAAGCAGGACGGTATGTCATCAGTGGTTGGGTGCACCTTCGAAAGATATTCTTGTTCTTCCTTGACCACTTTATCGAAATTGTGGGCCATTATTCGATAGTAAACGTACTCTAATAGCTTATTGTGGTGGGCAACGAGCAGTGGGAGAAACGCGCTTTTGAACTCCGACTAATGTGAGACGCGTGCGCGTGTTGGACGCGCTCTCCGTTTCTTTCCTCTTCCCTACCCCAAGCCCTGCAACATGGTATTGGTTTCCCTTGTATTTTCCTGTCGCTGACACTGAAATACATTATATAGTCTCAAACTCCTAGAAGACCCAAGCGCACTCGCTCTCCTGGCCTTGACTCGTCGCCGCCTCAACAAGCGACACCGCGACGTGAATCACTGTCATCTTCTTTGCCCCCTTCATCTCCCCCTGCCCCCTTCTCGGATACAGATGACAGCTTGGATGAAAGAGATGCAGTACGTGACATTGACGAAGGCGATGAGGATGCCGACGGCGAAGATCTGTTTGGCGAGACTGTTGAAGAGTAAGCCTTGAGCATTGTAGATTGTCATCAGGATGTCTGATGATTGTTTGCTTAGAGATTATGCCGTAAATGAGGGTTTGGATCGCTACTCAGAGCAAGACATTGATGACGAAGGAGAATACGGAGCATTGTCGGCTGATGCCCGCCGAGCTGCCGAAGCACAGATGACCCGTCGCGATCGCCTGGAGCGAACAGGCCGACGAGGTGGTCGAGCCTCTAGACGAAGTCGTGCACCGCGCTTCTTAGAAAGCGATGACATGCAGGACGAAGATGCGCTGGATGATGAACTTGGCGTTGCCAGAATGAAACGTCGCACCAGACGACAGTATGACGAACGACGAGACATCGACGACTTGGATGGCATAGAAGATGTAAAGCATTTGGGCCGTTGCTTAAGGGTCATGCTCATGTTATTCTTAGGAAATACCTCTCGAACAACTTAGTGACATAAAAGCGAAGTCCATCGCAGAATGGATTGCCGACGAACGTGTCCGCCGATCTATCGTCAAACACTTCAGGCAGTTCCTGATGACCTATGTTGACTCTGGAGGCGCTTCAGTCTATGGACAACGCATTCGTAATCTCGGTGAAAGTGGGTGATATGTCTCCTGCGTCGAATCAAGCTTATCTCCTGCCATAGCCAACTCCGAGTCTCTCGAAGTGTCTTATCTTCATCTCGCTCTGTCAAAACCCATTCTTGCATATTTCTTGACCAACTCACCTTCAGCCATGCTCTCAATCTTTGATGAGGTTGCTCTAAACGCTATTCTCGTGTATTACCCTTCCTATGAGCGCATTCACTCTGAAGTCCATGTTCGAATCTCCGACCTTCCGCTTAGCTCTTCCCTTCGAGACCTTCGCCGCTCCAACTTGAACACGCTCGTCCGTGTTTCGGGTGTAGTAACGCGCCGAAGTGGAGTATTCCCCCAGCTCAAATATGTCAAATTTGATTGTCGAAAATGTGGAGCTGTCCTAGGGCCATTCTACCAAGATGCCACCAAAGAGGTCAAGATCAGCTACTGTGCTAATTGTGAAAGCAAGGGGCCGTTCCCAGTCAACTCTGAGCAGGTTATAAAGGCACTATTACACGCGTTGGACCCGTCACTAATTGGAACTTTGATAGACTGTCTACCGAAACTATCAGAAGATGACTTTGCAGGAATCCCCTGGCTCCGTGCCCCCGGGTCGTTTGCCGCGGCACAGAGAGGTCATCCTTCTGTGGGACCTTATTGACAATGCCAAACCTGGAGAAGAAATCGTGAGCTTACTCTCACCCATTTGATCTCGACTGTTGGCTGAATGCACTTCACAGGAAGTCACTGGCATTTACAGAAACAACTTTGACGCGTCGCTGAACTCCAAGAATGGTTTCCCAGTGTTTTCCACGGTCCTCGAGGCCAACCACGTCAATAAGAAGGAAGACTTATTTGCTGCCTTCCGACTGACTGAAGAGGACGAGAAAGAGATCCGCACCCTTGCTCGCGATGAGCGCGTCCGGAAGCGCATAATAAAGTCCATTGCTCCGTCGATCTACGGGCACGAGGATATCAAGACTGCGATCGCGCTTTCGTTGTTTGGAGGTGTCTCGAAGGATATTAACCGCAAGCACAGGATCCGCGGGGACATCAACGTCTTGTTGCTCGGTGATCCCGGCACAGCAAAGTCGCAGTTCCTTAAGTACGCTGAGAAGACGGCTCACCGCTCCGTTTTCGCCACCGGCCAGGGTGCCTCGGCTGTGGGTCTGACAGCCAGCGTTCGCAAGGACCCAATCACGCGTGAGTGGACCCTCGAGGGAGGGGCGCTTGTGCTTGCGGATAAAGGGACCTGCCTCATCGATGAGTTCGACAAGATGAACGACGCCGACCGGACGTCCATCCACGAGGCCATGGAGCAGCAGTCTATCTCTATCTCGAAGGCCGGCATTGTCACGACGCTGCAGGCCCGCTGTGCGATCATCGCCGCGGCGAACCCTGTCCGCGGGAGATACAACCCAACCATACCCTTCCAGCAAAATGTGGAGCTTACGGAACCCATCCTCTCCCGTTTCGACGTTCTGTGCGTTGTCAAAGACGCCGTCGACCCGGTACAAGATGAGCTCCTCGCGCGCTTCGTTGTCGGCAGTCACCTCCGAAGCCATCCCAAGTTCGAGCCCGAGACTGAGGAGATGAGCGTCGGCACGACGCTTGATGCCGACGTGAGTGAACACTGTCTCACTAACCTTAGTTGTATGCTAGCTGACTGTGCTGATCATTGCATTAGATTATCTCCCAGGATGTCCTTCGCAAGTACATCATGTACGCTCGCGAAAAGATACGACCGAAGCTGTACGACATCGACAAGGACAAAATTGCCTCGCTTTTCGCGGACCTACGTCGCGAGTCTATGGCCACCGGCTCGTATCCGATCACTGTTCGTCATCTTGAGAGTGTCATCCGCATGGCCGAGGCTAGCGCGAAGATGGCATTGCGCGAATATGTCAGAGCAGACGACATCGACGTCGCCATTTCTGTTGTAGTTGGGAGCTTCGTCAGTACGCAGAAGCTGTCTATCAAGAAAACGCTCGAGAGGGTATGTTGGAGCGTTTTTCGGTGTCCTTTTTATTTTCCCGTAGTTGACGTCGCATCACCAGGGATTCCGCAAGTATCTCACCCAAGCACGCGACTATGAAGAGCTTCTAGCGTTCATTCTTGGACAACTCATCAAGGACAAAGTTCGGTTCTTCCAGCTACAACGCAGTGACCAACCTGAAATGGTGACCGTGAAGGTTTCTGAGCTTGACGAACGGGTATGACCTTTCTTTAGCACCGTCATCGCTGTTGCTGAAAGATGGATTTATTAGGCCAAGGAGCACGATATCTACGATACATCCAGCTTCCTCCAGTCCAAGCTGTTCGCTAATAACGGATACAAGCTCAGGAATGGTGCCATCGAAAAGAAATTCTGAAAAATGTACCATTAATGATAGTCTTGTACTTGTTCGTCTTGTTTTTTTTCTTTGCTTTCCCGACGATGTATCACTTATGCTAAAATGCAATATGATGAGTGGTGGACTAAGCTGACGATACATTAGTATGATCATAGTAGCATAAGTAAATTCTAAGGTATAAATCTAGCATTCTAAGATGATGATACAGCCGCCGACTCTGAAGGGCGACTTCTTTGCTTTGGACTTGGTTCAGTGCCTGGCGACTCAGTTTTTGCCTCCTCCGCTTGATCTTCGATAAGTGCTGCACCTTCAGCAGGGGTGGCTTGAGGGACCTCGTCGTCGTCATCATCCATAATTTCTATGGACTGTCAGAATATAACATACAGGGAGTCAAAGACGAGAGCTCACCGTCGCCGTAGACCTCAGGATGCTCACGGAAACAGTCCTGCATCGCCTTGAACTTTTCCACGCAGTTGATGCCCTTTGGCTCCTCTTCCGAGTAGACGAAGCACGAAAACGCGTCACGGAACTGTTGTCCGCATGGGCCGTGTGCCATTCCTCCTAGACAAGGACAGTCCCAGTTGATCTCGCCAGTCTCCGGATTGAACGCGCCTCCAGCACCACCTTCACCACCTTCTGCGGAAGGTTCAGGTGACGGCGTACTTTCATCTCCAGAAGAAGCGTCGCGTTCTGTGGTCTTGTCCGTGGAGCCAGACTGCGAAGAAGCATCAGAGTCCGAAGGGGCGGTTTTCTTCGGAACGGGCTTAGAGGACTTGGCTGCCCATACAGTACAAGTTAGAGAATCTAGTAACGCTCCATTTGAAGGGAACGAAAGTAAAACCCACCTGCTGTCGATTGGTTATCTAGGTGGAGGGCAGAGCTTGTCGAATGTAATGACCAGAGCATGAACGAGGCGGCGGCAACAGACGCTCCCAATGCATATTTCCGGGTGTTTACAGAGCGCGCAGAAGTTCCGGCATGTGTAGACGCATACCGACGCGCAGAGTGCGATGCCTGGCGAGCGACGTGTCTGAACATGGCGATGGTGGGTGAGCAAGAAGTGCAAAACTGTAAACCAGCGGAGCCGGGACGAATGACGCGGGCCACGCAAAATCTTTGCCGAGACCGCCTTACAAACTCTTACAAATTACCCCTGTCCCTTTACGGTAACCAAGCGGCGTTCTTCTCGTTTACCGGTTGTTTCGGCGTAAAGTGCACCGCTTCCTAGTTCCTACCGCTAGTACTGGCACAAGCGCAAGCGCTGAACAGAGCGCCGGATTGAGTCCATCGTCAAATCGCTCGCGAAGAAGTACGTTGGCGCATGAAACACTATACTTAGACGGTCTATGTTGCTCTGGGACATCGCCCAGAAGAATGTTGAACCAGGTTGCTCGAATATTTTCTTCGCCCCGGCATTAAGTAGTCAGTAGGAAGAATATCGCTCGAAGTAATATTAAACCAGTCGTCCCTATCGAGTTAGAAGCAGAGGCGATGTTGGGCTGACCAACGATTGTGGTGAGCATGAGAACAAACGATCACGTCTACCGTAGAATTTTATCAACAAATGAAGCTTTGAAGTCGCGAACCACAAACACGAAACGAGTAAGACTGAACCCAGTCTGTACTTAATCCCCACTGTCAGTCTACAGCACTTAATAGTGACCATTTAGGAGCATGCAATAAGTTGTAAGAACGTTGGAGAATATATTATTGGATTTTATCGGTGGGCGCATCTAAATGAGGCTGACTTCGGCTTTAGACTCAGGCTTCAGTTGAGCGTGAAGCTCGAGAGCCAGTACACCGAAATGTAAAGCGAGGAGAGGAGCCGTAATGCTGCGGAGTATTAAGTAACTGGCTTTGTAGTAGTTTCTTGCTGGCTAGGTAATTGAACACGGGATGCATGGCGGTGGTCTCGGCATTAATGGAAGGGTATGTACTGATGATCCCAGAGTCATTTAAATTTAGGAGACCTATAGAAGTTGACATGTAGGGTGAGGTGCCGAAAAGTTGGTGCAGCTGGGAGGAATCTACATAGTACGGACAAGAAAGATAGATCTAGGAAGATGCTATTATTTCTTCAATGTTTGTCACTTGACGTTCAGCCTGCACACCCACTTGATGTCCTGCCTGCGTCACTCGCCTCGAAACGGCACCTGTCATTGGTACCAACCACAACGGGGCCCTGGCGCTTGCTACACTCAAGCTACATACACTTGCCACACATCCAGAATCAGTAGACTCAGCCACACAGCCTTGGCGTCGGAAAAGCTGTCAGCTACTCTGTCACACAGGAGACATAAAGTTCCGATCCAACAAATACATACATCCGTGTCCTCAGCCGGGATCTCCCAGGATCTCCCAGCAAATTTTGCCAGCAGTCGTGAAGGAGGACTACAGATGCTTCGAACTCCTGGGGCATCGTGGCAGACATGTTCGCCGCGGCAATATTAGATATCGAAGCTCGCATTGGCTATTATGCCCGTGTAGCACTCTTTGGTTCTTTGCCGGCTATTGATATAAGTATTGCCGTGATGTTGACAGCTTCGTTGCGGCTCAAGGTGTTCTCGGTGCAGTGTGGCGGCTCAAGAAAATCTTATTGAGTTATCCGCTGGAGCAAAGAATGCCGCACTGGATCGGGTAGGTTAGGCCGTTTTATTTCCTGCCCCCACGCTCCATGCGGGAGCCTCGCATGATTGTCACAGTCGAACAAAGTAAAGTACAGTCGACTGTACTGTCTTCTCGGTCGCTCAAGCGTTGAAATTTGAAAATAATAGGTTCCATTGATGGACAGCTGTCGAAATCGACGGGAGTATTTTCGAAGGAACAGATACCAAAGAAGATTTGGGCGTACCATGACCGACCGAGAAAACCTCGTTTCTGTCTGTCTAATAAACTGCCTAGACTAATGCCAGTAAGTGGTTTTTGAAGCACTTGTATATTTACCAGAACTCACAATAAATTATGCTTGCATACAGGAAGCTGAGGAAGCAGATGGTGAGTACTTTTAGCCATCTAACCTTCTCGAGAGAAGCTGTCAATAATTACTGATCATCAAGGGTTATTCGAGGGCCCTTCGAGATGTCGCAGAAGACACATATTGACGTGTGAGCACAAGCATCCACCTCAAGGTTGGGGGGGTTCTTGAATAGGCGATGTCTATGTACGCCCGATATTTAAGTAAGAAGCAGATTTCGCGTCGACTGCACACCTCATGTTCTCCTTCGCTCTGTAAACCCGATCGGCACACTCACGATGGGTGATTACGACCTGACTGTTGGTGAGTAGATAGTATAGACTGGCAGAGGATGATGAGAGACTCAGCTCAGATGTTCAGGCACGTTGATTATTGGCATTTTCTGTGCGTACTGTTATTATGTTCGTGTCAATCAAATTGCCCCGGTCTGAAATAACTGCAGTCAACACATATCTATACGGTCTTGTCAGTCATCAGTTTGCTGCATACTATCAGGCCGGTAAGCGTTGATTTCTGGTGTTCGCAGACGTCTCTCATGGCTCCCACTCCAGGTTATGATGATGGAAAGCTTGTCAAGTATGTTCAAAAGCTGGATTTGCTTGAACTTACTCACACTCGCGTCGACAGGCTCATGATCCTCTTCCTGTTTCTCTTGGACACATTTCACAGTGGAGCGTGAGTAGAGATACGCGCCGCTTTCGAAATTATGCACTCATTGCTCTTTTATAATTCCTCAAGTGTGATCTATATGGCCTGGTACTATGCGTACGCAGACTCATTCACGCCACTTGGTTGCATACCGTTAATGATTTCAATAGCGTCACCAACTATAACAACCCAGATGTGCTTTCAAGTGCGTCCACATCTTCCACTCGTCGGGTACATACTAACCCTAGCCGAACCTCATTCTCAACTGATAGTCGAGCTGTGGCCTTACATGTTTACTCCTATTGGCACCGCTCTTTCAGCTCTTCTTACCCAAACTTTCCTTGCCGTAAGAATTTGGCGATTCGGTAGAAGCAGAGTCTTAATTGGCATCATCGGGGCGCTTGCAGTGCCCTGTTTTGTGCTAGGGATGGCTTGTGGTATCAAGGCATGGAACATTAAATAGTGCGTGTCCGTCTGACCCACCCCAGGGCCAATTTTGATATCCTAATATTAATATACCTCTAGCATGGCACAGATGGTCTCCATTACTAACCTAGCTACGGCGTGGTTAGTATCGCAGGTCACAGTAGACACTATCGTCACCGGTGTGTTAGCAAGTAACTATGGATGAATGTCACTGACAAAGGATAATTCATCAGTCAGCATGACCTATATGCTATCGAGGTCCCGGACAGGTTTTCAAAAGACGGACAACGTCATCAATCGACTGATTCGTGGCGCCGTTCAGACTGGGCTTTTCGCGGGCATTTTCTCCCTGGGTGATATGATTACCTTCTTGCTGTGGCCTGAGACCAACCTCTACGGCATGTTTGCTATTCCCATTGGTCGCATTTACACAAACGTAAGCCTTGACTGCAACCCTCGCTGATTAGAAAGTTCATGGGATTCCGTCCCTATAGACCTTGCTGGATACACTCCTCTCCCGCCATGATCTTCGGGATCAAATGACTGGGACGATCAACATGGACTCTATGGTAAGCCTCGAGGCTTTCTTCGTTAATTGATCTTTACAAAATCAGAGCGCTTGGGGACACGGATCAAGTAGGAACTCACGGACAATTACTAGCCGCCAGCTGACAGAGCTAGAAGTCCGCAAGGAAGTCGAGGTCGTCACCGACAACCGCTCTCTGTCGTGTGCATCTTCTGATGGCAAGGCCACTTTGACTGTTTGATCCCTTTCTGTCGACGCCTACATACCTTCGTTTAAAGACAGTCCCCTTGTTCATTGTACTAGTGCACATCGTGTCAAATAAAATAAAACGGCGATGCTTAGCGCTAGCGTAGATAAAGTACATGCATTGGATAAATAGATTGGATGGATAAATAATCCGTGATGCAGCCATAGGTGTGACTAGAAGTACAATGGATATCCTCCGTCTAACATGAGTTGCGCTACAGTCCGGTCCGTGATACAAGGCTTTCTTCTCGAAAAACCTGCAGTCTGCACCCGTCAGCGTACAACATTCATTTTTGTGTTATTCCTGGTCTTGTACGAGACTAGGTAAAATGTTAAGCTCCGTGGCACAGACTATGCATCGACTGACTACGCACCCTCGAGGCCACGATCGACTCCCTTGCCATGAGAGCATTCAGGCATCTCACAACTATACCTACGCCCTCCATAACATCGTCTCTCTCTTGAACAGGCACACGAGAGAGGATTCGCCGAAAGCGATCTGGGTGCCATTGAAGAAGGGCGGATCGAAGCCTGTCTTTCCGCGTCTGCTCTTGCGAGTGGGATGAGGAAAGGACGAAGGCATCGATATCGTCTGGCGAGATATCATCCGTGCAAGTTGGAGGGATCAGCAGAGGCCAAGGGATAGTCGAGAATGATACCGGCTCGTTCTTGAGAGTCATGAACGTGGCCCACCGCGCCTCGTACTCGATCCACGCCTTTGAGATCGCTCTGTCCGTCTCTGCCTTCTTTGCTTGGGTCTTTGCTTTCGCAAGTTCTACGTCCCGCTTCCGTTCCTCCGCGAAACGCTGCCGCTCGTTGTCCCTCCGCTGCCGCACACGGTCTTGTATCCGCGAAACTTCCTCCTGGACGAGCTTGCTCCGCTCCTTCTCCCTTTCCTTCTCCCGCCGCTGCTTGTCGAGATCCTGCCTCATCCATCGCTCCAGATCCTCGTCATACTCGTCCAAGAGGTCGTCCAAGCTCTTCCTCGAAGGACGTACGTGCTCGGGAGAATGCTCGAAAGAGGAATGGCGCCATGTCCCGCGGCCGGGACAGTCTAAAGATTTCCGTGAGCGAATATCCTCGCCTACTGTGTACCGCCGAGGTGACTGTTCGGAGAAGACCCTCTGAGTCGGACGATCCTGCTTGCGGGAAAAGTCTGGGACCTTGATGCGGGCAGCCTGATCAGCGACCCAGGCTAATGTGCTGCATGACGCCCTGGGTGATGGTGCGGGTCGCTCAGTGACGGAAGGTAGGTTCTTTGGTGCGCTGTGGGTGCGGTTATGTGAGAGGGAGAGCTGGGAGCGGCCGGTCATTTTGCTGGGGGAACGACTGGGTGTTTCTGGCATTGGGTGTAGTGGTGCGCTGGCAATGCGTGGGCGGAGTTGAGGGTGGGGTATGTAAGAGCGCTCCATGGACACTCAAGCTTCAAAAATCAAAATAGGGATAGCGGACAGCACTATGGTGTCAAATTTCGTCAAGTTGGCTGGATTGCTGAAAGAGGAGAACGGCAGTCAACCAGAAGAAGCTAAATCGCGACCTCCAACGTCGAGCCTTATAGACAGTCTTGCACGAGGTCAGCCTCGTGGCAAGCTTGTTTACTGCCGCGCGCTAAATATTTTGCCACAGCAGCTTGATAAGATCATGGAGAGGCGACAGTCCATTGACAAGTCCCTGCAAGCGCCGCACTGTGACTATCAAGGATCTTGACGGAATTGAAGACATAATTTAGTACTAATAGGGACAACATATATGCTTCTAAATCTACACACGTGCACGTACGCGCGTAGTACACGCTCTGCGCACGCATCATACTTATGATCGATCAAGCATCTGTTATACACAGTATCAATTAAATTATCACCACACAAGCAGAACCGGAGCCCAAGTAGAGTAAACAAAGCAGATTCGAGTCTGTCGGATCACATGGAGCAAAAACCTGAGTCGCTGACATAGTCTGTCGAGTCTCCTTTTGCAGTTGCAGGTTCCAACCGAACAAGATCTATGCAAGATAGTCAGTCGCATGCTCGGAGACAGAACGGTGGTCTGCATACTGAAATAACTGTGGGCTTGAGCTTCCTTGGCCGTCAAACGCTTCTGGTGATCATATCGAAGCATCTTGTCGAGGAGGTCAAGTGCTTCGCCTGTAGCGTTCTGTTGATTGTCGGCGTTGATGAACCGAGACCACGGCTGTCTTGGGTAGCTAAAGCATATGTCAGATCGATGGTTTCTGGCCCAAGTAGAAGCTGACACACGATTGTAGGAGCCCTTCAATATCGGTCTCAAAAGCGATGCCATGTGTCTGAAGATAAGTGTCGAACGTGTCCGTGCCCAACACTTTCATTATCTTGAGAAGCTGATCATCGTTGTCCGCGCCCTTGAAAAAATGCTCCTTTCGGAAGAGCTACAGAGATCGCGTAATGAGGCTATCTCGGCTGCACAGGAGTAGAACGGAACCACACACCATGCCTGCCAACATGCACCCCACGCTCCATATGTCCAGGCTGTAGTCATACTCCTTGTAACCAACCAGGAGCTCTGGGCCTTTGTAATAACGAGACCCGACGCGGATGTGATACGTCTGTCCTGGGTGGTAGAATTCAGCCAACCCCCAGTCAATCAGTCGGAGCTACACGGAGATGAAACGAGCAGGAAGAATTCAATGCAATTGACACGACATGGGGAGCCAAGACTGACTTTGCGACGCCGGTGATCTATCATCACGTTGCCGGGCTTCACATCACGATGCATAATACCGCGGGAGTGAACGAAGTCCAATGCCTGTTGCACAGTTAACGATCCATCGATGATGGGTTCACTTGGGTGTGCAAGCTGTGCAAGTAAACATACCTTGAGCAGCTGGAAAATATAGTACTTGATATCCACCTCCGTCAGTACGGGGTATAATGATTTCCATTCCGTATTGTCGACATATTCCATTATCAAGCTGTGGTATCGTGCGGTCGGGTCTCTGACGACATCAAGGAGGGCGACAATGTTGGCGCCGCCCGTTATATTTCGGAGAACCTTTATCTCGCGGTTGATCTTCTTTGCGGCGACAGGCTTCAGAACTTTGACTATGCACCTATCAGAGTTGACCATGTCCACGCCTTCAAAGACCTAGAGCAACACATGTCATTGCTTGAACGAGAGGGAGGATCAAAACGTGTCAACCTCGGAATAACGCCCACCGCCGAGACGGCGGATAACCTCATAGCGTTCAGGAGTACTCCACTCGATTTTGAAGTTGTCTGCAAGGGAGCAGTGAGAAGGACGAACGACAACGACGAGTACGTGGCGAACACTGACCATAATCATACCAGTTGGGTCCCAGGCGGGCATTGGCATGGGCATATACTCGAGCCATGGCTTGTCAATGGGGGTTTGCCGCACAAGGAAGATGAAAGGAGAGAACAAGGAGGTTGGCTCACCACATGAGACCAGTTAACGCCGAAGCATCGACATTGAAGCCGTGGACGTCCGTCAGCGACTCGAAACCACTATCACCGCACAGCCACACAAACAGGCACTCTTGTCACTGTCAAGCGTCATCCCACAAAGCTTTTGCTCGCCATCAGTAAGGTCCAACATGTCAGACCGTGGACCTCGAACATCGTGCAATATTCTCATCATGTCAGTAAATGATATCACATTATAACGACAATCCACCCAAAGTATGCAAGGTTCGTTATCTAACCAAATTAATAACAATGCAGTAGTAAAGAGGGGGTAAAAGACAGGTCATTGTCAAATGTTTGCCATAAAAATAACAGTGAGATGCGAGCATATAAAAACACAGTGCAAATGCAAAACGAGAGTACAATTGCTAATACCGAGAGCGAGCAACTAAGACTAAGACCGGCCTTCGTCAGACTTGTGAAGCAAAAGACAGACAGCTGATAGCTCACCAATAAAGAAAAATCTAGGGACCGCCGTTAGCACCATCTGAGGTACCAACTTGCATGTAGGCCAACACGAGAGGAATAGAGCTATTCTGCTGACATATCATCTCCAAGTCCTTGCCGGACCAATGCCGCTCCTCTAAGTCCCCTGACGCATCAGGGTCCTTGTCCTCCTCCAGCCCCTGGTCTGAAGCATAAGCGCCAGTGCTGTCACCGTTCCCCATGCCCTGCAATTCCGCTTTGCCAGGGCCGTGCTTGTGGTAAACCCTGCTGCGGGACTTGGAGCGCACCAGATGAGCAGCCAGGTCCATCTTCCGCTCATCCTGGGTCTTCTTGGAGTTCTGGGCTCTCCCTGCCTTGCCATCGCGGGCCTTGGATGACGCCAATGAGTACGCCAAGGCTTCCCGAGGCAGGAGGGTTTCCTGTAACACTCGGAATGCTAACTGAACGGAGGCAGCCTGGAATTTCGACGGCGAGCTATAGGTGGGACTATTGGCTCTTTTCAGTGAGACCACCCATTCATTACGCATAATTGGGTCAGGAACACTGAACATGTACTTGCGCTTGACCTCGTTGTGATCAAGGAACGCCATCTGGAAGGTGTTGCGCATAAACGCACGTTCAACCTCAACGGGGCTGCTCAGGGGCAATCCGCCATACAGAACAGCGTTGGGCCCGCAGCGTAGCATCCCAATAGTCTTCGGCCCAAACGAACTACCCGTGATTCGGAAGGAAGCTTCAGCGGATTTCGTGAAGCTCAGAACAGGAGGATCAAAGATTAGATCTTGCCCGTAGAGTTCAATAGCGAAGTGCGGGTCAGGTTGTGGGATACGGAGGACGATGGGCTCAGACTGGATCCTGTAAGTGAGACGAGGAGGCAACAGCCGCTTGAAGGTAACACTGCTGTCAGGAAGGGATCTGTTCGGGCGAAGCATCGCTTGCGATAATCTCTCTTGACGTATTGAATCGTACATATCGCCAACAAGCTCATCTGAGATCAACCCTCGAGGGTCGATCCGCTGGAAAGCCTCCAAGAAGTCTCTGTCTGTCACATTCCGGTGTAGATAGGTGGGATGCCCTGGTTCCGAGGAGATGCCGCCGTGAAGAACTTCGTTCAGCTGGATAAGAGCGCGCACAAGTTTGCTCGCCAGGTCTCTATCGTAGGCGACATTCTTTGCGTTGGCCTCGTACCATCGGCTTGCGAAAGACTCGAGTAGAATCTCGAAGGGCGTGTAGCTCGACGAGGGTGCCTGAGAAGGGATACCAATGGACATCAAGAAAGTGCGCAGGGCCTTGTCTACTCGGAGCCCCGAGAAGCCGAATGAGTCGATATAGCGCTTAAGCACCGCCTTTGACGACCTCCGAGAAAGATATTCTCCAAGCTGAACCCTGTCCAGTTCCGTTGTCCTGAAAAGCAGGTCGCCCACAGCGATTGGATCATCGCGGTAGCCCGCCTGCGAAAGTATGTTGCCCACCGCACGATCGGGATCGCTTGAGAACAGCCGTACAAAAGCAGATAGAGCTGGGCTCTGTGTGGATTGACGGGATGCAACCTTACTCTGGACATCCTCGCGCTCACCACTAACCAAGAGATGTGAGCGCTGCACCACATTCTTGACGATGAACTTCCGGTCTGATGGATTGGGCTTCGTCAGCTCCAGGAAAGCGTCAGGACCCCGAGTGACAGGCTTTGCAATAATGAGAAGGTCAGTGAACAAGAAGAGGAACCGGTCTTTGACGGTGTTGGAGTTGACGACCTGCAAGACGGGCGACGAAACGAGGAGCTTCCGGGTAGAAGCATCCTCGACCACCGACGCCCACATAGGACTCTTCGAACCGCGAGCAAGTAGATCATCGAGGCGGCCCAGAACAATGCTACCCTGCAACTGAGTTTGCGACAGCTGCGAAGATGAAGTGGACGACGACTCAGAGGTAGTATGTGGAGGATAATCCGAGATTGATGACCAGGGATCAGGCGTGGGAGATTGGTCTATTGGCGACGGTGTCATCGCAGGTGAACCAGACAGCTTTCTATCCATCCCATTAGGCCGCGAAACCTTGCTTGCCTTCGGCGTTCTTTGTGAGTCCTCGCGATATGAACCAGATTGCGTAGATACTGAGGACAGCTCGGCATTCTCCGTGACTTGCTTGGGGAAAGGAGTGCTTGCAGACTTGGTGTGGGTAAAGGTTGCCTTGTCAGACGGCACCTCTTCCCAGTCTGAAGATAGGTCATGTTCTTTTCTGCCTCGCAACAAGTCCGACAGCGATGGCTTCTTGTTTGCTTGCGGTGGGCGTGCTTCTTCCGGCGGATGAACAGAGGGCGTTGAGGGTTGAGAGAATAGCTTTTTAGCACTAAGCCATTTCCTGACACCTTCTACATTCGTAGGAAGTGTTCTACCAGGGGTCGAGCTGGTTGCAGGGGCTGACGAGAGACCCTGACTAAAGTAGTCGGGATGTGAGGAAGAAGAAGGGACAGCGGATATAGGCGGCGAGTTAAGATTCTTAAACTTGGCCAGTAACCGAGTATCAGACGCCTGGTGGGAAAGTTTACGGTCTCTTGTAAGTTCAGGGGAATGGGAAGGTGTGTTGGATAAACTTGACGGAATCGTGTTTAGATCCGCCTCATTCCCGAGGGACAAAACAATGTCTGGTGTCGACGATGAGAGCGACATCCCTCTTGCACGGTTTCGCTGCTCCTCCAACTTTTTCATTCCGGGGAAGGGGAAAAGCTTCGCATGCTGGTATTTTGCGAGGTCAACTGCAGAAGCCGGCGGGATGGGGGAGACCCCACTTCGCGGAGGCGTTTGTGGGCTCAACGAAAGGGCAGAGGTAGAAGCAGAGGGTGATTGCATAAGCGGATTTTGCTGCTGCGCGAGCGAAGCCGGACCGTCGTTCTTTGGAACCGTAATGCTCGCTCCACTCTCACGGCTGACGCTAGAGTCGGTGTGCGTTCGCTGCTCACGAGTCACAATACTGTTCGTGCGTGAGCGCCGTCCGTTAGTAGACCCACTGCGAGTGAGTGTGTTCTTGAGCTTTTCCCAGGTGCTACTCGAGCCTTGTTTTGACGGAGTTTCAGCGCGAGTATCCTCAAAATCGAAGTCAGGCGACAAGGGGGAGCGATCGCTCTGAATTCGCGACGCAACGGAAAGGCGCTGGGGATAAACGAGGGGAGAATCAGACGCATCACTCCTTCGCACCACAGCGGCACCATTTGAAAATGCGACCACGGAAGACGAAGAGGGGGAAGCGTGCGTGAGATTGGTGTCCAGCGGAAGTTCGGTTTCCACCACAATGGGACGAGAAGTCGAGGAGGGCCGGGAGGTTTCCTCAACTTGAGGTAGTGATTCATCCTTGGGAGACTCGGGGGCCGGGATGTCATCTTCGTCCTCGTCCTCGTCTGGGTTTTCTTGCGACTCCTCATCCTCGTAGTCGTAATCGTCATTAATCGGCATGCGCGACTCCGGTACTGAAAAGAAATATTTCAAATGATTCCCTAACCGCACATAACCACATAACATACCTGGATCTGCTATCCAACTAATTTCACGCTCAATCCCATCATTGTAAGCCGCTCGACTGTAGCTGCGCTCGTCTCCCGAGTACAAAACTTCATCCTCATCTCGAGACTGTTTTTCTTTGAGAGGAGTAGAAAACGGACTGGAAAGGAATGGGTCTTGTTGCCTCGATGGTGCTCTGGATGCAGTTCTTGAAGACATGTGAGCTGGCGCTCCCAGTACGTCATTATCATCGAGGCCAGATTGGGTAGAGTCTAATGACGGTGTATTTGAGGGCTGGGGAGGACGGGGAGATTGATCTGGGGTGAAACGTCTTGGAGGGGGTGGTGGAGGATAACCAGCATGAATGGGGGCACGGTCCTCATCATCTTGGTCTTCAATGATTATACTCCGCCTCTTACGAGGTGGCGGGAGCTCCTGAGAGTTCAAGCGGATTGGAGTAGCTTGGCGACTTCCAGCCAAGGTATCATTTAGGTTGATACTAGGGGTAAGACGGGTCGGCAAGCGAAGCGGGTTGTCCAAAACAGGCGGCGGAGGTACGTCGTCAGGCAGGGGAAGTGGAGTTGGTGGCATGACTGGTGTATTTGTAGAGGTAGAAACAGACTCAGAATCATCAGTAGTTGATCGAGGAGCAGCATTAGAAGAGCTGCGCCGAGATCGACGTCTTATTCGCTTCCGCATAGGTGTATTGATTGGTTCCTTTTCCTCGCCCCCACTCGTGACTTCATCCATGTTGATGCGTCCGTTTAACCTCTGGAATAGAGCTTGTCGTACAGCATGGCGCTCGCCACCAGCAACAGTGTTGTTTCTATTCAGCTTGCCAGGCAAGGGTGGTGTTGCGGCAGGAGATGAATCAAAAGGATCGTAAGTTTCAGTGCCTCCAGTAAGTTTGTGCATCGCCATCATCCGGGCCGTCGCACTGTTCGAGCGAAAAAGCCCCTTCTGGAGTGCTTCAAGCGTAGGTAGCATGGGCGTTGGAGGGGAGGTACCAGGGTATTCTGGCGATAAGAGAGCGGGGGACATGAGTAATCGCGGGTTCATTATGCCGGTGATATGCGAAGGAATAGGCGAAATAATGGCATCAGAGGAAGCAGGTAGTGGTTGAGGGGATGGCGAGTCTTCAGGGGAAGAATCATTGCTCGGGGTGACGGGAGGCACTGGCGACTGGGGAGGTTTAAACTTTCCTCGCAAGTCCTTGGACCCTCTGGATCGCGAACGTGAACGTGAGCGGCGTTTTCGTGCCGCAGGGCCGGGCTCTGGTGTCTCGGGCTTCTCGACAGGGTGAACATCCTGCTCTGAACCTGGTTCAACACTGCCTTCGTCCACTGATGGCCGGGCTGGTTCTAGTTGTAAATCCAAGTTTCCATCTGGTTGTATGCGTTCTCCATCGCTCATGCCTTCGACATGCATCGGCGGGCGACGGCCATCTTTCATGCGGGGTAATGATGCAGCGCGTTTGAGCCGTGCAACAAGGACGGCGCGCTGCTCGGCTGGCGATGATGTAAAATCATTCTCCATGGCAGATTATATGCTGAGCCTGGAGACTGGGTGCTGGGAGGTGAGTAGGTTTGTTGCATATATGCGCACTTCAAATACGCACTTCAGGCTCGTGAAAGAGGTCGTATCCGACCCAGGGTTGCCGGCGAGCGGCTCAACAGCCCAAGTCCCTAAGACTGCAGAGTAGAGTCAAGGAAAGAGAGTAGGGATGGAGAAGGGATAGTTACCTGGGAGGGACAGAATGAAGAACAAGAACAAGGAATGAGAGAAAGCCGTAATAGTGAAGAAGTGACAGATTGGAAACCACTTTACACAGAAACCGAAGCTGGCATGTACACGTGGGAAAAAGAGTCCGGGGAACCCTGCACTGCTTGTGCACTTCAAGTTCATGGCATACGTTACCGTAAGAGTTCCTGATCCTGCCACCCATCCCATGGGCCATCACCACGCTCCCCGTCTATCCTCGTTGGTGCCGCGAGGTCACCGTACAACTAGCTAGAAATTCCTTCGACCCTTCTTCAAACTATTCCATCTCCACCGCTATCGAGCGCGGTACCAGATAGTTGCACCATATTCTGACGCACTACTAGCCCGCTCTACCTTGGGCAATGAACTGTCCTATACGCCTTATTGGGCTCTGCTCACGCCTAGAAAAACCCGAAGTCTCTAGGATAAGGCCACCAATAGCGTTCGGATGTCCTGCCAGGCGCACTCAAGGATGGTTCATCGACGTTTCATATATGAACTTGAAATAGCTCTATTGTTCACCTGGGATTCGCAAAACATCTTTTCCTAACCGACTTTCGTGTAATCCCGCTCTGATTGCAATGATCATGTCGCTGGCACTTGCTGTGTTCCGTCGTCAAAGTCTTCGGTCGTGCGTCTTTTTGTGAATTCTCCCACTATGCTTAGTTGCCCATCATCTCTCGCGAGGGTGGGGATCTATTGTTGCTCGGATGCGCCCAAAGAAAAAGACGTTTTCGCCCTCCCGGCTGTATAGATAAATCTAGAAGGCCGTCACCGGATAACAGATCATATTTGCCTCCGCCTTCGTTGGGCGCAATAGAAGAGTCACCCGACATTTTGACCGTAATCCATCAATGAAAGGAGCTTTTATGAACACATGAGGCTATACGCTTCTTCTAGTTGACCCCCGCGTTGCGACAAGCTCGTTGGACGTGTTAGTTTCTTGTCGCCGGTCCGAGCCTGGTGAGTGGTCGCCGGTAGTTGGCGAAATGCGTGGTTAATCCAACTACGTTGCAAATAAACCTCCGAGACAAGGGTGCTCCAGCAGGACTATGGTAAGTTACACGGACTCGGCTGGGCCATCATTGGTTCATCATACTCACCAGCTTCTCGTCTACGTTTTCGGTACGGGAGCCTGCTTTCTCATGAGGGAAAGCGCATGTTCCGGATATTCAGTTTGCCTCGCGTTAGTTCTGGGGCATAAGACACCGGACACCATGTGTATTCTTGCTTATCCTGTTCACACAGGAGTATTCACCCGAAATTCGGTGATTAGTCCAGCATGTTGATGACTCTTGTTGGGCTGGCATTCGCCATGTGACGTCATCGATATAGTCTTAATCGATTCTTCTCCCATAGTATGAAGCTCCCACCACGATCATGTCTTCCCAGATAACCAACACGCCGAGCGCAGATGTCCTCACTGGTTTCTACTCTTACACTGACACGCTCAAAGGCGTATACTATGGACCTGGTTGCGTCAATGACGCCCTTCCCAAACTCTTGGCTACCATAGGTAGTACAAAAGCTTTGATCGTCACGGGGAAGTCGCTGCGGGAAAAGGTCAGACTCTGGCAGGACCTTGCTTTGAGTCGCATTCTCATGCCTGTCCAAGACCGATGTCATTTCCAGGATCGAGACTATCCTGAAGGAGCACAACGCGTACGGGGCAACGTTATCTGAGATTGGTGAACACGCTCCCGTGAGCGGGATCCACAACGGCGTCAAGCTCTTCAACGAGATTCAAGCCGACGTCTTCGTTGCTGTTGGCGGCGGGTCTCCGGTAGACGCGGCTAAAGCCATGTCATACTTCATTCAGCAGCAAAGAGGTGGAAGTTTTGTGAAACAAATAGCTATCCCCACTACCCTTAGCGCCGCGGAATACACGGTGAGTTGTTTGTGGAAAGACCTCGAGATACTAAGAATAAGCTGGCGAGGTAGGCAGGGGTCGGTTATACCAATGAAGAGGGCCAAAAAACTGTGCTTATGTCTCCATTTTTGCCACCCGCGGGCGTTATTCTGGATGCAGAACTTACCATTACAACCCCTGAACGTTTGTGGTAAGTAGTTTACTCACTAGTGGTTGAACACCAACGGATGTCTTGCAGGCTGTCGTCCGGTATCAGGGCGCTTGACCATGCAGTCGGTACGCAAGCTTGCGAAGTTATAGAATGTTCCGTCCTCATGCACGGGTCATATACTAGAGGGGCTCTATCGTCCACTCCTTGCTCTTCCTGCAAAGGTCCTAGGTTATGCGGCACTCGCCGACCTATTCAAATACCTCCCAGAGTCGAAAGCGAACCCCAAGGATTTAGCTGCGCGTCAGAAGCTGCAGGTGGCGGCTTGGATGAGTTTATGGCCCATAAAGACGGAAAGACCCAGGTATGAGAATACTAACCTTACCCTATTACGTGCCTTGAATCATACTCTTTGGGACAGCCCCTTGGGTCTTTCGCATGCGTTGGGACATAAGTTGGGAGCAACCTATGGAATTCCGCACGGAATCACTTCGGTACCAGCCTGCTTCTTTTCGGGTAGATGCGCACTGCTAACGTAGTTGCAGTGTCTTACACTGGCCTCCGTTATTCAATACAAGGCGGAGACTGCTCCAGAGGAAGATAAGCGCTCGCTTGCAGAGGCCTTGTTCTACCTCCAGGAGCCGTCGACGGGTACGCTCGATGGTGATGTCAAAAAGCTTGCCTTTCGTATAGACGGGTGAGCACAACTTACTGTTCTTTAACAAGCTTTTTTTTTCCTGTTGCCGAATACGCATTTGTTATGAACAGTCTGGTTAAGCGCCTGGGACTGTCGACCAGCCTCGAGGAAAACAAAGTACCCAAGGCGGATCTGGCCAAGATAGCGAAGCTGGCATTAGGCGAGGATCAGTCAACTCACCCTCAGGTTGTCGAGCTACTGGAAAACATTTACTCGAAGAGAGGGCTCTGAAAGGTTGAATGGGGATACAACTCAACGTATTGTACTTGGATAACCTCGTGGATGTACTGGAACTTCGCCTAAAAGTTTATAGCAACGATATCCAGAAAGCCGCCCTGTCCGAACAGCCCGAATCATGACAAATCGAGATCGTGAGACTGGTTTACCCCGATGCTCGTGATCGACGACGTCAGAGGTCCGACCAGAGTCTCAAGTAGCAGCGGAGGCGAAGCAGATGGTGCACGCCTCTATCCCCGCCTCTACAGAAGCTGTAAGTATTGTACGCCCAGGATTTTCGTGGATCAAGAGGCTGCGCACGATGAAACGCCGGATATACAGTTCCATCCGGGTAGTTCGGTTTCAATGTCCAGAGCTCGGAAGCAGGCTGTCTAGGGGCACACCCGACTTGGCGACCACGTCAACGCTGTGTTCTCGACATCACAACTCTATCCATACTGTTGTTCATCAACCTCCTGCTCCTGGGCGCGCGAGTGGAACCCCGCATTGGTGCACGACTGCTCGACAAAAAAGCTCAGGTCAGGTTGTTCGCAGCTTAGTAGGCCAGCTCAAGAACCGTAAGCGCAGCAGCCTGGAGCATACAATATATTGCTAAGTATGATTGCGCAGACAGAATAAGCCTGTCTTGTTTAGTGATGGCACAGCGCAGAACAATGTCTACTACGGAGAAACCACAGAGCAGTTCTGCACCCAAGCCGCCCCACAATCACGACCATGACCACGACCACAAGCATGCTCACGTTCACGAGAACGGCCATGACCACACCCACTCTCATGGTATCTTCGGTCATTCTCATGCAGCACATGACCACGACCATTCTGAAGATGCAGAGAGAGTTATGCAAGCGCTTTCAGGCAAAGGTGTGTGACCCAGAGACAACGTCTCGATGGCACAGTCCCAACTGACTGAAGAGCAGGTGACCGAGGGAGCCAAATCACGCTCGTCGGGCTGTTCACCAATGTTGGGCTCACGGCAGCAAAGGGTATCGCAGGGTGGCAGATGCACTCGGCTTCATTGCTAGCGGATGCAGGGCATTCTCTGAGCGGTGAGTCTCCCACCATGGTCTTTAATGGATGCACCGCCTTACGACGATGAGCGCACAGACCTACTGGGTGACTTTGTGACCCTCTTCTGCTGGAAATTGTCCAGGAAACCCCCATCACTGCGTTACCCGTACGGTTTCGCGAAGTTTGAAACCCTTGGGACAACCATGGTCTCATTAATGTTGATTGGCGGGGCCTTGGGCATCGGCTTCCACTCTTGGCATCTCCTAGTGGAGTCTCTCAGTTCAACAGTGCCTACCATGTCCCCCGGACCTCTGCGTGATTTCGTGGAATCATTCGCGACGGCTGCGGACAATGTCCCTGTCGTTGGACATGCTCATGGACATGGGGACGTGCTCGATCCGAACGCGGCCTGGTTTGCGCTCGTAAGCGTGGTGGCTAAGGAATGGCTGTATCGGATAACCAAAAAGGTCGCCGATGATGAGAATAGCCCTGTCTTGTACGCAAACGCGATTCATCACAGGAGTGATGCATATTCGAGTGTGGTTGCGCTGGCGGCAATCCTTGGGTCATGGTTCTTCCCAGCGGTTCCTCTAGATCCTATAGGCGGTATGTGTCATTTAATTTTCCTTCGTGTAGCAGTACTAACGTAAGGCTAACTTCCATAGGCTTGGTTGTTTCAATTATAATTTTCCAACAAGGTCTTGGACTCTTTGGTGGCGCTTTTGCTGATTTGACGGACGCTGGCGTATCAGCGACCTCACATCGGGCGATGATGAGTGCTCTGGAGCAACTTGTATCTAAGTCCGCCGACGCCCCACTCCCCAATCACGAGTTGGCCTCCCAGGACGCACTATTGCTGGGTATCCGGAATCTTCGAGCTAAGCGCGCGGGATCGCTGGTGTTCGTCGATGTTACCATTGACGTTCCAGGCTCGCAGACCATATTGGCCACCACAAGCCTGCAGGAGACGATTACACGGACGTTGAAGGAAGCACGGAAGGAGGTTTCAGCGGTGAACGTCACGTTTAACCCTGTGAAGGAAAATGATGCTTGAGACTTCGGGTACATTGTTTTATAGTCTATTTATGCTTTCTGTTAGTGATAACAAACATCAAGTAGTGGGTGACAATACTGCCTACGCTTGCACGGGCATAGCGAGTGATGGTCGATCAGCGCTAAGCCATGCAATAAGCGTAACTCCACGTGAGCGACGCGAGACCAGCTCGCTTTAGACGCGTCACTAATTTCTCTCTCCTATCATGACTGAACTCAATCTACAGTTCGCATCTACGTATGCGCGAGACTCCAACTCCTTTAGGCTACTTGAGCTGCCGGCTGAGCTTCTACACCTCGTTCAATCCGATACTGCGCCGTAAGTACCTTATGCTCAGGTGGTGCGCGTCCTTCACACATTTCTTCATACAGACTCTTGTCAATTAAGGGTGACTCAACGGAAGAAGCAGCTGTTTGCACGCCCGATAAAACATACTTATTGCGCTCTGTCGTGTTGTCTAACACCGTGCTCGTGACATCGTCAGAAGGCGAGGATGGCCAAAGTATCGGCGTCCGCGACCAGCTTCACGAGATTATGGAAGTTCATCCAGCTGTTCCAAAGCTACACAAGCTATCCGAAGTACTTATCGGTATGGAATACGACGAGGGAGAGGAGGATTTGGCCGTACATACAAAGGTATGACTCGTTCGAAATACTTGGTGGAGCCCCTGTCGAATGACTTGATATGAGCGGCCCAAGTACACCTACGATCAGGCCCTACAGGAGATTCAAGCAAGTGAGAATGAACTGAAGCACGGTCTTAAGGAAAGACGTATCCTTATCTTAAACGGTATGGAGGGTTTCTCTTTTGCTATTGTGAACGCGATCCAACACATCGGCAGGTTGTCTTCGTCCAATCGCCCCAGCCTATCTCAACTCCATCCTTGAACTTCTTCTCAATTACCTGATATCACTGCGTCTATCTCCGCAGGCTGCATCTGCGGATGAACTGTCGTCTGCACTGGCGGATAATCATGAGATACCTCGATATGTCTCGGACCAGGTCATGGCCTGGTTTGGGACCGTCGATACCGGTATATGGACCATAGACATCGACTCCGTGGTCAGAGAAATTGGAATGGGCATTCTTAGGTATCACAAGGTTGTGCAGTCCCCCCACTTTTGGCGAAGAATCATGTACTCAACATAGGAACGAGCAGCATGAATCCATATCCGAGGCACGCTTTATGCAAAACTGGAGGGAGAAGGTCGGAGACTCCTTTGAAAATAGCGTGCAACTCCCTCTTCTGTCGGTGGGTCCCATTCAAATGAGTTTTCAATTTGGTGTTCATAAAACTTCTAGGGCAACTACTTGTTCAACGCTTCTGCCATTGGCGGGCCATCGCTAACCTACTTTCCTTCCTCCGATCTCCCTGTCGAACCCGCTGCGCGCTTTACGGAACTCTTCCTTGCCAGGTCCAGCTGGAAAGAAGACGAGATCAAGCCATTCCTCACAGAAATTGCTGTCAACCCCAAAGAAAGAGAGAAGCTCTTACTGAAGCATGCCAGAGCGACCACTACACCTCAAGGCATACTTTACACATCGAGAGTAAATTACAAAGGCTAAAGTCAAAGGATCTCCTGATGGTGAATCTTCATAACGAGGCTTTGATGTCCTGAGAAGGGAATAGCTGGCAGCCCTCATTTCCTCTGAGACCGGGTTGTTGCTGCTTTGCCTAGACTCTTGATGGGTGATGGTCGATACTCATCCTCTTCCTCATGATCCCTCTGACGCCTCTTGCGGCCTTTCGCGGAAGGTGTAGGCTCTATGTCCATGGGGTAGCCGTTGCCACGATCTAAAACCTTCAGCCCCGCTGGACCCGTCACACTGTCGATAAATGCCCACAGAGCTTTGCCGACGGTGGTGTTGTTACGGACATCATGGAACTGTTCGCGAATGCGCAGCCGCATGCGGAGGACAGCCTTCGCGCGAGCTTCTTGGCTCTCATGACGAAGAACATGCAGGAGGACACCTGACAATAATGCATACATTATCTCTTTTGACTAAGGGACATTGACACTCACCTATAAATACGAACTCAACAGGTGCAACTCGTTTATCCACCTGAGTGAAAGCATGCTGGAGGTTTGGGGATGTAGCGAGGAGCCAGAACTCGGTGAGGACCTCGTTCATCTGCTGCCTAAAGGCGGGTAACGGCTTGTCTATGCGTGATAGCCAGCGCTCGAGCTTCTGAGCCGTAGGTAGAAACTTTTCAGGCAGTCCATCGCAACAATACACGAGTTGCGCTATACATTGGAAGTCACGTCCACGTTTCGTGTCCCAGGCCAACACCTCTGAGAGTCCGCCACCGTCAGGCGGGCCACTTACATGCCTTGCTTCGAGATCTGATATCCATTCGGCCCATGGTGACGATATTGCCTGGAGCTTCTCTAGAAAGTACCATTTCAACCTAATTATGTCCGAATATCTGTGGCAAATAATCACGAACCTGCAGCAGTTAGACTCATTCCTAACTGTACACGCTGGAAGATCTCCCGCTCAGTTCCTGGAGCGATACCATAATATTCAACTAAGGCAGATGATCATTAACAATACGCCACATAAAGGATAAGACTTGCCACATGTGATTTGAGTACCTGCAAACTTCTTCTTCCAAAAATCGGGAATCTCAGGTCTTGTAGCCTTCTGGTTTTCGGAGCGCGTATACCAGAAGCTTTTCTTTCTTTGAGATTCGCGATCTTTGAACGCCAGTTAACGCGGAGCGGTTAGCTGGGAGTTATGCAAAGAACTTACGGGGAATCTGCAACCCCCGTCACATATGGGATAGTACAGTTCAGGTTTTAGGTTTTAGTGTTAATCATGTGGAAACTCACCAGACCATCAAAGAACTTCTGTATGGATGTCAATCTCTGCTTTCCATCGACACAAATTCGCACTTCCTCTCCTTCATCGTCACGCTGCACGGCAAAGATGACTGGTGGTACATAGAAGTTTCGGAATATCGAGTCAATAAGACCGATTTGTTTGCTTTCGGGCCACACCACGTCTGGACGAGTAAGGTCAGGGAGATGGTCCTGGAGACATGTACACAAAACTGTACCTCTTTGATATGCGGGGTTGAGGTCAATGAGACCCTGATGTATAAGTGCTGTGGTGAACTTGACTTGAGAAAGCATTCAAATATTTGTCTTCATGTGAGGGCTCTTACAGTGTAGCTCCTGAGCTGTGTAGATCCTTGCAGAAGGGGGTGTTAAACAATTGGTGATCTTGAAAGCATTGGGGTCCTCAGCCTCGGAGTCAAAGTCGTCTTCCAACTCGTCGTATTCCTTATCGGGATCCTGAGACATCTCGCCCAGTTTCGATGCACAAAGGAGCGGGGGAAGAAAAGGGAAAGTGAAAGTCGTGTGTTCTGAATTGAAACTAGGTGGTTGGCTTGGTCAAAGATGCACAGCCACTGCAGGTGTGAGGCCAATAGTGCCAATGCAAGGATTCAAGTCATCTGCTGCTTTGAGACCTTAGGCCTTAGGCCTTAATCTTAACTAGTAATGTCACCATGCAGGAATACTGATAGTACAATGATACAGAACACACAAGCTATGCTGCAGAGTCATTCATGACTATACCTCTGAAACCATCAGTTAAAAAGACCATGATTTATTGCATGCGACGTAACATTAGCGGCTATATTGAGGTAAGTATACATTATATCCATTGCGGGTTAATCCTGTCGTAAAGTTGTGGTATATCCCAAGTCAACAGTGCAATTTCGACACACTAGTGTAGGTCTCGAGGCTGACGGTTACTAGAATTCCATTCACCGAACTCCTCTCCTTCATCGTCTTTGAATGGGTCCTGTGTTACTTTCATGTCATCAGAGGATGTGGATTCCCTCCGATTGGTAGCCTCATACTCATCGTGTAACAAACGAGAGCCTTCAGTCGAGGACGTAGCACCTTCGTTAGGAGCAGATGTGCGTGGAAGCCTAGATCTCATAGCATTATTCTCGTCCTCGTCCTCGCTTGCATCCCCAAGCTGCCAAACTTCAGTTCCTTCTTCGCCATCTCGGCTTGTTAGAGCATGCTGTTCCCCATGGTCCTCGTCGTCATCAGTCGACCTTTGAATGACATCTCTCTTCTTGGAAGTCAGGGCGGCGGGGCTGGGCTCCTTGGGACCGGCCTTCGCAGGCTCTGGTTTCTTGTGAGTGAGGAGAACAACCCCGGAGATTAGGATGGCGATAGAGACGAAGATCAAGAATAGAACCCAAGGCTTGTAAGCGTCGATCTGGTCGTTGAACACCTATGTCATGTTAGCATGGTGCGAAGAATAGGATTCATGAGTTTATACCATTGAGTTCAGGAAGCTAACATGTTTCGGTCAGCAAAACTCAGCGAAGTTCGCTCTCGGGCTTACCCAGACGCAGTGTATACCCCATAAAATACAGGCACAACCAAAGTTGAGTCATAAACCTTCAGGCCACGGTTAAGGCAGATTATTTGAAGGACTGCAGTCACAGCGAGCAAGATGATTGTGAAGATAGGCGCTGCATGGCCAAATTGGTTTCCTGGGTTCTCGTGGGAGAGGCTGCCGCTGAGAAGCGAGACACTAAATAACAAGTGAGCCAAGATCGTGAGAGGGATTATATGGAAAACCTACGTTGCTTTGGCAAAAACAAGGCAGCCGCCAGCGAGGCCTCCGCCGCAGCATGCCCACCCAATACCAAGGGTCCATGCAATCTGCTTGTCGTCCTTCGGACCAGTCCAATTTTCAAGGTACTGCTTCACCCATAACATAAAACTATCCCAATAGGCCTTGGCTCTACCGACGTAGGTAGTAGCGTTTGATGGCGGCCTTCTGGTGCTCATGCCTGCGAAAGGCTCTGCTTCAATGTCCGACCTTGCTGCAAGGACAGCATCAAGGGAGTACGTAAAAATGAGAACCAAGATGAGGGCAATTGACATGGCAAAGAAGAAGCCAAGCCAGCCGCCTCGGCGCCAGAGGTAGGTGAGATGGTTGACATCCGATTCTGCTGAAAGCCCACTGTTGATAGTACCAAAGGCCACGATACCTATGACACCAAGGACTACAATGACGGTGCCCTTGAAAGGGCTCAGCGCAAAATCTACAAACATTGTTAAACAGATACTCACATAGATGTCGGTGTTTGTAACAGGTGTGCCTACAAGGAACCTTGCGAACAGAAAGTTGAAGATAAGGGAAGTAGATCCAAGGGGAGCAACATATTCTGAGCATGGGTTAGACTATGCTTGCTGTCCAAGAAGAGGGATTATGGCCCTTACCTGCTCGCATATAGTCTAGGGCGAGGGTACTCCCGATTAACTGCGACAAGCTGTTTCACCAATGTTAGACGGCGGCTGTGTCAGCCCATAAGAGCTCGACTTGCATATAAAGTATCATTCCGAGTAGCCATAGGGGTCTCAACCAATCTCTCCTCCGGGCAGACTTGGGTATTGCGCTAGTCCGAACCTACGCACCAGTCATCAGCAGACAACTCTACACTAAGAGTGTTTTGCTCACATGGTCCAGCTTAGTGAGATTCAGGCCTGCTGCATTCATGATAGAGGAGAGTAGAATGATGGCCAGGCCAATGATAAAGGCGACCACAGGACTTGCGTGATGGGCAGGCACTGGGTCTTCATCCCGAGTGACATGAACAACATTGAAGTTGACCATTAACCGAGTGGCAGAAAGTAGCGAGTAAGGTCGTTGTGAGGTGATTTTAGCTCGTTATATCAGATAAAATTCATGCAGCTGCGCAGGGCCTGCGCAATGCTATTGTCGTCGTCGCAGGGGTGGATGAACGGTATGAAGTCAGAGGTGGGACAGTGGCTGTGCCCTACAAAGCGACCGCTTCTGAATCGGCCGTTCGCGTTATTGCCTGAGAGTTCTTAGTAACCTAATTTTTTGGAACGACTATCTTCCAGAATGAATAAAATGTCTGCAGCTGGCTACATAAGCGAATAGAAAGACCTAGGACCTTTTTCCAGCTTGCAGGTTCCGTTGGCCCAATGTTCGATTTGCACAAATTTGCCTTGACCCTTGCTTGACTCTCGAGCAAACTTCCGAGAGACTAGTAAGTATTCCGAAGCTGTGACCAGCGGCGCGAGTTATACATCCGCTCGGCCAAGCTCTATAAGTGCAAGCACTACCCTGTATATGGGGCAAACCCACGTGGAACTGACTTAGTCCGAAGCAAGCTGTTATGTTATAAGCGTTAGTCAGCATACAGTCCGCTCAGGGTCTCTTCTGCACTTCCGTCAATGGACGAGTTCATTTCCTTACTCCAAGCGAAGCTCAAACGATATCCAAACAATGACACACTCAAACGTGCCGTCTCTTTGATCACAGACCCAGGTCAAGAACATGACAGTTCGACTTTCCAGGATAGCCTTCAAGCAAGTTTCAATGAGCTCCAGACACAAGACATATGGGAGGGCCCCGATGAATCCCATCGACTGTCTGAGAAGCTGTCTCTCGCCCTCGGGAAGCTGTCTGGTCTTTCCGACGCATCAGGGGCACAGCACTCGGATAAGTTCTCCATTGTGCCACCCCCAGATCTCGATGCCGGCACTCTCTTCCACACCCCGGCACACCCACGACTCCTGCCGCCAGAACTCGTCGACCTCTTGAACCATACCTGCCTTCTTCATTTACTCGCTACAGATTCTGACAAAGTTGTACAGCCTGGAAAGTCTCTCGTCTCGGTCCTCTCTCGGCCTAGAAGCGAGAGACGCTCAGAAGGGAGGCACACTCTGCACGGGAAAGTAGAGGATATTGTGCACAAGGCCTTTTGGGACCAGGTGCGAACAACTTGGACTCCTCGTTCAATCTCCGACTTACCTGATATCTGTTGTAGGCTATTGAAGCTTTGTCCAACCCCGAGCCTTCAATACAGCTCCTCAGACTGAAGGGCCTGTACAAAGACATTCACGAAGCGCTTTCTCCCCTATTCCCACAGCGTCATTCCATCATAGCCTTCCTAACATCGCCTTTGCCGCCTACTTCGTCACCCCTGATCTCAGCATTGGGGCAGCTACGCGATATTCTTCACGGTCTCCTGGAACGTTGCGCGCCGGCCCGAGACCAGGATATCCACAGCCTCATCAACGCATTGGACTTTCATTCTTCTCAGGTGTCTAGGACAGAGCTAGCCTCCCTTGTTGCTAATACTGTCAAGTCAATTCTGAAGTTATCGGATGTAATGAAAGATGATGTCTCCCAAGTCATGCTTTCTGGCGTTTCTGAGGACCAGGCGCGGCACATGATCGCCCAAGAAGCGAAGAAGCTAGAGCGTTCCGTGACATTGGAGATTTGGGGTCCCGAGTGCCTCATCGCGGAATGGGAGGCATGGCTTCAACTCAAGCCTTCGAAATCAGTGCTGAGCGGAATGAATGTTGAACCGAGCCGCCGGTGGATTTCACGTCTTCTTGAATGTTTGTCTCAGAACAAACCGGTGGTGTGCGCATTACCTGAAGACAATCTCTCAGAGTCAGGCGAGGACATCAACGAGCTTCCACCTGTCTTCTTCTTTAATGGACCTGCACTGGTATATCTTCAAAACTTCCTTCAGGCCTTGGTTATCGCTGCGTCGCTCCGCTCCCTCATTCGCCTATCGCCTCCCTCTAAGGGTGTCATTCCACCAGAAAACTCTCAGTCTGTACCAAACATATGGGAACCAAGGTTATTTATGGAACGCGTCTGGCCACTTCTCAAAGCCGAGGTAGATGAAGAAGAGGGAGCGTCGGACACCAAGTTGGTCAATTTGGCAGATGAAGTCCTGCACGCTCAGGAGCTCGCTGCCAGTGCCAGCGGCATCACGCTTAGCACAGAAGAAAAAACGAGACTGCGTGCTGCTGTTGATCGGACACTGCGACCAGATGATCCTGCTTTTGCGCTGTTGCAGCGACGGCTCTATCACGCCCTTGTTGGATGGACCGTACAAGCGCAGATGCGCCCACGCGACGCAGAGATGCCTAGAGAGATGAGAGCGGGGAGGCGACCAAGGCTCTCGACGGACCTCGATCGCGAAGGCATCCGGACGAGGACAGAGCCTCCGCGCATCTTAGCCATTCGAGGATTTGAGGATCCCGTCCTTGCACGCGCAGTAGAGGAGGCTTTCAAGAAGTTTCTGGAGAACGTTCTTTGGACCAACAGCGTTTGGCACGATATACTCAGCTCTGGAAGGATGTCCACTAACTAATCATTGTATATACCAATACCTTGTAACCAGTAAGGACGATGTAATTCACCTAATCTAATATTCGAGGATATACAAGAAGGTAGTCGATCGTACGTGATATGTAGAATCTACAAATTCTCAGTGGCAAAAGACAAGACGCGATTTAGGATGTGCCAAAATAGGGGGCGTTGAAGGGTACCCAGCGCTTCGTCTTGCCGAAACTTAACTTGAAGTAAACTGCCGTAAGGTCTGGCTTTTGGGCCCGTTCCACTCATTCTTACAGCATGCCTCCTCGTCGCAATGATGATGCGATGGAAGTCGACTCGGACTCGGACCTTGAGCTGAACTTGCTGGCCAACTCTCGCGCCAAAGGCAAGGGCAAAGCTGCAGACAAGCAGAAGAAGGACAAGGGAAAGAGCAAGGCCAAGGAAGTACGCACACAACTGACAGCCTATCGCTTATACTATAGGGCTGACAGCTCTGCTGCTAGCTAGCCTATACGTGGGAGGCATCATATACACGCTCATGGGATACCGTTCAGGAGGATGAGGCTGGTAGCTTACAGGGCGCGGTGGAGGATTGGGTCGCGCGGAGCAGACGGCGGAGGTGCGCTCTCTTGCTGAGTCTCAGAATTTTATGCGTATTCAGCGCAGATTTTAGGCTGCTCGCACCCGCCAATGCAATTCGAAGAGCAATCATTCGACACCTCATTTTGCTCATAGACCTCTCGAGCTCCATGTTGGACCGAGACATGCGACCCACTAGATTTGATCTGACACTCGAGTACACCCGCGAATTTATCACAGAGTGGTTTGACCAGAACCCGCTGGGGCAAATTGGAGTTGTTGGGATGCGAGCTGGGGTAGGAGAGCGCATAGGAGAGATGTCTGGTGAGTACTACCTGTCGCAGTTTCGGTGTAAAACACTGTGCTCATGTGGAGAAGGGAATCCACAGGAAGTCCTAGGCTCCATTGCAGATCGACATAAAATCGAACCGACGGGTGAACCCAGTCTTCAGAACGCGATCGAGATGGCTCGCAATGGCATGAGGTAGGTATAACACGCCAACCTCACGCCTTTGCTCACACGGACCATCGAAAGTCACCTTCCGACGCACTCGTCTCGCGAGATTCTCATCGTTATTGGCTCCCTTACGACATGCGACCCGGGCAACATCCATGATACGCTCGATTCATGCGTGAAAAACAAAATTCGCGTGTCCGTAGTTGCGTTGGCTGCTGAAATGAAGATATGTAGGGAACTCTGCGATAAAACTGGAGGTGCGGGCATTACCAACACATTAACGGAAACAGCTGACTGGGGCACGAACTTTAGGTCAGTTTGGCGTTGCCCTGAACGAAGGGCACTTCAAGGATCTCCTCTTCGAACTCGTCCCTCCACCCGCGCAGCGTGCAGTCAATCGTGCCGGCGGAGGAGCAGGAAGTACCTCGGCAGACCTCATGATGATGGGCTTCCCGACGCGACTGCCAGACACGACCCCACCGAGTTTGTGCGTGTGTCACTCTGACCTGAAGAGCGAAGGGTTCCTGTGTCCGCGGTGTATGGCCAAGGTGTGCGACGTCCCAACGGATTGCGACATTTGCGGCCTCATGATTGTGAGCTCACCACATTTGGCACGGAGCTACCACCATTTGTTTCCTGTGAGACCATATCAAGCTATGTGAGCTTCTCTGTTGTCCCCCATTCTCAACTGCACGTCAAGCTGACGCGCTCAATCGAATAGATTATCGCTTGAAGAGGCATCGGCATCCATCAAATCGTGTCATGCTTGCTCACGAACGTTTCCGGAGACTGCAAATACGGGTTCGGTGGCGGAAGGCATGAGTCCAGTGGGACGATATCGATGTCCGGACTGCCAGAATGAGTTCTGTTCGGAGTGTGATGTATTTGTGCATGACGTCGTGCACTGTTGTCCTGGATGTGGTAAATAGAGTTGCAATAGGTGCGATGCAAGCTGAAACAGGTTGAACGTCACCTTCGTATCGAGTTTTATTATGAAAGTTCTGCAAGTGTGGTAGTGACGCAAGACGATGAGTATAGGGGATGCGCTAAGTTTGGAGCGTCGTTGACGCCAATGATGATGTTGTCTTCAGAGGATGCAATGATTTGGAAGCGACAGTATTGTTATAGTAGCTCTTGATTCACTCCAGCCGACTCCAGCTCACCCATCCGTACCTCGAGCTGCCCTGCAGCTTGCAGGTGTCCCAACGTGACACACCATGTTGCTCCCCCTCCCACTCCTTTGTGCCTTGTTTCCCCTAGTCCTCGCTGGGAGTATGGGACTAGGTGGCAACTGTTCTGTATCTAATAACCGCCTTCTCCTCGGAAACAATCAGTTCCATTCAGATTGCCACGACTCCTTGTACTGCGACGGTACCTCAAATACATGCAAGTCCAGAGGCTGCAGACGTGACCAGTATCCGCTTGGGTATGGCAAATCCGAGGAGGATCTACCTCCACTGTGCGAGAAGGGCCAATTCTGTCCTGACGAAGGGGACGTATGTCAATCCCAACTTAATGTGGGCAGTCCGTGTCAGCTAAACCGAGACGGTGAGTATCATGATTGCATACTGGCCCTCATTCACTGAGACCTGTCTTAACACTATGCTCAGATCAATGCGAGCCCCCGGAAGGTTCCACTGAGCTTTGGGACAGGTTCTACGGAAGGAACATTCATGGTGCTATATGCCTGAACTATGTCTGCACGTGTGTTAAACTCTAGCGTTTTGGTGGCTCCTGCGACTGATTCTGCTATAGGTGGGCAAACCTGACCGCAGGAGACTCATGCCAAGTCGATAACACCGCATATATTGCTTACGCTGGCAATGACGAATACTTGGATGTTGTTTCTCGGTGAGTGGAAAGAAGCGCTGTCCATTGCATCACATGTGGTTCAAGCCTTTATTGTATCCAGTGATGACTGCATGATAGGCAACTACTGCGATGCCCAACAGCTCAAGTGCATACCTCAGAAAGACATTGGACAGTCCTGTTCGGCCGATAAAGAGTACGTCGACATCAGCATAGTGTTGAGCTAATCGTGAACCACTTCGAAACACTTCAGATGTTCCACCTACAATTGCAATGGAGTATGCGCGGGGAGTACCGACTCTCCCAACGTTGTCAAATTCTGGGTGTATGTGGTCATTGCTGTGTTCATTTTGGGGGGTGAGTATTCCTCACGTACTTGGGCAATATCTAATGGTCTAACCACTGCTTCAGGCATGATTAGCACCCTGGTTGGGTTGTACCTCCTTCACCGGCGGCAACGCGAAGATGCTCGAGAAAAACGCTGGCAGTATTGGAACGAACAGGTGCGTATTTTGCGTAGTTATAATGCTATATGCAAACATATTGTTTATGATCACTGCAGAGGTCACTACGACGGCACATCCTGCAGATGTGCGAGAATGCGCAGATGGCCACGTCTGCGTTGGACGAGACTTCGAAGGGTACAATGTCGGAAATATCGCACCGCAGGACTGAATCGAGAGGGCATCGACCCACTGTCTCTGATGACATTGTTGATATGTATAGCGCAACTGCTTACAGGTCTAGTTATCCGAGGCCGTGAATTTACTGTAGCATAGCATGGACCGTAGTATAGAATGTGTCTGGGACCTTCACACTGTTGAAACACTAGTGGATGACGAGCTACATCGATTGTCACCAAAGAAAGCTGTCTGTAATTCCAAAAATAAAGAAAGAGCCCAAAATTAGAAACGACAGCGGCAGCCAGTTGCCTGACCATGTGCGAGTGGTCTCGATGACTTGCAAAGACCAGTTCCATCGGAGGTTGAAGTGAAAAGGGACCGCAGCAGCGTCGACAGCACTGGAAGTCGGCACATACTGTTCTACAAATTTGCGTCTCGAGTCATAACATAAGTGTAGACTCGAACTTAGTGCGTGGGCTCTATGGACTCTGATTACGATTACCGATGACGAAGGGAACAGCCTAGGGCCCGTGGAAGCGACACAACGGCTCCGTGCGATTGGCGTAATATTGGATTGAATCGAACCCCTTGGAGGTGGAATCGACGTCTGGGTGCCTCACTTCACACCACCACTGAGCTGAACGTCAAATTCAGGCCCGTTCGCCCCCCTCCCGTCACAGGGTGCATCAGCCCACGCAGGTCTGATAGGGCGAATACTCCGCCTATTCCTCAAGCGCTATGTCCGACCTCGCCCCTCCTATGCCAGACAAATCAGGCCCACAGCCCCTCGCCTCGCTTCCCGCTACCCCGGTATCTGAGGAAGACCTCAGTCGACCCCGCATCTGGGAAGAGGTGCCCACTACCAGTGACTATTCACCCCCTGGTACTGCACGGTCATGGAAGGGCAAGGGGAAGCAGGTGCCCACAGAGGACGAGGACGAAAAAGACGAGGAAACCGATGGTGCAAGCCCCGCAGCGTCTCGATACCCGCCCATGAACGATGATGAGGCTGAAACACGTCGAGTTGAAGAGGTGCGTAATAACCCCCTAACCTCTGTCCAAGTTTTGGTACGAGGTACTTTATGTTTTTCGATCTCTTTGGTTCCCCCCTTTTTCGACGTATCTTATCTCGCTTGCCCTTCGCTCACTCTGTCTGAATGATCAGAACCTGCGTCGTTGGGAGGAAGCTGAACGCCAACGCCGGAAAGCTGCCCGCGGATCAGTCTCCCTTCCCAAAGGTGGTACTGAACACACGCCAGGTGGGAGCGGAAGTGGCAGCGTCTTCGGAGGGTCTTTCTGGGGCTTGGGCCGTACCTCCTCGCAGCGCCGCGCAGACACCAATGGATGGGGTGCACATGCCGCGCTCCAGTCCCGCGACTCGCTCGACGCCCTCCCCATGGACAACATCGACCAGGCGAGCCCTACCCCGTCTCCCCTCCCCGGCTCCGTGCGCAACTCGCGAAGCCGCTCGCCAGAGCACAGACGGGCCTCGAATGCCGACACGGCCGTGGAGAACCCATTCATGCATCCGTCCGAGACAACGCTGTCGAAATCAGAGGCGCAGCCTGTAGTCATGGAGGAGTCACCGATGCCGCTAGCCACTCCAGACGTGAATGGCCAATCGAACGGGGTCGTTGACCTGTCCCTGTATCCCAAGTCGCACTCAAAGTCCAAGTCTGTTCCGCCTCCACAGCCGCTCAATCTACCTCCGCCACGCACACCACCACCACCGCTGACACCTAGCACATCACCGCCGCCACCTATAGCACCACCAAGGCTCGATCAGCAGTACAACTCCTCAAGGCCACGCACCCCTGAAGCAAGATGGTGGCATGAATGGCTATGTGGATGCGGTGAGGGTCCAGATCGCGGAGGAGACAACCAGGTAAGTTCATGAAGCTTCATTTCACATTCGTTCACTCTTCACATTTTGGGGGTTTGCCAGGCCGGTCGTACGAATCCTTTTGAGTGAAACCACTGTACACTTGATGCTCACGAGATGACACTTGCTTTGTTGACTTGAGTTGCCCTTGGATTTTCCGTTCGATATTGTATTCGATGAAGGACTACTAGGCCATCGGATACACCACAACTCTCTACACTGTGTTCTTTTTACACGACTACTGGATTGAGCCGCATACATACACTTGGCAATGGCAACCGAAAGACGATGATTGTCGATCACGATTGCGTCCCTGAAAGGGACAAACCACAATTGTTATTGCGTAGAAGCAGCCGGAAAGCGAACAGTACGACGTGTTTCCCCGACGGCACTCGGCTTCCCATCGTCATTTTCCACCATTTCCTCATCACCGACTTCTATAACGTCGGTCTAGTCACATCAAAGTTAGCTTAGTTTAACAGAAGTTCGTGTCGAGCTACATACCCCGTCTGGTTCTTTCATGATCTCTTCGTGCAACCGGTGGTGTACGATGACTGAGCTTTCTGCATCCTCTGGTCCAGGACCAGCAGGCCCCTTGCCCTTAGCGTCAGTGGCTTCGATTCTACCAATGTCGGAGGGACCAGCTTCAGAGAGGCCTTGTTCCGGGTCGATGATGGTTTCCGGAGATGGTCCTTCAATGGGATCGCCCGGCCTCTTAGCCCAAAGCAGCCAGTCGGGAGTGCCGGCAACCTTTGCGCGGTTCGTCCAGGTCACAGTCAAAGACGTCGTACGCGACTGCACGCCACGACCAAGGTTGAAGAATGGGATGGACAGACCATCTGAGTTCCCAAGTTATGTCAGAATGTGGCTCGGGAGAAGAAAAACCAAAGGAACACGCCGCACGACTTACGAACGATGATTGATCCCAAAACTACGAAAGACACAATGGGCTGGATTGTTGCTGACAAGAGTTCCGCCTGGCTTTGCGGCGGGTCTTGGGGAACGGGAAGGCGCGTCACGGCGTAGGTGGCCACGAAGATAGCACTGACGCCCATCTACAGCTCTGATTAAGAACAATACCGTGTATTAATCTCGAGTCCACAACTTACCGGGCCTGTTAATGCAGATCAATTAGCTTATGAAAAGCACGATACCTGCAAGGGAACGTACCGAAGTGTCCACAAAACAGAGCCTCCTTCCATCCATCGATCTCAGGCACCCACTTGTAGAGGACCAGCAAGGGCGGAATGCGGCGTAAGATAAGGATGGAAAGCACGAGCACAACCAGCCTTGCTGGGGTGATATCGTAGGTGGAATTGTTGTACATGTCAAAGGGTAACCATGCACCGATGTAGATGAAACATCCACAGTTGAGGACGTATTCAATGACTGATGTGAATGACTCATTCTCAATCTGAGTGTTGAAATGTTCATCCCAAGATATGGCAGAGCCTGGATGAGATGGTTGGATGTTATCACGGCATCTCACCTAGGGAAACCAACACACCTGCAGCGAAGGCGGCAAGGAGGTCGTCGGCGCCTATGGTACTAGCAACACCGATAGTGAAAATAGCGAAAGCCAGATACTGGGAGACGAAGGATTCCCGGTCGATGAAACCTTTGCCATGCGAAATTTTCAACAGCTTGGAGAACATAAGACCTGACCATAATTCGCACTGCAGACGATAGACAAGGATAAGGCTGCATACCTAGGACGGCGCCAAGAACGGTACCCAGAATCACTTGATCTAAATAGCGTAGATTGAGTGCGAGTTTCAGACGGTGTGTCAGTCACCTACACAGCCAACCTACGAGGAACCATTTCCCAATGGCCACTTTGGTAGACGCTTCAAGGGTAAGGTAGACGGAGATGCTCAGAAAAGGATAAGCCAGGCCGTCATTAGATGCCGATTCGGCTTGGATGAGACGCCGTAGGTTAAGAGGGACGTGTTTAGTAGCGAACTTTCCACCTAAATAGCACGTCAGTGGACCATCCTAAGAAAATGGGTCAACTGGCATACCGGTGATGGCAGCAGCTGTGACAGGATCCGTAGGTGTGAAGCATGCCGCGATGCAGAGTCCGGAGATAAAGTTAATTTGTGGAAAGAGCCCGTAAACAATGACTACCAGGAAAGTCAGATCGGAATGTAATCACCCGAAAGTTAAGACGTACCTCCACCAACCAGCCAGCCAAAGGCCATAGTGGGCACGACCATGATAAGGAGCCCTTTAGCGTGTTGAAGCATGTAAGCGCCAGGTAGTTCTACGCCGATAGCAAATAGACCGGTAGCAAGTACGATGCGCATGAATTCAAGTGTGATGATGTTCGAGTCGGGACCCCATGAACGAGGATTGAAGGCGTTTGCAACATACGGCCCCACGAGAACGCCGAACGCCGTCCCAAGAATGACTTCATTGATGTATAGCTAAGGGTACATGAGCGATTTGGCGAGATGGATGATGCGCGCATGGCCCGTGACTGCGACCCACCTTTTCTTTGATGATTAAGGCAAGGAGAGAAAACTAATAAAGCGTATAAAGGGAATTGTGTCAAGACAGGGATACAGAGAAGTCGAGTGAACTCAGAACGCACAAGAACAACAAAACCACCAATGCATATGTAGGCCAGATGAGGCCCTGTCACCTGCGGGTCAACGCGTTTGTGATCACCAGACCGGAACGGATGTCTCACTGACTTCTAGGAGGTCCAAAGTATCCATCGCAACTTAAACCGCGAAGTGTAGGTCCAAGTACTCTCCGAGGTCTGCTCAAGTTGCTGTGGACGGCTGGGTGCATGGCCACTTAAGTACTTTATCTACCAAGATATCAACATTTTGTGAAGGGTCGGCGGATGCGCGAATTTCGCCAGAGGCTCCCACTAAGTAATATACGTAATCGGAACCCAAGGCTTGGCGCTCCGGAACCTCGATAACATCACTTTTAATTTTGGAAGGCAACCGAAGGCAATACTCTCTGCGTGTTGCATCATGATCCAACTGGTTTGGGTTAACAAGGTGTTGAGATAAAGATGTAGCCAGTACATATCAAACTGAGCTGGAGAGAAAAGAGAAAGAACTGCAGTGGTGACATCATGACGGCAGGACGCAGGTGCCATGTTGCCGGAAATGCCGCATCTCCTACCGTGAGGGTCCTCAAAGGACCAAAGCTGTGTCTGGGAATGGATACAAAGTACTTGGCCACAGACATCGATCGATATAGAGCTACATTACATAAAAGTTATATGATACCCACAACTTATGCTTACAATACTCAGTTCATACTTGGACTGTACAGCTGCAAGCGTCCACTAAATAGTGTTTTGATGATCATCTCGTATCGCTGCATGGGTCACTCTGACAAGTGTCATCAGGTCGCATTCGTCCCTTCTCAAGATCTGGCCGAGGCCGTCGAGCCATCGTCGACCTCTCGTCGCCTGGTAGAGTTCTTAGTCTCTGCATGGATATTGGGTACCTCCGCGTTAAGCAGTCGAACAGCCAGCGACTCAAGCAAAAGCAAGGAATAGAGAGTCCGTCTGACCACAACATGTCAAAGATAGCAAATGAATGACATGAACACGCCAACTCACGAATGACGATGGATCCAAGGACCACAAAGAATACAATAGGTTGAAGTGCTATGGCAAGTTTCTGGGCCTGATCTGTTTGTGGTGATTGCGCCACGGCGAGCTGGTGCACAGCCATTGTTGAAACGAAAATCACGCTGACGCCCATCTGGACGAGGGATCACAGCTAAGAAGAACCATTCTCGTATCAAGCGAGTGACTCACTGGGCCTATAAGAGTGCCAAGATGTATGAGCACAATTGCAAGTGCGAAGACCTGAAATCCATACTGAAGTGTCCACAGAACAACGCTTGCCTCCAGTCGCGGACCTCAGGCACAATTCTGAAGAGAAGCAAGAGGCAAGGTATGCGTCGCAGGAAGATGATGGCAATCATTAGCGCTACGAGCTTGGCAGGTGTGATACCTACTTCTGGTAAAGTATAAAGGTTGAAGGGAAGCCATGCGCCAATATAAATAAAACATCCGCAATTGAGAACGAACTCTATGACGCTTGCGAACTTAAAAGAGGGATCCTCTGTTTGTTCCAGATTCAGAGAGTGGCTCGAGGGGGCCATGTCATTTGACTGCTCTGAAAAGTGGCTCATTTGAGAAACTGCCTCGGTTGCTTTCCGAGAGTTGACTAAAGCTGTGCCCTTTGTTTGCCCTTGAAAGTTTTCGTCCCAAGCTATTGCACATCCTGTCCCGCACCATTCATGCCCAACGCTATGGAAAACATGAAGACCACTTGCCTGCAGCAAATGATGCTAGGAGATCATCGACACCAATTGTGCTAGCGACTCCCATTGTGAAGAGGCTCAAACCCATATACTGGGCTAGAAATGACTGACGGTCCGTAAAGTTCTTCCCCTTCGTCAGTCGGAGTGTCTTCGAGAACAGAAAGCCTAGATAAAATGGTCATGACTTATCTAGAAAATGGCTGGTAGGCAGGTTGATTTCACACACCAATAAAGGCACCCAAGAGTGTTCCAAGGACGACTTGATCTTGTGAAAACGATGAGCATATGTTCCATGCACGTATACAAGCAAAGACGCACAGAAAATACCGTCGACGACCCATTTCCAAATTGCTGTCTTCGCAGATGCCTCAATAGTCAGATAAATGGCGATGCTGAGAAATGGGTAGGCAAGGCCATCATTCGCAGCCGACTCGGCGGAAATGATATCACGGATATCTTTATTGACATTTTGTTCTGCGAATTTTCCACCTTCAAATCTTCAGTCTGGCGAATAGGAACATGGGCAGCAAAATTACCTGTGATCATGGCACATGTTACCGGGTCTGTGGGTGTAAGACATGCTGCAATGCATAAGGCGGAAATGAAGTTGAGCGCTGGGAACAAGGCGTGCAGTACGGCTGTTGCAAGACACCGTGGTTGATCGTGAGCTGGGATTTGGACGAAGAAGGAACGAATGAATCATTCGACGCGCATACATACCCGCTACACTGAGCCATCCGAGCGCCATGGTCGGCACAACCATGATGAGAAGTCCCCTGAGGTGATCCCACATGTATTTGGCCGGGAGAGCAACTCCGATGGAAAATAGGCCAAAGGCGAGGACGACACGCATAAACTCGAGTGTGACAGTGTTTGTCAAAGCACTTGACCCCCATCCACGTGGGTCAAAAATCCCTGCGCCATAAGGACACAGAGCAACACCGATGGCAGTTCCAAGCACAACTTCATTGATGTACAGCTGTGATACTTTAGTCTACGATAGACATAGACAACGAAATAGCATTTTTACCTTCTCTTTAATCAGCAAGGATATGGCCGAAATCTGAACTTGAAGCCGCAAATAAAGCGTTACAAATCGAACATATCAGTATTTCGTCCTCATGGTGCTTACCAGGGCAACGAAGCCTCCCAAAAAATGAATGCCAATCCAGGTGACGTGACCTAAAGTGATTAAATAAGAACCCTGGATGTGTTGCTTGTGTCATACCTGAAGAAGTTCCAGACTCATAGCAGGGAGAACAGTCAAGGAGAGATGGAGGCACTCTTACTGGGCATGCTCCTTCACACTTATGTACTTGAGTGTTTGTGAAGCCATACATTGCCATACCGTGCGCATCCCATGCTGGGGACCGTCCTCCGAGAAAGGTAGTCTGCATCCTTGCCTCACTGATTGGCGCTCATTGAATTGGTGCAGAGTGGTGCAAAAAGCAGACTTTGACAGGAAGCTTGCTCGGGAGCAGGCAACAACCCACCCCTTCGCACACAGCCTCGAGAAAACCCGTTACGCCGACTGGACACTGACGATAGACCTGCTGAAGTCGGTAAGCGCGATCATTGAAGAACATAGGCTATACTGTGGTTGTAGGGAAAGTCGACAGGCGCGTTTCCATAAATAGACCAGCGCGTCGACGTCTCGCGGTGTCATTATTGAATATTGAGGCCTTGAGGTGTCGGGTGCTGTTTTCCATCACTGGTTTTGTCCGCTGCATTTCACTCCCGTCGTCTCAGACTCCTACGGGAACTCCAGTCTAGTTGCATGGCCCCTGTATTCACCACAGTCTTCGTCGCATTTATTGCAATCGTCGCCGGTCTCGGTCTGCACCTGAAACCCTATTTACAGGCTGTCGGCTTGGGGAAGACTGTGACCCCTGTTGGCAATAGCAAGTGCAGGACCCTCCCTGAGCTACAGGCTTGCGAAAGTCAGTACATATGTCTGAGTCACCGTTCACTGCCCCGTTGCTCAGTTCGCTAATTTTGGATCGCATTCTTCACGTTCTCGTCCCCACACGGACACCGTGGCGTTCCAACGTTCATGATGTATGAATGCAGAGGTCGTACTCCACGAGCCTTCGGGGCACCTCTGGCTTGCATGCTCGAATTTCGAGGGCCGCAAGCACTGGACGCCGGCTCTCGACCGTCTCGATGCATCCAGGAGGTCGACTGACGACTACGTTGCGCGCGTTGACCCTGAGACCAACACAGTCACTCGCATGAAGCTCACGAGTTTCACAGAGGAGCGTGGGCTGTCCGTGCATGGCATGGATGTTGTGCCCTCCGAAATAGACCCCACCATCCTTTATGTGTATCTTGTCAACCACCGTCCGCCCATTCATGGCGATGCAACCAGAATCGGTGCAGACTCGGTCATTGAAATCTTTGAGACGAGGCAGGGCAGCGAGACGCTCGAGCACGTTCGCACAGTACACGATCCCGAGGTGATCATTACGCCGAACGACGTCATGGGATCTTCAGACGGCAAAAGCTTCTTCTTCACGAATGATTATGGCATCAAAGCTGGCTGGGTAAGGGGCGTCCCATTGCTGGCTAACAACAGAGTGGCTGAACGCACAACAGAGGCGTACACTCAATTTGCTGCTGCAGCTCTCGGGCGGATCTGTTGGTTACTGTCATCTTCACACGGGCTGCAAGCTAGCTGCCCGCAACGTCCATGCCGCGAACGGAATTGTCAAAGGCAGAGGTGCGAACGAAACAGTGTTTGTAGGAGACAATGTTCTGGGAGATATCAGCGTGTTCGAAAAGCAGGCAGATAACTCTCTCGTACTTACTGAAGTCATCAAGACCGGTGAGAGTTGCCGTACTATGTCTCAAGGTTTGAGTTAGGTTGAGCATGTTATAACTAGGTATTGCTCACGATAATCTTGCTATCGATGGGAACGGAGCACTCTGGACTGCCGGTAAGCCTTACGACTTGTCCAGGAATTTTCTCACATACATGCGACTTTCAGGGTTGTCCGATGGTCTAGGGTTTATGCTGAAGCAATTCAAGGAGCCGCCTGCGAAGATCGCATCTTCGGCGCTTCGAGTGACCGTGAACCATGGTGTAGGCGCGTTTTACGGAGAGAAGTACAAGATTGACAAGGTCAGCCACGAGCCTTTAAAGTGAAAGTGGCTATTGTTTTGATGAGAGCTTGTAGGTGTTCGAAGATGCTGGTGAACTGGTATCTGGTTGTACCTCAGCAGTATATGACTCTACAAAAGGGCGGTTGTATATGCACGGTTAGTCCCTTGCATCGCGTACGCGATGAAAGCGCTGACGAGTCGTTTCAGGACTAGCGTCCCCTCACCTGACTATCTGTGAGCTTTGAGGACACACTAGCAAAAAAACATATGTATGTCCGTACAACATATAATAAGTATGCTTAGTAGCCATATCAGCAACGTCGTGATCACGTTAGAGTTGCCTCGTATATGTGCTCGTCATTGTAAGTGTAAGTGCGTGCTACCTGAGGTTGCTTGAACCGACCATGAGGCGAGATAAGGTTAGGGATGACATGGACAGCGGAGGCAGTACTACCCCGCACTAGTTCAGGCAAGTCGCACGCTTATCTGCCAGCGAGCGTTCGGAACAGCGGCCAATCGTGCTCCTGAGATTTGTGCTCTGGTCCTCTGCCTGATTCCGTCTTCGAATTCGGCTCTCTTCGGTCCCCCGCTCCGGCGGTATATAAGGGTGTTTGATACGGGATTTTGACAGAAACACGCAGCCCGCTACCGGCTTATCTGTGTACGTGTCCCTAGCAGTACCAACGATGGGTGCATCTCCTTCGAAACCCGCTGCTCCCGAGAGCACCTCCAAATCCGTCGAGTCCGTCTTCGAGGAGAAGTGTTCCATCCGTTCTCTGCCTAGGCACTCCGTTCTCGACCTCCATGCCGCTCCCAAGTCCGCCACTGGCGCTGTGTCTCTCGACAACGTCTCGACGTGGGAAGGCATTGCCGCTGCTGATGACAAGATCCAGCTCGCTCGCACCGTCTTGGCTCACAATAATGTCAAGACTTTGACTTCTCGGAATGCCCAAATTGCCATTCCGCATGTCTTTAACACCGAGGTCGACTTCAAGACTGGCCCTGTAACTGACCAGAAGTCGAGTGGCCGCTGCTGGCTGTTCGCTACCACCAATGTTCTCAGGTTCGAAATCATGAGGAAGCTCAAACTCAAGGAATTCCAGCTCTCTCAGGTACATTAATATCTGTATCGGTTGCTCTAGTGCTGACAGCTCTGTTTATAAGTCTTACCTTTTCTTCTGGGACAAGCTGAACCGGTCTAACTACTACCTCGAGCTTGCCATTGAGAACTCCGATCTCCCCGTCGACCACCGTTTGGTTGACTTCCTGTCACGCGACCTCATCAGTGATGGAGGTCAGTGGGACATGGTGGTGAACCTGCTCGAGGTCAGCTGTTATTCTGGATCACAACACTCACACCCATCAATTTCAAATTTATCTAGAACTACGGAGTTATTCCTCAGACTCTGTTCCCTGAAACCCTGCATTCGTCTTTGTCCAGCCCTTTGAACAAGCTCCTCAAGACGAAACTTCGTGAACATGGCCTGACTCTTCGGTCTATGTCTGAATCACTCCGTGCAGATCCGACCATCTCTTCCGAAGCTGCCATTGCGACACTCCGGGCCAAGAAGGAGACGCTCATGCAGGATGTGTATACGATCATGACCGCGACGCTGGGTGTGCCACCGAAGCCCAATGTTCCGTTTACGTGGGACTATTATGATGAGGACGGGAAGTATCACAATTGGACCGGAACGCCGCTCGAATTTTACCATGCTTTCAAGGGCAAATACTCAGTAAGCTGACATTTACTGTGTCGGTTTTCGAGCTAAACCATTTCCCCTACTAGCCGGCGGATAGTTTCTCCTTGATTAACGACCCGAGGAACGAGTTCACAAAGCTATACTCGGTCGACAAGCTTGGTAACATTTGGGGTGGCCGCCCTGTCCTTTGTGTGTAGCATTTGCCTCTGATTATTGCAACTAGCTGACCAGAGTCAGATGTCAACACCGAGATAGAGAACTTGAAACAGGCTGTCATCAAGTCTATCAAGGCTGGGCACCCTGTGTTCTTTGGCTGCGACGTCGGTCAATTCTCCGATTCAGCTAACAGCGTCGGCGTGATGGATATCGACCTTTTCGAGTGGGAGAAGACGTTCAATATCACACTGTCCATGACCAAAGCCCAGCGCCTGGAGACAAATGAATCTGCCATGACCCACGCTATGGTCATCTCCGGCGTTCATATCGATGGCAATGGCCGACCTGTCCGCTTCAAGGTCGAGAACTCGTGGGGCCCTGATCGCGGAGAGAAAGGTTTCATGGTTATGAGTGAGAAGTGGTTCAATGAGTAAGTCGTATCCCCCCTTGCATTGGAACGTTGTACTAATAGGTGTTTAGATTTGTATACCAGGTAGTGGTGCATAAGTCACTTGCACCTCGGGAATTGGTGAAGGTCTTTGAGTCTGATGAACGCATCGTACTGCCAGCTTGGGACCCCATGGTACGTCCCTTGTCTATCTATGCTATCTAACTATCTAGCCCTATCTAACCGGGGCATGTTCTTCAGGGCGCGCTCGCATGACCAGCGTACCTTCATGATCACGACAAACACTCGTTTATCCACCGCATGTATCATACCCTTCACGATGTTTCAATATAATCGTTCGACCTTCATTGTCCCAAAAATTTCGGCCTAGTAGATGCTTTTGATAGTGGCCAATCGCGAGGCTTTTGCGGTCCTTCTTTCAAGGTTGAAGACTCATAGGAGCTCGCTCATCGGTCCCGAACAGGCTCGCCGCTCCACGACACAGGCGCTGGAGTGGTACCTGTCCTGATTTCCGACCAATGAAGGAAGCCGAAACGCGCGCGAATTATTCACCTTAAAGGTACGAATAATGTTAACGATAGCACTCATCTGCAACTGTGCCTGACATAGGTCTGTTCAGCAGCTTTATATATAAGACCAACCGACATGTCGCAATAAGTCAAGGTAGGCACTCTCACTATATCTTCCCCCCTGATTACTGTGTTCCTTCCCCTCCCATAGCCGCTTTCATTAGAATGCGCCCTCGTTGGACTGGACTCTCGTTCGTCAGTTTCGTTGGCTCGGCCATAGTCAGAAAGGCCAATGAGCGGTGGGTCGAGTGTAAGTACTGAAATTTAATCCGTTCATATCCCGTGTTGTTACCCCAGCTCACAGTGGTCATCGACAGATAGGCGGGTTTCACCTGAGAAAGCCGGCAAAGTAGCCTTGCAAAACCTCAACAACAGCGTGCTCTTCGACGACGAAGACGTTACCTACGGCCTCGAGTCTTCATACCCTGATAACCTCTCTACACGCAAGCTCTTCCCATCCACTGGTCGGTACAAGCGGCGGAGGCGCAGCCGCAGCGTATGCTGCGGCACCAAGTATGTTTTCCTATTCTTAGGACACAAGTTCACACCTCAATTCTATTGCCACTAGCTGCGCTTCGCGCTGGAAGGCTATCGGTATCGTGTTAGGTATCGTGGCTCTATGGAACTTAGTTAAATTGACATCATGGGTAATCTCCGTGGGTTTAACCATTTTATTCTTTGCACTAACGGCCGATACTGAGGGCTGCGACGTCCGCGTAGCCTACTCTCACTGGAATAGGGAACATGCCCGAGTACAGCACCTCACTTGGATGTATAGATGCGCCTTATCAATATATGGGCTCAAATACTACATTTGTGGTCCCTATTGGCGACCATCGTCGCCTTGCGTTCCTCATATTGGGCACGGCGCTCGGTACTCTCACTCTCGTCGAGGGTACTGCTGATTCCGCTGAAGTCGTGTACGATGTTTCTCTACGGAGAAGTGACACGGATTCTTTCGACGACATCTCCCTCGTTTCTGACGAACAGGGCCAGTTTACCATCAAAACCCCATCAGTGAAAACGTCCGGCTGCATGCGCTATGATATCGTCGCCTACCTCCCGCGCAACCTACGCAGCATCGACATCACATCTGACTCAGTAATGCAGCTCAGGTTTCCCGAGTTTGGCGGGCACAGCCTGAGCTCGATAACCAGAGCCAGACTCGACAGCATCGCGATCAACTTGCGGTCTTCCGCGGATCAGCTGAATATGTTCCTTCCAACCCTCGCTCTCCAAGCCACACAAACGTACATCGACATACACCGTGGCTGGCTCATCGGCGATCTTTCTCTCGGCGACCACACTGAGTTGCGCACGCAGCGCGGTGACGCTGTCACAGCTCTCCGCGTCGTGCCATCCCCGTCACCCACACCGTTGCTAGCGCGTATCCACGACGTCTCGCTCGTTGCCGTCACGGGGACTGGCCCGATGAACATCACCTACGCACGCGAAGCGGGTGCACCGCATCGCAGGATTGACAGCACACACGTATCGGAGCGTGGCGGCGATTTGTACCTCACATATGACGATGCCAAGTTCAGTGGGGTCATCGACTTCTTTGCGAAGTCGTATTCGACGAACGGGCTGCAATGGACGTCCAGGTCTGAGGCTGAGAGTCGGCTGGGCGAGCTGCGGTGGGCTGGGAGCAAGGATGGGGACGATACGCTCTCCGTTTCGTCGCCTGGTGGGTGGGTTGGACTGTATATGTGATGTTGAGAAAGCGACTTGTCGCCTGCGTGATCACGATACTCAAGTCGGAAATCGTGTGTGGTTTATTAAGCTAGCATGTCTTGAACCAGGGACTCTACTATATGCATGATTATGTGTCTCAGTGCCACCACCGGCAGGCTATAACAGCACGTCGACGTTGCGACAGTTGATGGGTTTCCCATCGCACCAAACTCAAATTGAAACTAACAAGGTATGGTTTCAGGAGATGTCTGATTTTGCTTCTCTCGCTCAACACGAGTCCAAACTTCAAAGCTTCACCAACTGATAAGGTCTCCGGCGTAGGTCCAATCAACGTGCACTCAAGCTAAGTTCGCCCTCGGACACCGAACAGGGTCGGCTGGAATGTGCGCTTCGCTGTTATCCGACTGAACTTAATGACGTCTGCAATGGATTGAAAGATAGCGGTTCTGAATCTACGTACAGGCCAGCCAACTACTGAAAATCTTATGCGAAGAGGACGACCCTCGGTGGACACCGAAGTACTCCCATGTCAGGCGCGCTTCAGCGCCTCAGCTTTAGCGGCAATTAGCGGCGCGGACGAAGTATGTGCCGAATCAAGCGAGCTCTCTTTTCTCTCACTCCTTGCAGCCACCCAAGACGCCGCTTCCACTTTAGTCCTCGGCGTCGCATTTGCCTTCATCAGCTAGTTCAGGCCTTGCCCGAGGAAATGGGCTCAAAGGAACCACTCAAGTAACCCACAGAATTACACCAACCTTGGGATGTTGTCAAAAGATATGACGGCGGCACCGTGGTGTCCATCTCTACAGCACCAACCACCCAACGCGCAGACTAGCTCTTGACCTGATATTGTAACAGGCTTCGTTCTCCTCTAGCGCCCGTGGCCCCATGTCTCCCTTCTATACGTTGTGGGGGCCGGTCCCGCTAATAGCCTCGTCGTCTCGTGGTGGACATGAAAGGGGATAATATCATTTCTCGAGAATGCAGGACTCGAGAGTTCGTAGTCCCCACCAATCCTTTTCGAGGAAGGGCACTCTACCCGGTCTCGTCTCCCTGTCACCAGCCTTCCTTTTTTCCTGTATGGCCAAAATATGTCGAGCACGATCCAGTCTTCCTTCTTGATCGGCTCTTGGAAAACCCACCCATCCAGGCGTTGCCTCTTTCGTAACGACTTCCATCCGATAATGGGCGATCTTCACGCTTCGCCACGCTTGCGTACTAGCAGGCCCGTACTTGATTTGGACATTGCCGATGCGGGAGTGCTCTCCTTCGATCATATTACACGGTTGAATACGTCAAAAGCACCGTCATGGAGACATCTTTGGCGAAGATATCATGAGTGGCCGAATGCAGGTTCAATATTCCACGCTATTTGATGCTTCGCGCTATTTGTCGTTGGAGAGCAGGGTTTCAGGGACACACAATCGAGCTGAAGTTTCAGACGATATACGATGCCGGACCGTCCTTTGAGGACACTGTTGATCCTTGGCTAGGACATCACTGCCGATTGGTGATCATCTCCTGACATTTTGGCGAGAGGCGTTTCTCTATAAAAGGCTGCATGATCCAGCAACACTAGCTAACGAACATATCACGTCTTCCTCCGGCGTTTTCAACATTGCAATGCTCCCAAGTTCGAACACTTATTTGTCCTTTTCCTCTACACTTCCCACAGAATTACTTTCGGCCATCTTCATAGAATGCGCTAGCTGCCCCGATCATGACTTCGACCCCTTACCCCTCCGTGCACCCATTGAGTTTCATACGTGTGGTCCCGAATGTCTTTCGTGGATTAGCATCACCCAAGTGTGCCGCCAGTGGAGGCTGATCGCCCGTTCAACGCGGTCTCTCTGGACTGCAGTGCCTCTGTTCGATCTGAGATGGACGCAAGAGATGATGAGTTGTGCTGGTGCGTTGCCCCTGACAGTTCAAGCTGATCTGTCGCTCCTTTGGCGACCTCTTGACGGTCTGCGGGAGGTCTTCAAGCACATCGGGCGTGTACGGGAGCTGCAACTTTCAGACGGTGGACAGAGAGATGAAACCGAAGATCTTTTTAGGGGCATTCGTACGGGTGGAAGCATTCCCAATCCTCTAGAAACACTCTGGCTCCGATCGGAAGACATTGCAGGCTGCACAGATTCTCGTTTAGCCTCTGCCATCTTTCAGCTATCGACACCATCGTTGAAGACATTACGTATTGATAATTGGGCGCTAGACTTCCGGACGGCATCCCATGCCCTCCGAAAGCTTACAAATCTCCAGCTCATCTCGGTCTCCTGTGCTGATTATAATGTCTTGGATTTTATGACTGCACTGGCGGCAATGGGCGATCTTCAAATGCTGACGCTTAACCGTTCGCTCCCTTCCCATCAGGAAATCATAGCATATGACATTGCCTTGCCCAACCTGACCTGCCTTGACATGGAGGACGACGTTTTAGATTGCAACGCAATGCTTCTAAACTTCCGTCTATCTCGTCCCCTGGTTCAATTCCGCTTACACTGTGATTATCTCTCTCATGAACAGGAACTACCCGTCCTTCGTTCTATGATCCAGCAGAGCAGGATGTTGAAGGAGAGCTCAGATGGTCCACTGTTCAGTTTGGCGGGTCACCTCTCTGGCCTTTCTTTTGGGCATTTTTCCCAAACGCAAGGAAGCGTCCGTTTTGAGCTCTCGGCTCAAACATCTGTTGGCTATCACCGCCCTACCCAGATTACGGGACAAGGCTGGCGACTGCCCGCACTCTCCGTGGGCTGCAGCTGCTTTGTCGAAGACGCAGAATCCTTCCTCTCTCACATCCTTGGGATTGTATCCATTCATTCGGTCTCATTCGCCAACTTCTTCGGATTTGACATGCCTCAGTCATGCTGGGATATTTTATGCAGGGAGCTTCGCTCCGTGCAAGTACTTTTAGCCTCAGGATGCAACGCGGACAGCATGGCGCGGGCGCTCATGCCTGTACTCGGCCAAGAACTCCCGGCTCCCAAGCTCCAGCGCTTGTTGTTGTTCGAAGTCGGGCTTGATGCGTGTCAATCCGTGGATGTTCCCACCCTTCAGGAATTGATTGCAGTACGGCAGTCTCGAGGATCTTGGTTGGAAGTATCAGAGGTAAATCCGCGCCTTGCGATTGGAGCGAGAGGAAGAGATTGGGTTACCCTTCAGAGTCAGGGCCTTGACGCCGTGTGGGACGTCGTTAAAACATTGTTAGACGTGGACTCGGTTTATAAAAGTGAGTTGTTTTTGACATTATCGGTCTGCAGAGTCTTATGTGGCTCCTTAGGCAAATTTCTATGATCCCTTCATCAACAATTCATTACGCCTTTAGGTCGTACTATGAGCAGTCGGTGAATGCTCAGTATTTAGTCACTAGTAGTGCATGTTGCTGTCGATCTCCACACACTGCCACTGAGTTTAGTGATGCTTCTTTGAGATGGTGATCGGTATACTTAGAGGTTTAATTCATTCACTGTCATTTACAAGTCTTATGCGCGCCTTATGTCAAAGAGCGAGGAAATTTCTACACCTTCACGTCATTCATAATTACTGGATAAGTTATCGGTAGCTAATGTGAATTATAAAACACCGAATGCTCGGAGTGTTTCAAGCCCATGCCGCGTTGACGCGCGTGTTTGACAGACGCGTGTCGTTGCGGCCGGGCAAGGACATGGACTTCACGACGAGTATGTCTCATAGCCAGGGTATATAACCTGCTTCCATAAACGCGTTACTTTACATCATCCGAACCCACATCCACGCTTTCATACAACCATGAAAGTCATTTTGACAGGGGTAACCGGTGTAGGTACGTGGAGACCTCCATTCGTTCCTCCAATCTGAATACTAATATGTACTTCATATTGAAATATCACAGCTGGCAGTGCGATTTTCCGACACGCTGTGGCTGACACTGAGGTGAAAAAAATCACTGTGCTTTCTCGCCGCGAGCTTCCCGCGTGGCTCGACGCATACCCAAACGACAAGACAGATGTTGTCGTAATGGACGATTTCCTCAAGTATACTCCAGAACTTCGATGCAAACTTGCCGACCACGACGCATGTATCTGGGCTCTTGGCAAGACCTCTGTTGGGATGTCAGAGCAAGAATACACACGCATCACCTATGACTACACGATGCACTTCGTTGAACAATTGCAGGAGGCGCGTAGGGAGAAGAATGTCGATTCTCCATTCCGAATTGTCTTTATCTCTGGCGAAGGCGCAGACCAGACAGAAAAGGGTGTACAGCTCTTTGCCCGCATAAAGGTAGGCGTCAAGACCAAAGCATACGTACGGACGATTGACCGACCATTGACGTCGTAGGGTCGTACAGAGAAGGCTCTTCTTGCAATCCCAACGTCGACGGGCATCAAGGCGTCCATCATGCGACCGGGGTATTTTCATCCGTCCAAGGAACACCCACGAGACCGCCTCAATGTTCGTGGCCCTTGGGCAAGAGCAGCAGACACGGTTATGGGACCCTTGTTCTCAACTATCGCTCCATCCATGTATACCCCGATAGGCGAACTTCGAACATTTGCCGTTGAGACCGCGAAGGGGAGATGGGCAAATGAGGATCTGTTCCGGAACGCTAGGATGAGGGAGCTAATTAAAGGTATGCGTTCAGAGCAGGGAGGAGCCGATTAGCTGCAGGTTCTTCGTAATCGAGCTGTGCGAATTATGATCCATGATATTGGTCGACATTAAGCGTATATGGTGAATGACTGGGGATGAGTATGTTCTGGTCTATGAGATATAAGTAAAAAACACCAAGGTCGAAAGCAAATCAATCAAGTGCACAGCGGCCAAACTCACTAGCTCGAGCTACCTGAGCTTGGCCCTGTGCCACTACCCGCAGTTCCAGTTTCCGAGGGCCCACCCTTAGACGCAGGACCAGCAGCCTCCTCCACTGTTGCGCGCATTTCTGCTTCTATCCGCTCCCGTGCCCGAAACACCTTGCTTTGCAGATAGTGAGAGTATGCTGGTGGTGCTGGCTGTCTGGCTTTGGGGCCGGTGCTTTCAGCCTTTGGTGTGGGTTTAGGAGAGTTAACTTTAAAGAGATGCTCGTAATTCTGGATGTGCAATTAGCAGAATTCATAATCTTATACAACGGGCGTACCTTTATTACACCTTCCATCTCTTCGCTGCGTTTCACATTCAGGATGAGCTGTGCCTCATCCAATGTCATGCGGTGCTCTCGAGTGAGCCTGTCTGTTAGTGAGCCGGTGTTTGCGTTCCTAACCCCCGCCACGTCCGCGCCCAAGGCAGCCTGTGGCGAATGCTTTGCATCTGGAAGAAACGGGACTGAGTGAGGCTCGTAGTGCGATTAGATGCGCATGCATACTCTTCACGGCTTGCCGCCCTGCTGCCAGAAAGGCCTTGCCGAATATCTGAGCACCAGTAACAAGAACCTGAACAATGATTTTGGGCGCAGACTGTCATAGCGTATCAATTGCCGAGCTTGCATAAGACGACGTTTGGTGACCCACCATTACGCGATAACCAGAAGAGAGGAAAAAGGGAAAGGGAGGAATACGGCCAGAGTCCGGAGACGCGACGTGAAGGGATGAGCAAGAAGAAGATGCCGAATACCGTGGGAACTTTCAAAATTTCTGTCTCTCGAGCTCATCGCCAGACGCGACGCGCAGCCTGGGGCCCATATCTCCTCACCCCGTCCAGCCCGTTCCTTCATTCATGGATGCTTCACAATCTCACAAAAAACGAAAGTATGTCGAAGTTGCCAATGCCACGCCGTCCCCTAAAAAGAAGAAAGAGCGCAAGGACAAAGGCAAATCCACCATGTCCCATGTAGCTCTCAACGTTCACAAAAACGGCAAAGGCAAAGCGCGTGCCGATAGCACAGGAGAGTTCTCTGTCGTCCAGGCATCTCTCATAGTATCTATTGCACCGGTGTTTGCCAGTAATCTGCAGGGTGGTGCGGAGGAAATGCTTGATTCCATGATTATGCGGTGAGCGACTTTATCTACCCAACTATAGTTCTTTTTCATGAGGATCGTCCTAGATATATTCCAGCATTACAAGGCGTTGTATTGGCACACCATAATCTCAAATTCCTCAGCAGAACAGCTACCATTAAGGCGGACTGTCCGTTTACAGTATGTCCCATTTGCTTTGATGCAACCGTATGGCGACCTCGCGTCGGTATGAAACTGGGTAAGAACCGTTGGGTGTACCTCTGCTGCATGGCGTTTAAACGCAGTCCCTTCTTCCAGTCGGCAAAGTGAATCTATGTTCGCCAGATCATATCTCTTTGCTCGTGCATCGTACATTCAACGTCTCGATACCTCGTCACCACATACCGACTGACAGCTGGGAGTTCGAGTATGGACCCGCTGAAAATGACCCAGAGTTTGGAGTGAATATAGATGATGCCGATACCCTGAAAGTGTCTGTATCCCAACGAGGAGAGAATGCGAAAGAGAACGAAGAAGAGGGGAGTGGGCGTTGGTCACACAAAATCACGGGGACCAAACTGGGTGGGGATGATGGTTTCCTGAAGTTCACGGTCGTTGGGTAAGCGGCCAGATACTTGCATATCTTACTAATCCTAATCCTCTCTCTAGTCTCACTGTAGCGAACGAGATGTTGTCGCTGCAGGGTTCCATACAAACGGATCCATTCTCTCCAGAACATAAACCTCGCGCTACTCGGTCACCAGATCCGGAATCTGAGGCCCCGGACATAGCTGAAGTGGATGAAGAACTCGCCGAAGCCGATGAAGACGAGGAAATCGACACATTCGCGCGACTGGCCAAGATGGGAGAAGAAGCCATTGCAGAGGAGGCGAGGCGAAAGAAGCAAGAAGAGCAGGTAGAAAAGCAGAAGAAACAGGAACGGAAAGAAAAGAAAAGAAAGCGCCGAGAAGGCGATGAAGGAGTCACGAATGTGAACAACACCCAAGAAAGTAGTAAAAAGAAGGCCAAGGGAGAAAAGACCAAACGCAAAAAGGCTGCTGAGCCGTGACGTGTTTGTGATGTCTATATTCTAAATGCATCTCGCTGGTGGACCTGGGCTGCATTGCAACTCATCAATTTTTTGTCGTGGATTATGGTGAATGCAGTGCGCGGCAAGCTGATATCGGGAAAGCTTGCTGCTGCTATACAAGTATATGCTCCTCTGGGCAGACATCAGATTTTAAGCGGCGTCAGCATGACCTTCCAGATCACCTCCCCCATCTTCTGCTCATCCAGAACTTTGTTCAGTTCATTCCTTCGCCGTGCGTCATCTGCCTGCTCCTTCGTAATATCACCGCTCTGCTCAGACTCGTCGATGAACTCTGCTATCAAATCCTTGGTATACTCGGGATGACCCTGCGAAGTGAAGATGCGAGTTTCCGCGTAAATAAGGTCACGGTCCAGCACGATCTCTTCTGCTGATGTGGTCGGAGACCTGCTGAAGTCAGATATCCCGCGCGAAACCGATCCTTGGTTCGGGGTCAGCTCTGAAGAGCCCCACTTGTACACCAGGAAGTTTCTGGTCCGGTTTCCTGCGTCAGCTATGCCACGCAGCTTGCTAATCAACGTCGGCGAGAAAACCATATATGCGTGCCACATCTCTAGCCACTGCTCTGCGATTACTCGTCGTTTGTGAAGAGGTCTGACTGCTGCATGCTTACCAGCTTGTCTACTTCGGGTTCGAAATATGCCTGGCCAACAGCGTTCAAGAAGACGTCATAAGGGCCTATCTCCAAACCCTTGGGATTGACGTCCACTTTTGAACCGAAGACCGCATGGGAGATCAGTTGATGTCCAAAACAAATACCTGCGATTTGTTCAAATCGGTGTCGATGGACGAGCTACACACAACGCACCAACGAGCTTGATTTTGGTGTGGTTCTCCGCGATGTCGTGCACAAGTCTACCTAACTTCAATATCCACGGTTCCGGGTCAGGGACGTTGCTGCCTGTGGTATAATGTCATCTTTTGGACAGAGCTGTCAAGATAGCAGGTGTTTGACATACTGGAACCCGTCAGCCAGACAACATTGTAGTCGTCGATGTTGGCAGGGTACTCGTCTTCGTACACATTGAAAAGATCTAGCTCGAAAGGATTCACGAGTCCATCAGGCGCAGTCTTCGTCAAGAAGCTCCCTAGGATCGTGCGGTGATCAAGTGTTCCACACTTGAAGACGGCAATGCGGATTGTCATGGTGCAAGTGAACTTGAATGGGGGATACCAAGCCTATACAGAGCTAGGTTATGGCTCCTGATGATGTGAGACTTTATAGATTATAGATCTATGAGAACGTTCCAGGTACCAACCTACATAGAGCTCACAAACCTCGAAGTCAACAGCTCGTATGGAAGAACGTGGAGAACGTGGAAATGACTGACGCCGGAACACACATGTCTCCCATAAGCTACTTTGGCAACCGCTTGCGGTTCGACTGAATGAAATCGCTGGTGTCACGGGTTGTCAAAGAGGTCGATGCCAAAGAGGTTGGTGCAATTCCAAGCCAGGCCTGTAATTTCTATTCTCATGTGTACCATATAATCAGCCAAAATCGTCCAAGTACCGAGCTTTGACGTGCTCTATCGTTGAAGTCTATCATTGAATGAGTTCGTTACCCACAAGTACTAACTAAGGATGAAATTTGAAACCCGAGTCTATTTAAGGAAGATGTCGATAATGCATTGCCTGCAGTAATCAATCTATACTCGGTTACACGCCATACAGAACGCTTCTCTCAATAAGAGGGTCAATAGCGATCTCTTGCTCGTAACCCACGATAACAGGTGGCAAAAAGTCCCACCAGTCACTATCATCCTTCACTGTCCTCAAGTTCATCGCTTTCAGATGTTCCCAGTATTCTGGATAAAACCCTCCCAGCTCCCATTCGATGATTCCAACAGTGACCTTCTCAACACCCTCTTCGTCACAGATGTTGACGATGAAATTGTCGGGGTGTAAGTCGACATGGGTGAGGACTACACGATGGTCAGAGCGCAGCATCGACAACGCCCATGCGCGGCACCGAGCAGAGGTGTGTTTCATTGATTGCTCGTCTGTGCCAATGAACTCGTTGAATTCGGCCTCGGTGGGGATAGGACGCGCGGTTTGGCGCAAGATCCGTCGTAGGTCTTTACAGACTGGCTGAGGCGATAGCGAGCCCAGAAGCTTGGGGTCTGCATCTCTTGCTTCGGGGCTCCGAATGCTGGTCCACGGTATACTCCGAAGCGTGACGAGCATATCATTGAGAGATGACTGCACTGCGAGCTTCTGAGATGCGGTCATCGTCGGCCAGACGGCTTTGAGAGTAGCTCCAGGAAGGCGTGTCATGAACAAACACGAGACAGGACCGATGGTGACGAATCCATGAACTCTTGGTGCCGAGATGGTAGGAGTGTGAGCCTGCAGAAACTGGAGCATGTGAAGCTCATCCGGGCTGACGTTGAACCCAGTCTTGACCACAACAATATCGTCAAGAGGAACAACAGCGGCCGTAACATTCACAGCTAGAGGTTTTTGAATAGTAAAGAGACGTAAAATGGCTTCGCCGACCTGGGGGGGGTGAATATCCTTCTTCGAGATGAAGAGAGGTTAAGGCATGCCGAGACACGGGGGACACAATCTTAACGTAGTCCTCCTCAAAAGGCCCATGCGGATGAAAGGATAGGGGAGTGAGATCATGGCTGCAGCGTTCTCGCAAGATGGGCGGGGACGCAGGACAACTAGTTTCTATACATACACGTCAAGAAAATCATTAGCAAGAAGAATCGAAGAAGTACAACCTACATACCTAGATGTGCTGTCTTGGCCCGTCGAAGATCTGCACCAGAACGGTTGCGTGTATACTTGGTGGATAAGTCGCGAAGAGCTCCCTCTATGTCTCCACCTGGGTCAGCTTCAACAAGCTTTGTGAGTCTACGCATAACAGCGGCATTGAGGGACTCAAAAATAACTCCAAGCGATTCCAATTAGTTGACTCGTGGCCACTATCCGTTGATGACATGACACCATTGGGTATACTTAAGTAAAGAGTGCTGAGGATACGATCAAGAAACAAGAGCTTACTGCCCTGCTAAGTTCTCACGACGAAACGCAATCGACTTCTCTTCGTCGCTATCTACGAGCCATGTGCACATCACAAAACCCATCGGCGGACGCTCTTCCTTAATGTTACGGCCAACAACAGCAACCATAACTACTACGTTTACCAAGCCGTTGGAGAACAAGGCGCGCTGACGCTCGACACCCGTGAAGGCATCCATCCAGAAACGTTGACCCGCTTCAAGTTTTAAAAGCCTCATCTTCGTTTCTGAGCTCGACTCAGAGAGTGGTATTGATATATGTTCACGAAAACACCAGTTCAAGATCCCCGCCTTTCATTCTTTAAACCTTCTGAGAGCCAACTCAAACTCTAGCTAGTAGCTAGTATCGATATCCTCTGTACTTGATTCAATTGCAACGTGCGTACTTCTGAAATTATTGAACAGCTTGTATTTTTCCAAGTTATTCATGTGTCTATCCATGGCCAGATGATGCACATACAGTTGCTCGAGCTCGAGGATCCGCTTAATTATGCATGAATGCTAGCACTCGTGATATAGCCCTGACGATAAATCGTAGTGTCAATGGTCCTGCTTGTAGAAATACAGGTCGCTGGGGACTGCGAGTCGCGGTCTGCAACTACACAGGCGCGTTTGGCCCGGGCAAGGGGAGAGTGTCCGAAGGGCAATCGCGTGAAGCTAACTACGACAGGATTATATTCGTCGATAAAACCTTGGAAACAGCTATAAGATAAGAAATATATCTATGACACGTCGTGATGCGAGCGAGATCCGAACATAATTCCAACGTTACCACTTCTCCGAGGACGACCGCATGGGTTTTGATTGTCTTCCAAGCATGCTTTTATCAAGGAAATTACATGGGAAATTATCGTACCAGCTGCAACTACTCATTTATAACGGTTAAGAGACGTCAAAAAACATGATTGATTTGAGTCACTGATTGAGTTGTGCTCTCCACCAGTGCACACGAGGGTCACCTTTGGCCCTAGGTAATAGACTGTTGTAATCTTAACCACCAACGGCTGCGCACGACCGATCCTTCAATGTGGCAAGAGCCTGGCGCCGCCAGGTTCAAACAACAGGCGCTGAATACACATGGTCTATGGTGCCCATGTTTTGAGCAGTGAAGAACATGTTGAGGTTCCACTTCGAGGCTTGATTGAATATATACTTACGGTATCCTCGACAACGCCGTGACGTGAGCCGTCATCTCTAGCGGGTGAATCCCCACTTCTGAAATGTCAACCTGCTGTCTATATTTCAGCAACGGTATTCCCACTCACTTGATTCTCCCATGCCAGATGCGCTATTTCGCGGTTTGAAGCATTCAGAAACCACTGCAGTCATTTTAAGCCTCGCCTCGCGGAGGCCACGCGAAAGATGGACGCTACGATGAAGCTTGAGCTTAAGCTAAACATAACCTTACGGCTGAAATGGTGGGTAAGGTGCTCGCGGAACATTTGTATGTTCTGGACCAGCTATATAAACCACCCGATATCAAATGCGCATGCGCTCAGCGCCCCCGCCTACCAGGGCCTATTTGGTATGTGGCTGAACTTATGTCATTAGCGTCCAAAAGGCTGACCCGTAAACAACGCCGCTCACATCTCGTAAGACGCATATCTCCCTTCAAACCACTCTTTCGGCTTGCCTGTCCTTAAGGAAGATGTCGTTACGCTGTCAAGTTTTTGAAACCTCTCAGGGACAGGTCGTCCACGTAACCGGAGGGCGCACAGTCTACGTTACTGGACCAGAGGAGACCCAGGCACGTCGTGGACAGCTTACCGATGTATTTCCAGGCCCCAAAGTCTCTGCACTTCGTGGCGAGCTTTTAGACATCACATACGACGAAGTGATCCCAGCCACCCGTGGGGACGTTGTACATGTCCTCGGCGGTCATATCGTGCACATCCTTGGGCACACAGTGGTGCAGGCGCGCCGCGGAGAACTGAGGGATATATCTGATGGAAAGACTGTCAAAGCTACGCGCGGAGAGCTAATTGACGAGACGAGCCGGCGGACGATTCGAGCCGTTCGGGGCGAAGCTACACAGACAACGCGTGGGGTGTGCCACTTGCTTTGTTTTGGCGAAGGAAAACATTTACTGACGAAGACAATAGGGAGTTACAGTTGACGTTGATGCCTCTCAGCACCTGCGCATGAGACGCCCATGACTTCTATGGGATCATTGACTGTGTGGATTGCGAGGCCACTCGCAATACCAATGAACGCATGTAGTTGAAGCGGTTGATCTGCTTCTTGATTGTAGGTACTTAGTCCAGAGAACTCAGGTGAGAGGCTGTTTCAGCTATTTCATAGTTTGAGCATTGAAAGATTAGACAATATATTGGAGATAGATGACCATACAGCATGGGTGCGACAGCCACGGCCGAACACGCAAGGAGCAGCAGAGCAAACACGGGGAAGCGGGGTGAACGCGAGCTTCGTGATTTGCCATAAAGACAGAGATGAATGCTGACGCTCGTGGTACCAGATAGCGTAAGGGTGTGTGTTATAGGCTGAGCTGCAGTATTGCCTCCGGCGGAGTTGGTGCTCGCCACGCCACTTGCGGATGCGTGGGCAATGACGGAGCGCGCGCATGCTTCCATCGCACGTAGGCTGTCCTCGGCTCGCGGTGTGTGTAAGAGATCATTGTGATTCCACGATCTTATTCAGTCAATGGGCTGCGCAGTGGGTGGGCGTCACGCCTGATATCTGGGAAGCAGGTGAGATGCGATGAAGGGCGATGGTCAAGAGAACAGAGGCAGTGGGACCAGGGCTCTGGACAGCGTTTGCGGCTGGAGGCGAGGAAGGGCTAGGCGTGTCAACGGCAAGGTCGCCGTCCCATGCGGGCTTGGTGTCGTGGGCACGGAGGTCACGGAGGGGGCGGGTAACCGCTCGGTGTGCTCCGTAAGGATGAGCACAATCAGGAAAAATCGCCCTTAAGTGCAGACGACGATGTTAACGTTAACGTTTATCACTCATGTTGACTGGTGGATGTGCATCTATCGAAAGAGACGGGGAGGCCGAGGGGTAGTGTGAAACTGGGGTGATCGTGACAGCGGCTCGGCCACAATGGGCGACGACCAGCTCAATATTTCCCTCCAGATTTATGGCCAAATCGCGTAATCGGGGGTTGAGTCGCACTAGACCCCGCAAGCCACGTCCCCGGCTCGCCGTCGACCATGTCCATAATCGGTCCAGCGGTGATGTTTGTGGTCCTCGCTAGCATCCTCACTGAGCAGGGCATGCATACATCGTGCATGAGTCAACAGCACTGTCTGTCCGCATGACCCAGAGTATCTGAATGAAAAGTACCGTACAAAATATAACAGTGAAAGGGGCTGATATTGACGCGCAAGGGATGCTGTGGCACGGCCGAACCGGACTTCGTCACGAGCGGTGACGATGGGGCCTTGCCCGGCGTTGTCCGTAGCGATGGCCACGCGTGCGAACATTTTCGTTGACGACCTGAACCTTGCCGTCCCCGCTCTCTTTCCTCTCTCCCAGCGTCCCCTCCTCTTCCCCTCATGGCCCTCAATCCCGACTCCCTCAACCTCAACTATGATAGCGATGACAGCATGCAGCTCGACTCAGACAATGACGACAATGACACTCCCCACCTCAGCAACAACGGCAACATAGACGCCGATGCTGACGCTGAGGGCGAGTCTGTCAATGATGATGTCTCCACTCCTCCCGACCACCCAGAGGCTGGTCCCTCCTACTCTGCTCACCAGGAGTCGGTGCGTGTTTCGCCACTTGTGTCCCCGCCCTCGCCATTAATATTCCCCCTATCTTCCTAGGATGCCGAGATTTCGGTGTGTTGATGTCACAGCTTGTTTGTGCCCTGTCTCTCCGACTCACATGCACTGCTTTAGCCCTATGAAGAAGACATTGTCGAGGAAGACGAATCAGAGGAGGATGGTTCGTATGGGGACGATGAAGAGTATGGCAAGAAAAAGCCTGTCAAGAGAAAGCAGCCCAAGGCTCAATCTCAGTCGAATGCTCCCCGACCGAAAGGTGCTTTTAGTCTGCTCTCGTGTGTGTGGTATGTTAGCTCAATGGTGTTTTTCTGTCAAGTTATCCGCTCTTCGACCTCCGACTCCGACTCTGATTATGGCTCTCGCTCGAAGAAGAAGAAGAAGCCACGCGTTTCTGGCGACGAACTACGCGTCTCTAGTCGTGGAGTGAAGATTCCAAACTACATGGATGACGCTCAGGACTTGTCCATGCTTGACGAGGAGGAAGTCGACCAGGGATACTACGTCGATCCGTCTCAGTTCAAAGAGGAAGACGAGATTGAAGCTGTTCTCAGCCACTGTAGGGATGAACATAGACTAGATGACGCCGAGGACTTGTGGTATGACAACATAGTGCGTTCCTTTTACCTCACCTCTTTGTCAGTCGTACTGAGCCAATTTCAGCGGTTCCATATCAAGTGGAAGAACTTTTCTCACCTTCATAACACCGACGAGCTGTACGAATTTCTGAAGCGCTTTAGGGGCTTGAAGCGCGTGGACAATTACATCAAAGCGTACAAACTTTATCAAGCGCGTCTTAACGCCCCCGGCCTGTCCTCCGAAGAACGCGAATCGCTGCTCTTGGACAAGGAGCGAGAGAAGGAAGAGCTCGAGACATACAAAGTTGTCGAGCGGATTGTTTCCCACCGAGAAGGCGCTGAGGGCGATACCGAGTACTTCTGCAAATGGACAGGGCTCAATTACGAACACTGCACTTGGGAAACGGCCGAAGAGGTTGCGCCCATTGCTAAGGCGCAGATTGAAGCGTACCGTATACGCGAGGCCGAAGCAAAGTTCCCTTACAAGAGCATACAGTATGCGCGCAATCAGCGTCCAAAAGCTCACCGTATGACAAAAGATCCCGACTATATCTCAGAGACCGGTGGTGAACTTAAGGATTTCCAACTTACTGGTCTCAACTGGTTGGCATATTCTTGGAGTGAAGGTGTCAACGGTATCCTGGCAGATGAGATGGGCTTGGGCAAGGTATAACTCCCTTGAATACTGTAGAACTCACCGTGCTGACCTATCTTGCAGACCGTACAAACGGTTTCCTTCCTCTCTTATCTCTTCCATGAGATGCAACAATACGGCCCTTTCCTCGTCATCGTCCCTCTATCTACCATCACAGCATGGCAATCACAGTTTGCCACTTGGGCACCCGACATTAATGTGATCACATACATCGGTACCGCAGCAGCCCGTGAAGTCATTCGGACATACGAGTTCGGAGCGTCCAACAAGAAGTTGAAGATGAATGTTCTCTTGACCACTTACGAGCTTGTGTTGCGTGATGCAAAGGAGCTCGCGGATATCAAATGGCATGCACTTATCGTTGACGAGGTAATTCGTTGGTAACTAGTTGATGATGCTCATGAATTTGACTTTCCTCGTTCACAGGCTCACCGACTGAAGAACTCGGAAAGTCAGCTTTACGAAGCCCTGAGGTCGTTCCCTTCCGCTTCGAAACTCTTGATCACAGGTACTCCGCTGCAAAACAATGTGAAAGGTGCGTGGTGTCAATGTCAGCAACCATGCTCTGTGCTTCATATCTTTGACAGAACTTCTTTCATTGATGCACTTCTTGATGCCTGAGAAATGTGAGCACATAAAGGACGCTGGCGATTCAGTCTGACTCAATTGTCCCCTAGTCGCTCTATCGGATGAGTTTGACTTGAATGATGCGGATCATGAAGAAAAGATTAAAGAACTTCACAAGCAGCTCGAAAGCTTGATGTTGCGAAGGCTGAAACGGGACGTGCTAACCTCCCTGCCCACGAAAAGCGAGCGGATTCTGCGGGTTGAGATGTCTGCCCTGCAGACCCATTTCTACAAGAACATCTTGACAAAGGTTTCAAACATCTTCATGCGTTCCCTCCATAGGCTGATCATTGGAGTAGAACTTCCAAGGGCTGGTCAAGAGTGCCAACGGCAACAACAACATTAGTTTGCTGAACATTGGTAAGCGGCAATCAAGTCAGCGACCTTCCAGTATTTGACATTATATTTAGCGATGGAGTTGAAGAAGGCCGCCAATCATCCATACTTGTTTGACGGTGCCGAAGCCCGGACAGATAACCAAGAAGAGACTTTAAAGGGACTTGTCATGAACAGCGGGAAGATGGTTTTGCTCGACAAGCTCTTGGCCCGACTTCGTCAAGATGGCCACCGTGTTCTCATCTTCAGTCAAATGGTTCGCATGCTTGATATCCTCAGTGACTACATGAACCTGCGGGGTTACCAGCACCAGCGATTGGATGGGATGGTGGCATCCGATATTCGCAAGAAGTCAATAGCACACTTCAATGCACCCGGCTCTCCTGATTTCGCTTTTTTGTTGTCAACACGTGCAGGAGGATTAGGTATCAACCTAGAGACTGCTGACACTGTCATCATCTTTGATGTCAGTATCTTCTTTGTCAACTTTGATGGAACTAACTAACGACTCGCATTGCAGAGTGACTGGAATCCCCAAAACGATCTGCAGGCTATGGCCCGAGCCCATCGCATTGGCCAAAAGTCGCACGTCAGCGTCTACCGCTTCGTTAGCAAGGACACTGTGGAGGAGGATGTTTTGGAGCGCGCCAAGAAAAAGATGATCTTGGAGTACGCCAGTAAGTTTCGAATGACCTCTCTCACCCGTGGTATCTTTAATGTATGCGTTTAGTTATCAACCAGATCGACACGACACAGGCACATTTAAGCTCCAAGGGTGACAAGGTCAAGGATGCCGCGAAGCCTGACAACCTGAGCAAGGACGAATTGACTGCTGTGCTCAAATATGGTGCCCAGAAGATGTAAGATTTGGTGTACATTGCTCTCGAAGCAATCAGCTAATGGACTGTTGCAGGTTCGACAAGAATGACGAACAACAAGATCAGAAGCTTGACGAGATGGATCTTGACGATATCCTCAATCGCGCCGAGGACCACGAGACTGTGGCTGCCACCGGAGATGGAGGCACTTCTTTGGGCGGTGAAGGTTTCCTTGCGCACTTTGGCGCCGAAGTGAGCGATGTCAAGAATGACATGAACTGGGAGGATATCATCCCCCTCGACGAACGACAGAAGTTTGAGGCCGAGGAAGACGCCCGCAAGGCCGAGGAAATGGCTGCGCAGGAGTTGAAAGACCGCAAACGCTCACATGCTCCGGTGTCATACGAGGGCATGGACGTGGATCAGCCTGCCAACCAAGTCGCTCCTAAGAAGCCCAAGATCCCCGGACCGACTCGCAAGACTGCTAGCCAAAAGGCGATGGAGTTGAAGGAGCGCGATGTCCGTGTGCTCATCCGTAGTCTTCAGCGTTGGGGGGACATACGACAACGTTACGATGTCATTGTATGTTCTTCGTCTACTCTTCATTATGACGCATAACCAACTGTCTTTCAGGTTCAAGAAGCGAAGCTCGTGGACAAAAACAAGGCCATGATCGTGGATGTTTCCGACGAGATCATTGAAATCTGCTCTTCTGCAGTTGATGACAATAACTCTCAAAAGCGTACCAAGGTGGCCAGTGGCGAGACGTTGACGACTGCACAAAAGAGCAAGGCTGTCCTCGTCACGTACCGTAACGTCAGTAACATCAACGCGGAAACTGTAGTTTCTCGTTACCACGACCTCCGTGTGCTCTATACTCATCTGCAGGATCTTTCGACCGAAGAGTTATATAGCTGGGCCCTTCCGGTGGACAATATCCGCCCGACACTGAATTGGTCTTGTCGATGGGGTCCTGGTGATGATTCTATGTTGCTTGTTGGCGCGTTCATTTACGGCTTCGGCAATTGGGAGGCGATGCAAAAGGATCCTCGGCTGGGACTTGATGGCAAGTTCTTCCTGGAGGAAGGCAAGAAGAGCGAGGACTCTGCCTCGCGACCCATTCCCAACGCCATCCATCTTGTCCGGAGAGGAGACTTCCTCTTGGGCATACTACGCGAGTACGATGAGAAGCTGCGGTCATACGAGACATCTCTCCGCACGAAGGGCCAACTCAAAGTGTCTGCGACACCTCCGCCTGCTCCCGCCGCGTCCACTTCGAGTGCTGCGCTCAACCGCAAACGCCGTGCTGAGAGCGAGGCTGTCGCATCGGTCGAAGATCCTTCGAATAAGAAACGAAAGCGGCGGCCAACTCCCACTTTCACGGACTCTGAGTCGTCGGACGAGTGGTGCGTGTTCTGATTGCACTTTAGTGGACTGGTTTCCATATTGATGTACGATCACCTAGTCCATCCATGGATGAAGCCACTACAAAAGAAGAGCTGCGTCCTGTCAAGAAACAACTCGTAAGTAAAGTACCTTGTAGGTGACACTCCTGGGCTGACCATCATCTCCCAGAAACAGCTAAAGCTCTCTGGTGAAGACATGCCCCGAGACGACAAAGTTGCCATTCTCAAGGACTCACTTGCTGCTATTGGGCGACGGATAGATCTTGTCCTTAGTGCGAAGGAGCAAGCAGGAGAGGATGTAGATAGGTGGCGGCGGCACCTCTGGACGTAAGTGACATGCTTGCCAATAATTACCACGGCTCGCTTATCTCCGGGCCTCTTCAGCTTTGTTACTCTTTTCTGGCCAAAGAAGGTGAAAGCATCCAAACTCGAGGAGATTCACGCCAAAATGGTCATGAAGGAGAGTGCACCCAAGCCGTCATCTGATGTCGCTGGCAAAAAGCCTCGTCCTAGCACAGGAGCCAAAACCAACGGCACCTCCTCAGCGAGCTCGTCCATCAAAGCAAATGGCAAATATCATCGATGACACCTCATCATCCATAACATTTCACCATGTTCGGTTACTACCACCTTTTGTGTTGTCGTTCGTCTTTGCTCCACCCCCTCCCTATAGTAGTATTAAATGCGTCATTGAACATTTCATCCAACTGCCTAACTCATAGCTGTCGTAATTGCACTGCGGTATATCAACTGTTGTACTCTATCTCGTGGTCCCATAAATTTATTGAACGTGCGATCGCAGACCCGATGAAGTTCGTGACAATGCTAAGATAAAGATACAGTTATATAGCCAGATGCTGGATATCATTGCTCAAGGAATATATCAGGGTAAGTACCTGTGGGCTCAGGGTTAGTTCAGTAAGAACCTCGGTAAGTGAGCAAGCGTTTACGCGCATGGGTCAGTAATGAAATCGTCAAAGTCTGAATGTCGTCCCACTATCGTATGCGGATAGCGGATTTGAGCGTGCCGGTGCTGGTTCGGCGATGGCGACTGTAACCTCGTGGCATGTCAACTGTGACGCTAGTGGTCCGAGTTCCGAGATTTTCGGTGGTTGACCGCTCGGGTTGTTTCTCCGCGCGTCGGGCCAGACGCGCTTTTTCCGTAGGGAAGGTGACTGGCCGTGGTGGTTGGGGCGGAGGGACTGGTCTTGGCTGCTCCTGATGTGGTGCCTGCTGTGGTGCCTGCTGTGGTGCCTGCTGTGGTTGTGCTACACACAAGGGCAGCGGGTTAAGCACGCGAGTGGGTGAGCATGGATGAGCTTATACTCACATTCTATCAAGCGTGCGTCTGCCTCTCGCGTGAAGCTCTGCATGAGCGCCGTATATCGCTTCACCTGCCAGCTCATCTGCGCGGCCCGCGCAGAGTTCCCTTGCGACACCGCCCACTTCTTCTCCTCCTTGAACCGCCTGCGCTCACTATCCGCGAGTGCGGCGCGTGCGCGCAGCGTCGCGATCTCGCGCTCCTGCGGGCTCATAGACGTCGTGTAGTCGAGCGAGTCCGAAGAGGCCATGGATAGCGCGGTTATGTCCGTTGGCGCGGTCACATCTGTCTGCCAACGTGTCGTCGTGTCTGAGAGCGCGCGGGCACGCGTGCGGCGAGACGGCCGGCTGGGTGGGATGCTCTCAATTTCGGTTTGGTCAGACACGAACTTGACGAGGCGGCGGCGGCGGGTCGGGGCGGGGCCGTCTGCGGTGCCAACCTCGCTGGTGCGGTCGTTGTTGTACTCGACGAGGTATGTGTCATCGATTAGCTGGGAGAGGACGTCGGTGACGATCACGCCGCACGCGACACCGAGGAGGGTGGTGGTGAGCTTGGACACGTCCTGGGTGTCCATGAAGTCGTATGTAAGGTATCCGGCTATGGCGAAGCCGACGGCGATCGCGACCTCGGGGAACTCCATGAGGGCATAGTAGAGGCCAACACCCTGGGTGAGGCCGAGGAGGAGGATGTCGGCGATGCTTGCGGGATCGTCGGCGCCGCCGAAGGGATCATAGGCACGTATGTAGAATTTGTCTATGATGATGCGGGCGACGAGCCCGAAGAGGAGGGCGGCGGCGGTGGAGAAGTACATGGATAGCTATCGAGGGCAGAGGAGCATAAGTAGTATGGATGGATGACCACAGACTCCGGCCCAAGCGTCCTTTATTTTGACAAGGTTGAACCGAGTCCCAGTGCACAAACAAACACCATTCAGGGGCACAATGAACGCCCATCATACAACTGCCTCCGCTGCCCAAACACGGAGGCATCTCATCATGCATCATCACTCAACAAATCAGATGCATAGAGTAGTGATAGCAGCATTAATATGATTATGTACAAGCGTTCTAATAGTCCTCAGTGTCCACATAATTTGCCATAGGATCCTCCGTGTTTCGGCGATTCATTCGGTACGCCTCCAGCTCCTCCTCCGTCACATCGTGCGATCCGCTCTCGAGTCCCTTCTTCTTCTTCGAGGACCGATCGTCGTCTCCGCCTCCCTTGGCCTTCCGCTTCTTCTCCTCATTGATCGCCTCCGCCAGCCGTTCCCTGTCCAGCTGGACATCGCCTTCACCTATCCGCTTCTTTGAGTAGTTCTGCTCAATCCGTTCCATCTTTTCCTCAGATTTCGGCTCCTCTTTTGACTGCGTTAGCTGTGCCGAAGGTTCGGGTGCGGACGCGAGCAGGTGTTGTGCGGATGATGCATATGTAGCTTCCTTGCCAGCCTCGCCAGCACAGTAAGAAATGTGCAGGGTCGAGTGGCAGCAAGCATATCCCCAGGTGCCCGAAGCGATGTCATAGTATGAACCCCAGACATCGGTGTGGTTGTTGATGTACACTACTCGCATGCGTAAGCAAAACCAAAACCTGTGAACGTCACGAGCTGCTTACCATCTTCTGGGTACTTTGACCGTGCCTTCGCTCGCTCCTTCCCTTTGATAACGTGGCCCGTCCGAGAATACTCAACGTAGTTCTCTGTCTGGCCCTGAAGTAGCTCCTTGGGCGCCTTCTCCAAGTACTGCTCGCCACCGTACTTTGCAAGAATGCTGACTTTGGAGATATCCTTCATCTTCTCCTTCGTCTCCTGATAGTCGGCATGCAGAAGTTGTCCCTGGGTGGGATTGGCATTCAGGTGCACGTCATTTCCTTCAGAAGCAGCATTCCAAGCGAACAACTGGAGCTTCTGGACTTCTGGAGCTTCGCCGGAAAAGCGGTAGAAATTGTCACCCGCAAATTTAGCCTAGGTCAAAAGTCAACGTCATGTTGCAATACCGTAAGGCTATCCAAGACTCAAGTACTCACCTCTTCTGGAGGAACGTTCAGAATGGGAGCGTCACGCATGGAACGCGTCTTTGGATCGTAGTATGCACTGTCGGGGTCCAAGTTCATTAGATATTTGGCAGTATCTTCACGGATGCGCAAGTTCCGGACAGTGATACGGGTCTTCGTGTCGAGTTTTTGTCCAACGGCGTCAGCGGCGTCAGCATACTTTTCGTCGTCGTCGTCTTCCTCGTCACTCGAGCCGAAGTCAGGATCGGTCGTTTTCCCCTCCCCTTTTCCCGCCTTGGCAAGCTTGCGTGCCGCGGCGAGGTCGGTCGTCGTTTGGTTGTCGATTTCCTCCTCACGCAACTTCTGCCTCGCAGCCTCCATAGCCTCGTACTCATCGTACACACGCTTATGCTCCGCCGGATCGTAGCCATTCCACCGATCGCGCTTTGCAGCATAGCCAGCGGTAGTATCCTGAATAATTTCGTCTGCCTGGATGTCCTTGTTGGTGAACTTGGCGCCCTTCCTGCGAGGACGTTCGAGACAGTCTTGCTTCTTGTGGGTCATGGCGCCACAGTTTTCGCACGCGCCCTTGCGATACTTTTTAGCGGCGGGCCCAGCCTTTGCACCGCGGTCGTACCAGTTGTCGAGTCTGTCGGTGGAGCGGTCGTCTGTCGGACGGCGTTGATGGCTGAGCGAGGGGGCACCTGTGTCGAGGTACCATGGAGCCTGGGAGATGTACTCTGCGAGAAAAATGAGTAGATTGTCGAAGAAGTTCATTTGGGAGAGTGCTCACGAGGAATATGAGGGTTAATAGGCCTGCCCTCCTCGTCAAGAGCGGCGGGGGCTGTTCCGGCCTTACGGGCGGCATCGAGGTCCTTCTGGCGACGATACTCCTCGCGAGAGAGCTTTCCGGCAGCTAAAAGATGAGTTGGGTATGCTTTGCTGGTGAACGAGCGGCTACGTACCTGAAGACGAGGCCATGGTGAAGTCGTATAGTGTAACAAGACCAATCGGTTGCTGACAAGCCGAGGTCGCGGAGGCGAGTCGACATTGGGTATGCCTTTCTCACGCTCCAGCGTCCACGGCACTGTCTTCCCTTAGCTCTTACACTAATCGCGACTATGATTTCTCCGTCAATTCCTGTGATCACTCTTCACCGATCCTTGCTAGCCCGCGGCCGGTGACCGATCCTTCTGGCAGGCCACTGAAATGGTCTTTTCGGAAGTGCTATGTTTTCAAGCAGAGTTGCAACGCAATCGACTCCCGTCTGTCCTCAGCGGATCACGCTCCTCTCTTGTCCGATTCACTCCGAGTCCTACATTCCTTTTGGTGCGGGTATGGTTATATGGATTAACAAAAATTCCAACGCAAGCACGGCCAGCAACGCTTGAGCTTATCACATATCTAGCATGCTTCTATTCACTATCGATCCTTCTCTTTTGCTTTTTGACGTGCTCTAGGGTTCTCTCGGGCTGTTGATTCTGCTCTATAGCTTTGCTTATCTGAAGAATGGCATTCTCTTGCTCTGCTTCTGCTCCACCTCGGCCACCTCCCAAGATGGTTTGGAATCCTCCTGCGCTGCCCTCCGAACCATATATAAGGCGGCTGGACTTGACGAGGAAATCCCCATCTCCTTCATTGCCTCTCTTAGCTCGTCAACCACAAACTACCTCACACTCCTTTCATTCCTCTGTCATTAAGGATGGTCACTTTCAGCCGCTTCATTCTCCTGTCCCTCTTCACCGGCCTTGCCGTTGCCCAGCGGTTCCCTGGCCCCAACGACGACGGACTCGGCCCTCAAGGCTTCGGGGGTGACGGCTTTGGACGTGGTGGTGGCTTCGGGCGTGGTGGTGGCTTTGGGCGTGGTGGCTTCGGTGGTGGTGGTGGCCGCAACCGCGGTGTTCGTCTATTCTTGCTGCCAGTGGTGTCTTTGTCTCTAACGCGTTTCTTCCTTCAGGATGATGGTGTCTGTGTCATCGCCAACCAGAGGGTTTACGACGTTCCTGAAGCCATTCGGGCTTTCCAGAATGGCCAGCTCGCGCCCCCGCCTGGCCTCTCGAACCAGCTCTATGGAGCGCTACTCCAGTATTGCAGAACCCACTCCGGCTACGCTCTTGAGGATGTAGGCTGTTTTGCCCCTACCAGCTCGACGACCAGCAGCATCGCTTCAGCAACAACTGTTACTACCTCAGTCACATCCACCGTCCCGGTCACTACCACAGTCGCCGCAGGTGTGAGCATGTCAACCACAGTCGCGGGCGTGGACATGGCCGTGGCCGTGGCCATGCCTACCGTGGCCTAACAGCTTAACTTTCTCAAACTCGATGTCAAGCTCTAGTGAGCGACGTGTCATGTCTTCTCGTAAGAATCTTCTGTAGTGCATTCCGAATGGGCTTGGAGGGATAAGTTGGGCTACATCCTTAATTACACTTTCTACGCTTAATGGTATTTTCTTCTGCCACACCTTCCTCGAGGGTTAAGCGCTAAGCTGTCGACTAGCAACATCGCTCTTGCTCACCTAATACTTGAGACCTCGACCTTGCGGCTTCCGCCCCTCGAAGCGTACTCTGCGTGGATGTCGGGGTGTCTGCTTATAGTTATAGTCATAATATGTCTACGGCAAGCAGCACGCGGTCGGGGGCGTCGAGGCAGCATACGAGGAGCGGAAGTGTCACGAACGCGCACGCAGTTGCAGGAGGCTGCAGCAGCAGCGGAGGAAGGTGGAAGACGAGAATGGGTTGATGATACCATGCATTTATCCTCCTTTTCTTACAGCTTTGCGTCAAAGCCAGAGTCTCGCCTCTTCGTACTTACAACTCAAATCCACCTAGGTTTAAGCCTTCCGCGGCGCGGTCTACTTGCTTGAGAACAAGAACTCCAACGTCAAGGACCAAGGCCTCAATGTGACCCGCAGAACCTTCTCAGAGACGAAGATGGGCTTGTCGAAGGCGTTTGTCTTCCAGGTCAGCAGTGCTGAAGGGGCTCGAGGATTCGTTTGTGTTCGTCGTTGCTATCCCGTCAAGGCTGCTTCGGACTGTCGCGACTCCTGAGTCCCTTTCTCGCTGGCGTCAAGACCGAAAATAAGTTCAAGGTCGACTCGGTCAATGTGGAGCTTGCTGGTGCGGATGTTGAGAGACAGATGATCCATTCTCGTGGTAATTTGTTTGTCCCGCTCCCTTCCAGAATGCGAACCTATGCAAGCCTTGACGGACCTGGGATGCGGTATATGGGCAATGTGGGCTACATGTCAATATGGAGGTAGTTTAACCTTTAGGTTACCTTTTGTTATGTGCCTTCCTCGAGGTTTATGGAACGGATTGGCCAACGACGGATGAAATCTGACGACAGTGCATTCGTTTCAACGGAAGAGCCTAATCTCGGATGTCTCCAGTCAATAGCTGCAAGAACAATTAACGTCAAACGGCCATCTCCCAGCTCAAGACTTCACCGGTGATCCGTATCCCCAGAAGCTTCGATGCATACTGCTGCTCGGTGTGGGCAGATTGGTCTTCATGATTCTCAATCTTTTCAACATTTGAGGCTGAACAAAGGTTTACCGCACCTGAAGCATAGCATGGAAAAAGTAATTAAGTACGCCTAGCGGGGCGCGATGCGAGCGTCGTATTACGTCGCTGTCGTTATAAAAACGCGCAAACAACGCGCAAACAGCGCGGGATAGCGCGCAAGAACTACAAGGACTCCATACCTTGTTCATACCGAAGCTCTCTCCATAACATGTCGTATCATCTCGGTATACTCCCTTCAGGTGATACAGATATAACGTGCCAACTTAGTCCGCTAACATCAATCCCAAACAGATGTTATTGACAGGCTAACGGAGCGCCCTGACTCCGAGTCGGTGCGGTCTGACCCGCTTGACACTCGCTTGGTCAGGCTTCCACATCCTCGCACTGGTGCGTGTTTGTTAACTTATTTGCGATCCTCCACTGAGATTATTATAAAGGTGTTGCATCACTGTTCCTAGTTTCTCACTCACAGCACCCTGAAACGAAGGAGGACGAGGCGTCAATATTGGAAGTACAAGCCGTTGCTCCGCCCCATGCACGCTCTTGGTTTCATGAGGAAAACGTTGTCGCTGGTGCGTTTATTCGCTCATTGGATATAGTATCGCCTAACTAAATACGGCGGCTCCAAGATGGAAAGCTGCTCGTCATGACACCTATTGACCCAGCATTTCTGCTCATTCCCATCCTGCAAGCATCCATTCCAGTACGTCTCCGACAGAACCCAGAATCTTCGCTACACGACGAAACAGGTTCTCAACATTTATAGGATAACGATGCTCAGGTGAACTTTATGCCTTTGGACGACATCCTGGAAAGCTCCGCTACTCGCCTGGCGTCTTCTTCGGTTTCAAACGAGTCGATCTCACGACGAGACGTTATATCGCTCGGCGCGCTACCATGCGTCAAACGTGCAGTCAAACGAATATGTGAAGCCAAAGGTGTGCCTACCAAATACTCTCAAGTGCTTAATGAGGGTATTAACAGTTTTCAGAGATTACGGAGGAAATCATAGTCTATCGATATTCCTCGGAGCGTGTGTTGGAGTACCTCCGTAAAAAGGTGTACAGGCTATCCAAGCCTCCGCATTGTGATATTTCGCGAACCATTGTTCGAAGTCTTGCTAAAGACGGCCTGATGGATGATGGCAAGGAAGAGCTACTGAGGCGTGCGTCTCCATCTGCGTTACTGCGGACGCATTTGTGCTAAGCCTCTTGCACTGGATAGTTGGTCGGACCAAAGCAGCGTGCGAGATACTCTCCCAGTACTTGTCGCCCGAGATTTATCAGCAAGTTTTGTCTTCATACGAGTACGTTGATCATTGCGCGCTCGACTCCTCTGATTCTCATGCAGTTGCGCCTTTTGTAGCTTCTCTTCCCTCGACACGTACTTGAAAACCCTAAACGACAACCATTTAGTACCCGTTGAGTCAGGTAACAGTACTGCCAAGGCGAAGAAGGGCAGCCGCGATAATGTTGCGGGCGCAACACAGAGTGACGGTGCGAAGAAACGCAAGGCCCCAGCCAAAGGATCTCATGGCGTCGAGAAGCTGAAGAAGGCAAACACGAACGGGATGTCCAAGCTCTCGACCTTCTTTCAGAAGAAGTCCGCGTAGACATCGACGTTATCAGATGGCTTGATGGCTCGGTTTAACCTGGTGGAAAACTAGCCGCAGGGGTTCCGTTGGACTACCTCTCTCCCAGGTTGGACCTGGTTCAGACCTACGAGTTGCAGGCAAAACGTTGATGCGAGGAGGGACATTCATTCCCATAGCCATGCACCTAGACAGATGAGCTTGCACCGAGAAAGAGGGAGGGAAACGAACGTTTCAACCTGTATGTTGTAGTGTCCCAGAGTGTTCGAGGCGAGGGCTGCCGGACCAGTCGGCCGATTTCCCCCTCCGATCTACGATTGACACGACAATGTGCACTACCTACGTATCATGTTTCAAAGACAAACGTAGTGACACAGAACGAAGCGACAGGTGGCTGTACATGCAATCCGGGAGTGCCAAGCCGCACACGACGGTCGACCATCTCACTTGTCCCTAACGCTCTCATGCTGCAATCCGCGGTGCTGGGCTGGCGTGTTCATGAGGTGCTAAAAACACTTACTACTCACTAATAGTATTGAATCTTTGGTTAATTCCATCAGAATGGCCACTAGGTTTGTCTATGCGGAATCCACGCAATACCCCTTCCACGATTGCGTGATATCGCCTCATTATCTACGCTCTTACTCATGCTGAGGGAACGCTTGACAATGTGTAGCATTTGACGCACTTAGATCCAATCCTCAAATAGCTCGCGATCGGTCCTACTGAGCAAAGATCTAACATTTTCTCGTCACCGTTATCTGCTCCAGGTGTAACTTGAACCTAATGGCTAACATTCCTCACGGCGGTATCCTCAAGGCGTGTTAGCACAAAGTCTTATTTGACCGCATTGCTAATGATCTATAATGTAGGACTTAGTTGCCAGAGATGAACACATCTCCGCTCAGCTTCGGGAAGAGGCTGCAGGTCTCAAAGACATTGTCCTCACTGAAGTTCGTGACTTCATTTTCTTTCATAGCCGCAAATAATCATCCCGGTGTCAGCGTCAACTTTGTGACCTCGAGCTCATCCTCAATGGAGGTTTCAGCCCTTTGGAGGGCTTCATGAACGAGGCGGACTACACAAGGTTAGCATTATGTTGTGACTATAGTTACTTTCGTAATTTTCTCCTCAAGTGTCGTCGACACCCTTCGCCTTGCCGATGGAACCCTTTTCCCCATGCCTATCACCCTCGATGTCTCGCATGCCGATGTCCAAAACGTTGGCATCACTGCCGGTGCTCGCCTTACTCTCCGTGATCCCCGCGACGACTCCGCACTCGCCATAATCACGGTTGAAGATGTCTACTCCTTCGACCGCGTCAAGGAGGCAGCCCAGGTGTTCGGCGCCGATGACATCGCGCATCCCGCTGTCAAATACCTTCGCAAGCAGGTGAAGGATTACTACGTCGGCGGGAAAGTGCAGGCGATCCAGGCTGTCCAGCACTTCGACTATGTCGCTTACCGCTGTGAGTCCTCACAAAACGGATGCGTATCCGAAGGAAGCCGCTGACGCGGATTGAAGACACCCCTACTGAGCTTCGCGCTCACTTTAAAAAGCTTGCCTGGCGCAAGGTCGTAGCCTTCCAGACCCGCAACCCGATGCACCGCGCCCACCGTGAGCTTACCGTCCGTGCTGCCCGCCAACGGCAAGCCAATGTTCTCGTCCACCCCGTCGTCGGTCTTACCAAGCCTGGTGACGTCGACCATTACACCCGCGTTCGTGTGTACCAGGCCATTATGGCCAAGTATCCCAATGGGATGGGTCAGCTTGCCCTCCTTCCCCTAGCCATGCGAATGGCTGGCCCTCGCGAGGCTGTCTGGCACGCGATCATCCGCAAAAACTACGGCGCGACCCACTTCATCGTTGGTCGTGATCACGCCGGCCCTGGAAAGAACTCGCAGGGTGTCGACTTCTATGGTCCCTACGACGCTCAGGAGCTCGTCTCGAAGTTCAAGGATGAACTACAAATTGAGATGGTCCCCTTCCAGATGATGACATATGTCCCCTCCTCGGACGACTACCAGCCAACAGACGAGATTGCAGCTGGTGTTCAGACCTTGGACATCTCCGGAACGGAGCTCAGAAGGCGGTTGAAGTCTGGTGCCCCTATTCCCGATTGGTTCAGCTACGAGTGAGTTATCCTTGCAATGTTTTGATGAGAACATGATCCTAACTATATTGGTAGTGCCGTTGTCAAGACTCTCCGTGAAAGCTATCCACCGCGGGACAAGCAGGGCTTCGTCCTCTTGCTCACTGGCTATTACAACTCTGGTAAAGACATCATTGCCAAAGCCTTGCAGACCGCTTTGTACGAACAGGGCGGACGGAGTGTGTCACTCCTCCTAGGCGAGTCTGTCCGTGGTGACTCGGATGCGCCAACTAGCCTCACTCCTGAGGAGCGTCACGCCAATCTGGAGAAGATTTCTTTCGTCGCCACCGAGCTTACGCGATCTGGTGCTGCCGTCATTGCTGCACCTACCGCACCCGAGGAGCGTTCGCGGGCCTACCTCAAGGACAGCGTCGTTTCCGGTGGTGGCGCGGGTGGCAACTACTTCTGCATCCACGTCGCTACTCCATTGGAGCACTGCGAGAAGACCGACCGCCGGGGCGTCTATTCCAAAGCCCGGAGTGGGGACATCAAGGGCTTTGTTGGCGTGGATGCGCAGTACGAAGCACCAACGGATGCCAGCCTTGTGGTGGACACCACATCGCAGAGCATTCCTGAGATCGTTCACAGTAAGTTCCCTATATGGCGTCAGTTTTCGGGATGTCGCTGACATTACTATGTAGGCATTGTCCTCCTTCTTGAGACCAACGGTCTCGTGTAAACTGCAACGATATCCCGTAGAGGACAAAATGACGTTGATACCCCATTAACTAACTTAAGCATCGACTATATGGGAGACGTTTCGCGAAGCCTGTGGTGCATATCAGCTTATGTATTTAGAGAGCATGCCATTTTTGTATCCGGACTTTCATGTACGCACTATAGAGTATTTGTATGTCTCACCGTGGAGGTTCGATGAGAACAAGGTCCCGACATTGACACTCCGATATTCCAAACATACATATGGCATTGCACTTTGGTATTCTGCTTTGGATGCCGAGGGATTTGGTTGCCCGCGACCGAGTCGGACTTTATGGCCTTGTACCTCGCCTGTGCTCATGTTCAACGTTCAACTTGAACTCGTTAGACTAAGTTCTTGCCATCTACAGCTTCCCGTCCAACAGCCATGGGCAAATACGTCGACGCAGAGACTCAGACTACACCGGCACCTCCTGTGCCGCCTCACGATCAAGGGGCGTCTTTCGATTCCTCTGGCGACGATGCATACATCGAAGAAGACGAAGAAGACAGTCTCAGTCCTTTGCCAGTAGGCCTTGCATCTCGCCGAAACGCAAAATACCAGCGAGCTGGTCTAGGACGAGGACCTGGCTTCAGGCAACCAACGACTCGCGTTGTGTCTATGCCCGAGAATAGTTTCGACCCTCTAGACGGTGTACCGGAAACAGCCCGAATTGTTTCCTTGCCCGAACGGTATCTACCTAGTAAATACGACCTCTCGTTGGACTCTGTCACGCTTGAGAGCAGCTCTTTCCTTGGCGATATATCTGGCGGCTCTACTAGCTCTAGACGTAGGATTCACTCTAGGCACCGCGCACCTTCGGATGTCCCTCGTACACCCTCCCCGCCCTCATCTCTGGATTCATCTTCTATCATAATTGAGCACGACATTAGGCTGTCAGACGCATTCATGCGCCGAACTAATTTTGGTCTGGCGGAGAAAAGAGAAGGTCAGATCCGAGAAGCTCATGTTGACATCATGCATCTCCTCACTGTTGATGTTCCTCAGGCTGGCAGGTATGGGCGAGCTCTCCTCCGAGGCCAATCCCCGCTCTTCACGGTCCGCTCTCGCTTCCTTACGCTCGTTGTCCTTCGTGAGTGGTTTGTAGCCCTCCATCGATTCACTCATGTAGTTTCCCTAGCGGCGCGGAAGGAACTATCATCGAGGAGCCTGATCATCTTCCGCGCATGATATGGGGCTTGGGTGCTCACGAACAAGGCATTTCGTCTAATGGTGGAGCGACTGATACATCTTCTGCTCGCGAGAACGGACGATATGCAGGCCGTCCTAGAGGGGCTGAGTTTAGCAAAAACTCGAAGCGACCGGTTACCCATGGGAACTTCTCTGCTAATTCAAAGCCTGCTGCTGCTTTGGGGAGCGATCGACGGGGACCGGCCCCCTCTCATCTCGGGGAACCGAATCTTCAACTGCCTGGGCTTTTCGTCATGGGTTATCCTCACAATGCTCCAGCCGGTCTTTCTGAGGCGGCGCCTGCGGGGGCGCAGACGCGCCCTGACCAGAACAGGTCAACCTTGGCTGGTTATCTCACACCGGAGCACTCGCCTATCGATTGGGGCGTCAAGGACTTCATAGCCCATAATCAGGGTATGCTTGCAAACCACCAAGCAAACAATATGCTGGGTGGGCCATTCAGAGCTTCTCAGCTCCACCAGAGAGTTCCTCGTATCTTCGTTGAGCCGCGACCTGATGAAATTCCTATCGACACTGAATCTGCTCGCAGCCGCACTGCTCTAGAGCTAGCACTCGAGTTGCGCAAGCATGCCCAATCGAACTTCCTTCATCTTCCTCAAAGTGGTCTGCCTACGCCTCCGAACTCTTCGTCTCCTTTGTGGTCCCCCGGGTTTTCTCCGTATAGTACTCAGACACTCTCTCCTGAGGTCGAGGAGATGGCGTACAACCTACTGAACATGAAGCAGGATTACGGTAACTCAATGAGACATACCGAGGGGCCTACTGGCGAAAACTACTTCCTGCCTATTCGGTTCTCAGGACCTACGGACTCCAGGCTCACAAACTTTGAGCGGAACTTCTCAGGACAACCGTCGTCTCACAGACTCGATAATGGCGCCTTCTTTCACGGTGAACCTCGGGATACTTCTCAATTACCTAGAAACGAGTTAGGTAGTATAGCTCACACTCAGGTTCTCTCACCTATGTCTCCAATGGGCGACACATATGGACGTGGTCTTGATTCTGGTCATGCGCAGATGGTCTCTACTGGATCTCTTGCGTCGCAATCCCCCGAGCTTCGCCCTGGATCCTTCTCTCAACAGCCTAGGTCTATTCCCCTGGCACGCCTGATGCAACGCCGCCTCTCTGCAGTCCCGGAGGAGGATCCGATCATCTTGGACAAGAAACATGCGCCTCAGTCGTACCATCGCACGCCGGGCCATCAGCATTCAACGTCACAGCATGGCACGCATCCGATGTCATCGTATCACCAGAAACAAGATCGACTGCATTCTGTCAAGCCTTCTATCCCTCCTCCGAGGACGTCCATGCCAGATGGTCTAGGAATAGCTGGCGAGGCCGTTGGCGCGGAAACCCCCAACTTTGCAACGTCTCCGGCAAAGGTTCGCCTGCCTCACACCTCGCCGGAGCGTTCGCAGGTGACGTCCAACCAGCAAGGTAGAGACAACGTGCGCTTTGAGGATGGTCCATCTTCGTTCCGGGGCAACAAGAAAAAGTATCGAACCAAGAAGACGCGAGCACCATCGCGATCGGACAGAGGAAGCGCAATATCTCCTGCAGCTTAGAAGTCATTTTCGGATAGAGTGTGGATGACAGAGGATACTGGGTTCACCATGTGTGAAGCTGTCAAACTATTGGTCTAGCATTTGCATTACTTAAGCGGATATCGGGTTTGTTCGCCAAGGCGGCATGGACGATAGATAAATCAAGTAGCTTTTCTTTCTTTCTTGCAGCTACCATGCATTGTATCATTCCCAACAAGGTTAATGGAAACAATTCCTAAGGATCTAATAATCTATCAAAGGATTTAAGCCTTCACGAACATGTCGGTGAATTTATCCACGGGCATCTTGAAGAAGGAAGGAGCGTCTGCGACGGTCTTGAGGATACTGTATGGTGGTCAGCAAAGGGTCTGTTGAGGCTGAAAGTAAGAAGGACATGCTTTTGTTGATGAGCCTCATCGTAGTGGTAGCTAATATGCCTCTTGAATTTGTTGATCAAGAGCGGCGTGCCCTCTTCGCGGCGGCGCTTGTGGCCAACGGGGTACTCGACGACGACCTCATCGAGGACGGTACCGTCGTTGAGCTCAACAAGGAGTGCGTTGCCGATGGAGCGCTTGGCGGGGTCGTGGTAGTTGACAGAGAAGCTCTTGTCCTCGACACAGTGGATCTTGGCGCGGAGAGCGTCGATGCGCGGGTCAGCGGCCGAGGCGTCGGTGTACGACTCGGAGGTCAGCTCGCCGAAAATGAGCGGGTAGGCAACCATGTAGTTGATGGCGTGGCTAATTTGAGCGTGTCAGTGTTTATCCCGGTCATAACCTCGAAAAGGCAGTGGATAAACGCACTCGCGGTCGGCGAAGTTGTCGAGCGGACCCTGCTTGTCAATGATGCGGACGGCGGCCTCCTGGGTGCGGATGCGGACGCTCTTGATGTCGTCCGAGGATTTACCCATTGCCTTGAGGCGGTCGTGGATCGTGTGCGCGGCCTCGACGGCGGTTTGGGCGTGGAACTCGGCAGGGTAGGAGATCTTGAAGAGGACGTTCTCCATGATGTACGAGCCGAATGGCATCTGGAACTGGAACTCTTTGCCCTAAAAACGCATGAGATCAGCACTTTAGTGGCAAGCCGAAGAAAGGGCGGTGGTGCATGCCTTGAAGAGGACATCGTAGAAGCCCCAGCCCTTGGCAGTGAGGACGGAGGGAAGGCCGGCCTGACCCTTCTTGACGAGAAGGGCGAGGTTGACCGCGCGCGAGCATGCGTCGCCAGCAGCCCAGGACTTCCGCGGGCCGGTGTTAGGCGCGTGGCGGTAAGTACGGAGCGACTGGCCGTCGACCCACGCTTGCGAGACAGCGTCGATGGTTTGCGAGTGCGAAAGACCACTGTATCATAGTGTGAGCAAGATCCTCGATGTTTATAGTAAGGATAGACTTACAGCATCTTGGAGACGACAGCAGTGCTAGCAACTTTGACGAGGACGACGTGGTCGAGACCGACGCGGTTGAAGGAGTTGAGGAGCGCGAGGCCACCCTGGATTTCATGGGCCTTGATCATGGCCTCGAGGATATCCTTCACGGTGAAGGGCTGGCCCTGACGCGCGAGGTGGTCAGCCACGGCGAGAATGGCACCCAAGTTGTCGGATGGGTGACCCCCTGTAAAACCCAAGCATCAGAATCACATGTTGTACATATAGGGCACGTCGATGACGGAGAGTAGTCGAAGAAAACGCGTCAAACGCGATAGTAGCCCGTGTAGGCGTCAAATGAGAGATGAAACTCACATTCGGCGGCAAGGAAGCAGTCGTTGAAGTCGAGCCAACGGATCTGCGTTCCGATGTTGAAGGCACCGCGAATGGGATCGAGCTGGTAGTTGGTTCCGGGAACCTTGGTGCCTGCAAAGAGTCTCAGTATACATGCTCGCAGAGCAAATACAAAGTACAAACCGTTAGGCACGACAGTTCCTTCGACGACTGGACCAAGGAGTTTGGCGCAGTCCGGGAAACGGAGGCCCTCGAGACCACATCCAATGGTGTCAATAAGGCAGAGACGAGCAGTCTCGTAGGCAAGGTCGGATGTGATCTGGTAGTTGTGGACGTAGTCGGCAATGTCCTTGAGAACCTTGTCAGGCTCTGGGCGGACGGCGGACTCTCCGTGGTGGACAGACATGGTGCGGACTGCAGCAGACCAGCGAAGAGAAGGCTGCGGCTGCGATAATCGATAAAGCGCGGATGCACTTGAACTGGCTGGACGGCCGAGCGAGCGAGTTCCGTGTCTGAGGAGGGTAAACATCGCAGAACAAGGAAGACCTTTGTGTCCACCGGGTGGTCCTCTTCCTCGACCCGGCTACATACTAACCCGCGCGTGCGCGTGATGATCCGTCCGCGGCCAGCCTTCCCTCTCTCCGCGAGTGACCGATTGACATTGGACGCGACCTTTAGCATCAGCTCGTTTATGACGTAAATATTTCTAGATCCTATGTCACTTCCGCCCTCTCTCAGTTTTATCTCACTTTGTAGCTTGCAGCGCTTCTTCCCGTCGCATCAAAACAGCCAAACCCCGGCATAGTCTCACTCACGTTGATATCTTCGCCAGTCCTCAGCATGTTCTTGTGCTACTACGGGAGAGCCGCCTGCTAGCCAACAAGTCTCTCACTCGCTCTCCTGCCAAGGCCGGAAGCACCACTGTTGCGTCTCGTTTGGACTCGAAGCTCAGCGCTGCCAGCTACTCACACCGGCACGCGTCTCCACCGGTAGTGCTGGCGGTTGCACGGAGATGTTCAGATTTATATACCGGGGGTTGCTGCGAACAAGCTACTTAAACAGCTCTCGCCCATGCGCTGAATTTGCAAGACCTAGGGCTGTGAATCCGTGTATCTACGGGCCTCTCGCATATATCACACATCATGGCCTCGAATTTGTAGACGGTCTCACGCTTTAGTTAGCCTCCTCTAGCACGTCGCCCGATGTGAACGTTCTCAGGTCTTGTGGACACTCGCCGTGCGTGGCAATACATGCAGCTGCCGAGGTGGGCCGGGTCAGGACCCTTGCGCACTAGAAACTGCCAGGAATATCCCAAACCGAGTCTAAGAATAACATGCCTAAGCCGAATGGGTTGGATCATTGCGCAGCCTCTTGCCCGTGCCCGTGTCTGTCTCTCGCATCCCTCCATCCCCTTTCCCTACATTCTTTCCTTGCCTTTTTCTTTCTTTCTAGCAACGTTTGCGGCTGGTATAGGTCATGGCTTCAGCGCCGCCATCCGTGGTGCCCCAAGCTATCAGCTCTGGCGAGCTTGCAGACCTCATATCCACCACCGGAACTGCCACACTTTATCCCTCGGACGACGCCATTCTCGCGGTCCTCCACGCTCGCTTCCGCGCTGACTTGCCCTATACTAGCATAGGAACTACCAACCTTGTCGTCCTCAACCCATGCAAGTCTCTTGCAAGCGTCAATGACGCTAGCGCGAAGGAGTATGAAGAGCGGTGCTACAAGGAAACAAAGCTGGGCTTGACCGATGCTCGTCGAGCCCCTCAGCCTCACGTTTACGACTTGGCTGCCAAGATTTATCTACTGATGAGAAGGCGCAACGAGCCTCAGGCTGTGATCGCCCGGTACGCCATATTACCCCTATCTCAGTCAGATCTTGACCAACGCCAATATTTAGTGGTGTTACTGGTTCAGGAAAGACAGCCAGCAGCCGTCTACTCGTTGATCAGCTCCTCAGACTCTCCGCCCACTCCAAGAAGGAAGGGAAACTTGTCGAACAGATCAAGGCATTCGACACCCTTTTGCAATCGTTCGGACATGCCAAGACGCAGACCAACGCAAATGCCTCGCGATTCATTCGTTACACTGAGCTCCATTTCAACTACCGTGGGCGCATAAACTCGACTAAAGTCCTTGCGTTTGGACTGGACAAATCTCGCCTCGCTCGCCTCTCCCACGACGAGCGCTCGTACCATGTTTTCTATCAGCTTCTTGCTGGTGCCACGCCATCCGAGCGGGATTACCTGGGCTTGGAAGGACCACCCGATTATGCCCTTCTCGCATCATCAGGCTGCTATCGTCTCCCTGCGGGCCCCTTCAATGATGATGGCATTTCCTGTGATGATTTGCGGGCTGCCATGAAAGTTCTAGGTTTCAAGTCGAAGCACGTCTCCTCTATATGGAGCGTGCTGACTGCTATCCTCGTGCTAAGCAACATTGAGTTCGCAGAAGCAGATTCTCAGGATACGTCAGCGTACGTTCTCAACTTGCCGATACTCCAGCATGCAGCGAGGTTACTGGGAGTAGCGCCTGAAGATCTCAGCGATTCTCTCACGTACAAGACGACCTACGTTCGCAAGGAGTTGTACACCGTTCTCCTCAATGCACAGCAGAGTACCATCCAGAGGGACCAGCTCATCCGCAACCTGTATGCGATCCTCTTCGCATTCATCGTGGAGAGCGCCAACCACAAGCTCGCACCCACATCGGCTGCCGAGGCATTGCCTAGCAAAGTTATCCTACTGGACCAACCCGGTTTCCAATCCCGTACCTCGGAGACTACTGCCACCACAGTGGGATCGACCCTCATTTCTGCCGAGCGCAACGGCTTCGACGAGTTTTGCATCAACTTCGCGGATGAAGTTATCCAGTCCCATATCTTCCGAAACATCTTTGACGACAATGCCTATCACAATAGTCAAGCTCTCGCTGACGGCATTCCCCTTCCTCAAGTAGAGGTCCTGGATAATGCGGCCTGCACAGAGCTCCTGCGCGGTCCATATTCCGTCGCCAGAAACTCGCGCAAGCCGAGTGGACTCTTGGGAGTCGCGGACAAGGCGTCGTCATCTTACAAGTCCGGAAAGGGAGGAGAATCTAGAAATGACGACTTGCTTCAGGAAATGTCGGCCAAGTTTGGCATGCACACTTCGTTCGTTAAGCCTTCTTCGCCTGACGAGAAGCGATCGTTCAGTATCAAGCACTATGTTGGTCCTTGTTCTTACGATACAAGTAACTTCGTGGAGAAGAATGCCGACATCATCGACCCGGCTTTCGTCACCCTTCTCCGGGAGTCGTCGGATACGTTCGTGACCAAGCTTGTATCTGGACCTGGTCTCTCTACGGAATTGCATGAAGCAGATAATGAGACCATCGTTCAAGCACAGATCTCTTTACGACCTCTTCGCAGCCCCTCTTCTCTTGGGGCAGCTGAGGATAGCAGCCCTCGCTTGAACCCAGCCAAGATATATCCCGTGACCACGCAGCTTAATCAGTCCCTGTGGGACGTTCTGGCCGCAATGGATAATGCGAAGCTGTGGACGTTGTCCTGTATCCGACCCAACGACAACGGCTTTTCGAACTCCTTCGACAAGCGCCGGGTCAAGTCGCAGATCAGGGCGTTACTCTTGCCAAGCGTCGTGGCGAGGCGGAGCCTCGAATATGTTGCATCTATGGGTCAGACAGAGTTCTGTGACAGGTATTGCCCGACTACACGGGGCTCAACAGCCGAACGCATTCGTCAGTGTGCAAGGTCTTATGGCTGGGTAGAAAGCTCGGACTATGCAATGGGACAGAACCAAGTTTGGCTGTCCTATTTCGCATGGAAGGTGGTCGAGGATGTGCTGCGTACCGCAGAGAAGGAGCAAAAGAACATGACACATGAAGATTCGGAAGATGATGATAGTCTCAGTCTGCCCCACGAAGGCACCATGGACAACCAGCCATCCCCTGTGGTTGACACCAGCAACTATCGTACGAGTTACTTTGATGGTTCTCCAGCCGCGGACTATCCTATGTCAAGAAGTCCTGCAGGGTTTGACGGCTATGCGCCGTCGCATTTCGTTCCCGCGGGGTACCCGGCCACACCTGCCGAGGAAGCTGGCTCAATGTACAAAGCTGAAGCCTACGGGGACACGCCCCCTTTGGTGGCTGGTACCGATCTTCAGAGCGTGCCTAAAGATCATGAACAAATTATTGAGGAACAACTGCCAGCTACTCGTCAGCGGCGCATATGGCTCTTCCTCGTGACGATAACCACGTTCTTCATTCCGGACTTCCTACTCAGTTGGCTGGGGCGCATGAAGCGGCCAGACGTTCGCCTTGCCTGGCGTGAAAAGTTCACCATATTCTTCCTTATCCTTCTCCTCAACGGCATCGTTCTCTTCTACATCATCGTCTTCGGTCGGCTCCTCTGTCCGAACTTCGATAAGGCATGGACAGCCAATGAAGTTGCGCAGCATACGGGGACCAACGACTTTTACGTCTCCATCCAAGGCAAGGTTTATGACGTCTCCAACTTTGTTCATGGCGATCACAGCGATATCTCTGGCGAGCCAAGCAATGGAGAGGATACCCTTGATTATCTTGCCGGGACGGATTTGACGTACTACTTCCCTCCCCCTTTGACTCTTGCTTGCAGTGGCCTTGTCATCGATACGAGCGTTGCTATCACGATCAAGAATTCGAGCTCCATGACTGTTCCTACTGCGAAGCACAGCTCCGGCGCCCAGGCCCCCACGTCCAACACTGCGCTAGATAACACTGACTGGTATACGGCGACATATCTTCCGAAGATCAACCAGTACTACAAAGGCGCTCTTGTTTGGGAACCGAGCGACATATCAGGACAAGCGGCTGACACGAACATTGAGAGGTACGCCGTTTATGGCCACTTATGTGTTCAGTCTAATGATCGTGTGCAGAGTGTGGGCTATCTACGACAACAGCATCTATGATCTGACGGATTATGTGTACACGACGACCTCGATCGACCAGAACGTGGCCACATACCAGTTCTTGGACAAGAACCTTGTTGATGTGTTTACTGAGCAAGCTGGACAGGACATCACGAGTAGCCTCAACAGTGTTCTCGACGCCATGGGTACCGAGAACAAGACTGCAAACATGGACTGTCTAAACAATGCATTCTACTGGGGCGAAACAGACTTCCGGTACACGGCAAGATGTCAGGTTCAGAACGTCTTATTGCTCGTGTTCTCCAGTATATTGATGGCATCTATGGGACTGAAATGTGTGTCATCCTCTGCATCGTTTTACACTGGCGGCTTACCCATTTTTGGTTAGTCTTGGCTGCGTTACAGTTGGGCCACAAGAAGCACCCCGAGCTTCTGGACAAGTTCGTTCTTTGTCAGGTTCCTTGCTATACCGAGGGCGAAGATTCCCTCCGCCGGACCATCGACTCTCTGGCTGCGTTGGATTACGACGACAAGCGCAAGCTGATCTTCATCATCTGTGATGGTAACATTATCGGTGGCGGCAACGAACGGCCTACACCTAGTATCGTGCTCGACATTCTCGGAGTGAATCCGTCCCATGATCCTGAGCCACTGATGTTCAAGTCTATTGGAGAGGGCTCTCAGAAACTCAACTACGGCAAGATTTACTCCGGCCTGTACGAATTTGAAGGTCATGTTGTACCGTGCGTACATCTTATTTCGAGAGAAGGATTGGGCTAATTGTCAATCGTATCTAGCTACGTCGTTGTTGTCAAGGTCGGCAAGCCTACGGAACGCTCGAGGCCAGGAAACCGCGGGAAGCGTGACAGTCAGATTCTGCTCCTGCAGTACCTCAACCGGGTTCACTTCAATTCGCCCATGTCACCTCTCGAGCTTGAGATCTACCACCAGATGAGGAACGTCATCGGCATAGACCCAGCCTTCTACGAGTACATTTTTACGGTTGATGCCGATACCGTGCGTTATTTGCCAAAGCAAATGCTACCCATAATGCTGATTGTCGATTGGACAGACCGTGACTCCACCGTCGCTGAACCGGCTTGTTGCTTCTGCTGCGGACGATTCTAACATCATTGGCATTTGTGGGGAAACTAAGCTGCAGAACGAAGAGGGGTCGTGGTGGACGATGATACAGGTGCGCTATCTTGCTTGATGTCTAATCTCGTCACCTTATCTCATCCTTAAACGCTAGGTCTACGAGTACTATATTTCGCACAACCTGTCGAAAGCCTTCGAAAGTCTCTTTGGGTCGGTATCTTGTCTTCCAGGATGCTTCACGCTGTACCGCATTCGCACGGCGGACAAGGGTCGTCCGGTTATCATATCCAGCCGGGTCATCGACGAGTACGCCGAGAACCACGTCGACACTTTACACAAGAAGAATCTGTTCTCGTTGGGTGAAGATCGGTTCTTGACCACGCTGCTCATGAAGCATTTCCCGACTTACAAGACCAAATTTACGTCGGAGGCTATCGCTCGTACCGTCGCCCCTGTTTCCTGGCGTGTGCTGTTCTCGCAGAGGCGTCGATGGATCAATTCCACGGTGCATAACTTGTGCGAGCTGGCCCTCCTTCCTGACCTTTGTGGTGTTTGCTGCTTCTCGATGCGTTTCTTTGTCTACCTTGATCTTATTGGGACATTGGTGAGTGTTTATTCGCTGCGGGATGATTACTCTCGCTAACACCCATGTCAGATCCTTCCGGCAACTGTCATATATGTAAGGGAGTAACTTGTATTATCTTCCTAAATCTTCTGACTTCGATTTTAGCTGCTATACCTCATCATTGTCGTGTCTAGTGGTCAAAGCGCATTCCCACTCATTTCCATCATCATGATAGCAGTCGTCTACGGTCTGCAGGTGCGCAAAAATGATCCACTGTTTTTTGATCCGTATTCTTACATTCAGTAGGCTCTCATCTTTATCATTAAGAGAGAGTTCATGCTTGTGGGCTGGATGGTTGTGTATCTCCTTTCGTAAGTCCCACATCTACATGTTTAAAAGGAATGAAGTTCATTCCGTCGCGCAGGTACCCCGTGTACAGTTTCTTCCTACCGATCTACTCCTTCTGGAGAATGGACGAGTTCGGTTGGGGTAACACCCGCGTCGTCCTAGATGCTGGAGGAAACAAGAAGGTCATCACAAATACCGACGATAGGTTCAATGAGACAATGATTCCGTATAAGACGTTCGCTGGTGAGTCCATCAATCCGTCACAGCGCGACAATGAGCTAACATATGCGACAGAGTACGAAGCTGAAACATGGGAGTCCCAATCCAACAAGAATACTGGACTGGATGCGAACGCCATGAACTCCGGTTATTCGATGCATATGCCTCCATCGCAGCCTCGGCTTGCCCCTTCAGCGCAGATGTCGAGTTACAATACACACGGATCAGTCGGAGGTGACTATTATCGCGACACGAACATGACGAATCCCAATAGCCGCACACCTTCTCGCCCGGCATCTCGTTCCGCACACCCCTCATTTTACCCATCCGCATCTCAAGAGAAGCTAAACATGGCCCCGCCAAGCTATCACCCAATGGCTAGCGGAGGGATGGGCAGTGTTTACGGCATGACACCACCTGGTTCTCAGATGAACATGAGCATGCACGGCACAGGTTCTCTTGGTGGCCTCGGTGGTCCTCCGCAGCTTCCTTTTGGTAACGGTGGCGGTATGCGCCCCAACTCGACCTTTTCGATGGCCACGACGGTCTTCGCTGGGCCGAACACGAACCCTAATCCTTCGGACGAGGAGTTGTACACGGCTCTGAGAAACTATCTCAGCACACAGGACCTTATGACCGTAACGAAGAAGTAAGTGTTTCTTAGGTTATGTCTTTCCGTGATACATGTGCTCATCACTGTCATACAGAACTGCAAGGGAGGCCATAGCTGCTCGGTTCCCAAGAGCAGACCTCACTTCTCGCAGGGACTTTTTGAACCAGGCGATTGACAGCATTCTTTCTAGCCCGTAATCCCCGCTCTTCATCGCATTGAACTTTGCTTTCTGACAGTGGATTTTTGTTGTGGACTCGCCTCTTTGCATGGACGCATTTCTTTCACACTGCTTCGGACTTCGGCTTCATAGGATTATGCATTGCGTAGTGTAGACGTTTATTGGAGATTTCAATCCTTACTCAATCATTACATGCATGGACAATAAATAGTATCTGTTCTGGCTCGTCTTACTGAGAACGATTGGTTGTCAAGTCACGCGTATAAAGAACACCATCATGATGAATGAAACAAGGACAGCAATGATACTCATAATCACCAAACACGTCGTACTCCCGCTCTTTCCCCTGAAATCGCGGAGGCGCAGTCGTTCTTTCTTCATGACGTCAAAATTCGAGTCTAGCTTCTCCTGCAGATCCTCTACCGCTGACTTGTCCTTCTCGAGCGAATCAGAGAAGTGCGTTGCATTGCGCTTCAGCTGAGTAGCCATGAGAGCGAGCTGCTCTGACAGCTCTTCCTGACGAGCACGAGAGTTCTGGATGATCGTAGGTGTGGCATTCAATTTTGAGGTTGCAGCTGGTAGTGTGGGAGGGAGTAACGAGTTCTCTAACTCGGAAGGTGGTGGCAGCTCAGCTTCTGACGAAGGTATTAAGCTGTCGACTAAAGGTGGTTCCTCGGCCGGTACTTCATCGCCTGGACTAGCAGCAGGTTCGCTTGCGCCCGAATCCCCTTTTGTCGTTGAAGGGGGAGGCAAGGAAGGAAGGATGGGTCGCGGCCGCCTTGGTGGTGGTGCGACTCTCTGCAATGTTGCAATGACATTCAATTGGCCTGCATGGAAGTGACCGGGACACATACCTCATCTATTTCCAACAGAGTGCGTTGCAGCTGGTCCAACACGTTCTCAAACCGATCATACTTCTGCTGCAGATGCCTAGCATGGTGTCACACCGTCAGTGTGCTTGTAAACGGTAGGTCCCAGTGTCGTGACATACGGCACAGGGTTTGGATCGTCTGCCCGTACGTTCTTAAGAAGGAGCCTGGCATGTTTGATGTTCTAAGTCACCAGTGAGTGAGCACAAAATATGAATGAACTGACAATCACCTGTAGTTTCCCCTGCACCTTCATCCACGCCTCCCGGTCAGAAGCCCCTGGCCAAGTGTCCTCGTCGACTGATTTCTGGAGTCTGTGCACCATCCGAGGGAGGTTGATTCGGTCATGGATGGCTTGTTCCTCAGTTCGAATGCTCATGGTGAGAATATCAAAGGAAAGACCGGGCGTGTAGTATGACAGTGCCAGAAGGCGCGTAGTGCTAGAGCTTGCTATATGTATTAGAGCTTCAATAATTAAAGCCAAATTAACATTTAAGCCTGTACACGTCACGCGTGGGAAACAGTGTGCGCGTCTATATTACTTTGACGCCCGGAGAACTCCAACGAATCTTGTGTGTTCTTTCTGCGTCGCGTGTATATGGTAAGCCCAGTTTCAAGGACCTATATTTCTAAAAAAATTCATCTGATACAATCATAGTGCACAATAAGATATACAAAGCATAAGAGTGATAGCTAGTCTTTAATCGTGTCGTCTTCCATGTCCTTCAGTCGCCTGGCAATCCGATTTGCGTCGTCTTTCGAAAACCCACATCTCTTGACAAGCTTCCGTGTTAGCTCTTTCACCCCTGGACGCGCAGCGCGTGGCAAAAGATATCTCCACATTCCCTCAAGCAACTTCACGAACCACAAGTCCTCTTGGCTTTTCTTCATCCTGCACGGTAATGATGTGCAGTTCCAGAGCAGCCGGATGACTGCGTCTCTGGAGTAATCATGGTGTCGAGAATTCGGCTTCCGGATAGTGGTGATGCAGGCATGGTCATAAACCGATATCCCGTATGTTTCGAAGTGCTTCTCGTTCCTATCCCACCAGTCCTCCATCCGCTCCTCATGCTCCAAATGGGTAACAACCACCGCCACAGGTATCTTTTTGTCGCACAGGATTTCGACGAACATCCGATAGTTTTGCTGCGCGGAAGCCGTTATCCGTCCTCCGCGCATGCAGAAGATCAAGAGGTCAACGCCGCCGTAGTTGTCAAGGATAGAGACGAGACGCTCAGCCTTCTTCACCGCCAACAGGTACCCGTCCCAGTTGAGACAGGGCTCGCTCAGCCCTGCCGTGTCAAAGAGACGTATGCGGCGCGAATCAATTGCGACATCGTAGTAGGTGGCCTCGAAAGTGCACCCCTCTGCGCTATCTGAAGTCTTTGCCACGTATTTGCCGATAATGAGGTTGACGAGGGAACTCTTTCCAACACCAGTCTCCCCGAATATGACGACGTTGATTATGCCATCGTCCACAGGTGCCTTGATTTCTTGTGTGGGTGCTCGCTGACCTGTAAAGTGACTTCATCAATTTCCTTCGTCGCTTGCAAGATAAATAGGACGTCACTTTTCCTGAGCAAAAACATCGAAACGCAGTGAGTGACAGACCGTGCCTTCGCCACCTCGCCTTCAAAAGAGCTTATAACGTTGCACAGCGGGCCTGGCTTCCATGCGGCATTCCTCCCTTGGAAACGTTCGCTCCCTCAGATCCAGCTCCGAGGGAACCACGCGCCCATGTTCCCGTTTCATTTGAGTTAGACTGCTGCTAAAGGAACGTGCCCAAAGTGACTGGTGACGGTAATTCTTCATCGTGCTTCCTGACATGCTGCCTCATTGCCGCTATTGATAGATAACGCTGTCTGCCGGCCAACAAATTGGTACCCCCAAGCAATGCAATGCAAATTAAATAACAAGACTGTATGACTATTTAATCCTAAACCTAGATTACGAATGCTAACGTTCCTTGGAAAAGCGAGTGCGGAGGAAGTGAAACAATGGTCCCGAGGATATACATTTAAGCGTCATCTGTCTCGTCTGGTGCATGCGCCAGCTTCTTGGCAATGCGCAAGGCTTCGTCAGGAGAAAATCCGCAACGCTCACGAAGCTGACTCGTCAGCTTCTTGACTTTTGGACGGGCTGGTTTTGGAACGAATGCCCTCCATATGCCTTCCATAACGCGGATAATCCAAACGTCCCTATGCTCCTTCATCGGTTGCAGGGAGGCGCAGCCTCGAAGTACACCGTTGATGGCTTTCTTCGACTCGTCGTATTGTTGAGAGTTGGGGGCCGCTAATGTCGTGACGCAAGCGTGGTCCTGGTAGCGGATGCCAAAGGTCTTGAAAGCTCTCTCATTCCTCTTCCACCAATCCTCCATAACCCTCTCGTGCTCGAGGTGGGTGATGACGACCGCCACAGGGACGCGTCCGCCACACAGTACCTCGACGAACAGCTTGTAATTCTTTTGCGAAGAAGCGGTAATTCTACCGCCGCGCATGACGAAGAGCAGGAGCTGAATCCCGCCGCATTTGTCGAGCTCCTCGATAAGTTCATCGGCTTTGCCGATAGCATCAAGGTAGCCATCCAAGCCGAGACGAGGCTCGTTCAGACCCACCGTATCCCAGAGGCAGATTTCTTCGTCAATGGAACGATGAGGTGTCGCGTTGAGGAAGGTAGAATATGGCTTCGATGTTAAGGTGCATCCGTCCGCGTCTGGTGAAGTCACCGCAACCTGTTGGCCTACGATCATGTTTACCAACGAACTTTTCCCGGCCCCTGTCTCTCCGAAGACGATGACATTCACGGGATGCGGCATATCTCCCCGATGACAGTAGTCTGCGACAAGAGTACGCCGTCAGGTCTATATTGTAAACGTCACGAATTTACTTACTGCTGCCTCTGTGGTTGCTCTCCAAGGTATAGCAAGTCAGTGAGTCAGAGCAAGCATATAAACTGGCGCGAAACCGCTTTACCCAGCACTGTGAAGGGAGTTGTTCATGGCATGATGGGCACGAGGCATCCGGAATGAATTGCAGCCCACCAAAACCAAAACCACAGTGGTGGAACGCCGCTCGTTTGGATCTTAAAGTCAGCTGTACGCTCCCCGTACACATGCCCTTGCCGCATGCCTATATCGAGCTCATCCCCGATCATCTCATCGTAGTAAGCCGCCTTAGCGTGCCGTTTTCATTTCCCCGGACTAACGACACGTTTCTGGTACCTGGTTCCTTCCGTTTCACGCAATATGAACCCGCGCCTCAGGTTACGGGTTGGTAAACGCGAGGACACCTCAAAAAGCGGCGATCGCCCGTCGAGCTATCAGCTGGACGAAAGGCGTGGACGAGACGTTGCTAAAGCGTTCGCTCCATGCTTAGAAGGCTCTCTGTGCTCAAGCCTTGGTCGAGGGCATATGTATAATCTTGTTTAAATAACCCGATCGTACAGTCGACGCCACTTCTGGCCTCTTCACTACACACTGTAGAAACCATCTTCGTGTTCGTGTTAACAGGCAATGGTGAGCATCATGGTTCTACACGTTCCGTCGCAGTTGAAGACTCACAACTGCCTCAGGAAAACCGCGTGGCACGCAATGGGCATTCACCAGAGGTAGGCCCTTCAGTCGTTCGCTGCTGTGTCCGGGAACCATCCTGATATCTCAACAGAACAAGGGCAACCTTCATAACATTGTGGTATTCGGAGAGAGTGGCGTCGGCAAAAGCTCTTTGATCAACATGATCGCCGGTCATGGTGTAGCGGAAACTTCCGCCGATGTGAAGGGATGCACCTTTGCTTACAAGCATTACGAGTTTGGTGTCGGCAGAGACAGCTATCGAGTATGGGACACAGTGGGCCTTGACGAAGGCACGTTTGGAACCGTACCCGCAGAATTGGCTGAGAAAAGCCTCAAGACGTTCCTCCTCGACCTGTCACAGACGAGTGGGATCAATCTTCTTGTATACTGTGTTCGCGGTTCTCGCATCACTACAGTCACTCTACGAAACTACGAACTCTTCTATTCTGCCATCTGTAGACGCATGGTACCGATCGTCGTCATCGTCACGGCCTTGGAGAACTATGACGGAGAGATGGACGAGTGGTGGGCGAAGAACAAGCGCACTTTTGCACAGTACGGCCTCCACTTCGATGGCGTGGCATGCGTCACGACTCTGCCCGAAGAAAAGGTGCATCCTCAGCTGCGTCAACGCTGGATGGATTCGCGGCAGCGGATATGGGACCTACTTCAAATACAGAAGAGCGCCGAGCCGTGGCTGCCACGCAATCAGAATCAGTGGGCGCTTGCGACGCTCCAGGATATCCGGGCTGTCATGGACACAAGCTCGAAAGAAATCTCCCCCAATATCGTCGTCGTCGAGAACCACCCTTCACGCCACTTCATCGTCCTGAGCAACGTCCTCGCCATCGTCCAGCGCCGATACAACATCTTCTGCATCTTCGACTCTGACATCAACCACCAATCGGGAATCAACTTTCTCCACAACGAGGTAGACGTCACCCACATGCTTGTGTTGCCGCTGGAGCAAGGAGATGACGCGGAGGCATTCCGGCGGGTGTTCAACATCTACGTGAACGGCACCTCGCCTGTTCTAGTGCTCGTCATGGGCGCCTCCGACGACGCGGAGGCCAACGCGAGATGGAATTCCATCCGGAACCCTAGCATGAAAGCGAGGGTCGCCTATGTGCCACCAGCGGGCGCCGACAAGGAGGTCCAGATGGAGGCGACGCGTAACCTGGAGAACCTCGTGGATCGCTACTGCCTGCGCGTCACCGGGCTGTCGATAACCGGCAAGTGGTCGAAGGTCCGCCAGCAGAGGAAGGCGGCCTTGGACGGACAGAGGCAGCTCATTACGCTGCAGGACCTGATCGACGAAGTCCGTGGTCATGGTTCGTCCTCGAGCAGGAAGATGACGGTCGATGCAAGGATACCCTCGCCATCGTCGCAGTCGTTGAACTTGCGTCCGAAGCGGTTCCTCTGCTGGACTATTCGGGGACACGATTCTGATTGAATTTCGATGCATCACTAGCAATGTTCCTTGTTTATATCTATTCGTGTGTATGTAGCTTTACTGTCGTGATTATTTGTGTACGTGTCGGTTCTCGCAGATCTAAATGGCATGCTTGACGTTGAACTGCAAGCAACATCATCGAAGATTGCACAAGGTCGTTATGAAACGCGATTAAACTAGTTGGTGACTTGCCTAGTCCTAGCGTATTGAGTGAATTACGTTTATGCGTGTATATCGGAATGTTCATCAGGATTATGGGAAAGCCGTTGGTGCATCGCGCTCAAGAGCTAAATTAGATCGCTCATACCCTGCCAGTGGAGGCTGTACAAAATACGTCCACGCTCGAAAATGAATGCGTGAACACTGAACATTTGCCATGCCGTACGGGACAAAGACGGTCGTAATGTTCATAAACCTAAGCGTGACAAGCAATGATTCCCCCGCCCCGACGGCAGCTCCCGGATGGTTGCGTCACTTGATGAATGCGACAAAAGCCAAATGTCGAAGCACCTGTATGTTTGACAAATGATCTCAAAGGCGTGGAAAATCAAAGCATAGCGGCTCCGAGAGTCGATCTTGGTATAGTGAACAAGCCAACGCTTAGTTTGCTGCGGGGGATAGGTGTGCCTGGAGCTCTATGAATAGGTGGTTGAAGACAAGAATAGCGGGATCCTGGACACGCAGCGACAATAGAACAGCTTCACCGACTTCCGAGTCATGTCGGTTGACAGAGTATGACTCTAGGTAGAGAGGTTTCAATGTGCTGTCTACGCTGTGAGCCAGGCTGTGAGCTGCTCGACCAAGGACACGGGCTCGAGGGCGCGGACGGAACGTAAAGCTGTGGTTGGCAGCAAAAATAGAGGGCCGGATTAGAAGATGCTGACTAGTCCATTATTAGTGACTCTGCTGAGTTTGAAACGACGGCCCTGATTGGGCGGGGCTGCGGCGTACAAGACCGCCTAGACACTCCTCCCTGCCCTCCTCTACTTTAAGCTCCAACCGCCAACAACACTTCCTCAAATCCACAGCAGTTCCTCCTTTTCTCTTTAAATCTCAAGCCTCTTTCTTACGACTTTCCGAACACAACACAACACAAACCTTTCGTCTCACGTCGACTGATTACAGAGTGACATGCGTCTCACAGTCATACCTGTCTTGGTCGCAGGCGCTTCGCTCGGTGAGTCCCCTCAAGTCTCACTTCCCCTATCCTCCCACTAATTGCCCAATCTTTCCAATCACAATAGTCGCCAGTCAGCCTCTCAGAGTCATCGTCGAGGGACCCTCCGATACGAATGCCAACATCCGCTTCGGACATGCACTCGCCAACGCCAACGTGAATGGAAACGACGATAACGTCGCCCATCTCACCCGCCCCACCGTCGTAATGACGTCCGTCACCGAGGTCAAGTCGTCTGGCCGCCACTTCTGCGGTTCCTCGATCCGCGAGAAAGCTATCCAGATGTCCAATGCGTTCAGGCACGCACTCGGTCTCCCCTTGATCGAGCTCGAGGAGCACCATCGTCGCCCTCACCCTCACCACAAGGGTGACGAAGCGTCCAAGGATCAGGGAAGACCTCACAGTGACAAGGAGATGCACATCATGCCGCTGCCGTTCATCGGCGTCGGGGCCTTACCTAACGCCGTTCACCCTGATGCGGTCATCGGCCAGAACAAGGAGACGCTCCAAGATGGCCGCGTTGTCCACTTCAACCCTCACCACCACCCTCATCATCTCAGGCCCGATGACCACCGCCGCTTCCACCATATGCGCCAAGGCTCATTCCTCCGCCGCATGCACCGTGCCATCATGGCGCTCGGTCCCTGGGAGGGTCGCGCTGTGGCATTTGTCCTTGGTATGTGCACACGCCTTTTATACCCTATACCCGCTAATTGATTTCTCCTCTGTAGGCTGCGGCATCGGTGTCCTCCTGCGCATGTTCTGGGTCTTGGCCGTCCTGACTTACCGCGCCGTCAGCGGCACCAGGGACGACGACACTCTCGAAGAAAACTACATCATCTTCGAGCAAGACGCCGAGAGTATCTTCGTCCCTCCTCCCCAGTACACCGACGAAAAGGTCGAGGCCGTAGCAGCGCCGTCCGAAGAGGAGGAGCACAACTAGTAGATTCTCTTAATCCATTCACATGTATTTTGTGCGCCCACCTATCTCGCTGTCGCATCACCACACTCCTTATTTATTTCGTCCTTTTCTTCAGCTCTTCTGTCGGTTCAGCCCCGTCGATATTTCAACGGACACACTCTCATTGACTATCGTCTTCTCTAGCTATGCCTGTTGTATTTTTGGCACCAATGTAACTAGTTCTCCTCAGCGTATGCATTCGCTCGCTTTTGAGCCTTACATATTGTATATGAGGTGCATGTCGCAGAGCTCACTGTGCATAGTTGAATGGACTTGTTGCTACAGCAGCGCTGATTGGTTACTACTTGGAATTTTTACAAGGCTTGAGCGTTGTACATATCTATCGGTACAGATTCCAATTCTACGTCACAATGACACGTCATTATGATGAAAGCGCCCGCTCCGAAGAGGCTAAGAGCTAAGCGTACCGACGCCCGAAGACGCCTTCTTCGTATGCTTTAATTTCTGTTTGGGGAAAGTCAGCGGCGAGCGCTTGGTACTAAGGCGGGGTCCCAACAGAACCAAAGCATCGAGGAGAAAACTTACGCAGAGCGACGTGCTTGGAGTAGAACCTGCACAGCGCGAGGTTGCCCATCATGCACCAGATCCCGGGCAGGCCGACCTCGTTGGCGAGCCCGTTGATCTCGCCCTCCTCGTTGAGGCCCCAGATAGGAGAGACCAGCTTCCCGAGATTTTCTCCCAGGATCTTGGCGTAGGCCGAGCGCGCGTCGCCGTACCTTTTCCAACGAGAATAATGGGTGAGTGTGCGTGCCGATGCCAAAGTATAATAATCTACCCGGTAGCGAAAATGGCAACGTCGGTGTCGAGGTGCGACCCGTCCTCGAACTGGATGCCCGAGGAAGTGAACCTCTCGATTTTTGGGCCGCTCTTCAGCTTGATCTTGCCCTCGACGATCAGTTCGGATGCGCCGACATCTAGAAAGAGGATCAGTTCTTCGTCGCTACGAGCTGCGGGAGACAACGTACTGAGGTAGTATCCGCCGGCCCGATTCCACGCCAGCATCAGGAACCCCGAGTCGTCCTCGCCGAGCGTGGTCTGGAATCCGCGCGCGTGCAGGCCGTCCAGCAGATCCCTGCGTATTCCCCAGTCATCTCAGCATGCCTATGCTGCGGGCGCAACAAAACGTCGTCTCCCGGAACGAACATGCACTCACTTGTCTGCCTCAGCGATCTCCTTCGTCACGCGCTTGTGCACGAGCTTCATCAGGTGGTTGGGGAACGAGGCGTTGATGCGGTCGGCGATGTCCGTGGGCGGGCCGTTTTCCCAGAATATGCCTGAGCGGGTTGGGGGCCGTCAGCAGCTGGTTGACCGCGAGGGGTCGGCGCAGGAGAGGACGCACTGAGAAGGCGCGGCATGCCCTCCTTGGTGGACATGATGTATGTTGGGTTGCGTTGGACCATGGTCACATCTGGCGATTCATACTCGGAGATGAGCCCTGTCTCCCTGGATGAGGCTGGCTTCCAGCAAACTTACCGATCCCGTGTTCGACGTAGTCCGCGCATATGTCGTGAGCTGAGGAGCGAGGTCAGCTCCAGCAGACGTTGACCGCGATGTGCAGGTACGAACCAGAGGTACATGCACCGACAACAGCGACCTTCTTTCCGATATGGTCTGAAGCTTTATCGTGCTTGCTGGAGTGCAAGATTTGGCCTTTAAACTCATCCTGAGCGGTAATGTCAACGGGCTGCTCGAGAAGCACATGCAATCACTGCATTACCATGCCAGGGTATGTTGGATGGTTTCCGAGACCGGCACCGATACCGAGGGCAAACACGACATGGTCGACCTCGAACGAGCGTTCCCTGCCGTCCACTCGCCTTACCGACACGGTGTAGCGTTTCTTGGACCCCTTTCTAACGCTTTCCACGGTGGCAGACGTCCATACGTTCAGCTCCATGGTATGTGCATATGATTCCAGCCAGTCGGCGAGTTTCAAAGCTGGGGTATACACCGGCCACGACGGCGGGAATCTGAATGGGGTTAGCTATACCCCGCATGGCGGTTATGACAGCAACGCACGGGAGGTATGGCATATGGTCGTACCCTTGAGAGCCGCTAATCAGCACACCATCTGCAGCGACACAAGGATCGACGCGAAACTAACAAACGGGGTCATGGAGGCACAGCGCGGAGTAGCGCTTCCGCCAGTTGTCTCCTATCCTCTCGTTGCGCTCGACTACCAGAGCGTTGATCCCGAGGTGTTTGAGGCGCGCGGCCACCTCAAGGCCGCTCTGTCCGCCGCCAACTATCACCGCGCCGGGCTCCTCGTCGAGAAAGTCGATCTCCCTGGCGCGCTTTGCTGCCCACTTGCCGTGGTTCGGCGCGAAGTCGCGCAGCAGGCCGATCTTCTCGGGGTGGCCCTTGAGGCCCTCGAGGTTCGTGTAGATCACATGGGCCTTCCAGACATTGTCCGGGAGCGGGACGAGGCGGAAGACGCCGGATGCGAGCCCGTCGGTGGTCTCGAAATCAAAGAAGCCCTGGATCCAAACGAGATCCGGGTAGGGCTGTTGGAGCTCAAGATGGTCCTTCTTGAGGATGAAGGTGGACGGCTTAAAGACGGGCAGCTGGTCGTCGAGGAACTGGCTGACGGCGGGTGCGCTCTGGAAGGTGCGGAAGTTCCAGGTGAGGGCGAGGGTGTCGCGCCAGAAGACGTCGTCGACGAGGTGGCCTACAGCACGTGCGGAGTCGCCGGATGCGAGCGCATTGGTGAAAGATTCGAACCAGGCTGATGCGATCTTTCTGGCGTCAAGGTGGGGATCGACGGCGCTCCTGAGCTTATCGAGGGTGGGGAGGGAATGCTGGGAGGCTGGCATGGTCACTTGTGGGGACAGCGCTGATCTCTGGTTATCTGGTCTTTAAGCTCGCAATCTGAGAATGTATTGCCTGCGTTGGGGTCAGTCATCCTTTGAGGAGTCCACTGGTCAAAGGTCAGGAGATCATCCTGGCGTTCGTGTCGGCTCCGGCAGTAGACCGTGGTCCGGCAGTCCGATAGTACTGGTCCGAAGGGGAACGTCTTGTCATCGTCGCTGTCAAACCCCACTTCCCGACTCCGCGTGCCTACTGCATCCGCCGGCCGCGTCTGGGCTGTCGGAGTGAAATTACCCCAACGACACTCATCCCCGGTCCCCCGCCAGTCAATCACTCCAACTTACTTCGCCGCATCGTCTCTCACCAACTCATCACTTCTCTGTTCGTTCGTGCTTTCGAATGCGCCAGCGTGATATCATCGTTCCATCCATCATCCGCCGTCCGCTCAATTTATCCCCCAACCTGTGTTACTTCTCGTCTTTTTTACTCCCGCCGGTGCTACCGGATTATAAGTGGGGTGTTACCACAACACTATATATAAGTAATCATCTTCGGGGCACCTCTCATCTCTTTCGCCCCCGAGGTCCCGACACAACACGACAACCCAAGCACGCCCACCATAGACAACATGCACACGACCCTGACGTCCCCGCTCGCTTCTCTCCCAGCCGACATCCTCCTCGAGATTGCGGCCTATCTCAACTCAACCAGCGACGTCTTTCACCTCTCCATCTCCGTGCGTACCCAACCATCGTCTGTCTCACCTCGGATCGGATGCTCACCTACTCATCCCCTTCTCTAGTCCACCCTGCTCTTCGCTAACTTATATTCTGCCCTCTACGCCTACGTCCATCTCAACTCCGTCACCCAATGTACCTCCACATTAGCCATGCTTTGTCGCCGTCCAGACATTGCCCGACATGTCCGCAAACTCTTCATCTCCCTCGGCCATGAATCTTCAACGGGACAAATTGGCCTCATAGACGGCTACAACGTTTCATCCCACTTGATCAAAGCCGCTCGCACACTTGATGCACTCAACACTTTTGTCTGGGACGGCGACGAAATCCCTCCATACGACGATGTCTGGTGGGCCCTCCGTAACAAGTAAGGCACCGTTCCTTAATTGTCTCCCCGTATTCATGTCCCTCACAGCTGCCCACAATTGCGAACCATTGGTGCATCGTACGGTACCTTATTACCGGATCCTCACAGTCATGTCAGTGAAAATATTTAATGTCTCAGGCACCATGACACTAATTGTTTTATCTATAGCTTTACGACTTTTCTGGGCTAATTGGTTTCTCTCTCATATCAAAACATGGCATGTATCATGCACTTGAAACCATGTCCTCCGAAAGTCGCCTGTGGACCATGCTCATCAAGCGGTGCCCGGACCTTGAAGAGCTGTACATTGATGGTGCATCTTTCGATCCCGGCACGGTCCATCCTCTCTGCCACGGTCGTTGGCCTAGACTTCGTCGACTCGGGGTCGGCGATATTGTGTTGGACTGGCACCGTCTGCGCAACAACGACACGAAGCGCCCTTTCATCGAGTTCTTGGAAGCCCACCCCCAGCTCCGTTCGTTGCGTACCTCGAGGCATGCCCTCAACCCGGCCCACATGTCTGACCTAGACATCGATGCACTTCCCCATCTTGAGGAATTCACGGGTTCTTTAGAGCATCTTCAGGTGATAGCCGCGGCCCACCCTGATATCAAGCATGTCACCTTCAACGAGCCAATGATCATACGGGATCTTGCCCCTATGGTTATCGTGAACGTGCTGCAGAACCTGCATTCACTCAACACCTTGGACATCTCCTTCGCCTTCCATTCGACGTATGAAAGTGGCAGCTTGGTTAGGTCGCTGGTGGGGGCCTGCCCCAATCTTGTGAACTTCTCTTTGACGTGTGCACGCAAGCCCTCGTTACAACTGGTGCGCGTTGATTCCCCCCAATTTCGATTGATTGACACTAGTATACTCAATCCTCACGCATGTTTTCACAGGAGAACTTCTCCAAAGCCATCCGGCCGCTTAGTCGACTCCGATGGCTCAACCTCACCCTCGTTCGGCACAACTACGAAGAGCCGCTCCTCACCTGTGCGATCAACATTGCCCGCTCCAACCCACGGCTGTCATACATCAACATCAACTTCATCCCCCCATGTGTCACCCTGCCCCTCCCGCTTCCCACGTCCTTCACGCACTCCCCGCCCGAGACGCACCTCCCGCCCGATTTCGTCGAGAGCGGCTCCTACACGCTCTCCACGGACGAACACGGCCTGCCCACCGCACTCGCGTGCGTCGAGCGTCGCGCGACGCTCCCGCTCCTCGGCATCGACGTCTCGCGCACCGGCTGGCTCGCGCAGGTCGGCGGGCGCATCCTCGCCGCGCCGCGCACGCGCCGCTTCACCGTCGACCTCCAGCCCAAGAAGCCGTGGCGCGGGTACGGCTCGCTGCTCGTCGAGCGGAGCGCGGCCGGCGAGGAGGTCCGGCTGCTCACCGTGCTCGTCAGCCTCGCCTCGCTGTCGGTCTGGGGATACGTGGGCTTCGGAATGGGGTGAGAGCCGCACGATTATCTTGTCCGCCAATAACGCCAATAACGAACGGGGTGTTTTTCCGTTTTTCCAGCCTGCTCGACATCGTTCGCCGGCCGCTTGCGCTGTGTATATGCATTGGACTTTTCTGCTTATAGTTAATTTATCCGGTGTAGCGATGTATCATAGTACTCATGATCAGGCTGTATTAATACTTGGCATGTCGACATTCATATTCAACAATAGATTTCGTTCAATCACTTGATGCGCGATGTGCTTGTGGGATTCTCTGCGTAAGACCGAAAGAACAGACTCAAAGAATTATCTCGCGTGTGCAAATGCGCAATCAGACATCTTTTGTGAGTGTTTTGGGTATAGGATTCAACTAAATATGCTGTAGCTGTATATCATTTTTGAGGATGCTAGGTAGTCGATGCTCCCATGTCGATCTATGTGCAAAACGACCGGTGGGCTTTCGAGGGGCAAGAGGTCTTGTCTATCACACGCCTCTTTAATACCTATACACCGAACCGAGATTAGACGTGAACCGAGCAAGATCACAAGCGACATAAACACAAATGTGAGGCGGAATATATCAGGACCTGACGACCGGTCAGCGTCCACTTTCAGCGCCAGGCAGATGACTGCACAAAAACGAGATACAGATCAAGAAGGAGAGAGCGACGCACATTTTGTAGTCTACGGTTGTTTCGGCGTTCTTGGCCTTGTATGCTATCGTGATGTCGAGATCGCGGTTATTCCGGGAGTTGGGCGCGCACGTCAGCTGGCCGATGATCTTCTCGCCATTGTTGACGACGATCGTCTCGGGGGTGTAGAAGACGGTTTGTCTGGAAGGCGAGGTGAGTCAACGCCGCGAGAACCTTTGTTACATTGAGTTCACTCACTTCCAGTGCGTGTATTGTGCATGGGGGCCAGTCGAGAACTGGACTTTTTTGTGCGTGCAGTCAAATGTGATGTCGAACCAGGCCAAGAAGGCATGGACATCTATGGGAAAACGAGGTTCAGCGGCGTTCGTCGCAGAAGACGGGGGGACACAGACAATCGTCACGGGTAGCGGTGAGTGAGAAGGGCGCGCTGAAGGTGAGGTCTTCTTTTTTGGCAGTCAGAAGGTTAATGCTCTGCGTAGAAGTTGAGATGCATCCGTATTTTGAGCAAGTGAGCAATCACATACTTTGATGAGGCAAGGGTCGGTGACCACTGCTTTGAGTTCTACAGTGTCCACCAGAGGCTCCCGAAGGGCGATGTCCTTGATGCACGAGTAATCAAACCCATACACATTGTCCCAGACTAATATGACAAGTCCAGTTAGCGCTGGAATTTCGCTAAAGAAGTAAACACGTACAGTTGATCTTTTCTTCCTTGTAGTCCTGATCCTCTATCGCAGCCATGTATAAACGAGCGTTATCGGGGAACATGAGGCCGTCGGACTTGAGGTATTTATCACGAGCAAGAAGCACGGTGTCCAGCATGGATTCGTAAAGCAAGAAGTAGCCCATCCACTCGGAGATGATGATGTCGAATTGCTGGATTGGAAGCTCAACATCTTCGAGCTTGCCCTTGACGAGAGTGATTGCTGGTGAAGCAACGTCTAAACAACGCGAAGCGACCCCAAAACTTGGATTATCACTTACTGTCCTTGAAGCCGTTTGCTTCGATAATTTTTTGGGCTTGATCAATGATGTTCGACATATCGATCTAGTGTAACATGAACAACCTAGCAGAGTGGACAATCGCTGGCCGATTCACGTACACCAACAACATGCGAAGCACCGGCTTTCGCAGCAAACATACTCAGAATGCCGGTTCCACAGCCGACGTCAAGGACGGTTTTCCCCTGGAAAAGATGGCCATTGTTCACGATCGCGGCACGGTAGGAACCTGTCCGAACGCCATCCTTGAGCATCTCCTCGTGAATACCTGATGATCAAGACTGGTGAGTGCGTAAACGATACAAGATGAATGGCTACGTACCAAAGTGAGCATAAGAGTCGGCATAGCTGGAGTTTGAAACAAAAAGAAAAAACACAATGAGTCCTCCTGATACGGAGGTGGATGAACAGTGCGAACTAGTCTCTGGAGGTCATGTTGTCCATCGCGGGTGCATCATGGGCGACATGGTGGGTGCTGTTGGACGACGGGCCTGCTTCAGACATGTTCGGCACGGCCTTGGGTGGTCGATGTCTTCGGGGATGCGGACAGAAATTTTGGCAGCAGATCAGCTCGACCTCGCAGACGAGCACGTCCCAATTTGGGTGGACTGTGATCGGGTACAGCCAGACCAAACAAGGTCCAACGACGGCTTTCCTTCCGCGCTCCGGTAGGCTCGGTTCGGTCCTGTCAATGGCTCGGCTCCTGTGCCGCCTCTGAAGCCGAGCTGACGAGGCAAGGACGCCGCAGCCATCTCCACTCACCTGCGCAGCCTCGCTTGTTCTCCTACTTAACCCTTCTTTGTCACGACCTTTGACGACTACTACACCACACCCTCTTCTACCCACAAATGGTCAGTTATTCAACTCTGGATGAGAGAATAGTGCACTGACACGGGTGTAGACCAAGTACCAGGATCAACCTTCCGACAGCCCGCCCGCGTACGAGTACGTCGCTGCTCAGGGTAGTGGTGAGTTGTCCCACTCAAACTAAGTTTCAGCGAGACTCAGTAATCACAGGCTCCCGGGATCCTTTGATTCCTGCTGTTCAGCCCGGCGATGACATGGTGAAGAACACCCAGCCCCAGCCCCAGCCAGCCCCTGTCGCCACCCATGGCCATCCCGTACCTTCATACCAGAACCCCACAGTCCATTACTACATGGACCCTGCGACGGGCGAGCGCGTTGCATCTCTGCTTCCGCCAGACCATCCGGAGATGGTGTGCCTGCAGGCGGGAGGACACATTGCTCAGACCAGATACGGGATCCTAGGTGAGCCCACAAAGCATGTCGTGTACTCCGCAGCAGCTGACGTGGTTTTATCACATCCAGGTGTCATCGCTGCCATCGTCTGGTTCCCTCTGGGAATCGGCTTGTGCTTACTCGACCGCCGGGTCAAGTGCAGACGCTGTGGCGCCCCCATCGCTGAGGGCCCCTTCTGTTAAGTCTAACCAGACTTGCAACCCTATCGTATATATGAATTTAGTTTCACTTCGCATTGTTACTGTCGTGGATTTCTTTGAACATTCGTACTTACCTTGTATCTTACATAGCGTGCATTGCACGAGTCGACCCCAGTTACGCAGTATTCAGGAACTATGACCCATGTACATAATAGATGGCTCATATGTGAGATGCTGTGTGATGCGTCCCACTCGAGTGAGTTGGTCATCGGCACACAAATTATCCAAGGTAGCAGCTGAGAGGCATCCTACTGACATCCTACTGGCAACTTGCTTGCTAGAATCTTTGATCGGTCTGAGGCGAAAGGGTCGTCAGATAGCTCCAATAACCTGGGCAACCTGACTGTTCTGGTATCTTTCTACCGGCCCATCCTGTTGGTATATAATACGTAAGTCTCAAACTGTCTATGCGGAGATGAGAGGATTTTTTGCAAGTTGTATCCTCGTGAAAAGTTCTCGAGAGACTGGAGTGGGATAGGGGCTACTGGCCCCTAAAGCGGTAGTCGGGGTCCGAATCCTGACTAAGCGGGAAGTTGGCACAGCTCTGAACACCTCGGCGAGAGCTTTCGTGCATTGAATTGTGTGCTCCTCTCCGGCTCTGCCCTCCGGAATATCGCAGCCATGGTCAGAATCATTATCAAAGGAGGTAAGTATTTCGCACTTCTTCTTCATGTTACCTGCTGACACGCACTCTCAGGCGTCTGGAAGGTTCGTCGGACAATTGGTCTGACTTTTGTATAGGCACTAACGTCACACCATCCAGAACACGGAGGATGAGGTCTTGAAGGCGGCTATTGCGAAGTACGGAAAGAACCAATGGTACGATAAATACGCTTCTACCCACGCTTCAGCTCACTTGACACGTCTTAGGGCACGGATATCTTCCCTGCTTGTGCGCAAGACGCCAAAACAGTGCAAGGCGCGGTGGTACGAGTGGCTGGACCCATCCATCAAAAAGACGGAGTGGTCAAAGGCGAGTCTCATGTGCCTCGTCTGCCTCGTCTCTGGGGCATTATGTACTTACACAGAAAACGCAGACGGAAGATGAGAAGCTCCTCCATCTTGCAAAGCTTATGCCGACCCAATGGCGGACTATCGCGCCCATAGTCGGCCGGACGGCAACGCAGTGTCTTGAGCGGTATCAGAAACTGCTGGACGAGGCGGAGGCGAAGGAGAACGAGGAACTGGGGCTCGCAGGCACGGGAGGCGAGGACCATCCCGCAGAAGACATTCGGAGGTTGCGACCAGGAGAAATTGACCCGGACCCGGAGACGAAGCCTGCGCGCCCTGATCCTATTGACATGGACGAGGATGGTAGGCGTGTTATATTCTTAGGCGCAAGTAATTGCGTGTTGACAATTTCATAGAGAAGGAAATGCTTTCGGAGGCGCGTGCGCGTCTTGCTAACACGCAGGGAAAGAAGGCAAAGCGGAAGGCGCGCGAACGTCAGCTGGAGGAAGCAAGGCGCTTGGCAGTGCTGCAGAAGAAGCGAGAGTTGAAAGCGGCTGGGATTATCATGCGTCACAGGACGAAGGTCAAGGGAATGGATGTGAGTATTATTCAATGAACGCATTATCCTACTTGCTAACGAATGTTTCAGTATAATGCGGACATTCCATTCGAGAAGAAGCCTGCTGCAGGCTTCTACGATACTTCGGAGGAACAGGCGCGCATAACATCTGCTCCTGTGGGCCAGTCCCTGCGGAGGCTTGAGAACAAGCGCAAACCCGAAGAAGAGGAGGCGGAGAGGAAGAAACGTCAACGTCGCGACGCCGCTGGCAAAGAAAGCCAGGGTCCTCACCAGACAAAGTTCATTCCTGCTCGTGATGCCCAGATCCAGAAGCTCAAGGAGGCCGAGTCTATCGGAAAGCGCCGAAAGCTTGTTCTTCCTGGCGCACAGGTCGGCGAGGCTGAGCTGGACGAGATCGTCAAGATTGGTCAGACAGGCGAGAGCGTGAAGGCATTGGTTGCTGGTGGTAGTGAGGCGACGAGCAAACTGTTGAGTGACTATGAAGGTCTGGAGGGTGCTCGTATGGCTCGGACACCTCGTACTGCACCACAGCGTGAGTTGTTCATTATTGCACTGTCATTTTCAATATGAAGCTCATTAAGTATTATGCAGAGGACAACGTCATGTCAGAAGCGCGCAACTTGCGTAATATGACGATGGCACAAACTCCCTTGCTGGGTGACGAAAACACGCCGCTACATGCTAATTCCGATGGTGGTACTGGCTTTGAGGGTGCTACTCCTCGTCACCAAGCCGCATTCACTCCCAATCCCCTCGCAACTCCTCGTACTGATGGTCAAAACGGTGATGTTCCAGCAACGCCGCGGGATGGCGCAGTGGGCGCCACTCCCCTTCGTACCCCTCGTGACAGTCTCAAGATCAACCCGGCAACAGGCATGCCAATTGGGGAGACGCCTCGTGAACACCGACTGAGGGATAACTCGGCAAAGCGCGCCCTGCAGGCTGGTTTCATGAGTCTTCCTAAGCCCGAAAATAATTTCGAACTACTTGTCCCCGATGAAGAAGAAGACACCGAGGTTGAGGGTGGCACTATAATCGAGGAAGATGCCGCGGAGCGAGATGCACGTATAAAAAGGATACAAGAGGAGGAGGAACGGAAAGCTCTGGCTCGACGGTCTCAGGCCGTCCGTCTTGGTCTACCACGACCGGCACGGGTTGAGCTCGATGTTCTTCTCCGTAATTTGGACATTGGGGAGAACGAAGATGAGGATGTTGAAGCAAGGAAGCTTATCGACCAAGAGCTCGGTCAACTCATCCTGCATGATTCTATTGCTCATCCGCTCCCTGGCACCCACTTGCCCGGCGGCACCGTTTCGACATACCTGATCCCTCCCGATGAATATGTTGCCACTGCCAGAGATCTGGTCCATCAAGAGCTGGCCGGATCGGTCGGCGCCCCTGGTGCAAACGAGGAGCAGGTCAAGGAGGGTCTCGCTGCATTGTTGAAGAATGAGGAGATCGACGAGTCCCAGTCCTGGGCCCACACTCGTCGGCAGCTCGCGTTCAATGCCGAAACCCGCACCTGGGTAGACCCCGACAGCATGACGCTCGAGGAACGGATCGCCGGGTATTCGGCTGTGCTCGCCGAGCACCGTGCGCAGATGACCAAGGAGGCGAACAAGGTCTCCAAGGTCGAAAAGAAGCTCAACATCACGCTCGGTGGGTATCAGGTGCGCTCCAAGGCGCTCGCGAAGCGCGTCACGGACGCGTTCGACGAGCTCGCGCGCGACCAGGTGGACTATGAGAGCTTCGCAAGGCTGGGCGCAAGCGAGAGCGTCGCGGGCCCGCGCCGTGTGTCTGCGCTGAAGGAGGAGGTGGAGGTGCTCGAGCGGAGAGAGCAGCGCCTCCAGGAGCGGTATGCGGAACTGGATCGCGAGCGCCGGGACGCGGAGGCAAGGATTTCGGCGCTCGAGGAGAAGATGATGTTGGAGGCGGAAGCGCTCAACGAGGCGGCGCTCGCAGAGATGGACGAGCAGTGATCACTCGTAGAGTACTCGTACACCTTCATGCAAACTACTTTGTGTTTGTATTGCTATTGGTTACTGCGCTTTGCAATAAAACGCGGAATCGCAACTTTGGATGAAGCCGCGTGTCGGAACTTCCCGGAGAGACCCCGTAAACTAGTAGCGCTGTTGACTTTCTTGAGTTCCCCAACACGCGACACGCGTCGCGTGTGAGCAGTGCGAGCGAGCATCTCCACGAGCGTGAGAATAACACGTCGCTTCTGGGGTCCGACCTGGTCAACGCGCGCGATTCCGCGTTTTATTGCAAAGCGCAGTAATTGATATTTTGTAAAATGGATGTTTTGTCCAACTTCTGTTTCGTCTACAGCTGAGACAGCGACAGCTCTGTTGTCTGACGCGGCGGAGCCAAATGTTGATCGGAGGTCTCGATCCGATGCCGACATGACACTCCTGAACCTCCTCTGGAATGGATCGACAGCAGCTCCAGGCCGCTTGCGTCGCTGACACAATGCAAGGCTATAAACCATCTCGTCTTTGTCCGCCGTCTCGAGTTACTCTCGGAAATATCAGAAACTCTGAGCATTTTTGTCGAGAAAATATCCGTACACTCAAAGGGTACTTCACGACACT